CTTCAAGATTGTTAAAAAAGAAAAAAACTATAAAATAGAACTCTATCAACAAATATTGGGCACAAGAAGTATATTAAAATAGTTTTAAATTAAGGGCTAATATAGGTTAGTTTTTAAATTAATCAAGTGTTACTCCAATAATTCTCCTAAAAGGAAACGGTTTTTTTTAAAAAATTCTCTTAAACCTTGAAAAATTGAAGTCTGGGTAAACCATAATATTAGATGTATCTAAATTATATATATATTATTTTTCTGCAAAAGTGTATTAAAAAAAGGATATTTTGCATTTTTAACCTAAATTTCTATAAATCTATAATCTGAAAAATACTTGTTTTTGATATAATAGAAGGATAGACTTATCACTACTACCAGAAGCTAATGTATTTCCATCTGGAGAGAAACAGACTGAGTAGACAGTATTTCTATGACCATCTAATTTGGCTTTTTATTATCCTGTTTTGACATCCCATAGACGGATAGACTTAAATTCATTAACTGATGCTGCCTAATAAATTTCTTAACTTATAAATAATAGTTTTTTTCAAATACAAAATTTAGAAAGATTCACCAAAATAAATTACATGATAAATTGAGAAATTTCAAAATCTATACTAAATCTTCCACAACTCTTTTATGCATAACCTTTCAATTCAAGCATTTATCATTACAGTCTTGCCTAATAAATACGATTAATTCTATATTTTCCCTTACCTGCAAATCCATAATAATATGGTCATCATCATGACCAAAAATCTTTAGCCAGCAAAATTAAATGATTTTCTTAAACTTCCTTATATATCAAAGAAAACTTAAATTGGTTGATATTCATTTTTGTAATTTGGTTTGGGTAAAAGTAAAAACTTTACAAAATATCTTGATTACTCGGTTACTTCAGCAAGCATAATTTTAAAACACATTAATTTTTTCTTCAATTATATTTTTAATAAAAAATCTATCTAAATTATTCCATAGTTGACCTAGAGAGCTGAAGTTCTGTAATCAAACTATTTTCACAATTTATTCTTGACATGATTAGAAGACAAATATATCTTAAAATATTCTTAATAGGCAGCTTATAAAGTTTTGGTCAAAATAAGAATCTCATTTTCTTTGAAATTTTCAAACAATAGTGGAATCTAACATAAATGAGGTTTGGTATAAGAATTCTATAATTAAGTTAAGTGCTAATCAGGTAACATCCTATTTAAATTAGAGAATGATAGCACAAATATGTAATTTGACTTCTCAATATTAGCTTTAAAATTTTAATTCTTATACCCAATCCAAAAATTGTTCTACTACCCATTAACTTATTGTCTAAAGGCAATAAATATGTGATTTAACTCTTCTAAATTGATTGATTTTAAGCTAATAGTTTTTTTCGTATTAGTTGAATGAAATCAAAAAACTCAAATTTTTTGATTAAATAGAAGTATCAGTATATATTCTTTATATTAGCATTTTGATGATTTTTTGATTCAAATATTTCCTTTTTTTTTCAAAATGCTTTCAATTAGATGTAGATATTTGAAATCAAGAATGAGTTGAATTTAACCCTCGATAGATAAATTAATCAGAAATCAATTTCTAAGAACAAAAAAAAAGTAACACTTTGATTTGGTAATTTAAAATATGCTAACTATAAAATTATATTGATTTTTTCTTAATTATTATAATTAAGAAGTTTTGATTATATACTTTTCTTTTATCGAGATAATTAATTTACTTGCTAAAGTCATCTTAAATAGAATTCAGGAAATTAAAGATTAAATTAAATTAATAAATATAAAAATTCATGATACTAATGTTTATATTATTTTTTACTACAAAAGCCACATTTTACAGTGACTCTAACTATGTTTTATGGAGTTAGGCAGATAACTTAATTTGTTGGGGATATTACAGAGCACGCTCATATTATTTTGCTTCAACATTCGATAACGTTCCAAAATTGATTTTAACTATGGAGCAGTATGAATCTACACCTAATGATCTGGGAGTTAATTTTAATTTAGTAGCCCTTGATAATTAAAGTAATTTGTAGGTTATAAAAACTAGAGTTTACTTTAGGGATGTCTTGTAGTGGTCCAACCTTATATACCTTTGGATTCAGATGGATAGCAATAGATAGTGAAGAATTGTTTGTAATTAACGCCTTTAATACAAATCCTTCTCGTTACCTAACATATCCCCACTCGAACCCACATGTAAATGCTGCTTTTGTAAGTCTTTTTATATTTGGATATACCGGCGAAGTGAACTTTTAGATCTAAGTATTAATTCTAATTATTGAAGGTCATAGAACTGAATTCAACACATGTTACAGTCGAAACTACTAATATAGCTAACTTAAGGACTTTAGGATTTCAAATTATTATGGGTCCGGTTGGAATGATAAAATAATTGGGTGTTATTAGTGCTTCTTCTCCTTTTAATAGTCCTTTTTATGAAATTTAGCCAAACTCCTATTTCATTACACCCTTTTAAGGTTTTTGGCATATCCCTGATACATAGAACATAAATATCAAACATACACAAACTAAAACATCAACAAATATATTTTATGCATCCGATTCTCCAAGTAATAGTTATTACGTGAATAATATTCATTTAATAATTTGGATTATTAAATAACCTGAACCTGCATAATGCACTACTCTTAGAATAACCTAAATAAAGGATCTACAAGCCGAGTTCAGACCAAAAATATAAATTTCTTTACCCGAGCTATAATTGTTTTATAAAGTAGTGGGTTAGTACTCACTCAAGTTGACAACCTCTTAATTGGTAACAAATATTTAAATACATGCTAAATGTTTTAAAAATAAAAAGTATTTAAGTTAATTCAATAAATGCAACTCCTGCGCAAATAAAAGATATCATAGTTTTACTCATAACTGTTATGGTGCTATTAATACTCTTATATACACTGCTAGGTTTACTTAAACTATGGTGACTAATCAATAATTAGTATTGTATGTAAATGATTCTAGCTGCAAAATAACTTAATTAATACAAAGTTAAGTATTAGAGGAAGTAATCATTTTGTAAGTTTAATAATTTGATATTTGATATAAAACATAATTAACAATTACAAAAGATATAATAAATTTATTAACGACAAATAAAACTCTAAAATATATTTTCACTTTTTTTTTTTTGTTTAGTTTAGTTTTTATCAATAATAACAAATAAATTTCTGAGATATTGTAAAAAATTAAATTGAGGATTGCAATATTTTAAATAATTTATTAATATATTAAATTTTGAAGTTGAAAGAATTATAAATACAGAAAATATAAATTGTGAAAAATACCAATCAATATTTTTATTGATATTTTTTCAATCATATACTCAAAATAAATACAATAGCATTGAAAAATATAATTAGTTTATTTATCTTTGATGCAAATCTAGAAATTTTCTACAATAATTAAATTACATCATTTTATAAAATAAAATATTCCCTGCTTAAATGATTTCGAAATAAAGTAATTATAACGTATTGTTTTTTTCAATTCAGAGACATCACATTTTTCATAATTCTAAAAACTGTTGATTATTAATATTATGATAATTTAGATTTGATATTGGGTTTATTTTTGCCTAATGACTTTAAAACTTTTGCTATAACAGTAACAAATATTTAATATTCAGCTTTCAAGCACTTGAATTTAAAAAATCAAACTGATTATTTTAATTGAATTTATTGCATCATAATGAAAATCATAAGAGAAACATCTATAAAAATTATTGAATAAACTAAACACATTTAATATAACTAAAATTTCTTACTTCTGATTAATATATAAGCTATATTAACAAGAAAAATTCTTGGTACCCTCACTTTCCCATGTTGACCAGACTGTAAAAAATAAACTGATGTTTCAAAATAGTAAAAAATAACCTTAAGAAATTCATCAAAATATTTAAGTAAATGAGTATTGATTTTTTAATATTTGATTAAATAATATTCACATTCATACTATTTAGTATCCATTTTTATTACCTCTTCCAATATATCTTTAAAAATTTTAAATAGCTTTAATAACTAATTTGTTAATTTCCTAAATTTAATTGATATTTGGTATTGCTTATTTACCTTGAATTTTCTTTATTTTTTTATTATACATAAATCCTACAACTTGATATATTATGGTAACTATTAAAAGATACTTAATTAATATTTTGATGTAACTATAAATACCTTAATTAATCAAGAAAAGCATACCTCTATTTACTGGGCATCCTGTTGGATGATAAATTTCTAAAGTTACTATGCATCCGTATCCTTAAATAATTCTAAATTATTTTTCTGCTCTTTCACTACAAACAATATTAAAAATTGCTGTTCTTGGCTTGTCTGTTTAAACTGCTCTATTTTGATTAGCAGTTTCCACACATTAAGAATTATCATTAAAAGAAATAGAGATTCCATAATCTTTGGGCTTATCTTATATATGAGAAATTGAAGTTGTTGATTTCAATCCTACAATGTCACAATTATCTGTAATTGTTCCCATAACTTCTAAGCCTTCATATACAGCAACTGGAATTCCATGACAACTGAGGTTGATATTACAGAAATTGAAAATGTAAACCATATTAAACATTCCCATTCCTAATTGTAATTTTATGAATACCATTTTGAGTATCAACAACATGCCATGCCTGAGGATGATCTAAATTAGTATAATCGTATATGTTATTATCTTCATCCGCCCATTGACATTTTTATTAATATGTCACTACAATTAATAACAAAAAATAATTCATATAAGATTTTATTTATTCATTTCATTCTAAATTGCATCATACCTTTCAATACTCTTATTTACTTTTCTCCTTTTGTAAGGCTTTTGCGGTTTGATAAAAATTATTTTGCATCAGATTCAATTTACCTTACAACCGAAGCATATCTATATTTGCTTTCAATTGAAATAGACTTATTTGGAATAGGATCAGGAGTTTTATTTCTTAAAGTAATCATATATTTGCTTGATTTCTTTTCATTATTTCCTCTCTATATTATAAATTAAGATTATTTTTATGTGATTGTGTCTGCATAATCATTTTTTTAATTAAGAAATATATTTAATTTGACAGAATCTAGATTGTTATTAATGAATGTTATCAGTTTTTATGCCCAACAAACCCTTTTTAAATGTTTCTTGTGTTTCGCTTTTATAAATCCACATATCTTTTCTGGCATATTATAATTCTACCAAATCTCAGATAATTTTGCATTGAAATAAGTATTTTTTAACAGTGTTTCCTATTCTTAAACTTATTGATTTTATTCTGTTAAATCTGTTTTTAATTTAATTAATAGTTCTCTTTCATAACGACTTAACTAGAAAAGAAAACCTTCACGAATTTCGAAATCTTTTCTGCAGATTTATAAATATTATAAAGAAGTTTTTAAATTCCAGTTAAATCTAAGAATTTAATTTGATCTCTTACTTTTTCATAAAATAAGCAGCAACAATAGCCACGGATCTACTCTACCCAGTTAGGCAACAAATTAAAACTGATTCTCCTCTTTCATTTGTTTCCTCAATAGCATTATAAACTAAATCGACATTATTGTTAACTACTATTTACTAAATATTACTTAAAATTAAATATAACCTATTCCTCAGTATCTAACCATTCAAAATTAATAATCTTAACTTTCTAATTGCTTATATTCATTTCTAATGCAGCACAATTGATTATCACTGTAATTTTATTATAAAACTGAAACTAGATGTCCTATATAATAATGAAGTTGAATACTCTTGCAGCTCTTTTATTGCCAATATATAATCCATCCTTAATTTTGAATGCATAATATAAATAAGGACGAATCATAATATATAAAAATATATTTGATCAAATTATTACAAATAGAAAATGAGGCTATTTCAAATCAAGTGTTCTTAATGTTTGACATATTCAAATTATTAACTTAAGAAATGGTTTTTATACAATAATATATATATATAAATTTATCAATCACAATTATTTGATCTAGCACTTAAACCTTCAGAAATAAGTCCCCTTATACTAACATAGATTATACTGCTTTTCATACTTTGGATGATTCTTTTTATAATTAATTTTGGCAGATACTAAATATAATTTATAAAATTCTTACTTCCAAGTTTTTGACTTTTAATATCTCTCATCAGTTGTAGAATATCTAATGTGTATTAATATTTACCTTTCCTTTAATAATTTGAGTATTCATATTTGTCATAATACTTTGGTTGTTCAGTACTCATTTTGTGTGATTCCTCTGATTTTATGGTTTCAGACTGTTTTCTAGAATTTTAATGGGGTTAATAAGCAAATATTCTATTTTATATTATAAATCTACTGTCTTGATTTGAATTGAATATCTTCATTAATATGTGGTGAATTCTAACGAATATATGCATCTTGAATTCTAGGTTTGTTAAAATCTCCTAAAGAGAATAATAAACTAGCATATGACTTATGCTTATCTGGAACATTTTAAAGCTTAGAATTGAGAGCTTCCTTGAATTTCTGAGTTGCTTGAATAGGTTTATCAGGAGATTGAGTTGAATCCTTCCTCATAATTTTTTGTAAAATATTTGAACAATTAGTTAAATCTTGTTTAAAAGTATTTAATTCTCCAACCGAAGTTGAATTTTTTGTACTTCTATATAAATGATTAATTTTTACTGCATTTTTCTAAGATGTTGAAGAGTATCTTCTTTGAATTAAGTATTTTTTGTCTAATGAGTTGTTAGATTTTTATGAATTGTTGTAGAAGCTTTGCAAGTTTTTGCTTATGGGGATATCATGTTGGATCTATAATTCAAATTAGATGAGATACAAATTTATCTATTTTTTTTAATCTAATTAAGCCTAATTGACGCTTAAATTGAGTAATGCTTATTTTTATTGCATCAATACACTAGCTTTATTGCTTTCTCTATTTTTGTAATTGTTCAATGGAGGATTTGATGCAAATTAAGGAGGAGAGTGACTGTCTGATATTTATTCATAGTCTGATATTTAATTAATATTATATGATTGTACAATCTATTTCGTTTATAATAGTTCAATCTATTTATTAATATATTTTACATTATTTTGCAATTTGAAAATTTCATATTGTAATTTTGCATTTATAGCTGATTTTTGATTTAGTTTTTCAACAAGATATTAGATTTTTTCATTATCTGATAATTTATTTTAATAACTTATGCTAAACTAATCACTCTAGTTCTTATCAATATTAATAGAGTATTAATGTTCTATTTATTAGATTTTCAGTTATAATTTTTCATTTTCTTATTTTAATTGCAATGTATTTGCTTATTCAATATCTAACTTTTATTAAAGTTCCTGTATTTTGGCATTTAGATCAATAATCTCTAATTTGTATTAATTTTTAATTTATTCTTTATCTCTCTAGAGTGTAAATATCTATTATTTTAATTCCATATCTGCAGCATTATTCATTTAATTTTATTTTAGTTATTGTTTGATCATAGTTTACTCATAAGAACTAGTGTTTGTGTGATCCGCCTCAGGAATCGCAATTTGAAGTTATTTTTTTACTAGATTTTAGAGCATAAATACATCCAGTGAATCCAGTTCCTTTCTAAGGGAAACTAAATTTGGTATTGTTTTTATTTGATGGTGCAGGAGGTTCCTTTATAAGATCAGTGTTTTTCTCTTATAATTGTTTTTCTGAATTTCTTATAGATTCAGATTGGCCTGATATAATGGTGCTTTGGGGATGAAATTCTTCAAAAACAATATATTGTATTTATGAATTCTCCTTTTCCTAATCTAGATATATGATATTTATATTAAATTAATACTTATTATTGATTGCTTAAATTCAGAACAGATTGATTCTTCTTAATTGTTGGATTTGATTTATTAAGAATGGAAGGATTAAGATTATTTGGAGAAGTTTAATTCTTATTATTATTGATTCTCTGGTATTTAGCTGCAAAATTCTTCAAATGTGTCGATCTATTGTACCTGATTAATTTTGAATTAAATACTTTTGGTGTCTACTCTTTTTATGATTATTGTATGTCCAAGAAATCTAGTGTGAGTCCGATAGGCTTTCTCATTTTAAATTTGGGTTAGTTAATTTTCATCAATTTTTTGAAAAGACTATTATTCGATAAATAAAACTTAATTAATAATCTCTAAAATGAATAGTAAGTAAAAGACATTAATTCAAAAATCATTTTTTCAATTGCAATACCCACATGCATATTCCTTGTTTTCATATGATCCCTCTTTTAAACCCACACATTCAAAATGGTACCATTTTTAACATTTATCACACTAATTATAATAATAAAATATTACTTAAATATAGTTTAACTCTGGATTCCAAGGCTGTTAGCATAAACAATATAACTTAATTGTATTCATATTTGTAAATTTCTTGCATTCCACATCCCATTCCAATCGATTATAATAAGTAGTAGAATCACAATTTTCCATATTGAAGTATTCCTCACAATCAACAACTGTACATTTTTGAACGATTGTTTATGCTAATACATAATCATTGGTATTAGTAGAGAAGATTTCTTAATTGCCAATCCAACTTCGTGCTCTTGGTTTATGACAAATTATTTCATTCTTTCTCATAAACCATTACACTTCACAGAGACATATTAATTTTAGTGTACTAGGCTCTACGACTGAGCAAATTTTATTTATTGCTCCAATATAATCCTCAACATTGCTATCTTCATTTTTGATAATCACTTTGTCATTGAGTTTAATTATCTCACCACAAATCTTTATCTCATCATATTCCTCGTATTGACATTCATTTCTCTCCATAGCCTTTTAAACAATTTCAGCAAGCTTCTACTATTTATACAATTCTTTGAAAGAAGTATCTTATATGTGTTTTTACAGTCTTTTTGAAATTCTTTTTTTTATAACAGGCAGTGTCTCAGAGGATTACCTAATTGACTTTGATTACGATTCATTGTTATTATTTGTCCAGTTAACTACGTTCATTCTTATTTTAATTTAATTGCTAATACTTAAATACATTTAACGTAATATAGTACGTGAAAAATAATTTGCAGCCATTATCATCGGTTCAAATTAACAATTCTTTCTTATTTTCATCATTAACCCACATAATTTAAAATTCCCATCTTTTAGCCTATTTGAAATCATTCCCCAAATTAGTGATTCAAGAACTTCAATATGTCCAAGCCTGATTTTCAAAAACTTGGATAATTTAAAAAATTTTATCTATTCAATATTATGTTTAAATGAAAAAATATAAAAATTGATTTCTTTATCAAACAATTAAAGTGATTTCAATTATATAATTGATATCATAATTATATTATAACTGAATTCAATTCTTATTATATCATTTCTTGAATTCTAGTATATTTAAATAACAAGTTAGAAATGATATGAAGATTATTAGAACTTTATATGATTATATATAAATTAACCTAAAAGGAATAGCAAAAATAACTTTGAATGCAGGATAAACTTAATAATACATTATGGAATTTTAATTTGTATATTTTTTTAAGAAATGAATAATTCCAATGTTTCATTTTTTGGATTCCTTTAAATTATAATAAATCAATTGAAATATGAAAAATAAAGAAAAATAAATATTTAAAAGCCCAAGTTTTATTAAATAAAGAGTTTCAAATTAATATTCTAGATTTGCATTTTTATTTTATATATGATTAATATGTAAAGGAAACATTTTATAATTAAATTAATTGATCTATAAATTATATCTAATAAAAAAAATGTAAAAATTCAAAAAATGTTTAATATTTTATGAAAGAATTAATAATTATATATAGTTATTAAGTGAATGTATTTGCTTAATATTTTTTTCATGTATCATTTTTCTTATTTTCTTTTTTCGATTTAACAAATTATCTCAATTTGCTTATGCCTTCATCACTGTTTTTTTTAAAGTCGAAACCATATCGCTTTCCATAACGAATTTACAATAGATAATCATCTAATGTCTTCTTAGAAATTCCAACTTTTTCAGCAGCCTTATCTAAAGACATTTACACAAATGTTTTGTTCTAATCATAAAAACCAGTATAAAGTCTTCTCCAGAGTGCCACCTATATAGAAAAATTATTTACTCTTTCAACAACTTACGAGAGAGTTCTCTGCTTAGTTTTTTAATTTTTCTTTGAATTAGTTTCTTCATTAGGCTATTTCTCTAGAATGGTATCTAATAAGCTGATTTTTGAAGGTCTGATTTTTAATTGCAATTTGATTTAATCTTCGTTGACTTTGAAAAAAGTATCTTAATTCAAAGGTTCAACACCAAGGTTCTCATATACAGCCAAATTTGGTGTATAAAGTGAATGATTAACTAATAGATTAGAGAATATACCTAGATTTTATGTCTCTTCCTCATTTAAGATTTAAATGGTGCTATTTTTGAGATGATCTATTGCATCGATTTGCATATCTTTGAGTGTTTTGATAAGATCAAAAATCCATACTCTATTATCATCTGTGAGTTTGCAATTGATATCACCTAGATTATAAATTTTGTTTTCTTATTAGACCATGAGTGTAACATTAAATTTCCTTGTGTTAAATTGAATATCCCCAATGTCAGGATGGTCCTATATTTGGGATGATGAAGGTTGTCTTTATATAACAGAATTAAAAAATACCTGGAAAGCTATGTATTGTATTTTTAATTGGATATGGGTTGGCCATCAACACGAGATGGTTATCTAAAGAGTAGGGTATAGGAAAGAAGTACCTAGATAAGAAGAGTGGGATAGGGCAATGTTTGACAGTATCAGGAGCATTGGCTGATTTTAGTTTTGATTTATGCTTCCCTGGAGGCATTTTAATTAGAAAATAATATAAAGATTTTGAATATTTATTTTTTAATGGAACTAAAGAACTAGATTCTGTTGGTTATTCTAATACCAATCATTCTTATTCTTATGTTAGCAGTGTTATAAGTAGGTTTGTTGGGTTTTGTGAGTATCCCTAGTTTTCAAGATTCACTGCTAGACTTTCATATAAACAGACACTTGAATGGTCTTTAAATTGAAATGAATATCATAGAGCAAGTAAAAGAGCATAAAAATTTAATAGGAAATCTATATCTAATACTAAGCTTACTTTAATTAGATATTCGGAGTGAGTGCCCATTTAAGACATTATTGTTTTGGTGAGTTCCAAAATTATTCAAGCTGGTAAACATGAAAATTAAAATTATTTAGGACTTTGGATGATAAATAGTTGAGTCTAAATGCATTTACTTCAACAAAGAAGGATTCCCAAGACTATAAGATAGCATGGTCACATTCTAAATATTAAACCTTGACTGAATTGTAAAACTAAAGTCCTTAATTATATTTTCAACTAACTAAGGCTGCCTAATCTCTCATATTGTCTGATATAATAATAAAGTAATAAGTTAATTTTACACTTTAGTAACACCCGGTCCCTTAAACAAGACCTAAATTTAAATACAACAAGTGATACTTCGTCTGATGCTGAAGCACTTGTTCCAATAAACTATGCTGCAACTATGATACATTGCACTGATTCTTTCGTTATCCGCTTTCCTTAGTTTACTGAAGTTCAATAATAAAAACTTACTGGCTTCAATGTTTCTTAATGGTTACCAGAGATTCCTATGTCACTCGATCCTACATTAAACTTCACAATGAAATATGATAGAACAGATGAATTTACAAGTGGACCTTCAATAAGTTTGACATAAATAGTTCATCAAACTGATACTACAAAATGTTACATGACTGCAAAAGTGCTTAATTCTTATTTAGAGGATTTAACAACTAGACATCTATAATAACACTAATCTTAAGGTGAATAAGAACATCAATTATTTGTTGCTATCATAAATGAAGAATATACAGTACTTTCTCCCAAAAACTATTCTGATAGGAATGTCACTTAAGCAATTGTATAATATATTAATGAGACTAAATAACTAAGTAATTCATCTTATACAGAATTGATTTCAAAGATGGATGCTCCTATTTATGATAAAATCAAAGAATTAAGAACAAATGATACACTTAATAGTACATAATTAATATATTCCTTTGGATCATACAAATTCTATTTGCTTTTTTCAGAAGTAGTAACTACATCATCCAAAAGGGTATCTATTGTCACTGCTCCTGAAAATGGAAGAAGGTATGTTTATATTGAACCTGAAGTTAATGATTTTAAGATGCCAACATTTATATTGATCCATTACTTTGAAGAGAATGTATTGATACAAGAATTATATGAAGGAACATCTTTAAATAATGTAAGAATTTTAGAAATTATTGTTCTAATTGTAATTATTGTATTGTCTGTTGTTATATTTTTATTTGTTTGGTATACTGCAACTAGAATAGGATTATCTTTTGAATAGCCTATTAAAGTATTAACTGAATTCATGAATAGTATAGATATCTAAAATATGGATCAAGAAGAAGAATTAATAAATTATTAAGACTATTTTAATTCATTTGAAATTAAATCATTATTCTAAACTATGAATATATTTGTTACAACAATTAAATACTCGAATTAAAAGTATTCTAACTCGAAACATTCTGATGCAATAGCTTTAATGGAATTAAGTAGAGCTAAAGATTTTTACAAGAAAGAAATTGGTAATATGAGTGCTGTAGGTATTTGTGCAAATAATATTGGAATTTTACATATGAAAGGAGGAAGAGTATTCGAAGCAGTTAATGAAATGGAAGAAGCTATATATATAGCAAAATTAGAATTAATGGAAATTAAAGAATTAAAGAAATGGTGTACAACTATGATGGCTGCTTTATAGGAACCAAATCTATATCAAAATTTAAGATTAAAACTTAAAGGACTTGCAAATAAGTTCAGATAATAGATTGAAATTACATGGATAAAGAAAATTTAAAAGAAATAATAAGAAGACTAGAAAAATGAAACTAATACATAAATGAAAGCTATATCTTCATCTTAAAGATAGAAAAATATTTCAAATACTTCTAAAAATATATCTACTACAGTTATACATTCAAAAAATATTCCACATATGGCTTTAATAAATCCTTAATCTAGTTGTTCTAGTAAAAATACTCAATTAGCAAGTGTTGCAGTTAATTCTGTAACAACTCCAATCAATAAAAAGAAAAGAACTTTAACTTATGAGAAAAGTTTAAATGAATCAAAAAAAGGATTATAACCAATAAATTAAGTAGATTAAGAAAATTCAAATTATTATTCACCATAACTTTCCCCTAATGTAAGCAATAACAGATCAAAATATTTAGGTTAATCATACAATTAAAGTAGTATAATGTAGAGTTAAAGATTGGATATGAAAGAAAGCATTATAAATTATGAAGATAAATAGAATAATAATCAATTAGAAGAAAGAGAAAGAAATAATTCTGGATCTAGTGATGTATAGATGTCAGAATTATAAATGATAAAAGAGAAATTATCTGAATTGACAAAAAAGAAGAAATTGGCAAAGGCTAAATTATTAAATAGATAATTTTAGTTGGCCTAATTTATGTTTAATATATGTATGTAATATTCTGATGTATTTATTCCTGAAACATTAAAATTATTTACTGATTTTGAAGCTACTGCAGAAAAAGATTAAAGATTTACATAATCTAAAATTGTTAGACTTATAAATTTGCATGTAAAAAAAGCTTTATGTTATATTCAAATTGGTGATATTAGTAATTTTTAACTTTCAGAATAAAAAGCAGAAGAATATTATAATAAATTAATTTAAGATAATGCAAATCTTGAATAAGCCTAATAAAATGAAGAATAAGACTTTAACTTTGTTGATATGTTTAAAAATGTACCTAAAGAAGTTTTATTTTCTAAAATAAGATAACTTAAGGCTATATATCAATTATTGAGAGGAAACTTTAAAACTGCTGCTGAAATTTTAACAGAAATTATAGAAATGGGTGATTATTATGATCCTGAAGTTAGAGACTTTTGTTTAATGGTTTTGGAGAAGATATTTAAATTATTTAATATTTCTCCATAACCAATTCAATAATTTAGGAATTAGATTTCTATTAATGTCTATGAGATTGTTTTCATGATAGATTATTCCAAAGAAATGAATATTGAATAAATCAATCTATCTCATAGTATTTGCACTAAAATATTTTCTATCCTCTAACCTTAAGATTTAATAGGAATGTATGGTTTCAATAATTCTCTTCATGAAGCCTTTCCTCTTTAACCCAAAGGAACTTATAAGGATCTATTAAATAAATAATTGTATATGGCCATTACTGCACCTGGAGGAAACTCTAGATTATATTAAGCATTAAGATTTGCTGTGAAAAACTTCTTTGAACATAAAATCAATATTTCGAATCCTCATAAAACCAACTGTAAATCTGATGATCAAAAAAGTAATTAAAAAAAAGAGTGCAACAATTTCACAATTCATGAAGAGAATGAATAAGATTTATCATAATCATAATTTCCACCTTTATCTAATAATGATGATCCTAAATAAAAGTAAAATATTTCTTTATGTTTTAGACTCAATGAATCCTAAACTGAAGGAGAATAAGATACTGAATCTGATAATGATGATATTCAATTTTTTAAAAATGGCAATAATGTCAATTTTAATGGTAAAAGTGAAGACAATAATGATCAATAGCAATATGATTTTAGAAGTAGATATAAATTTATATGCATTTTCACAGAAAGTACTATTTTCTATTTATCTTTTAGTTAATAAACATATGTGTTAGAAGTAAGAAGAAAAACTAAAACAATTACTTGAAAAGAATTAGGTTGATTTGATGGTATTCAATATTGCAAATCAAAATGCCAACATGTTAGAATTAAAGAAATTATCTAAAATTACGCCAAGAAGCATATTTGTCAATGCCACAGCAAATCTTGAATAATTGTTTGGAAAATCGAGATAAAACTAACTTTAAAAAAAGATGTATTTAGAATTCTTCTGATTCATCCAAACTATCAAAATTATTATCTTTTTTTGAGAATTGAATAAAAATATAGTTTCTATGGCTTTTTCATCTTTTCATCTAAAATTTATATTTTCGAGTTAAATCTCAGTTTCTTTAAAATCTTACTCTCCTCAGTTGATAAAACTCCAATCATCTATTCTTCTCTATCTGATTCAGGCAATAGTTATTCAATTAAATCTCCCTATGATTTCAAACACATTTGTCCACTCCAACCCTAGCCTAATTAACTCATAATAAAAATAATAATTGATTAATTATAAGTATTTTTATTAATTTAATGTACGGAGGAAATCCAGAAAAAAAGTTAACAGAGAAGGATATGCAATTAACTTGTTAAAATATAAGAGAAGAATTCTAAAAAGAAATTGATATTGAACATTAAAGAATAAATGTTGACTCAGCAAAAAAGAAGGCAGTTATTTATCATCATGATTATGAAGGATTTAGATAAATGGTATTAGGAGCAAATCTCTATACAATTAAATCGAAAGAATTAGCCAATTTTGGATTAAGTTAATCAAATAATGAAAAAATTTTTAATTCATCTTTTCAAAAATATCAATAACCCACTTAAGATGATATAATTCAATTACAATTAAACATCAAAGAAATTTAATGCAAAAATTTTAGAGATTTTAGAACTTTATTCTCTAAACATTATACTAAACCATTAACATAAGAAAATTATGCTGAAATAATGAAGTAATATATATAATATATAAATAATTAGTATTTTATAAATGTAAAGCCAAGATAATATCAAGAAAATATTTTCTATTGATTTTCATATTGAATATTTTTTTAAAATATTAGAAGTTTTTGATTATTCAATTTCTACTTTAAAGGATGGAAAAGAATTGAGTTTTATTGTTGGATTTTTAGATGAATTAGTAAAAATAAAGGATTTTATGCAATAAATAAAAAAGTTTTTAAAAAAGAGTGAAAAAGAAGAATTAAAAGAATTCTTTGGAAGACTAAAATAAAGTTTATAAATAGAATATGAATAAATCTAACTAAATTAGTTGATCCATACAAAATATGAAGAATTATTGATCTAATATTTATGAATATACATAAAATCACTCATTAAAATTTAGGGTAAATCTCTATTTAATGTTGGCTTTTTTAGAAAACTTTGTAACTGGACTAGATTCTTTAGGAATCGTAAATTATGAGGTTTATTTAGAAGTAAATGCTACTCCATCTCTATTAAAATAATTAGTACAATATAATACCTATTTTCTCTTTATTTTCTTTTGAATATACGGACAATCCAATTTTCTGAAGTAAAAGCTTCTTCAAAATGTCTCAACTTATATCCTTTGACTCCAATCACAGCCTATCTAACAGTATCATAACCTTTAGGTTAACCATATGCTGTTTAAACTTCATCAAAACGATAATAACTGAGTCTATACATAAGTGAATTTGTCATAGTCTCTGTTGCATATTAATCTACTCTATATGTTCCTTTTCCATAATAATCTTCTTCCTTAATATGAGGATAAACTCCTCCACCAATTCTAACCATCCATAAGAATTTATTTATATCATCACCTGAATAATTCAAAATACCACCAAAAATCACTAAAACATAATCTACATCCAATTTTTCACAAATTTCAAAGGCATCTTCTTCTGATGAAGCCATTGCCATACCAACAGTAGCAATATGTGTATTATTCCATGTATTATTATCAACTAAAACTGTTCTATTAGACATTCCTGTAATTTAATATCCATAATCCCACCAAGACATAATTTTATCATCAGCTCTTGTATTCATTCTAAGCCAATAATAAGCTTCTCTATAATCATCTATAATATTTCTATTTCCTTATCTATCTCTACTGGAAAGAATGATGGATGGAGATGCATAAGCTTCTGAACCAGCAAAATTTGCATGGAGAACATAAATAGAACAATAGTAACCTAATAATACTAAACCAATAATTGATATTTCTGGAGGTATCCTATACTTTTTAGGTTTTTCTATTTTTGGTAATATAAATGATCTAACAGATTTAGCAAATTTTCTAAATGCCCAACTTATTCCTATTCCAGCCATAATACTAACAGCAGGTGCAAGAACCAATAGCAATCTGACCATAACTGATGCAAAATATACTCCAAGGACTGTATAAAGAGCCCCAAATATTTTAGTTTCAGTTGGTTTGTAATAACAATAATATAACCCTACTGGTGAAAAAAGTATCAAATAATGTAAATCAAAGAAAAAGGATGACCAAGTAGTAGCTTAATGTTCTGATACAGAAGCAATGATAGGTATGTATTTCTTTGCATAAGTTGGATCAAGTAATGTCAAACTTCTACCACTCCATTATGTCTTACCAGCTAAAGTAAGAATAACAACTCCCACCAAAATGGAGAACACTAAAAAGACTACTAAGAATTTAGTAAGTGTTATGATGGCTTTTTTGCTAACAAAATTACGTATCCAACTGAAAAAGTTTAAAAAGTTAATCAAAAGGAAAACTGCATGTGATGCCATATGTTCAGATGAATGTAATGCTTAGAATCCAACAAAGGGAATTTACATTGCTAACAATGTTCCTAATATGTAGAAAACATTATAAGCCACTTATATTCTCTAATTGGAACGTCCTGTTATTAACAAAAATAAAACAAAAATTGGTATGATGTTAATAATGAATGCATATCCACCCCAAGAAGCCACCATATAGAAAAATCTATTCATTATTATATAGATATATATTACGCTAAAGCTGTGTAGACACCCCATAAGATGGATCCTGTATTGACAGTCTTGAGGAAAGTATAAAATGTGAAAACAAGGGCAAAGATAGATACTCCTTCATTGTCATATGATCCTGCAACACTTCTACTCATGTAAGATGGGACAATGGCTACAAATAAAGCTGATAATAATCCTGCCTCTGATCTCTTTGTTATCTCTTTTGTCATTCCATATGCTGCTAGACTTGTAAATGCTGAAAAGATTGGTGCCAAGAATACACAGACATTTCTAATATCAATTGGAATGGACAATTTGTGTAATACCCAATATATCATACCAGAAGTCATCATTAAACCTGGATATCTTTTTAATAGGATGTATATCATACACTGTGCCTCCAACACTTCTACCTAGAGGATACCAAGATTCTGAATCGTACCAATTCCATAAAGCATAAGGACCCTCCTTTACTAAATATTGGGTTGTTCTATAATTGAACCACGGATCGAACTCATGAATGATTGACTCATATCTGATCACTGAGAACACTCTTATCAAACAAGAGATTATTGCTATTGATAATAGAATTGTCATATTGAACACTGGTGCCCATTTCAAAGTTGATTTGTGCACTTTGTATGACAACGATTATTGGGTCTCTTCTTCCGAACTCATGAATTAATTAATTAAATTATTAAATGATAGACGAAATCAAGAAAAAGGTTAAATACAACCAATAATGTCCATACATAGCCACTATTTGTAGACACATGCTTGATTTTGATTTTGAAAAATTATGCTCTGTAACTCTTTCAAATCTTAATGTATATGCTTGTCTTATTTGTGGGAAATATTATTAAGGCAAATCAATTAATACATAAGCATATATTCATTCACTTGAATAAGATCATCATTTATTTATGAATCTTCAAAATACTAAAATATATTGTTTACCAGATAATTATGAAGTTGTTGATCATTCACTTGAAGATATTCAATATAATTTAGATCCTAAATTTAATAATCTTAAAGAATTAGATGATAATATAGAAGAATCTAGAGCTTTAGATGGAACTACATTTCTTCCAGGGTTTGTAGGATTAAATAATCTAAGCAAATCAGATTATTTCAATGTTGTTATGCAAGCCTTATGTCGTATCAAACCATTAAGAAATTTTATGATTTTTCTATAATTCTAAAAGAGTGCCACAGAACCTTTTGATTATAATTGTCTTTTATCATAAAGATTTTCAGAATTAACAAGAAAAATTTGGAATCCTCGTAATTACAAAGGACATGTAAGTCCTCATGAATTGTTATAAGCTGTCACTCTTAAAAGCAATAAATAATTCAAAATTGGATAGTAATCAGATCCAATGCATTTAATTATTTGGTTTTTAGACAATCTAAAAAAAGAATTATTACATATCAATAAAATTAATACTATAATTTCTGATTGTTTCCAAGGAGAATTATAATATGAATGGTATAAACCTCTTAAAAATGCTATTGGATATTAACCAATTCCAATAATTGAATAAAAATCATTCTTGTAAATATATTTATTATTATATTTGTTAGTTATCTATCTTTAGATCTACCTTCAACTCCACTTTAAAAAGATGGTAGTTAAAAAGCTTTGATTCCAAGTATATCGATTCAAGAGTTAATTAAAAAATATGATGGTTTCACTAATACTGACAGTGCTGATGGTAGAAGAAGATATACAATAACAAAGTTTCCAAAGTAATTCTCTTCTTTTTATTTTTAGATATATGATTATACATATGAAAAGATTCATAAAAAATAATTTCTTTATGGAAAAGAATCCAACTATTGTTACATTCCCATTAAATGATTTAGATTTGAGTTAATGTATAAATATTATATATTTATTATTTTAGGTTTAAATTTAGAATAATAAAATGTAAAATATAATTTAATAGCTAATATTTGTCATGAAGGAACAGCAAAAGTTGGAATTTATAAAATTCATGTAAAAAATGAAGCAAATAATTAATGGTTTTAAATTCAAGATTTACATAAATAAAATATTGTACCTTAACTTATTAGTGTAAGTGAGGCTTATGTATAAATTTATGAATTATAATAATAATGATTCAATTAATAAATTTTTCAATCACTTCACATTAAATTAAAATCATTGTCATAATATCTGAATGATTTTTTATAGATTTTAGCTGATGCTCAAATTATTAATTCTAATTTTAATATTAATTTGAATTCATCATTTATTTCTATTAAACTTTTTATGTATTATTTTATTTATTATTTTATTCTATCTAAACATATTAAATATTATTTAATTTTTAATTTATTTTACTTTCTTGTAAATATAAATCTCTTTATAATTATTACAATGATTTTGGTAACAAATCTGGTGAAATTTACATAATTTTATTAGAAATATCTTTCAATTATGAACCTAATAATAATCCATCTTCTTTTAATTATTTCTATAATATAAATATGAATATTTTTATACAATTATATTATTTTTATCCAATAATTCACGATCTTATTTAAATCTTTCATCATCTTATTTATATTTTTACATATCTGAATCTTAAGAATCATTTTATGATTATCTTAAAACATGATATTCTTGTATTATACTTTAGTTACTTTTTTACCTAAAATAATATATATAAATTTATTTCATACAAATCATCAAATAAATTTTTTAATTGATCATGATCCTATTTAATTGATTTATATGTATTTTGATATGCCTCCTTATCTTTAATAGCTTGACTGGTAGTTTCCAATAATTTGTCTGTTTTCTTTATTAGATCTTTCATCTATGAAAATATATTTCATATAAAATGGATACCTCTGATTCTTTATTTTAAAGTGATTTTTATGAGATTTGTAAACTCAAATTAATTTCAGCTATTTATTATGTAAGTATCTTTATTTATTATTCCTAATCCTTGATTTTCCCATTAAGTTTTTAAATCTAATCATTTTTCATTGATAATTCATCAATCTAAAATTAAATAATCTTTTCAGAATTTAAAGAAGGTGAAGTTTAATTAATTTCTCTCTTCTATGTAGCACTCTATTGTTTTAAAAATAGATCTATCTTTTTTATATTAGATTAAGGAGTTGTAAATACATCATAACTTTAATTTGATCCTCCCATTACTTACTACATCTTTTTAATCTATTTATTCAATTAATCAATAGATTTATTATTATTTTTATCAATCAATTATTTATTTTTTAACTCTTCAACAGTCTCATGCATTATTGCAATTGCATCTTTAATTAAATTCTTTATTTAAGGAGGTGGTTAATCAGATAAATAACTTGTACTATCACTTATCTTATTAGAGTTTAATTCTTAAATTAGTAAATAAATCAGATATTTTAAGAGTATAAGATCTGTACAACGATAAAAATCGAAACAACAGTTGTCTAAACAAAAACATTTCATTTTAGCAATGATTGATGCACATGAATTGTGATCATTCTCTTTTGCAAACTTAAAGTTCTTTAACTTCTTTTCAATACCAATCATAAGTTATTTAACATTCTGGTTCATAATAACAAATTAAGAGTATTTCTAAAAAGGTGAATCTGAAATATCTTCATCAGGCATATTACAACAAGATTTATTCTTCTCTTTCATTTATAATCTAATTCTATCAGTCATTCTATCTGTTTCGTTATAAATCGATGGTATATTGGAATCCATCATACTTTTTTTTCTTATTGGTGAAATTGTTTCATTCTATTTCATATGAATATTTGAAGCTTTTAATAGTAATTTGTTAGTGTAGTTATGATTTTTGTAATCTTCTATTGAACGATTAGAGATTTACATATAAAAAAAATGTTAGATTAACAAATAAAAGAGAAATATAATTAGTTATTTTATTCTTCATTATTATTTTTATTTTCCAACTACAATTTTTTTTACAATGAAATTACTATTCAATTTATAATACATCTAATAATACAAATCAATTCTAAATTATTGAGTTTAACATATTATCGTTAATGATAGATATATGTATATGTACATAATTTTAGATTTATGTAATTCTCAACAAAAATCTTAATGATATATTGATTAATTAGGAAAAAGGCGGCATCTTGAAATTATTGAAGTAAATTTAGAATAAATTTTATAATAAATACTTAATATCATTATTTAAATAGTATTATTAATTTTAGATAAATTTAAATAAATGAATAGTGTGTTTAAGTGCAGACAACATAATTAAGTGGCTATATACATAAATGTGAAACCATAAGTCAAAGAACCAGTTCTCTTGTGTTAGAGATGCATTCTATCTAAAAATTACACAGCTAAATTGTTAGAAGAATTTTTATTATAAGCCTAACCAATATTGGGATAGTATTTGTCTTAAGATATCCTTGATTTTGGTTTTAATAAAAAGTAATTTGAAGATTCAATAGAGAAATTAAGAGTATTTTTATATGAGACATTTAAAACGAGGATTAATTCATTCATATAAAAATTAAAATTTCAATTTGAAGAATAAAAATAAATACTTCAATACATTAAAAATTAAATTATACACTATTAAAAATGTGGATAAAATTAAACATTTCTTTTAGATGATTAAATTGAAGATTAATTAAGATATTATTTAACTAATTAAAAATCTAAAAATCCAAAACAAAAGTAAATTGATTATTTATATGGATAATTATGTTCAACAGCAACATAACCTCCATTTATAAATATACCTTAAATTTAAGAAGATTTCCATGAAATTTTAGATTAATTTGAAGATAAAATCAAATTATCTAAATAATTAGAATATCCTAATTTTAAAATTACTATATTTTCTCCAGAAGAAGCTTAAAATATTGATATAGATGATTTTAATATTTCTAAAACTCTAGTATTAAATAATTGTTATCCATAATTAACAACATTAACAGATTCTATAGAGAAAGTTGAATTAATTTTAGATAAACCAATTGATTTAATTGGATTCAGTAAATATTAATAGTTGAAGGAATTATTTATAAGATTTGATAAATGTAATGTAGGTATAACTAGATAAATTATGATTCCTAATCTTTAGAAATTGACACTTGATTTGAAAGGGAATAAATTAACTAAATTTGATTAATTAGTAGTTCCAGATACAATTATAGATTTTACATTAGATTTATCATTAAATTGTTTAGATGAAAATTGTATTTATTATATTGGTAAATATTAAATATTAAAAATTTATAGGTTAAACTATTGATAATTTGAGATTACAACGTTTGTCATTAAATTTTAATGGATTTAGTTAATATCGAAATAGTATATGGAGTACAGGTATTTTGTTAGTAAGAATTATTTAAAGGTTTAATTTAATTGTGTAGAAATCTATTCTCTTAATAGTTGAGAATTTTACATCTAGGTTGTGGAAGATGTAGTATCAATGATGTAGGTCTAGAGTTTGGAATTGTTAAATTATTAAGTAAATAAAGATAATTGGAAGAATTAAAATTAGATTTATATTCTAATGAAATTACTAATTTAGGGGAATTAGCTAAAGTAACATATTTATATATTTACAATAGGCTGTTACTTCACTTAAGGAGGTCAAAGTAAATGCTAATCAAAATCCGTTGTAAAACTATTTGCATCTTGATCCACTCATTTTTTCAACTTTAAACTGTGAATAATTTAAGAGTATTAAAAAAAATGAATAATCATGATAATTATAAATTGCCTTCATTAACAAATTCAGAATAATCAATTTAAAATCATTTCAAATTATTCTCTTAACCTGTAAGAGAGACATGGTATCAAAAAAATTCAATAGAGAATAATTCTTCAAATTAAATTGACATTAATGATCTTCCTAATTTTGAGATTAATTCCCCTGATAAATAATAATACCATTCATAATTTGATCATGAATTTCCTCCATTAGATTGTTCATTCAAATAGGAAAAGCTTAGTTTTTAACCTAAATAATAGTAACAAGATCAATAATAAAATATAGAATATTCATATAAAAAGAACAGTAACAAAGTTTCTGAAACATATTTTATTGATAATTAGCCTTAATAATTATTCAAATAGGAATCATCATAATTTTATTAGATTCAAGATGAACCAAAACAGAGACTTAACTTTTTGTATTTAAATTAAGAATAAATTTCTCCTTAAAAAAGTCGTTAAATTAATTATGCTAAACCTTAGAAAGAATTAACACCTGTACATTAGAAAGTACATAGTAAATCAAAGTCTAAAACTCCATAGAAGAAGCAAAACCATTAAGATTCATAAAATCTAAAATATATCATATTAGAAACTAATGTTTCATCAAATAAAAAGAAATTTATTTGTTAAAACCCTGCCCCAAGTTATATTATATTAGATTTTACAGATAAGGAAAATCCAAAATCAGTATCTAAATAAACAATGTAAGTATAACTTAGTTTGAAAGATTTAATGTATTGATTATTATATTCTAATTTTAATTTTGATATAAAAATAAAATTTAATCCTAATAATCATTTGAAATAACAATCATCTAAGAGATAAATGAACAAAATGATTATTAAAACCAATATTAATTTTATGTTAACTTGATGTTTATTTTTTTATTATGTTTCCAAAGATTGATTGTTAATTTAATTTTACCCTATACTATTCATTGATCTCATTTTTAAAAAGTTATTAATAACTTTCTAAGCATGAAGATCTTCTAATTCTTTTTCTTATTTTTGTTTTATTAGAGATACTGTTTCTTTCACTGAAGTAAAAGAACCCTTTTTATTTAATCCTATTTATTTTTTTAAATGTTCAGATAAATTAACTTATGTCTATAATTTTGGTAATGATTAAAGAATTTCTGTATATTCCTTTGTTGAAATATACATTTATCCATCATATATTTATTAACTTTGTTCTTAAATTTACATTTTTTTTCTTGGTGTTTAGTTATTTGAATATAGTTTGATTTCTTTGAATGCCAACTTTAGAGTTTTATCTTCGAATAATTATATTATTCGTATTAGATAAAATTTTTAAAATTTACTCTCATATGCATAGTATGTGTTCATTAATATATAATAATTATTAATATTATTCATTTAAGGGATTTTGCAAATTCTAATCCTTCTTTATTATAATATTCATTTTCAAATTTATCCACTCTTGGTTTATCATCTTCAATTCTTATCTCTTATATTTATATTTCTCCATTTTACATTTATTGAATTATTGCAGCATTTATTTATCCTGAATAATATGAAAGTAGATATTTATCATAATTTTTATTAAACCATTCTTAAACCTTTGAACAATCAATGTGATTATGATCTGTCAAACCAATAGATACTAAATGTAAAATTTCATCTTATGTCATCAAAAGAACTTAATTATTTTGATATAAAATAGACAATGCTTCTTCTACCGATAAGATGGTAACTTGTGTTTCTGAAGTTTAAATTAAGTGTACTTCCCAATTTTAAAAAATGATATTCATGCATTATTAAGGGGATATATGATAAATTTGATTGAACCTTTATATTTTGAGTAAAACAAGCTAAGCAATATTCATTAATATAAATTAAATAAATGTTCATTACATTATTATTTAGTACTTGTACAAATAGTATTTAACATAATTTATATATATATAAATGAAGAGATATCTCCTTTAATAAGAAATATATAAATTATCTATTATCAATTTTAGTTTTTAAAATGACAAGAGATTACTTTTAATCAATAAAATTATTTAAGTATAATAAGTATTAAATTATTTAATTATGGGTTCTACATTATCTAAAAAATAGAAATATGGTGTGATTTTATTTTGTGTTGGAACAGGTTTCTTAATTGGTGGATTATATTTTGATGGCAAGTAAGATATTTCTAAATATAAGATTCGATAAAAAATCTAAGAATCCATAATAATAGATTGAGACAGATAATTAAGTTCAAAAAACAAATTAAGAGAGAGACGTTCCTTAAGGCTATGATTAAGTATTACAATAGGCTAAAGGATAAGTTATGGTTGAATTTCAAGGAGACTATTTAACTATGAATACAATTAACTAAATACTTCAAAAATCTATGGATTTAGCAAAACCTGAATATGCATAAATTACACTTGAAAATAGAAAACGTAATATTTTTATATTTATCATATATTTAGAAAGAAGAGAAGCAAAATCACAATTCAATAGTTAATTGTATCAATAATTAGTACTTGATTACAATGAATAGGTAGAAAATTTAATAGAAAGAAAATAAATTGAATTCTGTTAATCTCTTTAAATAACTGAGGATATTTTTTAGGAAAGTGTGATGTAATTAATGGAGAATGGATAATTTCAATAATTCTTTATGATATAAGCATCATTAAGATAACACATTAAAGAGGCCATACCAAGCACAAAAACATTAAGTTTAGATTAATTAAAATAAATAATTAGCTATCAAGTAGAAATTATATCTAAAATTCCAAAAGATTTAGCATTAATGAAAGAAACTTTATCTGTAAATATCTTATTTAAATATTTATTTAGGCTAGTTAAGAGACTCAATAATTAATTCCTTTAGCAGTTAATACAATAATAGCTGATTATTGTTATGAAAAATTTTAAATAGAAGAAGAAGATATGATGAAACTAATGTAGAATCCAGGTATCAATTTATAATTATCTAGATAATTTTGCTGATTAAACAATGCATAATTTAATGACTTAATTAGAAACAGCTATGTATCAATTTATGGGACCTATTTCTTGAATTAATAAATAAATAAAATAACAACAAATTATTTATTAATAATATATTATTAGTAAACATCATTTTTGAATAAGTGATAAATCAAGCTAGTACTCTCATTTATACATTCATCAAATCAATTGGTTCAACACAAACTGGACAAAAGAGATGTGTTTATAACCATTTTAAAATACATTTTTCATGAAAACGATGCCTAATTTAATATTATAATTATATTACATTTTATTACATGGTAAATCAACAAAAGAAGTCATTTGTTTTATTTATTAAGAACAAAGATAACAAATTTCAAAGTCATAATTCTTTTTCATTTGCTTAGGTATATTTGCTATAATTTCCTTAATTATTATTAAAAAATGATCATTACATTATTTTATTAATTTTTATCTGCAAACATTAAGTAATTCATTACAACTGCACTTATACAAAATTTAAATGATAGATAATATATAAGTTTTAATGACAATGTTATTATTCCTAATAAGATGAATCCATGAAAAGTAGTCATTATAATATCAGATTAACATTAAGTTCCCAATAATAATAAACCCCATAGAATTAACAATAAATAGAAACTAATTAATTGTACAATATTATACAATTCATTGTATTAATGCAATTTAACATATTAAATAACCCTAGTAGGTTATGGATCATTTTATATTGATACTGTATTTTCCCATTTTTCAATTTCTTTTAATAATTATCCATAATACGAATGTCTTCCAGCCATTGGATATTTTGACTCTCTTTTTATTACAGTAGGTCTTTTCTTTGAAAGTCTACTTTCATATTTAGCTGATACTACGTTAACAATCTTAATAGTAATTCCTATTTCTATGATCTCATTAAAGAAATTCAATTTACATCATGTACAAACATCAAATAAAACCACATACTAAAGTACCCTGAACATGTCTATTGAAGAAGGACATTGAAAAATGCAATTACCTTTATGAATTCTATAATTAATTAAGACCAATTAAGACATTTTGAATCTTCTATTCTTTCTTCAATAACAATATGAAGATTTTCTTTTACCATATCTAAATTATTTTTGACAACAGAAGGAGTTAAATATTCAATAAATATTTAATTCTTTGATTATGTATTTTCTGTTTATATTTATTATGCTACTGGCATCTCATTTTCTTCTAAATCAAATTTGATTGTTGCCAATTTCTTTGGTTATAAATTTGTACTGCTTTCCAATAGTTTTTGAATTATTTCTTCTTTTCTTCTATCCTCATCAATAGAATCATTCAAAGAAAAACTCTTTCTTGATCTTTATTTCTTCATAATATGAAATTTAGAATTAAATTAATAAGAAAAAATCAAAAATTTTTAGTTTAATTCAATTAATTTATTTTTTATTGCAAATTAGGAACTCTATAATATATTTTTCCTCCAAAATGAGTTCAAACAGATTAAAAGAAATGAGAGAGAATTTTCATTAATCACTTAGAAAGAAAAACCTTGAATCTTTATTTAAAGTCAAACGCTTAGTTATAACTCCTATGTAAACAAAACCAATTGGAAAATTAAAAGAAATTGTCAATAAAATGATGAGATCTCAAGAATTATAGGATGATGAATATTAAACAATAAATGGAATATTGGATGAAATAGATCAAATAGCAATCAATGATACTTCATTAAGATTTGAATGGACAGAATATCTAAGCATTATTAAGTCTTTAGTAGATTCAATGCAATAAGGATATTTAAATTCTTAATATATAAATATTGCAATTAAAGCAGCTAATTGTTTTAGAAATTTACTAAAAGTATAAAAACCTACAATTTAAATGTAAGAACACATCAATCAAGCATTTGAAATATATAAATCTTGGATAGAATCAAATTAATTTGTATTATCATAAACTGTATTATCATTTAATTTGAAGATTAGGGAATGAAAGGAATGAATCAACTAGCAACATTATAACATCCATAGATTAAACAATATGATTAAGTTTAAAGTATTTTGACATCACTTTAAATCGATCCTTATAATGAATAAGCATTAAAATTATTAGCAAATATAACTAAAAATGTTGACAATGATGATTAAGTAATAACTATTTTGAGATTGGCTTCAAAATTAATAGAAACTTCTTATTCTAATTGTATTTATTATTTATATTATATTAATATATAGTAAGAGAAAAAGGTTTAAATATATTTGAAAATGCAAGTAGAAATATATAAAATATTCAATTTATATTATCTATGAGAGCAATTAATACAATTATAGACTTTGTTTATTTCAAAGAAAAAAATATCTCTAAAATTTCAATGACTATTTTAGTAAATTTATCTTATACATCTGATTTGAGTGAATGCAAAAAATTGTTAGATTTAGGTATTACTGATGTTGTATATAAATTATTAAAAAATACTATATTTACATATAGTAGAATATTTGGAAGTATGATTTTTAATAATTTAATGGCTTCATCCCATTTAATTTTAGATAAAATAATTTCAAATTAAAGATTACTTGATTTAGTTTTAGATTTATTAGAGAATGATGTTGTTGATGTAAGAAGAGAATTGTTTCAAGCATTTCGTAATTTTCTTGTTGTTTGTACAAAACAATAATTATTAAATCTTATAGATAATGGAATATTAGATTATTTTATTCTAGGACTTGATGATTAAGATTACGAAATTATTTAAGCTGCTATTGAAAGTAATATAAAAATTATAATTCTTAGCTCTCTACTTAACTATGAAACATTTTGTTTCTTCAGAATATTAATAAGATATATATTATAAATTTTCTATGAAAAATGTATCCAAAAAACTAGATAAATTATAATATTCACCAAATGAATAAATCTATTTAATGGTTTCTTAATTTATTTAAGAATTTTATGATTAAGAATTTGATGATTCTGATTATTGAATTATGATTAAATAAATATTATCTTTATAATAAATATTTTATTTTCATTTCTTAATCATCTTTAATACTACAAAATTATACTATTTAATATTAGAGTAACTAAAGAAATTTCTATATAAAAAATACAGAAAATTTTAGAATTCAATATTTTTATACATTAAATATTCTAGTTATATTTTTAAGATTTATTTTAAGGATTACTTATTACAGATAAATAAAAAAGATTATAATTGAAAGAATCAATTATTTTTGATAAAAATAACTAAATTCTAGAATTAGTGATTATGCATAAAATAGTTTAACATTCCTAAACTAGACAGATTTACAAATTTATCCTTTTTAATTTAATAGGGTGGATAGATTAAAGTTCTTACACAAAATTGTTAATTTTTATTAAGAATTAAATTGTTAATGAATAAGGATTATGTTAAAAGTATTTATATATACAGAAAAATTTGTTCGTTTAAAAGGGTGAATATAAACCAAAATGTTATAAGTAATGAGCTATAATTTTATGATCAAAAGCATATCACAAAAAGGTTTAATTTGGAAGTATATTTAATATTCTTAATTAGAATAGATATGAAGAATAATTTGATCATTGTTTTATAAAATATAATAATTTTAAAATAAAGCGGCTTTTTAATTTATAAATTACTAATAGTAATTTATCTAAAACAGAATTTATGTTCATAAAAATATAAAGAGTAATTAGATATTACATTATCCACTAGATTCCTATATGTTTTCAATCAAGGTGATGTTACTCAAAACCCTTTAGAATTGTTCGAAAACTTAAATTACAATTAGAATTTATTACATAATATATATTAATTACTGAATTGAGTATTGCAACAATATAAAATAATTATTTGAGAAATAATTATAGATGGAGTTCACCAAAGTCAATGAAGTTTCAAAACAATTTAAATTAGATAAAGCATCAGAACCAAAAATCTTTTGATTAATACAAAATAATATATTTTTAATATATCTCAGTTCTATTAGTTATATAATACTAGTCTTAACTTTGATTTAATTAACAAAAATAATATAACCTTTTATACAAATATTATTTGAGAATATTTTAAGGATTATTGAAATTGGATGAAACATAAATTATATGAAGATTTAACATAATAATTAGTAATATTAAGTTGTACTCTTTGATTGTTAAAAAAAATAAAAAAAAACACTCTTAAATACCATGTTTTAAATTTTTTATTTAATAATAAAGTAAATATATATTACATTTATGGAAAAAAATAAAAATGATACAATCCATTAAATATATTTAATTTGATAGGATAACAATATATATATATTTAGACTCATGTTATGAACTTATGAAGATTCATAATGCTGAACTTTATCAATATAAAAATAGTATCATAAATATTTATTTGTTTAAAATACATGTAACAATAAGATTAACATAGTACATATTGTCATATTTAGACATTAATTTTCAGATTGTAATATTTAATATATATTTATTAATACCTACTCCATTTTTTATAAAATTTATTTGTAATCTCTTACTTAATACTTACTTCAAATAATCATGTTCTATAATTTATTCATGTATAATAAATAATAGCTCAATACATTATTTATCTATGGACAGAATTGTATATAGTAATATAATAGGATAAATGGATTCATTGACGATATGATTTTAACTTTACATATAAAAATTACTTATATAAGAATGAATTTTTTTATCACAGGAATTCTTATGAATTTTCTGAGAAATTAGAAAGCTTTAAGAACTTTTAGGCTGATAATATTCAGTTTAAAATCAATCATGGGACATCATTATCTAACCTAAAATACTTCTGGTTTAGTAGAAAATGAGGGATACTTTTTATTATTCATTATTATATATAATATAATTGATATTATCAAAAAATCGAAGTACCCACCATTAATCAAATTCAAATTTCATTACTTATATTAAAGTCATTTTGAAATTGGGTTTAGTTAATAAAAAAATTATTTTTTTTGATTAATGAAAGACCATTGCAACAAAGCATAAAAAATTACTAATAGTTTGACTAATAAAATTATTAAGAGAAAAGTAGCTCCATAATTAATATCATTCTCAGATGCCTCGGAATTGAGAAGCTATAAAAAATTGCTTGCTCAGAGGATAATTTAGGATTTTGGAAATAATTATTTTAAGAATTGAACCTCAAAGATGCAATTGTGTACAAAAGATTGAGTTTTTTTGTTTTGATAACATTTTTTTGTTCACAATAATTTACTTGGATATAAATTACTATTAACTTTAATTTGAAGTTAGTTCTTTAACACCAGATTAAATCTGTTTATTTGACAAGATAGAATCTAATTCTTTTATTTATAATAGAAATATCTCTTTTTTATATTTTATTTCTCTTACTATAAGCATCTTTCAAAATAGATATATATTATTAACACTATTATACTTTTTAAACAGTATCAATGCATAATTCCTATTAAACACTAAATAAATGAAGAAATATATAAATTACAGCATTATTTTTATTAAAAATATTTTTCCAACCATCCTTTCTGCCAATTTATCTTAACAAATGAAACAAGAAAATGAGACATAAAATCACACCTTAAATTCAACCTAAAATTTACTTTTTGAAACCTAAAATGAATTACCAACTACAGTTTTGATTACTAAACAACACTCATTTTAATAACAATCAAATTTTAAAACTTTGATTTATCATAAAGATGTTGAAGGCTTATAAAATCTTTGGAGATTCAAACACATCCTGGCTAAGAAAATAATTAAAAGATTGAAGAATAAAAATTGATTTTCCTATTCTATTTATTTTAACCAAATTCATAATATATAAACATTCTCTCTAGTCTTGTATAAAATTGTTAATTTTTTTAATAAAAACAAAAGTTTTTATAGACATTTTTTTTTTCTTCAAAAAAGGTTTATGATGATCAGTAAAACTATATTTTTAATAAATAAACATTTGAAATAATTGATATATAATCTAAGTCTAAATCTAGAATTATTCATATTTTAACATTGAAATTTTTATATTTGTTTTTTATTTCTTATTATAATATGATTTTCAAAATAATTTAAGAGTAATTTTATAAAATTAAAATAAAGTAATTTATTATAATAAGATCAATTACAATATTAGAATCTTATTACTCCTATATAATTAATATATTACCGATAATTACATTAATAAATTGAAGTATTTCTCAAAAGAAAGACGTATTTTTTTTGCTTAAATTTAAAAATTAATTTTTATTTTGCATTTAATTAAATATCTGCTTACAACTACTCTTAAATCAAATAAACTTTATGCAATTAATTCAATCTTTATCAGCAGCCTTTTATCATCTTTTAGTATGGAATACACTTTCATTTTTCATATTTTATGATAGTTAATATAACTTTTAGGATTGATTGTAATATTACTTTATTTTTTAGTATTATATATATAAGGTATTTTATAATTAATTTGCCACATCATTTCTAAAAGAATTGTATAGTTTAATATTGTTATTTATAAGATTTTAAAACAAATTTCTGATATGTGATAGTTACTCAAATAAATTTGATTTATTGGATTCTTCATTGTCAGAATATATATATTTAGAATGATGAATAATTATTAGAGTAAGAGCTCTTTTATGTTTTAATTCACTTAGGATTGTAATAATTCCTATTAAAATTAAAGTAATTATTAATGCATATGTAAATTGTAGAGTATAAGTTATTATTATTATTAATTCCTTACGCTAGCAATCCTTAAAATATAGTAAATGGAGTATGCTGTCAAACTATTATTGTTAATAATATATAATAAAGGAATTTGCAGGATTTTCTATATTTTGTTCTAGAAAGATTTACAAATTTATAATAAGAAAGTTATTCTTGAATTAATAAAATTGATGAAAGACTAAGATAAATCGAACTTAGAAACAGAGACTGTATTAAAGAAAGAAATTCCAAGAAAAAAAATTAGGATAGTTCATTAAAGTGTGACATAGGAAGCTCTTTTTTTATTTAAGAGAGAACTAGCAAAGAAAATACTGAAAAAATGAATACCTTAATAGACAAAGACATTATACAAGAATTATATATGAGTTATTCTTAGAAAATTTCTTTAAAGATAAAAAGAACTTTCTTTCAATATTATTTTTCATTTTATTTTTCTTTTTATATCAACTTATTCATCTAGAATATAGTTATTACACAGAACCATCACCTTTCATGCATCTTGATATTATAACTAATTAAATTATATTAGTAGGCAGGCTTATCTAGATAAAAACCATTTTAATTCAAATAGAGTGATATCTTTTTTAATCAACCTCTTTAAAATCATTAATTAGAAGTGAAAATATTACTAGTAATAATGAAATTTCACATAATAATTAACTTTAATGTCAACTTACATGTACATTTATTTCAATAAAATATAAAAAAGAAATTAATGAATTAATAAGGATTCTCTTTAAAAAAAAGCAAAAATTTAAGATTAGAAAATACAATTATTTATTTTTGCAATTATAAAATATTAAAAACTTTTCCATCAACAGATTAAAATTTATTCATTTTTCCAGAATCAAAAAGCTAATTCATCAAAAATTTCATATCCTTTACTTTTATCTCTCAGACTTTATTGTTTAAGAAATACTGAAAATAGTGAAGTGTCAACAAGAGGTTGAACATATTCACAATATCAAAGCCATTTTTATTGGTATTTAAGAAAAACCTATATATGTTGATTTAATATTTATTATATTTATACTGTAAAACATTAAAATTTATTATGAGAATTGTCATCATTATTTAAAATGATTAAAATTAAAATTCTTAGATTAAAGATACAAATTAGAATAAATTTACAATATATTATTTTTCATAATTAATTATAAATTTTATACTATTTTTATGGAGTAAATCAAGAATTAATATGAACAAATTATTAATTTACTGATAAGTTTATTTATCTGAATGAGGAAATTAAGTAAGGAATGAATTTATATTATAGATGATATTCGGATTTTTAGTAAATTAATGCATAGCCTATGCGACATCTATTTTTGAATAAAAAAATCAATCATTTTAAGAGTTTAAACCTAAGAAAAAGGATTAATTTGATTTCTGACCTAATGTTTGATAGTTAAGATAATCAATTGTTTTATGTTTATTTAATTGTAAATTATATTAGGGACAACATGTTTCTTAAATGCTAGATATTATTATGGGTTGTTTGGAATTATTAGAACTGTTAGGAGTATTTAATTATGATTTGCCAAAGAGATCTAGTATATTTGAGGAGAAAATACTATAAATTGATCTCAATAATTCTTTCTAATTTAGAAGTAATTGATTTACAAGACTAACTGAAAACTGATTGTATGATTACAAATAATCAATCAAATACAATAAATAATACTTTCTAGGATTGAATGAAGGAAAAGAAAAGCTAATCTATTAAACAACTTATATTTATCAAACAGTTAATTAGGATTCAGCATAATAAAATGTGAAAAAGGGTATTTTAAATCATCCTTTGATTAAGTCAATATAAATTTTGAAAAGATAATTGCTAATACAAGAAAATTAAAATAGCATCAGATATAGGATTAAAAGTAAATAAAGTTTACCAAAAATATATATAGGAAATAGATTTGTTATTATTATGGTTTAATTATTGAGAATCAATATTTAAAGATTACTTTAATCTAGGAGTTTCAACTTATATATATACTAAAGTTCTTGTTGTTTTTATCGAAATTGATCACTTTTTCTTTAAATTCAACATAAATTCAACAAACTTCCAAGAGCTTTAATTTCTTTAGTAAATGTCTAATTAAAATTTAAAAAATGCTAATATCTTACAAGATACTTGATTTAAATTATAATTTTTAAGTTGTATGTAAAATTTGATTATCACTTTTTATTGAATTTCATTAATTGACAAATTATTTAACTTATAGAGTAATGATTTGCATTTCTTTTGAAATTAGAATCTACAATAAACTATATTCAATAAAATACAATTCTTGTAATACTGTAATCTTTAATTAAATTACTTCATTTCAAGATAATACTTCCTTTTAGAATTAGAGTTCGTTAAACCTTTTTAAATTTCAATTCTATTTTCTGGAACATAAAATTTGTCTTTTTTAATTTTTCAAAAATGTTCAGAATATTAATTCAATTAAGAGTACATAATTTAACAAGTAATTGAAAAAAGGATAAAGAGAAAAAATCATTTAATAAATATCAAGTTTAAAAGTTATTATCTTATGGAAAATTATTTATAATATTAGTTAATAATTAAAATATTTTTTAACTGTTATTTAGCTATATTATTATAGTAAAAAAGCGCATTAGAGTAAAAACTTAAAATGAATGAAAATTTTACAAAAGAAAAAAAAATGGCAAGGACACATTACAACTATATAAGAAATGAAAACAGAATGATATTAATCCGAAAAAAAATTATTAGAGTATCTTATATCTTGGTAAAAATAGTTTAAGAAGAAAGTTAAATTAGAGTAGTTACTTTTCAATTAATTATTGATTGTTTACTATAATTAAAATCTTAATGATAATCTAGGTTTAAATTAAAATGCTCTGGAATATAATTATGTTAAAAACAAGTAATAAGATTATAGAAGAAACACAATTTTATCATAATTCCAGATTAATAATCTTAAAATATATATATATATTATCAAATTATATTAATAATAATTTACAAATATCAATTGTTGATAATGTGAAAAAGCTTATAAAAATTAATGAAATAAGTGTTAACTTTTTCAAATTTAATATTCTTTAACAGATTATAATATGACGCAAGTACTATTTTATAATGTAATTTATTTAAAAACTTGATATAATAAATAATCAATAATAAATAAATGCTTTAGAAATTCAAAGAAGGATTAAAATAAATAGATATATTTGGTTAATCGATTAGCTTAAGTTTTAGAAAGGAGGAGAAATATAAAACAAGTATGGGTGGATTTTTATCAATATGTATAATTGGAACAATAATCAGTTTCTTTTATTCCAACATAATTAATTTTTTTGCAAAATTAAATGTTACTTCTACTCAAGAATTTACTTTTGCAGATGATCCTGATGTATTGGTCTTAGATAAAGATCACTTTATGTTTGCAGTGCAAATTGAATAAGAGAATTTTACAACAAACCCTTACTTTAATATCACCGTTGAATAGCGTCATTATTATCGTTATGCAAATGGAACATAATATCGATACCCAAATAAATATATTGATTTAGTACCATGCACTATTCAACATTTTTAACCATTATTTGAAAAGTACAGTGTGGATTTTATAGAACAATTTGAACAATAAAATTTATAAAATTTCTTATGTCCTAATCTCAATTTTATTCATAGTCTTAATATGACAGTTGGAGGTGTTTGGGCAAGTACAGATTATTACTTTTTAAAGTTTTCTATTACTAATTGTAAAGATTCTTAATAAAGTAATTTTACTTGGTAACCCAATTGTAAAACTTCAGATGAAATACAAAAAACATTAAAATCTTAAGGAAGCTTTCGTTTTTAAGTTTATACCACAAACTTTGTAATTTTTAGAAATATAAAAATAGTTAATAAACCCAAATAGACCAAAAGATTATGTATAACCTTATTTAGCTGTTGATTAATTCTATACTTTTGTCCCTGATAAAATGTTTGTTTAATCTGATATTTTTTTTAGAACAAAAAAAGTAACAACAGATTAAGGAATATTAATGTATGCTGATAAATAAAATGAAACTTTTGCTTTTAGAGATTATGGAGATTAAAGAGAATAATTTGAAATTTCAAGAATAACACCAAATTATTATGGAGCATTTTATTTTTAAAGAAGTCCATATTCATATAACATAAATAGAAAATTTTTAAGACTTGATGAATTACTTAGTTATTTAGGAGGATTCACTTAATTTATGATTGTTGTTGTGGGTATAATAGTAAGATTCTATAATCGATAGCATATGATTATATCTATAGCTAATGATTTATATGAATTTGATATGAGTTCAGCTAGATAAAATACTTAAATCCATTTAAATAGCTTATTAGCAAGAACTGAAAGAGGTAGAGAAATGTTAAAAAGCAAAATGTCTAAAAAAATTGAAACTATTCCTAAAATTTAAACTATTACAGCATTTCAAAATAAACCTGAAATGCTGTAAACATCTACACCTTTTTAAAAAAAGAAATCAAAAATTTTTGACTAAAAACAATCTATTGAATAATTATAACCTACTTCATAAGTGTTGTAATCCAGACTATCTGCAATGAAAGCTAAAACATTATAATATTATGAAGATTTCAAAGAATTTTTAAAAAGGAAACATGTTATTGGATTAGGTTTTAGAGTAATGTTAAGTTCTATAATTCCTATAGAATCTTTAAAAGATAATGATTGTTTAGTATTACAAAGAGCTATGTATATATAATATTTATTATTTTCAGTGATTAAGTTAATAAAGAATTAGATATTGAATATATTATCAAAAAACTTCATGAATTAACAAAATTAAAATAAGTTTTATTTAATTCTGAATAAATAACACTTTTTAATTTTAGTCGAAAACCGAAAATAGCATTAATTTAAGATAATAATAAGAGAAGATCAACAAGGTAAGATAATATAATTTAATTTAGATGCATAATTGATGGAATAGTAACAGCAGAAGATTGTGGAATGATGAAGCAATTTGCTGATCTAGTAAATTCTTATGAAAAATTAACTGGATAAGAATAAGATCATTAAACTTAAGAATCAATTCGATTTAATTAAAGATTAATTCTATTATTAGGTCCTGAATTAATGAAAGTAATAGAAAAAGAATTAAGTGCTTAATAATAACAATAGGTAGAGTCAGAAAACAATGATCTAAAAGATGAGGAAAACTTATTTAGTGTAAGAGAACTTTAAGAATAAAATTGAAATATTTTCATTTTTTTTTTGTATGATTATATATTCAATTAAAATTAAAGGGGAAATATTAAGATATTAAACTAATTGTTTTTCTATTTTGTAATTATTAATAAATTCTTTGATCGTTTTTCAGAATAAATAATTAAATAGATTTAGAGAATATAATTTATGGTAAAGAAGAATGAAGGAATAATGAAAAACAATAGTGAACTTAATTGATGCATTTGAAATAGAATTGAACTTTTAATAACAATTACTTATAGACTCCTAAAAAAATGATCAAAGGGAAAAGGAAAATAAGTTTAATGAAAAATTCAAGTGATTTAGTCAAATTAACGAAATATTATTATTTCAAGTTTTAGAAATTTCATCTAAATCATCTGGTTCAGGCTCCTTTATGGATTCTGAATTTTCTTGTTGCAATTCCATTTCTATCCATAAAGGCAAATCCCTTCCCAAAAGCCCAATAATTCTTTAGTTTAATTAAGTCTATTCATCTGAGAATTATGTATCACAAGATGTTAATTTGGAATATGCTTATACTAATGTGTTATATTAATTTTATAATTCGTTATTAATTGCTTCCTCTTCACCCAAATAAAAGAATCTAAATATATTATATTATTTATTACTTTGATGATAATCGATTTTTCTTTTCTTTTATTAAACTTATTGTTGGTTTATGGCTAAAATTAAAAAGTTAGAATTATTCTCTGTTGAATATAACTTTTTTTAGTTTTGTGATTTCATGTAATTAATTCATGATAAAACGTATATCTAGTTCTTTGCTGACTTGACTCCTAAAATATTGAAAGATGAAAAATACATAGCCTTTTTAAAAAGAACACTTTCAGGGTCCTAGAAGCACTCAAATGGCAAAAGATCGCCTAATAATATCCTAAAACCTAAAGTTAATTTTTTCTAATTTATCATTAATTATTTGAATTTTTCATATTAATCATAAGTCTTCTCTTTAATGCTCTAAAGTTACCGTGTTGATGAAATCTAAATAAACTAATTCTGAGTTCTTTAAGGTGATATAATTTGAGAAACTTTTTAATCCATTGGAGGCTTAGATGTAAAAGGATTGATTGAATGGATCTTTAATTCTTTAATATGACCTTTTTGTTTAATCATTTCTCTTCCATGTCTTGATTGCTATAACAAATTTGATATAAAAGCTCTAGTATTTTCTTATTGTTCTTGGAAATTAAATTCATATAAATCATTTGCCAACTACAACAAAAGACTCTATTTATTGTATACATTGATTATCATTCCTAAAATCACAGTCATAAATTATGAGAATCCTCCCAAATAACTTAACAATTCATCTAGAGTTACAAAACTTCTAGATATATTATAACTAAAAGGACTTCTCTATAAATAGAAGGCAGCAAAATAATTACTATTGAGTCCTCCGATTTCAAATTATTACCTACTATCCATATGTTCTCGATAGGCTATAGTTTCTTCAACATTCATAGGATACATTAAAATTCCTTTATCTGTATTAATTCTTTTTTCCCTAACAAAAATATCAGATTAAACAAACATTTGATTTGGTACAAATGTGTAAAATTGTTCAATAGCCAAGTAAGGAGTAATATACTCTTATGGGGAATCTGGATTTACAATCTTTCAATTAGTATATTTAAATACAAAATTTGTAGTGAATAGTTGAAATCTAAAGGAACCCTAAGCTTTTAACTAAGTAAACATTTCATCCTAAGTTTTGCATTTTGGTTTCCATGAGAAATTACTATATGAATCATTTACACAAGTAGTAACTGAAAATTTTAAGAAATAATAATCAGAACCTAATTTAATTAAGACTTTTACTTGTATATGCACCACCTACTGTCCAAACATTATTTTTTTAAATATTGGGACAAAGGAAGTTAGTCATGTTTAAATCTTTGAATTACTCTGCATAATCAATATTAGAAGACTAAAATATTTATTAAAAATGATCTTAAGTGCATATTACTAAATCAATATATTCATTAGGTAGTTTTGTAAGAGTGCCATTTTGATTTTTATAATGTCTCTATTCTACAGTAATATTAAAGTAGGGTGTATCAACAAAATTGTCATGCTCAATTTAAATAGCAAACATAAAGGAATTAGAATTCAATTAAATAATTCCAGGATCATCTTCAAAAATCATTTCTGTTGAGGATTTGACTTAATTCATTGTAAAAAATCCAATAATGTTTGAATAGAAAAAACTGATAATTGTCGCCAATACGAAGATTGAAGCTACTCCCCCAACAAAAGTTGTATGTTGCTCTTCTTATCTAAAACTTAATTATATGGATTAACCAAAAATATCCATAAGTTTTATCTTCTCTTTAAGTACTCTAGTAAATGATTCTTACTTTTTATTCATAATTTACTTAGAGTAATTTTTAATTAATGTAATCCTTATATTTTTTGAAATAATTTAAATCATAATATATAAATCCTTTATGTGTCTAAACTCCTATACTTAATGTTTAATCTATAATCAATTTTATGAATTTCCTATCTATATTTTTATTATATATTTATTGTTATATAAATTTTAGTTTTATCAATTGTCCATTTATTCAATAAATCTTCAATTTATTAAATAAATTAATAGTTTATATTTGCTTATAAGTATATTTATTAAGATTGATATAATCCTTAAGAAATTTTGCGAATTGTAAACTATTTAATTTTATTAAGAATATTGATAAATATTATGTTTGTAGAATTTTTTTGGTTATAACATTAGAATATCATTCAGCATTCAATGATACTGTATTTCATTTTGGCTCTGTTTAAATTGTTTTCTTTGAAAGCATAGGTTCATTGATTTCTTTCTAAATTGATTACTATTTCTATCCTTGGATTAATAATTTTTATTCCCTAAAATTATCTAATCTTTTGTGGATAGTATGTTTAAATTATTTGAAGATAAAATAATGCTTCATTTAGTATTTAAATTTTAAAAAGGTGATATCTATCTTGAAATCATAGTATTCTAATTTCACCTTTCAAATTGTATTGATGATCTTATGGAAGATGTTGAAGACATTTATATTTCTATTAAATTAGTTATAGCAAAATTAGAACTAGAGATTAAGAATTTAAAGCAAAAATAGAATATTGGAAATTTCAATTTAATAGAATTTTTTAGAGAAAATTAAAAACCGAATTTATTAACACTTAACAATTAGAATTGATTAAATCAAGTAAATTAAATATTTTAAATCTATGTTAAACTTGTTTCAAAATGTAAATGCATCATTAGAATTTTTAAATTCAAATTTATTATTTTAGAACTATATCAAGGGATCCTCAATAATTTGAATTACACTCATGTTAATTAATATTAAATATACTAAATAATTTAAGTAATACGCAAGGATCTTATATTTTGTGAATATTAACTACATTCCTTTAGCATAATTGCAGATAGTAATTGAAATTGATCTTTAAAATACTATTGTTTAACTCATTAATGTTTGGAAATTGAGTATGGATTTTAATTATTAAAAGAATGTAACAACATTTTTTTTATGTTTTGAATGAAGAACCAAAAGATTAATTGATTATAGGATTAACGAATATTTTGAAAGAGAAAGGAGTTATCAAGGATTTTGGATTAGATTTGTGTTTATTAGAATTTGATATCTATGAACTGCAAAGAATTGTATTAAAAAGCTTGTTCCATAGAATATATTTATAATATTTTATCAGCATTAATAAAGAATATGTTAGAAATCATTTGATATTTACTTTATATATTATAAATTTAATTTTAAGAATGTTAGATAATAATAAGAATGCCTTAATGAGTTGTAGTGCATTTAAAGAGAGTGGTGTATTAAAGGGATGGGGAGAAAGGCTTTTAATATATGATTTAAAATAATAGGTAAGGGCATGATATATAGAGAGATACTCAGGTATATTGACGTCAAGGGTTAAACATAAAAGTAGTTGTTAATTCAAAATTATATTATCCATCCTGTTGCATTTCATCAAGGGAAATGGGCAATAAAGTTCAAAACTCCATAAGAAATTGAACCAAAATTAGCTAGATTTGGTTGGAATAACCAATCAGAAGCATTATAATGGTATGATTTTTTTAATGGGAAATATTTGGCAATGCAAATAACAAAAGAAAAGAAAGAGAAAAAATTGTAAGAGTGGGATTAATTTATGCCTGAATCAGAAAGAGTTATAAATCAAGGAGTTCCTTCAATGGCAATAAAGCCAAGTTAAGTTTCTCGAATGAGATAGATCATTCCATTATTACCTTAATTTTTATAAGTAAATACTGTTATAACAACAAGAATGACATTGAGATAATATTAGAAAATACTTTAGAGAATTTATAAGGATTTTCGGATATCCATTCATTTAAAGTTTTATTTTAATCTTAAACCAAATAACTATACTAAGACCCTAATGATTAATTGCATATGAGATTCTTTTTAAAATCAGAAATGCCTCCTGCGAGGATTTTCGATGTAACCATGTTTTGATATAATAGGAATTATCAATACACACATTTGGAGACAATTGGAACCCTTAAGTATCTATTTATTAAGTATTTCCAACTAAGAAGGATTGTGCAATTATTTACACAGAATTTGATATGGGGGAAAAGTTTTAAAATAATCAACTTAAATAAAATAAGCCTTAAAGTTAAAAGGATATAGAACATGAATTCTTTTCATAGGAGAGTTTCTCAAAATAACCAAAATCACATACACTTAATTAAAATGAGAAGATTAGATTGATATATACATAAAAGCATTTTTAAATAGATGAAAATGCATATTGTATTATGAAAAAATATATTGGGAATGAGATACATCATAATCAAATTGATAAGGATAAAGCTGAAGGAACTGATGAATTTAAGATTACTAGATCATGTGTTCTTATTTAAGCAAAACAAGAAGATAAGTTTAAAGCTTAAATTATTGAAGACATATATTTAGAGTGTGAAAATAGAGAAAAAGGAGAAGAAGTAATGAAAAGATTTCTACTCAATTTAGAAAATATTGATAATTAAATACTTCAAGCAGATAATTATATTAAATAATAAACTGAACATGTATTAATTAAGAATGCTGACGACGATATTGATAATTTGTAGATATCCTTTATTCAATTAGTACCTGAAGTATAAAGAATTACATCTGAACAACATTAACAACAATCACTTCAAGAATATAAAGAAATTTTAGATTTGGTTTAGACAGGATAATTTATTTAAAGATCAATTTAAAGATAATTTAATTAAAATATACTTCCTGGTTTGGAAAAGTTTCTAGAAACAACCAAAGAAGATGGTCATTTCTTACTGACTAAATATTATGAAGTTGATCCAAAAAAAGGAGGACTTATATATACAAATAAAAAATTAATCAGTGATTAAAGAAGTGTCTTATTAGATATAATCAAAAGAATGGGATCAAATTTATTAAGTGGAAAATCCTTAATGTCTGTCTCATTACCAATTTAAGTTTTTGAAGCTAGATCATTTTTAGAGAGAATGGCTAGAGGTCAAGGACATGCTCCTGTTTTTCTTGAAAAAGCTGCTTAAACTACAGATATTTTTGAATAATTAAAGCTCACAGTTTCATTTCATTTGGCAAGTTTTATGATGGGAGTTCAATAAGAAAAGCCATTCAACCCAATCATTGGAGAAACATTTGAGGGTAGAATTAAAGGATGTCCTATATATTTAGAGTAAACTTCACATCATCCTCCTATTTCTAATTATATTATGTATGGAAGAGGTTATAAATTGTTTGGGTCATTCTGTCCTTTGGTTAACATGGGAACTAATAGTTTGGCTGGTGAATAACAAGGACATTCTTAAATACATTTCTAAAATACTAATCTTAAATTTTATTATATGGCCTAGCCATTTATGTTATATGGAGTTTTATTAGGATAAAGAAGTGTTAATTGTCATAAAAGAAGTTATTGTTTTTAACCTGAACATTAATTATTAGTAGAAATTACATTCAATCCAAAGGATAAAAATGCTGGATTTTTTAGTTCTTCATCTTAAAAAATAGATTAATTTATTGGGAAAATTTGTAAAGTCACACCAGAATGTATTTAAAAATGTTTAAAAGCTCACAAAACTAATTCAGGCATAAAATTAAAAATATTACCTTAAGAAATTTTGGATACATATAATATCAATATTAAAGGTAGATGGACTTCATTTTTATAATTTGATAATGTTACATATTGGGATATTGAAGTTCATAGGTAATTATATATAATCATTTCTTTAGACCATATATTCTCGAGTTAGAATCAAGTCCCTTGCCATCTGATTGTCTCTATAGATTGGACTTATTATATATGAAAATGAAAGATATGTCGAAAGGTTAAGATATTAAAGAGTAAATGGAAGTTGATCAAAGAAAAGATAAATAACTTAGAGAAAAACTTGGGAATAAAAATAAAAAGAAAAAGAAATCAAGTTGATTTTTGAAATAATATTAATAATTTAATTATGCTTCTATTTAAACATTTAATTCAATTTCAAACTCAAAAATAATATAAAATCTTAAAAAGAATACTATTGATTAAGTATATTAAGCTAAAGAATATTTGGATAGATATTTATATGTAAAAATAATAATTATATTATGCAAAAACTTAGTTGAAAATAGTAAATTAAAATAGTATAAATTTTATTAAGGTTTCTGAATAATAGTGATCTACTCTTTGATTATTCACTTATTCAGCCAGAAGTAGTATAAACATAATTATATTTAATTAAATAATATTATTGTTCAAATATATAAAATGAATGAAATGGAATGTAAGGAACCTTAAAGAAAAAAAATGCCTCCTCCAGTTCCAAAATTTAGGTCTTAACCTGTTGAGAATGCTTAGATTAATGCAGCTATGCAAAATTTCTTCGCTGAAATATAATAAGAAGTGGAGCCTACATAAATAGTAGAAACAGCTCCTTCGCAATAGAGTGTTACAACTAATCAAGTTTAATAATCATAGACTCAATAAGTCTAATAACAATAATAATAACCATAGTAGCTTCCAGCTAGTAAAGTAAATATTTAGTCAATAATAATAATAGGACTTATTACATTTAAATAATAAGTTGAGTAGCATTCTTCGTGTTTGCAAGAATTCAACAAAATTAACTCCAATAGTAAATAAGCCTTAAGAGTATGATCCAAGTAGACCTAATGATTATGAGGAATTGAAAAGATAAATGAATCAATCTGAAACATAAAATGAACAACCATAGCCATAATAAATAGAAGAAGAGACAGAGCCTTCTTATAATGAGGTAGAATTGGGATCTGGAGAAGAGAAAGCATTGAAAATGATGGAGAAATTTGGATATAAATTTGGTTTAGGATTGGGGAAATACAATTAGGGTATTTAGAATCCAATAGAAGTGATAAAGACTTCAAATAGTGTTGGAGTGATTGAAGTCAGTTCATTAGATTTTACAGATTTGCTTCCATAAAATGTAGTGTTTAGAAAAACATTTGAATAACATAAATAGTATAGGAATATTCATTGATAGATAGCCCACAAATATATTAGTATTGTTGAATGCTATAACAGCAAAAGACGTTGATGAATATTTTAAGGATGAAATAAAGGCAGAGTTAGGGAAATATGGGTACATTAAGAAAATTCATGTTCATGTAAGATCTGAATTAGAGGAGGACATACAAGTGAGAGTGTTCATTGAATATGCAAAGTAAGATATATTGAATGATAATAGTAATGAGGAAGCAATGGCAGCATTTTTGGCAGCAGATTAAAGAGTGTTTGGAGGGAGAATAATGACATGTCGATTCTATTCAATTGAAAACTTTAATGATGGACTATATGATGCGGAATTATGAATATTAATATAAATTGGTCATACAAATACTATCCTTATGATGATTTAAAGGATTTAATTTAAAATCTAAAATTTCTTAACATTTTTGTGTATGGCTTAGAAGACAGATTTCACTAATGGTAGTGATTTAGATTTAATTAATAGTTGTCGAAAGACCAAATTTCCCAGAAGAGGAAGTCAGAATCTTAAAATATTGGGAATAGATCAATGCTTTCCATAAATAATTGGAATTGACAAAAGATTGTCCACGTTTTACATTTTATGATGGACCACCTTTTGCTACTGGATTACCTCATTATGGTCATATGTGTGCTGGTACAATTAAAGTATAATTTTTGTAATAAAATTTAGGATGTTGTGTGCAGATATTTTGCAATGAATGGAAGGTATGTAGAGAGAAGATTTGGATGGGATTGTCATGGATTACCAGTTGAACATGAAATTGATAAAACTTTAAATATTTAACATAGAGGTGATATTTTAAAGGTATAAAATTTATATTATATGATTAGATGGGTATTGATAAATATAATCATGAATGCAGATCAATAGTTATGAGATATGCATCTGAATGGAGAAGAATAATTGGAAGAACAGGAAGATGGATTGATTTTGATAATGATTATAAAACATTGGATACATCCTTTATGGAAAGTGTCTGGTGGGTTTTCAAATAAATGTGGGAGAAAGGATTAGTATATAGAGGATGTAAAGTGATGCCATATTCTAATGGGTGTTCCACTGTTCTAAGCAATTTCGAAACCTAATAGAATTATAAAAATGTCTGGGATCCTGCTATTGTTGTTACTTTTCCTTAAGTTAATGATGAGACAACTAAGTTTGTTGCTTGGACAACAACTCCATGGACATTACCTAGTAATTTAGCTTTAGCTGTTCATCCAGATTTTGATTATGTTAAATTACTTGATAAAGCATCTAATACTCATTACATTTTAGCAGAATCAAGAATTGTTGAATTGTATAATGATGCTAAATTGTATGAAGTAGTGTAAAAATTCAAGGGTTCTGAATTAGTAGGTACTGAATATGTTCCATTATTCAATTATTTTCCTGAAAGAAGAGAATAAGGATGTTATAGAGTTTTAGCTGCCAATTTTGTAACTAGTGATGATGGTACTGGTATTGTACATTGTGCACCTGGTTTTGGTGATGATGATTACAAAACATGTTTAAAGGCTGGCATTATTACTCCATCTGATCCTTTAGTACCTATTGATTCAAGTGGAAGATTTTTGGAATCAGTAAAAGATTTCTCAGGAATGTAAGTGAAAGAAGCAGATAAAGAAATTAGAAAAACACTTAAAAATAATGGTAGATTAATAAAAGATGGATAAGTTTAACATAATTATCCATATTGTTGGAGATCTTAAACTCCATTAATTTATAAAGCTGTTAATTGTTGGTTTATTAAAGTAACAGCAATTAAGGATAAACTTGTTGTTAATAATAAAAAGGCTAGATGGGTACCATAATCAATTCAAGATGGAAGATTTAATAATTGGTTAGATGATGCACAAGATTGGTGTTTCAGTAGAAATAGATTTTGGGGTAATCCTATTCCAATTTGGGTAAGTGATGATTTTGAAGAAAGTGTTTGTATTGGTTCTATTGAAGAATTGAGATAACTTTCTGGTGTTGAAAACATAACAGATCTTCATAGAGAATATATTGATCATATTACAATTCCAAGCAAATAAGGAAAAGGTGTATTAAGAAGAATTGAAGAAGTATTTGATTGTTGGTTTGAAAGTGGATCTATGCCTTTTGCTTAATAACATTATCCATTTGAAAGAAAAGAGTTATTTGAAAATATATTCCCAGCTGATTTCATTGCTGAAGGATTAGATTAAACAAGAGGTTGGTTCTATACATTGAATGTTATTGCAACTGCTTTACGTGATGATACTCCTTATAAGAATTTAATTGTAAATGGAATTGTATTAAATGAAAAAGGTGAAAAGATGTCAAAAAGTAAAAAGAATTATCCTGATCCTGAAGTTGAAATTATTAATTAATATGGTGCTGATGCTATGAGATTGTACTTAATTAATAGTGGATTGGTTAAAGCTCAACCATTAAATTTTAGTAAGGATGGTGTTTAAGAAGTTATTAAGAATGTATTTTTACCATGGTATAATGCTTATAGATTTTTGATTTAAAATTTACAAAGATATGAAAGTATTTAAGGTAAGTTTTTATTTGATGAAAATGCTATAACAAAAGGTGATAATACTATGGATAAGTGGATTGTATCAAGTAGTCAAACATTAGTTGAATTTGTTAGAAATGAAATGGAAGCATATAGACTTTACACTATAGTACCTAGATTAGTTAGTTATTTAGATACATTGACTAATTGGTATGTAAGATTGAATAGAAGTAGAATTAAGGGAGATTAAGGACATTAAGAATGGGTTGTAAGTTTAAATGTATTATTTGATGTTCTCTTAAAAATCACTCTTTTGATGTCTCCATATGTTCCATTCATTACAGAATCTTTCTATTAAAATCTTAAGAAATGTATTCCTTAAGGTAAAATGAATTAAGAATCAATTCATTTTCTTTAAATTCCTGAAGTCAGAAAAGAATTGATTGATCCTAAAATTGAATCTTAAGTTGAAAAAATGCAAATCGTTGTTGAATCTGCAAGAAAATTAAGAGAAGCTCATAAATTAAGTTTAAAATAACCAGTTAATAGTTTAACAATCTTGGCTACAGATGAATAATTACTTTAAAGTGTTTAATTCTTATCTAAATACATAGAAGAGGAAATCAACACTCCTTCTGTTTTAGTTGAAAAGAATATTGAATAATATATTTAACTTAAGGCTGAACCTGATAATAAAATTTGTGGATAAGAATTGAAAGATAAATTTGGACCAGATCTAATTTAATAAGTTCGTAATTTCACTTAAGAATAAATCCGTACACTCAAAACAGAAGGTAAATTGTAACTCAAAGTAAAAGTTAAGAAAGAAAAAAAGGTTGAAGAATAAGTTTAATAATAACCAGATCCTAAGGCTAAAAAGGGTAAAAAGAATGTTGAATATATTGAAGTAGAAATGGATTGCGAATTATTATTAAAACATGTTAAAATAACTGATTAATTTAACACTGAAAAACATAAATAATTATTATTTGCAACTGAAGAAGGATTCTCTATTATTTTAGATCCATCATAGACTCAAGAACTCAAAAATCTTGGATTGGCAAGAGAATTCACAAATAGAATTTAAAAATTAAGAAAGAAGCTTGGCTTATAATTAGAAGATAAAATCCTTATCTTTTATTAATTTGAAGCTGAATCTGAATTATCAAATGCAGTTTAATCTGGAATTACATGGATCAAAAACTAAATTAAGAAACCAATATACTCTTCAGATTAAAAACATTAATTTTTAAATGTAATTGGTAAAGAGGATACTGATGTAGATAACCATAAATTTAGTATTGTGATCACTAAATATTCTCCTATTTTTAATAAATAAAAATTATTGGTAAGAATTTATTTTGATATTTTTAGGAATCATATAATGAAAAAGAAGTTGATACAATTATAAGAACATTATTGATATTACCAAATTTATAATAAAATATTGAATTTACAATGGATGGTAAAAAAGTTACACTTGGCCCTGAACATTATACAGTACCATAATGAGTATTATACATCTAAAAATTATTAATATTTTGATTAATGTAATATCTAATATTTAATATATTTAAATAAGAAAATTAATAATTCTTTTTGAAGTGAATTTAATTTGAATGATATTTTTATTTTATTATAAAAAATTAAATAATTACTTTAATTAATATAGACTAATAAAATTTATATATTGATTTAATTAAAATATCCAAAAATTTGGACAATTATTAAGATAATTATGATAAATATTAATTCATTATTATTTTAAATTCCATCCTATATTATAATGTCCAGGTTTTATAAGTAATATTATTATATTTTTATTATGTTGTTCATATTCCCTTAATATTACTTCATTCTCTAGAAATAATAATTTTATATGACTAATTATAACTATTAAATTTATTACATTTTTAATTATTCTGCCAATAAATTTATAATTACTTCATTTGTGTTACACTCTTCTTCCCATATTAATAAATTTTCTTTATCTAAAACAACATCTTTGAAATCACTTTACTCTAAAAAGTAATAACTCAAATTTCTAAAGAATAAAGTCTGTAAACAATATAAGAAACCATCGCCATTTTCATTAATTTACCATTTAGCAAATTCTTCTTTGAGTTTCATAAATCTATTTTCCATTTCTATTGATCTTAGTTCCTCTAATATATATATAAATTCCTCAAACAAATCTTTTTCAATAGACTAATCATCTATTTATTATTTGATATATTAAATTCTAAATCTCATTTTTTAATTCTAAATTCTATGAATGAATTCAGCAAATTCTTAATCAGAATATGAAAAAAGCAAATGATAAAGGAATTAGAAACCAAATGCTGTATAAAAACAGTTTCCATCTCCTCTGACTTGGATATAAGCATTACATACTTCACCTACAATTTTTTTGTTTTTTAAATTTAAGCTATAATTCTTATCCAAAGCTGCTTTATCCTCTATTTCTCTTACATAATTTTTATATTATTCTTCTACATTTCTCAAACCTGAAGTATTATTATATAAATCCTTCAAATGCTTGAAAACTTTCAATCTTCTATTTTTATCTTATTTTATTTATCGAATATACCCTTTTGTTTCATGTTTGATAGGTTCAATATCAGTTTTTTTATTTGGAATTTCATTTTATTTATTATCTTCTGTGTAAGTTGATTTTAATTGTTCATAAATATTGTTATCTATAAATGAAAGCTTTATTTGCTTAATTTATTTTATCTTTATCGTAGATTATTGTAATTTTGATTCTAAGTTATAAAGTTCAGGCTTTTAATCGTTTTATGGGGATAAGTTATAGTTGAAATTTTTTTTTGGCGATTCTTTATTCCTTAATAAAGCATTTTTATTATCAAACTTAATTTGATCCTCATAAAGTAATTAATCTACATTCTATTTTTAACGATTACTCATCTAAAATAAAATTTATTATTTTTAATAGAAATATGAATTATATTAATTAAAATATTTAATACTTTGATTAATTATGGGAAAATAATTTAAATTAAGAGTTGTAATATAATTTATTGGATGTTTTGGTGATTTTATGTTTAATTTATAATGAGTTTCTAATTCATATTACAAATAGTAAGTAAAATTTCAATATAAATATTTAAGAAATATAGGTTTTCAAAATATCTTTATAAATTTTATGATTTTTTATGAATTTTTCATAATATTAAATAAGAGAAGGATATATAAAATTAAATGACACTATCAATATATATAGGTTATTAAATAATATAAATAATATATTAAAAATAATTATTAATAAAATATTATAATTTCATATAATAATAATTTCATCTACAAAAAATGGACTAGGGAGACATTCTACTGATTGAGACACAAACATCTTTTCTTGAACATGTCCTTCAATAATAATTTCAATGAGTTTTGTGTCACGACAAAGTTCAAAAGATCTAAATTCATTGGGTGGACCAGCTTCAAATCTATTTGGATATAATAATTTGCTTGGACCTTCAAAATCACAATGCTCATATATAATCAAACATTTAACATTAGTATCTCCATCTAAAGTAAAAATAATATAATACAAATATCTGCATGAGCTTCAGTTGGAACATTAGATGAAGTTAACTTTTGACTTTCTTCATTTTCATTTTCATTTTTCTTTTCTACTTCTTAATTTTATTCTTAATTAGAAATTTATTCCTCTATTTTTTAATCTTCTTGTTCTATATCATAATTTCTACCAAGAGGAGGTTCTCTTTTTCCTGGTTTTGGTATTTAATTTTTTTTAAATAGAGGTTCATTAGTATTAGATTTAAATAATCCATTTTTAGCATTTTCTAAAATTGGGAATGTAAATATATCATAACTAGCAAAGTTTTCTCTATTTAATTATTCATAATCAACTCTATCAGCTAAAGGATTAGGTCCAAAATTGATTGGACCTTTTAAGAATGTGATTTTATTTTTGGAATCAGATCTAATGATTGCACTTGGAATTACTCCAGTTTTTCCAGCTTTTCTTAAAGAGAAATAAGCAAATTAATAACCATCATAAACTTCCATCAAATAATCACTTAATCTAAATCTTAAAACAGTTCCTGGAACAAATAGAATAGGATTTGAACTTATAGGACATTCTTAAAAAAATGTATGAATAAAATCATTCTTATCACAAATATAAGCAACTTATGCTTTGTATTATTTATCAAATAGATTTGTTATTATCTCTTCAGAACTCATTTAGTTAATTCCAATACACATATTAATATCTTATTTATCTTATTTTAAGTCATCAATTTTAATCCACCATTCATATTAAGAATCATATAATTTAATATCCCACATATTAATAGATGCACTTTTAGTATCATCTATTCCAGATATAGTGTAATCATCATCATCTTCATTAAATGAACCTCTTTTTTCAATTATAAATTTATTAATAAGACTAAAAATTTTACTAAAAGCATTTTAAATATTTTCTATGCTATCAGAATATTCAAATGGAATTTATATATCATCAATATATTGTAATAATGTCATAGAAGGAACACCTTTATAAGCTTTAGTTTCAAATATAGGTACATAATATTTAAATTTTGGATTTACACATGTTAACATAATAGTTTTATCATCATCAAAACTAAATGCAACTCTATTTTTATTAGAAAAATAAATATTAATTTTAGTTTATCTTTATGCTTATTTATCTACTTTATATTTAAAATATTCCCCAAACATATAACTATCAATAAATGTACCATCTGATCTATAAAGTGCACCAAATTGCCATAAATCTTCACTCTCTTTATCAATACACCAAAGTTAATCATCTAAATTTCTCCATCCTTTTAATCTATCAAGCATTTAATAAGCATATACTCCAAAACCTATAGGATAAGCATCATATAAGTCATCAATATTATCAATCTATATTTAAACAAAAAAATTATTTTATGAAGGACGAATATCTAAATAAGAATATCCACAACTCTTATAATCTTATAATGGTTTTGCTAATCTTTAATTATCTTAAAAAACAGTATATTTATTTTCTACTACAACACTATTTCTTAATGGTACAATTTCTCTAGTGAATTAAGTAGCATATATAATATGAGATTAAATATCTAAAACACTAGCAATACTTTCAGTAGTATCATCTTCAGGTTTCATTTATTATTCATTCTATTCTGAGGATTAAAATTCTCCTTAATCTTCTAATTGTTAATTTTCTGATTAATTTTAATCTCCATCAATTGATATTTAATCTTATTAAGTATCTTATTGATTGCCATCATTTTTTTATGCTTATTATTCATCAGTCAATTCATTTTCATTTTATTAATCTCCCTTATTAATAATTTAATCTGATTTATTTTCTTCTTCCTTTTCTCCTTTTTCTCCATCATTTTATTAATCTATTAGTTAACCTTCTTCTCCTTCTAATAGATCATCTTATTAATTAAGAGCATTCTCTTCACTTATATTTTCTTCTTCTCCTTATGTAATTGCCATTGTTGCTTAATCATTAGATTCTTCACCTTAATTTTGTGTTTCTTCATGCATCTTTTTAGTTTCTTCACTTCTTTTAATTGCATCTTGTTATTCTTTTTTTATATCTTCATCTGTTACTTCTTTTTCCTCCTTCTTCTCTTATTCTTCTTCTTATTGATTTTCATCTTCATTTTCATTTTCATCTTATTTTTATTTTAACATTTTTGCTAAATCAGTTTCTTTTTTCTTTTTTTCTTATTCTTTCTAAGCTTTCATTTCAGGAGGCATTTCCCTTTTAAATGGATTTAATTATCCTACCAATTATAATAAAATTGCATATTCCTCTTTTACAACACACTCTCTTTTTTTTATTAATTTTTTTTATATTTCATTTCTATAATGCATAGTAATAATTGGAACAAATGCTCTCGCTCTATCTAAATCATTGAAAATAGTTAAAATAGAACTAAATTATTCTAAATTTTGTACTCTTCATTATCCATAAATATTAATTATCTCTCTCTTAAAACCATATAGAATTCTTTTTATCCAAAAACATTAGTCATTTATGATTCACCAAATGAATAATCTATTTCATCAAATTCTTCATCAGAATAATAATCAAATTCATTAAAATCTGTATACATATCAGGGTATTATGTAGAATTTGTTCCATCACTACAATATCCTAATTAAAAATGACTAAGATTTGTTTTTTCAATTCCCAAAACTTCTGATAAAATGAATCCTTAACTTCCAATTCCAATACATGCAATATGATTTGCATTCAAACTGTTCAATTTAAATTAAAGAGCATAATCAATTCCTTCAACCAAAGGAATATTCATAACTAATCTGCCTGGTTTTTCAAATTATATTGAATTATCATTTATTACAACTCCTTCACTTGTATACATGTTAAAATTATTTCCAAAATTGTAACTCATTCTTTAACTGAATGACATTTCTACTCTATTTCTTTCCACAAAGGAAGGCTTTAACACATTAAATCCAAATGTCAATTATGACAAAATAGAAAAAACGAAAATTTATAACATTTTTTATATTAAAATATATAAAACAAAAAATGAACTGCTCTTAGAAAAATAAATACTTTTTGAATTTGAAAGATTGATCAATTTTATTTTCTTATTCAAATTAACTTTAGAAATTGAGATCTTAATAATTTTTCAAGGTTTTTAAATAGTCAATAATTTTATTATTTAAAGGCTTAAATCATCAAATAAATTAAGAAAACCTATATTACCCTTATTATTTATTTTTAATTTGGGAATTAAAGGAATATATAGAGAAATTAAAATTAAAGATGACAATTATACAATAGAATATTACTTGAATTATAAAAACACTAATTTTTCAATGAAAATGAATAATAATAAATTATTAAAAGAGATATGTATCAATTATTAAGAAACTAATTTATATAATAAAATAAATAATATTTAGATATTCAAATGAGAATATTAATTTTTTTAAATAAAAATATTACGACTTCATGAACATAAATCATTAATAGATAATTTATTTGATCTACTCATAAAATAGTGATTTATTTAATAAATTCTTTAGAATAACATGTTTATTCAAATATTTATATAAAGATAAAAATTATATTATAAATTTAGGGTATGATCACATTTAATTGTAAAATTTAATAGAAATTCCAATCTTAAGAATAAATATTATCTTATTTAAAAAACATATATATATATTATAATAGTTAGAAGACTCTAATTTTATTTATTTATTATATTTATCAAATAAATCAGAGTTCTGTAGATAATTACTTCATAAGTTCATATAAAAATATGCAAAATATAAATTAATTATCTGCTCGTATATAATAAAGCATCTCTAAGTAGCTTTCAACAAGAACAGATTAAACTGATAGTCAAATCTTAAACACATCTGAAACATAAAAATTGTTGAAGTAAATCTACATCATCAAAGAAAGTGATAAAAAAAATAAAAAACCAAAATTCATGGCTGTTAAATAGGACTTGTAATTTCAATATCTTACTGAACCTAAATAAATTAATATTGGATAATTTATTTAGAAAGAACATACATATGAGGAAAATAAAAAAAATTCTGTTGATATAACTAATATAGGTGGTTAAACTTGGAGAATAGAGAGATAGATGAGATAAAGCTTAAACTTTAAAGATTTACATAAGTTGGATGAATCAATTGCTATTGATATTCTTAATAGATAAGTAGGAAAGACTGAAACCAATTTTTATGAATTTAAGTAAAAATCTTCAAGGAGAACAAAGAGTTAACAAGTCAAAAAAAGAGATATCATCAATATAACTAGTATTCCATTCACTATTCCAAAAACTAATAATCAATTAAATAAAACTGCTCATGACTTTAAAATAACTAACAAAGATTAAATTTTATATAAACTACCTGTCTCAAACCTAGGAGTTCCAATTGTTAAAACATAAAGAAGTATGAGAAAATCCCGTTATCATTATCCTTTCTCTACAATGAATAATTTTAATTATAGTAGATTAAATAAATCCTTATGGATAAGTAATTTTTGAATTTTGTATATATTTTATTAATATTGATAAATAGAACTTGAATATAAATAAACCTTATATAACAAATTAAATAGCTCAATTCTTTAAAATGAAGTTAGTTGGTAAGTAAAAAACACTCTATGATAATACATTTGGAAAAATAATAGATAAACATTAATAAGTATATATTTCTAAATAATGAATGATAATTGAAAATTTCAATAATATAACCTGAATATAATTATAATTGAATATATTTCAATAAATTAAAATTGATCTTATAATAAATAAAATTGGTAGTGGTCATTTATAATAAAATTAACTAATAATAAGGCATATTTAATCTTCATTTTTATAGTATTATTGATTTATATATTTTAATATACTTTTGTGTATTTTCTTTTTTCATTAAATTTATATATTAAAATATAATAATAATAAAATATCATTTATCTTCAAATTATGTGTTTAATATCATAACTTATTCTTTTTTTTCTTATTATCTTTTTATTTTTATAAAATAATAAATACTGTTTTATTGTTAAATTATTGCCTTTTAATTAAGAAAGAGGTTGGAATTGAAATTAGGAGTTGGTACTTTATTAATAAGAATCTCTTTTATTATTTTATTACAATTCTGGTTGAGACAATCTATAATTTAAGATAAATTTTATACAATTTTTATTTAAGTGTTTCTAATTTTTCTTCAATTATTTGGTTATATTCATCAAATTCAGACTTTTTCAGAAAAACTTCTTTAATTTGAACAAATCTATTTTATATTTCTTATTGAATGATTTATTTAGTTTACTAAGGTAAATCTAATTAACTAAATTTGTATATAAACATACAGTTTTGAAAATTGGTCTGAATCAATTTAGAGAGTTGAAGTCATTTGTGAATCAATTCTTTGTGTTTTCAATATCTTACTCATATGATTCCAAATTTTTTTAAGATCACTCATTAATCTAGATTCATATTTTCTCTAAATACTTTTATTATTCAATCATTAAATTATCGATATTTTATTATTTTTTTTCATTGTCTAATTGTAGTCTAATATTATTATAAAATATTAACTGATTAATCTTTTATTCTAATTCTTAAATTTTTAAGGTATTTTCTTCTATTTATTTTGAATGTTTATCAGATATAATTTTCAATCCAAATTATAATCTATATGAAATTCATATATATACTTATCGAATTATTTTTATATGCCTTGGAATTTCATATTTACATCTTCTTCTTCTTAAAACATTTTATAATTCTATAAGAAATATATAATATTTATAAATATATATATATATATAAGAGAATAAAAAATACAAATAATAAAAATATTTTCAAGCTATGTTAAATGATGATTCCATTATAGCTAAATAAAATCCTTCAACTCCATCTAAATTTCCTAAGTATTTTTACATAATCTCAAAATGTGTATAAGGATTTTAAAGTGAAGATTTACAAAGTACATAATGAAATATTGGTATCATTTCATCAGTACTTATTATTGAAGGTTATTTTGTATAATAATTATAATAATCTATAATGGCAAAGTATATAAATCTAAAACAAGTGATTAATTATTTAACTTTATGATGAGGTGTTTATCGAAATTAAATTAATTTTAAAGCTTCAATAGCATATTAAAATGGAGATTATTGAAAAAATGTTCCTTATAGTAATTTAACTTAAGGTCTAGATGGTAATTAAATAGAATCAACATCTTCTATTATTAATGTCTCAAAAGTATCTTTTATAATAATCTAAGAACTTTGAGTACATGTATTAACTTTAGATAATAATTTACTTTATATATACTCTCTTGTAGTGCAATCTAGACAATATTTAATAGAAATTCCAAAATCAGCTAATGTTTTATCTTTGAATAATGATAATTTATTATGTATTTTTTAATTTTCTTCTTTCTATTCTTACTTTTTTATTTAATAAATATGAGATGCAACTTGATCATTAAATATCATATTAGATACTAAACATTAAAGAGAGGATGTGTTCAAGAAATTACATTTGTTTATTGAAGCAAATAAATTCAAATCATAATAATGAATTAAGATCTAAATTAAATATTTATAATTATGTACTTAAACAAATGAATCTCGAAATTTAAGAATAAATGTATCCAATTAATTACTGCAATTAGGCAGTTAAGTTTGTCTAAAATATTGAAAAATTTCTAATAAACAACCATTTAATGTTGATAGTTATTAAAGTACTTGTTTTTCAAACTATTATAAAGAAGAGTCATTGTCTTATATTAAAGTCGTAACATGAAATTCTTTAAAGGGATCCATAGTTTTCTTCGATCTTTTTATATTTTCAAACTCAGTTGCAAAAAGAGATTCTGTTGTACTCAAAGTAACTATTTCTTCATATTATGGTTTAACTATTTAATATAATTGAATAAAGTTTTGTTTATGAAGATGATCAGATCTCACATTTACATAAAATCCTAATTTTTAAACTTCTTTTTCTACCCCAACATACCATTGCATCTAAGTATAATTTAGGAAATTACCATTGACAATTTGTAAGTGTCCTAAAGGTTTTCTGTTGAAAAACAATTGTGGTTCCCCATTAATAAATATAAAATTTTTAATACAATATCTAAACATCATACTTCATTGATTGATGTTGATAGTTGCTAGATCACTTATTTGAACTATATTTGAATAAAGCAATCTAATCTCTATTTTTTGAAATCTCAATAAAAATGATGTCATAATTCTATAAAGAAATAGGAAACTATTTTTAAGTATATGATAAAATATTAGAAAATATAGTATAATTAGAATAGAACAACTAAATAGATACTTTATTATAATCAATTTAATCATTATATCTTTTATAATTTTTAATATATTTATTGAATGATTAATTTATTAGTGATTTATATTAAAAAGAGATAATAATATCATATGAAATTTGAAAAAAATCTAATAAAATTAATATTAACAAAATAAAATAAGAATTAGGTTTTTTACTTGCATATTCTAATAATTCATATTTTTGAATTTAAAATTGATTCATATTATTTTGTACATTTATTGTTTGATAATAATGAATACAAATAATATTCATTCAAAATTTTGTATTTTTTTATAGTTTTCTACTTTAAATAGTTCAATCTATTTTATGCAATCTAAACTTAATATTTTATATATCTTTAATGATATCTTAGTCTTTTTATATAGTCTGATTTGGTGTTAATCTTCTACTCTTTTATTAAGTTTCTGATAATCTTCCATAAATTAATTTGCGAGTATCATCTTATTTGCTGCCTTATAATTTTAGTTTTATTAACTGATGCCAATCTTCATATAACTTTGCTGATTATTCTTCTTTGTTCTATTTTTAAATAAACTAAGTTAAGTTTATGTGAATTTAAAGGGACTATTTATTTTCCATTTATATTATATATTTATATATATATATTTATATAAACAGAGGTGCTTTATATTTATTATATACTAATCTCGGCTATGTTTAATAATCTAATAAATTTATATTCAATATTAATGTTCAATAACTTTAAGCGAAATATGCGAATATTGAATAAGGATATGGTGGAGACTTCTTGGCTCAAATGTTTAATTGATGATATTCCAAAACAAAAACACATACTTGTACCAAAAAGAATTATAATAGATTCTCTCAAGATGTCTTGATGGAGAATTTAATAATGTAAACTCTTAAGAAGCACTTAAAAAAATCATACTTAGAATGCAGCATCCACAAAAAACTGTTACTGCTCTTAAGTCTTACTATTTGGTTCATGAGCTAAGACAATTCTTAGTTCCATATGTGACAGATAAAACAATTGAACTTTCTTAAAAGAGTACTGCTGATGCTGTTCTATAAAGTGTTGCATTTCTCTATTGTAGTTATCTTAAGAATTTCTCTAACAATTACGAATAGATCAATATTGTGTATAAAATGCATAGATAACTTGAAGTTCTCATTCTTAAGTTAGATGTGCCTATAATAAAATGCATTACCATTAAATTAATTATAGACATAATATTCTTATATGAATCTCTAAATAAATAAGATGATTAAACAAAAAGGATAAGAGCCATTAAATAAATTAAAAGATTTTTGGAGATTAAAAAATTGATTTAACTCCCTGAGGAATTATTCTAAAAAATAAATACCCTCAATTTTGATGAAATAGAACAGAAAATTACTTTATAAAAACAATCTATTGTAACTAATTAAGTAGAAAATAAACTTAATGCTCCTAAAAAAGAAGTGTTAAAATTAGATATAAAATGTATTAATCAAAGAAAACTCAGTACATCTGCAAATGATTGGGAAGATTAATTGGATTTTAAAGTTTAAGAATAACAATTTCATAAAAGTTTATAACCTAGTCCGAATAGAAGAAGAATAGCCTCGCAAACTCCTAATAGAACTACTTCAATAAGAGATAATTTTTTTGTTCCATCATAAGGGCCTCTTTCCTTTATTATGATGTCATGATTTTTCATTAACTTATTGTTTATGTAAGTTTCAATTGTAATATTTGTATATTTTTAAACATCATTTTTATTGTCTAGATTAATTAAATTATTTTATTAATCTATGCTATTGAATTACTATAAAAAGTATTTGTATTTAGTAAATGATTCTAAATTATTGAAATCTGGTTGAAAAATAAAAAATTAAAGAATGTTATAATTTATTAAGTTTGAAATGTCACACTATAAGAGATTTTTGGATTTATTTTTTGGATCAAACAAGGATTTATGAAAAATAATAAATGATATAGAATGAATAACATTTAGTTTTTTGTCAATTAATATATTATATTTAGGTGAGATATTAATTCAGAAGTTCTATAAAATTTAGTGGAATCTATGATTTCATTTTATAGAAAGATTGATTAAAGAATAAATAAAGGGATAGATTTAGTATAGAGGAAAATCAGAAATAAATTTTACAAATATGGAAGATGAAGAGAGAGGACTTTCAAAAGTTAATAGAATAGAGAATAGAGAAAATAGATAAAGAGAAGGAGAGAAACAAAAAATGATTCCATATTTTCAATTATTTAGATATGCAAAAAATAGAGATATTGTATTGATGGTCTTAGGATCTGTTGCAGCATTTTTGAATGGAGGTGCTATTCCTTCCTTTTCATTGATTTTTGGTTCAATGGTTAATTCATTTCAGGAGGCAGGAGATGAAATGGTTAGATAAGCTGGATGGAATGCAATGTATAAAATAGATATAATTTTATAGATGGTTTCTATTGGTAGCTATTGCAACTGGTACATTATCATTTACTATGTTTGCTACTTGGATGATAGCTGGAGAAAGATAGGGAATAGAATTTCGAAAAAATTATTTCAAAGCAATTCTACATCAAGAGGTAGGATGGTTTGATACAATAAATCCAAATGAATTAAATAGCAAAGTAGCCAATGAATCTTTTGCTGTGTAAGGTGCTATAGGAGAAAAAGTTCCAACTTTCATTATGACATTTTCTATGACATTTTTTGGTTTTCTATATGGATACATTTGGTATTAAAATATATAAATAATTTAGGGGTTGGTAACTTGCAATTGTAATAACAGCGACTCTTCCAGTTATATCTATTATAACAGCTGTGTTTTCAGTGATAATTTAATAATCTGCATTGGCTACATAATCAGCTTATTCAGAAGCAGGAGCTATTGCAGAATAAGCAATAAATGGAATAAAAACAATTAAAATGTTAGATGGGGAAGATTATGAACATCAAAAATACTATTAATTATTGTAGAGTGCTGCAAATAAGACAACAAAATATGATTTTGGAGTAGGTATAGCAATTGGATTAATATGGGCAGCAAGTTTATGGTCTTATGCATTGGGTTTTTGGTATGGTGCTAAATTGATTGCAGATTAAGTATATAGAAATTAATAAAATAGACTTACAATCCAAATTAAGATTCTGTTTATACAGTAGGAGATGTGATGACAATATATTTTAGTGTTGTTACTGGTGGATTTTCATTAGGTTAAGCAGGTCCATGCATATAAAACTTTGCAAAAGGTTAAGCAGCAGCTGCTACAATGTATGAAGTTTTAGATCGTAAACCTAAAATATATAATTCTCCAAATCCTAAAAAATTATTGGATTTTAATGGTGAAATCTAATTAAAAGATATAAAATTTAATTATCCAAATAGACCAGATCAATTAGTTTTAAATGGATTAAGTTTGAAAATCCCACCAGGTAAAAAGGTTGCATTAGTAGGTGAAAGTGGATGTGGTAAATCTACAGTTATGCAATTAATTGAAAGATTTTATGATTGTGATTAGGGAGAAGTATTGTTTGGTGGAATAAATGTTAAAGATTTAAATATTGTAGATTTAAGAAGTAGAATTGGTTTAGTTGGTTAAGAACCTGTTCTTTTTGCTACAAGTATTAAAGAAAATCTTTTGTATGGTAAGACAGATGCAACAGAGAATGAAATGATTGATGCCTTGAAAAAAGCAAATGCTTGGGATTTTGTTTAGAAAATGGATAAAGGATTAGAAACTTATGTTGGTATAGGAGGAGGTTAATTGAGTGGAGGATAAAAATAAAGAATTGCTATAGCCAGAGCTATTTTAAAGAAACCATAAGTTTTATTATTGGATGAAGCCACTAGTGCCTTAGATAGAACTAATGAAAGATTAATTTAAGAGACTTTAGATGAAGTATCTCAAGGAATTACAACTATTGTTATTGCTCATAGATTGAGTACCATATAAAATGCAGATTTAATTTATGTTATTGATAAAGGAATAGTAATTGAAATGGGAAATCATTAAGAACTAATGAATTTACATGGAAAATATGAAATTTTAGCTAAAAATCAAGTACAGAATCAAGAAGAAGAGTAGTTAAGTCAATCATAAATACATACTAGAAGCAAAAAAATAATATTAGATAGTTTAACTAAACCTAATGATACAACAAACACTCAAAAGATTATTTAAATGAATGTTGCAGATAAGAAAAATATTGCAGAAGAAGCAGTTGATCAATTTAAATAATTAAAAGAATTAGATTTAATTGTAAAAGGATAGACAGAAAATACTCAATATGATAAAGTTGCAGATAAGGAATAAATAGAAGTTAAAAAAAAGGAACCAGATGCATAAATGGGTAGATTATTCAGTTATAATAAATCCGAAAGATTTCAGTTTCTTCTTGGAGTATTAGCAGCCATGGCTAATGGATGCACTTTTCCAATATTCTCAATATTCTTATCAGATATGATCACAGTACTTGCTCTTTCAAATCCTAAAAATTATAATGATGAAGAAAGAAGTGAAAAGATGGCTTTTGTTAGGGGAGAAGCAGATAAAAATGCCTTATATTTCTTTATTATTGGATGTTGTGCATTAACTTTATGGACAATTCAATCCTTTTGTTTAAGTTATGTAGGTGAAAGACTTACTCTAAAATTAAGATCAGATACATTTAGAAAACTTTTAAGAATGCCCATTCCTTTTTTTGATGAACCTAAAAATAATGCAGGAACCTTAACCAGTAGATTATCTGTTGATTGTAAACTTATAAATGGCTTAACTTCTTCAATAATTGGAATTAATCTTGCTAATGTAGCATCTTTGGTTTGTGGATTAACTATTGCTTTTACAAGTAGTTGGGCATTGACTCTAGTCACATTGGGAATCACTCCATTTTCATTTATTTCTGGTGTATTGTAGGCTAAAATTATGTAAGGTTTTTCATCATAGACTGATGAGGCTTATAAAGATTCAGGAAATCTAATAATGGAAGCAGTCACAAATATTAGAACTGTTTTCTCTTTTGGTAATGAGTAGATAATTCTTGGTATTTATGAAAAGAAAGTTCAAATGCCACTTGAATAAGCTACATCTAAAGGTTTTAAAGCAGGATTGGCTATGGGATTCTCATAAATGAATATGTTCGTCATGAATGCTATAATCTTTTATGTAGGAGCTGTATTTTGTAGAGATATTAATTTAAGTGTAAATGATATGTTTAAAACAATATTTTCTTTAACTTTTGCTACCATGGGGGCAGGGAATAATGCTGCATTTGCTGGAGATATAGGAGCTGCCAAAAATGCTAGCAAAAATATCTTTGAAATTTTAGATAGTGAAGATGAATATTAGAGAGAAGTAAGATTGTAAAAAAAAAGATTGGTATAATCAATTACAGGTGATATATAATTAAATAATCTTACTTTTAAATATGCTGGAAGAGACAAGAATGTATTTGAAAATTTAAGTTTAACTATTAAGTAAGGATAGAAAGTTGCTTTTGTTGGTCCCTCTGGATGTGGTAAATCAACTCTTATGTAAATGTTGATGAGATTTTATGAACCTGATTAAGGAATTATAACAATTAATGGAATTGATATTAATGATTATGATATTAGATATATTAGAAGATAATTTGCCATTGTTTCATAAGAACCTGTACTTTTTAATGGTACTATTAGAGAAAATATTTAATACAATTTAACATCTATAAATATGGAGCAAATTGAAAATGCAGCAAAAACAGCCAATGCCTATGATTTTATAATTAAAAATTAATTTGAAGAAGCCCAAGTAGAAGAAAAGGGTAATGAGAAATAAAGAGGATAAGGATTTTAAAGACAAGTAGGACCAAAAGGAACTTAAATATCAGGTGGATAAAAATAACGTATAGCTATTGCTAGAGCCATTCTTAGAGACTCAAATATTTTACTTCTTGATGAAGCTACAAGTGCCTTGGATGCTGCAAGTGAATAATTAGTACAGGATAGTTTGAATAAATTAATGGAAGGAAAAACAACAGTGGCAATTGCTCATAGAATCTCTACTATAAAAGTAAATTATAAATTTATAATTAGGATTCTGATATGATATATGTGTTCAAAGATGGTAAAATTGTTGAAGAAGGAAATTATTAATGTTTAACTAATAGAAGAGGTGCCTTTTATAGTTTAGAATAGGGAATATCTAATTGATTGAATACCATAAATATTTTTATTGATAATCTATTAATTGATCTTTATGATAATCATGAAGATACAGAGCAATCTGCTCCACTATATCCAGACCAACAATAACATGTAGTTCCTCTACATGTACCAACTCCACTGCAAGCATTAGGGCAAATTCTTTGGGTATTACAGAAATGTTTGACATCTGGACAAGTAACTGTTGCACTGTAATAAGAATATTTAACATTTATGGTCTAATATATATATATTTAAATAAATACTTATCCTGATGTAATACATTAATAACTCTTGTTAGAAATGGAGAATGTTACAACATTATCTTAACAAACAGCTTTAAAACAATCAGAAACCACTCCTTAGAATCCTATTTTAGTAGGTAAAGTTGTATAGAAACACTTGCCATCATTTCCATAATATCCTCCATATTATGCCAATTGACTTGTAAAATCAGAGTTATATCTACAATCAGAATTACCATAAGCTCTCCAATATCCACATCCATCAGTTAATACATCACTTTATGAACATGTTGCAATACCAGTGAAATCAGAGGAACATCCATCACTACCTGCTGTACAGAATTCTCTTAATCCTTTTACACATTGTCCTTGAGCTATAGGACAACCTTCATCCTTTCCCCAATTGAATGGTTCAGATTACTTATGATCCATATTATACCATCCTGTGGATTCAAGTAAATTGAAAGTGAATAGTGTGAATACTGAATCTGGGAATTCAGATCCAGTCATTGCTTCATTACCAAAACTAGTTCTTTCCCAATGACTTCCTGCTGTTCCTTATCCTCCATTGTTTTCTAATGGAGCTCCCCAAGCAGATTAACATCCAAAATGACTCTTGACTGCATTTACTACTTTAGGCAAAATAATCCAATCTCTTCCTCCATATGTCTTAACTATTTAGCTGACTCCTAATTTCTACATAGTATTAGGATCAATATAATATGGGAATAATCCACTACTAAATCCTAGAACATGAGTCATTTCATGGATTGTAGTTTAAATCCATTTAAACCATTTACCTTCACTTAACTTACTAAAATCTAGTTGATTAAAATATTTAAGATTGAATTCTAATGAACCAGCTGTAGGTCTTAATGTTGTTGGATCCAATCTACATGCTCCTGCTCTTGCTACCCAAGAATCTTATGAAGTTGTGGCTGTAACAAATAATACCAAATCAACTCCTGTCACTCCACTTTTAAATGAGCTTGGAATAGTTACTGTACCACATTATCCACTCAAAAATAACTTGGATGATGGATACACTTTTATGGCGGCTTTTAAGAATCCAGTTGCTGCTTTCACTAATCTATTCTCAATGAAATCAGCCTATTATTATGATGCCTAAAATCATTATATCTATCTCATACCTAAAATGATGAATAATCAGTCTTTATTCTGATTGTTTACCAATTTCCTTATTTATGATTCTTAATTAGCATTTATTCATGTGATAATCTTGCTTCTAATGGGATTTCTGCTGGACGTTCTGGCTCTTCTATTTCTATATCCTTAATGAAATGTCCATGATTGCATATATGACCTTCTTCTTCGGCCATCTTACCATGAAGAAATTGTGTGCTATGTGCGTGATTTCCCTTTAAGTGTTTTGTCTCTACCTTACTATTATTCTCACTCTAAAAATAATAATAAGTGGATCCACTAGCCAACAAGACTATAGTTGTCACTGAGGCAACTTTGATTAAAGTTGATAAGAATATCATTTAAATTATTAAAGTTATTCTAATCAAAATTCACTTTTCAATGTATCATTGTTAAAGATCTTTTCTATAAATCTGATTTGCTAGATCTTCTATTTGAATTCTTAGCTCCTTCACTAATATTCTGATTCAATTGATTATATTATTCAAGCAATTAATAATGTTTGAATAATAAAACTATTATTCCAGTTCTAGCCCTTAAAGGAGAAGATGTTGGACCTATCAAACATAGAGCATCTTTCTATGTTGAATCTTAATTCTCCTCTGAGTTCTTCAAGGCATCTTCATCTTCTGATAATGCTTCCTAAATACTTTCCTTTCCCTCACACAGTGTACCTTTATATGATAAAAACAACTAATACCTTTTAATAATATTCCACCCTATTCAAATCTGATTAATTAATTTTTTTTTATCTTCTAAAAAACTGATTTTGATACAATTTCTGCAATCTAATTGATTTTTAAATTGCATAAAGGCTTAAATTGATCACTATATACTCTACATAATAAAGGAATTGAATTTCTCCAAATAGCTTCTTCAAACTCTGGAATTTATTTCATAATCATTTACAAAGTTTGGATTTTAATAAATGTGGCATTGATGACACAATCAGCCACTAATGATGTTTAATATCTAATAGAAGGTGCTACCAACATATAAATTGGAGTAGCCTCATTTAAAGTTCTTCTCTCTCTAATTTTTGATCTATCACTGAACTCATTTCCAGCCCCTCTAGTTATTATGCAGATTTCATTTGCTCTATCTCCTTCTTTAAAAATTAATTAATCTCTGCCAAAGGAATCTTCTCTTGAACCCTCTAACAATTTTTGTATGTTAGCTTATGTAAGAGACTTAAATAATTCATGTTAAGTAAGTATATCAATCAATGAAGGCATTTGCCAAGGAGGATTTAATTCATTCAAATTTTTAACTTTTTTATCAATATTTCTTTTCATTCTCAAAAATTCCTTATCATTTAATTAACCAGATTGTAGGTTGTTCCTTAATACTTATTTTTCAAATTCTAAAATTTCAAAGGCAGCTTTTTTTGTATGTAATTCCCTTGAAATTTCAGGAAATGATACTTCTAAGTATCCTTCTAAATAAGAAATTGCAGACTTTTTATTATCCTCAACTTCATTTAAGATTTCTAGCAATAGATTTTATGAAAAATGATAATGAGAAGCTTCCTCTTTTAAAATTTTAATTGCTTCAATATATGCTGAAACAGCATCATATATTGTATAGATATATGAAAATAATTGATTTCTAGCTAGAATACCAATTAGAAATTTATCTTTCATATAAAATAGTAAATTTATATATCTTTCTGAAAACTAACTTTATAAGAATTCCCATGAATTCATATGTTCTTTATCATTATCAAGATCTAAATTGGCACTTTCAGTCAAAAGAATAATTGTATCAGGACTACATTGATTAGATTCAAATTATTCCATATAGATTCCCTTCAATGCCATAAGAAAGATTCTTCTGATTTCTGTTAATAGATTTTAATCTAATTCTTAATCTTCTTCATCATCCATTAATGGTTAATGAATGCTTTTCATTTGAATTTCTTTTTATGCCTTTTCATGTTTAGCCAATTTATCAATAATTTAATTGCAATCTGATTAATAGACTTTATAACCACTAAGAGTTTTAACATATTCAACATCAGCTTCTTTTAAATATTTTAATTCATTATTTTTTTTACATTCCTATTCAATTTCTTCATTCAACTTAGTTAAGAAATTAGAATAAATCTTTTCTCTTATATCAGATTATGTAGATAATCCTAATAATTTAATTAATAAAGAGAGAGTAGTACCATTTACTACAAGAGTACAAACAGCAATTCCTGACATATGAAATAATATAATATCTCTCCATTTAGTTGGTAATGATTCATCCTTAGCAACAATTAAAGCAAAGGCTATACCTATAGATCCTCTCAATCCTCCATATGTTAAGACTAATATCTAAGACCATGTTAATCCATAGCCTAATTTTTTAAGCCATGGATAGAATACTGCAATGGAAATAAATCTGCATACCATTAAACACCACCAAAGAGCTATCATTTTGTAAAAATCCAATTATGTTATTTCACTTTCATCCTTAAATACTCTAATTCCTGCAATAATTCCACCCAAAATAAAAATGATAACCTCACTTGCAAATACAACATATTCCCAAAATTCTCTTAATGCATGATCTGCCTCATGAGATATACGAGATCTTCCAAATGCTGCCATAAATAAACTTAAAGATACCAATCCCAATACACCAGATATGTGTACTCCGAAATCAACATTCTCAGATATAAAATATACTAAAAAGGCTGAGACTATTGTTATATTTAATACCAGTATCTCATCATTTGCTATTTTCTTTATCCAATAAACACATGCCATTCCGAATAATAATCCTATCAATGTTCCACCTACACATAATGTAAAAAATAAAGATCCTACATCAAATGCTGATGCAGATCTTCCTCTAACTATTCCATAAGATATCTAAAATAACATTACACAAGCTCCATCATTTAACAAACTTTCTCCTTCTATCAAACTCTAAAATCTCTTCTATGCTCCACTCTCCTTTAAAACAGCCAATACTGCAACCGTATCTGTACAACTCAACATTGCTCCAAACATGAATGCGCTTTCCCAAGTGAAATAGTCATCCCCATAGTTTAGTAATACTTTTACCGATAATTACAATAATGTAGATAAAATTATCACGCAAGGAAATGCCAATATTGCAGTCTAAGCGAACAGTCTCTTGAATAAATGCCAATCGAAGTTATAACCAGATTCATAAATTAACGTTGGTAGGAAAATCAACAATACTCCAATCTGAAAACATACATCCCTAAATTAGTACCGGTTCAATTTCGCTAATCTTTTTACAACTTTGACCTATAAGACCTAATGAATCCCAATAAAATCCGAAAAACAATCCCAAAACAAACAACATTGGAGAAAATGGAATCTATAGAAATTTTCATAAATTTTACCTTCAATTTCTTATTAATCTCCTTCATGAAGGATCCAATCCCCAAAAAAAAGAATATAAAGAACACTGATAATGCTGTTCCACTAATGTCTGAATTGGTTGAAATTGGTTGATCTTCACATAATCCAATTCTTATCATTAATAAAACTATGCCTGCTTTATAGATATACATATATATATATTAATTAATTCATTATTATCAATATAAAATTTTAAATAAAATATTCCTAAAATTATTTTTCAAAATAATATCACATTATAATTTAAATGAATAATTATTATACGAGCTTTTAATTATTTAATTATCTTTTTTTTAATCTCTTCCTTTCTAATTTTAAATAATCATCATTTTATATATATAAAGGAAATAATTAAGTTAATTTTAAAAAGAAATATAAAATTTATTCATAAAATTATAACTATTAGAATTTAATATTTAATATAATTATTTTATAATAATTGTTATATATTTATGAAGTTTTGTATCTTTAAATTAATAAGAAATTTAACAATTTTAATTTCAATTATAATCACTATATTTAAATCTTTCAGATACTTTTGGTTGAGATATACTACTAAACTCAGATTAAACAGTGTTGAATTAAAAGGTATTTTATTCATTTGATTATCTCATTTGTCCTGGATTGTTTATACTTTGTTTAATTTGGTGTCTACCAGATGATTGTGCTTAAAGTTCATTAATGTCTGTATTATATCTCTCAGCAGATAACTATTAATATTATTCATTTATATACTGGCAACTGTTATAATGGAGGGACAGAATTTTATGGTTATTATCTTTATTATTAATCATTTCTTAATAATATATTTGCATTTTGATTCATATTCTCTGTATTTAATATTAGCTTAGAAATTTCAGGTTAATTATTTTAATTATCATGTCCATTTTATTGATAACTTTATAGCATAAAATCTCTCATTTTTTATAATTGATGTTCTTATCCAAAGATTTTCTCTTGATATACATCAATTATATGAGATATTTATTTTTCATAATCTTAAATATGATGATCTTTTTTTTAGATAAGTGCTTCTTTAAAATTGATTTCATTTTATATTTCTAATACTTGATGTTACAGTTATTCAATTTTTATGGATTGTAATTAATTTTTTCCTTATAAATCTTACACTGTTTACAATATTTTAGAGTTTTCATTTAATAATTTATGATATTCTTTTTCAAATAATTCTTATTTAATTTAAACAGAATCATTTCTCTTATTTTCTTATTCTAAACTTTATTCAACTAAATTTGATTATACAATTTAATTATCTTTTTTCTGATCAAAATTTGTTAATTACTTCTACAATTATTCAAGTTGAAAGTATAAACCTTCTTTTTCTCTTCTAAGTGTCATATTATCATTTTATAAAGCTATAAGCTGATTATTTAATAATTCATATATACTTGAAATCTCAATTCAGATTTTTCATTATTCGATTTCTCAAGTTATGAATTGAGCATATTAATCATTTTAATTTATTATTCGGATTTTAATATCAATATTTAAACAGCTTCTTCATTATCCATTTTAATATTAAAATAAATATTTTTAATTTTTATATCATATATATTATTAGAATTCTTAATCTCTAATTATTACTTTTTAATCATTTATATTAAATATATTTGTTTTCTTTGAAATATCCATTCAAACATAAATAACTTTTTAAGTATTAATATTCTAAATAATAATTATAACTTGTTTAATTATAATGTATAAAAATCATAAATATTAATTTCTTAATTTATATTTATATCATAATGAAATATTTTATATATAGAGTTATTTTGATTATAATAATATTATGTGGATTCCATATTATTTCATTTTTTATATTATTTTAATGTCTTCTATACACCCTACAAATACAGGATTGCTTGATAAAAGTGTCACTCAAATGAAAAAGTAAATTTGGTATTAATAATTGCTATTCACTTGGGTTTATCCATTATTATTCGTAAGATATTTGTTTCAAATTTAGATTGGTAAAAATCAACCTTTGCGTTAGTAAGATCTATATAGGATCAATCAAAGTGATTCATCAATAGTTTCTTTTAAAAGATTTCACTACTATTTTTCTAGATACTTTATATCCTTTAATGGTTTGTAAAAATCATTATTTTTGTCTTTTATTGGTAATTTATCATCAGAATATCAAAGGTTAATTATGTGTATGCTTAGTATTTTATTTCATAAGCGTATCACTATTTCTTTGTTAACCATTCATAACTGAATAGTCATAAAAATTCTTTATTTATGAAACAGATGATGAAAAGCCTTCAATATAAAAAATGCTTATATTCTCATTATTGTTCTTTATTTATATGTTTGCAATATCCTTGTTAAAGCCATTTTAACTTTTTTAATAAGTAAATTGATATTAAATAAATAGTCATTATTAAGTATAAAGATTTAAGGAGCTTTATAATAATAAATTCTAATTAAAACTTTAAAATTTCCAGTCATTAGATCTTAACATTATTCAAGTGGAGAACTAATTAATTTACTATAAGTTGATATAATGCAAGCATCAAATTATTATTCATCTTGTTTTTAATTATTTTTATCTCCAATATTTTTAATTGCAACTGTGGCAATCTTTTATATGACATTAGGAAAGTAAGCTTTAGTTCCAGTGATAGGAACAATAATCCAAACACTTTTTGGAGTACTTTTTGGTTATTATTATGGTGTAATTTAAAGAAGATACATGAATTGTAAGGATCTAAGAATGAAATCTGTAGATGAGGCTTTAATCTTCTCAAAATAATTGAAATTAAATTGTCTTGAAGAATATTTTGAAGAGAGAGTAAGATTATTATAATTTTTAGATAAAACACAATAGAGATTAAGAATTAAAATATTTAAAATATTAAGTTTATTTATAAATATTAATTCTTTTTATGTAATGTGCATTAAGTGTAGCAACTTATGAATTTTGGTTTTTATTTGCTGATGAATTAAATTTTGGTATTGTAACAATAATGATGCAAAATTATTAAAATATAGCAATGCTTTTAAGTGAGTTACCAAATTAATTAAGAAATTTTTAGACTTCAAGAAATTCTATTAATAGATTATCAAATTATTTTTAATAAAATGAAATTCCTATAAACTCTACAGTATATAATAATGCTAATGAAAATTCAATAGAATTCATTAATTCTGAATTTGATTGGTAAAATAATGATAAATTTGTTGATAATTGTAAAGAGGATTAGAATTAAGATGAAAATGGAGATGTATTTGGAATTAATATTAATTTATCAATAGGAAAAGGAAAGTTTATTGCATTTGTAGGAGGGTATTTAATATTTATTGATTTAATTAGATCAGCTTCAGGAAAATCAACCATTTTAAGATCAATTTTGGGGGAAACAAATAATTTAGGAGGTTAAATTAATTTGAATGGTTCTATATCAGTTGCTATGCAAGAACCATGGATTATTAGTGGTAGTATAAGATAGAATATTACTTTTTTAAATGCTTATGATAGTCTTAAATATAAGAAGGTTATATAGATATGTGGATTAGATAGAGATTTGAAATCTTTTAAGAATGGAGATGAAACAATACTTGGAGAAAAGGGAGACAATTTATCTGGAGGATAACAAAAAAGAATCAATTTAGCAAGGGCTGTTTATAATGATGCAGATATTTATTTGTTAGATGATCCATTAAGTGCTTTAGATATTAAAGTAAAATATTAAATACATTAATAATGTTTTAATGGATATTTGAAAAATAAAACCAGAATTTTATTTACTAATTCAATTTCCAATCTTTAAGAATGTGATATGATATACATTCTTGAAAATGGTCGTATTGTAAAGTAAGGAACATTTGCATAAATTAAATATGATATTTCATAATCATAATCAGATGAATAAAAAGAATATATTGATATTAAATTTGAAGAATCTTATTATCCAAAAGAAGCAGATTAAAAATAAGAATTAAGAGCAAGTCTAATTGTTGAAGAAGATTAGTAATAAGGATCAATTTCTAAATAAGTTTTTAAATAAATATATAAATATTTAGGGAAATACTGGTTGTTTATTATCATATTAGGTTATTTTGTTACAACAGTTTCTGGTTAAATGTTTGGAAATTCTAAATTAGCTATGGATGGAGTAAGTGATGATGAATTTCGATCAATAGCATTAGTTGCATACTTAATCATTTAATTTCCTACATGTACTGTTGTAGTACTATTGAAATTATACTTTTTATAAAGAGGTTTAAAGACTTCTAAACAATTACATGAAAAAGTTATTAACAGTTTAGTAAATGCTTCATACACTAAATTTTATAATACTATTCTTATTGGTAGATTAATGAATCGTTTAAGTAAAGACATTTATAATATTGATTTATTGTTTCCTAATGAAGTATACAATCTTACAAGTTGGTTAACAACTCTCTTATTACCTTTAATTGCTTGTTATCTCTATTTAAATGTTATTGCTCTTCCAATATTAATAGTCTTCTTTATATTCATTATTTATTTAACAATCATCTATTATAGATGTTTAAGAGAAGTTACAAGAATTGAATCAGTTTCAAAATCTCCAGTTTTTAGTCTATTTTAATAAATAGTTAGAGGTAGTTCATATGTTAGAACAAGTGTACCATATGAAAAGATTATAAAATAACAATAAGAAAATGTAGATATTGATTTAGGTAATTAAATCTGTTTGAATGGTTTCTAATATTGGTATTAATCATTAGCTGGAACATTAACAAATATATTTTAAACAATACTATTTATCATATGTGTAAATATATGATTCATATTTAGTTTTTATATCCTGGCAAAACTTAAAAAATGACAAATATGGTTTTGTCACAAATGCAAGTTGTCTCTTAATTACTCTTAAATGCAACAGTTTCATATGGTAATATTCAAATGTATGGTATCTCTTTTGAAAGATGTCTTCATTTAGCAAAGTATATTAACAATATATAATTATTAAGTAACATTCAATTAGAAGAGAGGAACAATAGTTTTATTACTCCTTCTGATGAAAATGAGAATCAAAAGAATGAAAATTTTATAAATGCGATTGAATTTGATCAATGTTCTTTTTAATATAGACCTAATTCCAAATGCATACTTTCTAATCTGAGTTTTTCAATTAAATTAAATGAAAAAGTAATTATTCCTATTATTGTTAGATTGGAATAGTAGGAAGAACAGGAGCAGGAAAAAGCTCTATTATCTTAGCTTTGACTTAAATATTAGATTAAACTGATGGATCAATAAATATCTTAGGAAAAAATATGAATGCTTATAAAATTGCTGAACTTAGAAAATAGTTTTCTATTATCCCATAAGATCCACTTGTTTTTATGGGATCACTTAGAAATAATTTAGATCCAGAAAATAAATATGATGATTCTACTATACTTAAAGTTTGTGAGATTTGTTAATTATTTGATCTTGAATCATTTAAATAATAGTGTATTTATTTTTACTATTTTTTAAGAATTACTTAGTGAAATATAAGTTTAGGGTAGTAATTTAAGTTAAGGAGAAAAATAATTATTAAACATTGCAAGATGTTTATTAGATAATTAAAATATTATTTTAGTAGATGAAGCTACAGCCAGTATAGATGGTCCAACTGAAGAAAAGATTAAAGATGTAAATATTATATAAATATTTAATAAGATTTTTGAATAAAACCTATCTTAATGTACAATTCTTACAATTGCGCATAAAGTTACTACTATTATGAAATCTGATAGAATAATGGTTCTTGATGATGGAAATATTATTGAATTTGATACTCCTTTAAATTTACTATAAAATGAAAATAGTGAATTCAAACAAATCATTGAATTAATTAAACATTCAGAGAAATTATGATTATATTAAAATTAAAGAATTTTAGTAAATTTTAAAGTTAATTTAATAAAACTTCAAGATTATTTAGTTTTACTCTTTTTTTTTATTTTCTCATCACTTTTTCCTACCAATTAAGAATTTGATATTTTTTAAGAATGATACAAAGTTGGGGATTTTAATTTCTTAACAGAAGGTTATTTTTTAGATTTCTTCTTTTTTTATTAATGTCTAAAATTTATTTAATATTATACTACTAATTAGATTTAAGTTAAGGTTCATCAATAATTTCATCTTAACTTGAATTTGAGAATTATGGATCAAATTCTAATTCATCAACTCTCCTTCTTGAATTCTCAAATTATTAATCTTGTTATTCTATTTATGTTATAGGTTATTATAATTAAGATTATGAATTTGTATTATTATTTATTTTAATTTCTTCCATAATTTTCTAAAATTGTTATGGATTTTATAGCATATAATCAGAAAATAATTACATATCTCTTTAAATTTCAGTTGTTCCTGAAAAATTCTATTATGGTTATTATCCAATTGGAGGTGTTAAAGGTCGAAATACTTAATTATGAGGTCTTAAAGTCTTCAAAACTTAATCTTCTACCTCTCCTTTCCTTTAATCAAAAACTTATCTATTTCCACTAGATCTTCTCTCTTAATTTTGTTTTCCTATTCCTACATTTGGAGTTCTACTACCAATATGAGGTGATATAGTTTTAATTCTTTCTTTTAATATTGGTATTTTTCTTAGATCATCATATTCATTCCATTCTTCATCATCAACTTCAATAATTCCCAAATCATCTAAATCAATAGGATCATCATCAAGAATATTTTTATTAATATTTTAATTTAAATTATTACTTTATTTCATACTAATTTCCTTATCTAAAATATCAGATTATTTAATTTTGCTTTCTTATTAAACTTAATACATAAATAGAGTTTATAAGCATTATGAAAGTACTTCTTAATCAACTTTACGAATCCATAAAAAGTCTTCTTGATTTAATTCAAATTCATCCATGGATGTGGATCCAAAAGTATCTGATTACATCATTAAATCTTTAACAGAATTCTATCTCTAAAATAATTATTATATTATATTTTCTGATTATCTATTAATTTAATCTCTTTATTTATTTTATCGATGTCTTAATTAATTGTATTGTTCTGCCATCTATTATATAATTCTAATTGCTATTTATTCAGGAGTACACAGTTAAATCATAACAATTGACATTAATTATAATTACTTATTTTAACTATTCTACAATTTGCTAGCTTGTTCAAAAAAAGAAGAGTTAATAGATGGAAAAACTCTAATGTTTTTACCTGAATCTAAACCAAATATATATCCACAAAATTTTAATATGTTATATTAATGCCAAGGTTCCTAACAATCTAATTTTTCCTATGTCCATACAAAAATTTTTTCTATAAAATCATCAAGTTTGTTAGAATTAGGCATTTTATTTAATAATTATCCCCATTGATTAAGAAGATCAAAATATAATACATATATACTATTAAAAGGAGTGTCTATTAATTCTGATACTTCATTCCAAAGACAAGATACTTCATCTAAGACTTTAGAATATTCACTCTTTTAAAATTTAAGATTGAAAATGTTATTCAAAATAAGTAATGAATTTAATATACATTTTGAATCAGTTTTATCTTAAAGAGAATGGGTTAGGATATCTTTAATAAATTTTACAAAAATAATTCTATCTTCAAAAATTTTAATTCTAGTACTTGTTTCAATATTGATATAACAATCTACTAATAATTAAAGTGTTAAATGACCTTTTTATCTAATTTTAGAATTGAGTGATTTAATTAAATTAATTAAAGATTAAATAAAATCAGGACTATTTTAAATTAATTATGCTACAACTTTAAATTATTATCCCATATCTGAAAACAATTCACAAATAAATTATACTTTTTCATTGAAAATTTCATATTCTTATATTAATTACTTGTTGTCAGATTTAAATTCTTTCTTATCTTTTTCTCTATCTTATTTATATTCCTTTTTATTATCTAATATTAAATTAGATTATATTTAAGGTTCTTAATTTTCAATTAGACAAACTTATATCAAAGAATTGAAATGAGATTAATATTAAACAATCATTTTGATAAAATTTAATTTAGATTATTTTTAAGCTTATCCTTTTACTGTATATTAATCAATTAATGCCATTACACATTTCTCAATTAATGCCTAATCCAAAAATTCTTAACTAAATGCAATTAAAATGTCAAATATTTTAAATGTTTCATCATGAATACTATGAGGTACTCTTTAACAAAAAATTTCAACATATGAATAAATTTAAGATTCAAATTTCGATATCAATTAAGGACATTAAAATTATATAGTCTTTAGTATTTTATCTAAAACCACTAAGATATCTTAACCAGGAGATGTAGTTTAGCATATAAGAAATATATTTTATAGAAATGGATTGATGAGTTCATACATTTAATCATATTCGTTTCCTTCTATTAAAATTTCAATTAAGATATTCCATACAAGTTCAAAACAATCAAATTAAATTTTACCTTTAACAGTTTAATCTAATAATTTAATTAGAATAGGTTTTAAAGTAATTAAATTTTGATTAGCTGTAGTATAAAGTTATTTAATTTTTATAGTATTTGTTAATTATTTATTTAGAAATTCTTCAAAAAATGGTATTTAAGATTCTTCTTTTTATTATCTTATTATAATAGATATTAGTTATAATAGTTTAATTATTTGATACTATTATGATTACTATAAATTATTATAATTAGTAAAATTCAATTATTCTATTAATTGTTAATTAACCCAATTAAGAATTTTACTTATTTTTTTTTCATTTTATTTTGGTATAATATTCTACAACACTAAATTCCATATCTTAGATTCTTCTACTTAATTTAATTATTTTAAAAATAAGATATCAATTCTAAAATGTGCTTAATCTGCTTATAATAAATATTCACAAATTTTCATTATTAACTTTTATCCTTCAATATTTACATCAAATAATCCTTATATAATAATCTAATTCCATATATCTTAAATGAGCTTTAAGGTTGCTTAACTTAATTCCTATAATATCATATTAACTATTTTATAGATCATTTCAACTATCAATTACCCTTACTATTAAATTAACATTTTCAAAAATAATTTAAAAATTTAGATAATTTATCCACCTAAACCACAACCAAGTTATTCTATAATAAATTCAAGACATCTCATATTTGCCATTCTTAAAGCATCAAAGTTTTGATTATCTTCTAAAAGAAGTACTCTACTAATAATTTTAATTAAATCATCTGAGAGTCTTAAAACACATTCATATGAATCTGTATTTTATAATGTAAAAAGTAGTTGTGTTTTATCATATTAAACATTTATATATTATACAGCCTATTTTAATGCTTACAATTTTTCATTTAGCATAGATGGTTAATTAATTGAATCAGCTATTAATATTTAAAGTCCACTTGCTCTTAAAAAGTAATAATCTTTTTATTTAACTAAAATTTATGCTTTTTCAGCATAAAAATTAGCAACTTTCTTAAATATTTCAGCAGCTTAAACAAATCTTCTTGAAGAAAGAAGAGATAAACCTAAGAGAATGTCTGCTTCTGCTTGATTAATTTCTCTATTATTTTTTTTGAAGATGTGGCTTATGTTTAAAAGGGCAACCATTTAATTAGCAGCAGGTGATTAATATAATTAATATCCATAAACTTAGATAGATAATTTAGTTTTAAGTTTATTTTCTAATTATTAAGGAGGTTCACATACACTAAAAGAAAGTCTAAGTTTTCTACCAAATCCAAGACCAACAATTTTATATTAACCATTACATTATTCAGCATTCATAACTTCTTTACTATTAATCAAACGATTATAATTTTAATCAAAACAATCTAAACATTCTAAAGATGTAAATGCAAATCCTTTAATTGAATTATCACTCCATTTCAAAATTAAATGTGTAATTAAACAATCTTCTTTTAAACTTATCTATAACTTGACATTTGCTTATTTACTATCTCCTTGTCTTTCATTAATTTAAACTTTAATTGCCTCTTAAGTAAGATCGAATGATGCCACACAAACATTACTTTGTACTAATTGCATATTGATAAATTAAATAAATAAAAGTTTAATATAATTATTCAGATAATATTTATGAATATATTATATATATAATCTTTAATAGACAATTTTAAATATTTCAATAAATACCAATCCAAATGATTTTATCCTTTAAATTTTTATAATACATAATGTAAGTATTTATCAATTATAATTAGTAACATTAATTCTCTTCATGAATATTAATCAGTTACCATAAGATTGTTAACAAAGATTAGTTGATTTAGAAGCACGTATATTTAAGAAACCAAAAATTGAAATTCTTGAATAATTCTAAAAAGAAAGTATTCCATCATTTCAAAGTAAGAATTTCATACTTAATTTTAAGTTAAATCTACTAGAAAGTCTGTTTATGATTAAACACTCCTTAAATAATTACAAATTACTTAGTTTACCAAAAATGTATAAAATAATTAGCATTATAATAAATATAATAAAGAAACCTTAATTGAAGAAAATAATGAAACACATATAATTGATGAATTGAAAAGAAGTTTAAATGAATTAGCTATCAAAGATTAACATGTTAAACAATTATAAGAACAAATATCTGACTTAACACAATAAATTCAAGTATATCATAATTCATAAAAATTTAGAATTTTAAAACATCCTCATTTAAATATGATAATACTATTAAAACATTTGCAATTGAATTAGATTAACATTAGAGGATAAAAAGGAATTAATAAATTGAAAAGAATTCCAAAAAATTTGGATAATTTTAATATACAAGAGAAAAAACAAAAATTATTTAAGTGTGGGTGGATAGTAAAGAAATATTAGAACTCAAAGGAAAATTGAAAAATTTAAGATAATAATTAGATTAATATGATAATTAAACCAATAATTTATTATCAAGAGAATCATTAAATTATTTGATACTTAAAAGAGAAGAAGAATACTTAGAAAAATAACTAAATATTTTAGAAAATGAAAAATAGTTATTTATTAGAGATTTGAAATTAGAATATGATGAATAACATGCTAAATTTAAACGTACTGATTAATATCCAGTTATAGGAGAGAGATATATATTATTATCACTCTTGGGTAAGGGAGGTTTTAGTGAAGTATATAAAGTATGTTATATATATATAATATAAGGGTTATGATTTAAAAGAGATGAAACATGTAGCATGTAAAATTCATTAATTAAATTCTAATTGGACTATTAATTCAAAATCATATTATGTTAAATTAGTAACAAAAGAATATAGAGTACATAAATAACTATAACATCCAAATATTTTATAATTACTTGATTCTGTTGAGATTGATTCTAATACATTTTGTACAATTCTAGAATACTGTAATGGTTAGGATTTATCTTATTACATGAAAAAATATGGTATTATTGAGGAGAAAGAAGCAAAATTAATAATTTAATAGTTGCTTGAATCAGTAAAGTATATACATCTAAATAAAATTATCCATTATGATATTAAACCTTAAAATATCTTATTTAATTAAAATTTTGTGAAACTTTGTGATTTTGGAGTATGTAAAGAATTAGACAATGAAATATCTCAAATTGAATATACAACATAAGGTGTTGGAACATTTTGGTATTTACCTCCTGAATGTTTTCTTTAAGGCAATAATCCATAATTAATTTCAAATAAAGTTGATATTTGGTCAATTGGAGTTATCTTTTTTGAAATGCTATATGGATTGAAGCCATTTGGGAATGGTGAAAGTTAAGAAACAATATTGAAACAAAGAGTAAATATAATTGTAATAGTAGATAATTGAGACTTCTGAAAAAGTAACATTTCCAGATAAACCAAATTTATCATAGGAATGCAAGGAATTCATTGAGGGATGCTTAAATCATAAGGAGTAGGATAGATTTGATATTCATTAAGCTTGCAATCACCCTTATATGAGAAAATGAATTTATAATTAAATGAGTTTATTTACAAATTCTTTTCGGAAGTTGTCACAATAACAATAAGAGAATGATTCAGTTAAAGTGTACTATAAAACAGATATGAAACAATATGCTAAAGTACGGTATAACAGAGGAACTACTATTGGTTAAATTATTGAAGAATTGATTAAAGAACTGAATTTGAATGGTAAATATTAGGAATTAACTTAGGGAAGCTATAATACTAAATTTATCTATTAACACACAAAAAAAATGAACCATCTTTAGGGGGTATTAGCATAAAACGTAAATTACGTAGAAATGAGCAACCATATAAGATTTTATTTTTAACAAAGGTTTACAAATTTTCATTTTACCTTGATTATATGCTTAGCTAATTAAGTTAAAATATTTATGATTCACATTTCAATTAGATTGAGAATTATTAATTTACTATATATGACAAAGAATTCAAAATTTATAAGATTACAAAGAAAGGAAGTTAAAAGCAAATGAAGATAAAAATAAATTCTTCAGGAACTGCTTTATGTTAGGAAGGAAGTATTAAAGAATTATTTTAAATAGATAAGAAATGGAAAAATTTATTGAATATTCTGATTGCAAATTTGATTTTGAAGAAGATCTTGTATTTACAATTACTTAAGAACAAGTAAACATTTATAAAGCTATAAATAAAAATGAATTTTATGCTATGTAATAATTTATTTAATTTTAGTAATAAGTTGATATATTAATATACTAAGAATACAGAAATTAAATATAAAATGGGTACTCTAGATAATAAAATTGTAAATTGTACTAAATAAATTATGGAGTAAATAGAATCTGATTGTTATAAATTCACATAATCTAAATAGAAGATGAAAGAAAATTCGAATTTCCAAATATTTTTTGATATCTATAAAATAACTTAAGTAAATAAAGATATTTCAGCCATTGAAAATGATGATAATAATATTAATTTTGGAATGTTTAGAGAGTCAATATTAGAAACATTATCTATATTACCAAGAGAATAATATAGGAATGGTCTTATTGTTTTTAATTCTTAGTATAAATATACAGCTAGTTGTAAAATAGAGGATTAAATTGAAGAATATGATAAGTTACTTTAACCTTTAGATTGTGTTGTAATTAGCGAAGAGGATATAAGAAAATATAGTTAATTTTTATCATGATATATTCTTTATATTTATTCATCGAAATTAGATATTTGTAATAAAGCTCAGTGTTGGATTTATTTTTCTAATAGGCTATAAATTCTTTGGCCTAATTATAATCTATTTCATTTTATACCATGCACAGTCGATTTGATGGCTGTTAATTCTTATTAATTTTAATATAAATGATCTGATATATATTTTTGTACACTATGGTCACATAAAACTAGAAATTTCTTTATAACATAATTTGCATATTGATGATTAGCTAAGACAACGAAATTGCTTGAACTAAATATAATTCAATTATTATTTTACTATTAATTTGGACTTCGGCATAGAAGCCATTTCATCACTGCTATCAATTCTTATTTTCCTAAGACTTCCAAAGCTCGTTCAACAGTATTACTTAAAATAATATAATAAGATACCTTGCGTATTTGTTAATGCTAAGCTAGTAAAATTACTATATAACTAATTGAACTAAATATCCTTTTTCTTAGCTTGGTTTCCAATATTATAAAATATGTTATAAGACATAATTTCCATATTCAGTTTAACTTAGTATACTATAATTCTACACAGATAATCTAATTATTCTACTTATTTGTTGTGGAGTATATTATTATATAATTTTATGAATAATTTTACAACCATAAATTTATTAGCCCATGTAATTAAACTAAATAATTTAAATGAATAAATTTACAGATTCTTCTACAATGGGAATTAGAAATTCCATTTTTAATTTGTCATAAGTTTCTAACATTTTAAAAATGACATAATTTCCATTCAAATCATAGATTAATGATCTCATATTAGATTATAATTATTATAGAACAACCAATTATAAATCTTCACGATTGTAGGTGTATTCAATTAATTTTTACATTACTCTACATCCAAAATTATTCTTAGATAAGTCATAAAAATGAGATTTTAATTTATTAAACATTCTTAATTATATCTTTTGATTAGCTAAAACTTTAATATAAATTATACTGCATTCAAAGAGCTTTTAAACAACATAATTACCAAATACATCTTTCTCAATTTATGGACTTATACGTTCTAGTTTCTAAGCAATCAATTCTTTCTATTCCTAAGTTCCTTGTTCTAACATTTTTTATAATTTTCGACTTACAATCTGATTTCCCCAAAGTTAATCCTATATATATATATATGCCATATTTATTACAACTAAAGAGGTTACATAAAGATCCATTTCAATATCTGGTTCAAATTGTACTTAAGGACTTTAAGATTCAAGAAGTGGAGAGTAAATTGGTTAATTGAGGTAACTATATTCATAAGACAATCCTTAAGGGATAGAGTGACCATCAATAATATCCTGAAAATACTCAGTCTCATTCTTTTCTGAATTCCAGAGTTCTTTGATTAATTATAAAGTTTGAGCATTAAGTGAAGGAGTATCATTTGAGCTAGGAGATTACATTTCCAAGATAGCATCCTAATTCTCTTCAACTCCTTGATTAATAGGTTCAGTCAGTTGCGGTTAACATGTTTTATGTTTTGGAGATTTACGTTTTGATTCTTTGGGTACTTTAAAACTTTAATGTTTCTATGCATTAAGTGTCCCAGGTACTTATAATCTGAATATATTCTCTTCTTATTCATCAATAGTGTCAATATTGAGACAGTTATTTTGATTGATTACACTTTCTTTAGGTGATGTGTCCAATGTCATTTATTCGAAGTCTGTTGTTAATGTATTACTCATTGGAGTCATCAAGCCTAAGTTCCCCAGTCTTGTTATAACATATAAATCCTTACTTAACTTTCTGCTATTCAGATAACTGTCCCTCTGCATTTTCGGTTTCTTGAAATTCCTTTAGCAACGAAGGCAGATAATCATCATTTTAGTTGTTCATATGGGGAGATTGAATTGATAAATAAAACAAAAAAAATCTTTTATATATTTTTTCATTCAAAATCAAACATCATTTAGCCTCGATTTTATGATAATAATGAATGTAGCTAAAACAACTAATGATTATATATATATATATATTTATAAATTTTATTGGAGAGTATATATACATATAATATTTTAAATTAGTACAAAAATGTCAGATGATGATGATGTTGAAATTATTCATTCAGGTCAATCTTTTGAAAGTTCACCTAAATAAGTGTTTAACTATTAAATAATTCCTAACCTCTAATCTGATAATTAGGTAATTCGTTTTCTAAAATTTAGAAACTGTTATAAAGTAATAAGTCTTTAGAGATAGAGATCAAATAATATAAACAATTATTAGAATAAACATTAGAAACTTTACGATAATCTGAAAGAGATCAAAATACATTAAGTATTACTATTTGTGCATCTATATTTTAGAACTTTAACTTTCTTAAAAGGATTTTCAACTTTAAGTAATATAAGCTAATGTAGAAGATCGTTAAAAAAGCTAAAGAATTGATTCACATAAAAAAATAAAAGACAGCAATTCTAGTAAAATATGTAAAATATTATAAGACCGAGATTCATTTGGTAATAAATAAACAAATGTGTCTTCTGTTGGTGGTTTTTTATCATCCACTTAAAGTCCTCGTTGTTAATGTGATAGTGTAGTTTTGCTTCATTATTTTATAGTTTCATAATCGTGGATTGACACTTATTGAAACTTTGAAAAAGATTCAATTATCTTTTAAATAAAATGAATAAGCTATATATTAACAAGACCTAATGAAAATATTATAAGAATTTGAGGAAAATTTTAAATAATTTTTAACTCTTCATGATTAATATGCAATTGAAGTATTTTATTACTTTAATTTCTAAATTTAGATTCATAGAAATAAATTGAATTAAACAGAAAAACAAAATTAAATTAAGTAACCATCCACACATTCCATAAGTGATCATTTTCATTCTTTGGAAGATTAAAATACCAATTAAAATCCAAATGAGTAAATATTCAACAATGATGATCTTGACACTAGCCAATTCGAAAGTGAATAACATATCAAATTATAATTTGAGTGTTTCGAAATATCATTGGCTAAAGTGAATGAAGAAGAAAAACAATAATGGAAATAAAAATTACTATAATTAATTAACACACTTTGAATAATTTTAAATATTATATATGGAAGAAGAAAAATTAGATTAAGTAACTATAGAACCTTTATTCTTTCCATCCAAAGAGAATGAATAAAAGCTTATTCAATTTCTCTCTTAAGCTAAACGATATATTCGTATCTGTGTTTACACATTCACCAATAAAAATATTGTTGGTAAAATGTTGTAGATGATGAAAGAGAATCCTGAATTAAAGATATAAGTGATCACTGATGATGCTTAGACCAAGATACCTTCATAAAAAGCTATTTTAGATCAAATATTAGAAGAAGGAAAAGGATAGGTAATTAAATAGCGTTATTTTTTCTCAGGCTGAAATCAAACTCGATAATTCAACTGTTAGTTTGATGCATAATAAATATTTAGTGATTGATACCGATTATATAGCTACAGGTTCCTTTAACTGGACTAAGTCTGCAGTTACAACTAACAAAGAAAACTTACTTTTAATTAAAAGTAAGAAACTTGTACAATAATTTGATGAAAATTTTTAATCACTTTGGAAAGACTTTAAATTCATGAATGATAGAATAATAGAATAATAATAACAAGAAATAGATAAAGCTGAAAGATAAAGATTAAAAGCAGAAAAATAAGCTGAATAAGCTGCAAAAAAGGCAGAATAAGAAGCAAATGCTGATCCTAATAATCCTAATCCTATTCAAGTAGAACCTGAGACTAAACCTAAAAAAGCTCCTAAAGAACCTAAGCCTCCTAAGGAACCAAAACCACCTAAAGAACCAAAACCACCAAAAGAACCAAAAGCTCCTAGAGCACCAAAAGAACCTAAACCTCCAAAAGAACCTAAACCTCCTAAAGAACCTAAACCTATTAAATAAAAAATAAAAAAAGTTGCCTAACCTAAGAAAAAGAAGGAAAGTTAAGAAAATGAAAAATTGAGTGATGATGTTGAATAATTAGATGTTTAGGATGATATTGAAGATGAAGAAGATGATTTTGTGGATGAGGAGGATTCAATGGAAGACTTTTTAGCAGATGATGATTCTGAATGTGATTGATAAATTACATAAAAAAGAAATAAACAAAATATACATTAATTATGAACTATAGCTCTTATAATGAATATCATCGAAAGAATTCAAGAATATTAAGAGAGAAACCTAATTACAAGATACAAGAAACTCATTCATCCATTACAAAATCACCATCAAAAGACAAACGCAAATTCAATGAAGAATATGAGGGGACAGCTAATAATAGTTATCCAATCCAAACAAACTTCTTTGTTAATAGACCTCGTATAGCTCCTTAACCAATGTTTAAAACAACTGTATAAAAACATGGAGTTATAAAATATGTTTTAAGAAGTACAGAAAGAATACTTTCAGAATCTCAAAAACATAATCTAAATTTAAATAAAAAAAGATCTGAAAGAGATTTATTTTTTAATAAATTGATATCTGTTTCTACAAAGAGATCATATAAAAAAATTAAATAAGAATATTTCATATCAAATGAAGAAAGTGATATATTTCCTAGATCAGAGATCACTTATTTATAAGATAGTGAAGTAGATATTAAACCATTTATTGGCGATACATTACTTTAAGTTAATCATTTTGAAAATAAATTAATCGGAAAAAATAAATATTAAATTATCTCCTATGCAAAAAAAGAAGAAAAGTTTAATATTTTAAATTAAACACAAAATTAAATTATTGATGATGATGTTTCTGAAACAAATGTTCTAGTTTTTAAATCTAAGAAAAAATTTTGATTAAAATTTAACAGATATTTTGTGTTAATTATATATATTCACTTTAAACAGACCATTTTATATTAAATAATTTTTAAATTTGCCATTAAAAGATATAATTGTTTAATAATATTTTTTGTTAGTTATTTAAAATCTTGCTATTAAATAAGAAAATTAGTATTTAATTTTAATATAAAATAATTAAGAACATTTTTTTATCTTTATGAATTCCTAACAATAGATAATAAGTCTTATCAAGAAAAATCTACTTATTAGTTACAGAAATAGAGAAATATTCATAGAAGCCTTGCTTCCAATCATAGTTTCCCTAATGCTTACTTTCAGAGGTAAAAGTAGTCAATTTTATCCAAGAATACCTTTCTGAAATGAAATAATTAATGCCATTACTTTATAGTTTAGCAACAGCCTCTACATAGAGATCAATGTTGATTAAGTTAGTGGAAGAAAAAAGTAAACGATACAAAGAACTCCAAAAGGTATAATTATATATTTTAGGATTAGATCATGGGTATGAATGAGAAGTCTTATCTGATAGGGTGGGTTTTAACAGGATATATTAGAGTTATAATAGTATAAAATTCAATTATCATTAGGCAGTTATCATTTTTGAGTTGTCATTATTTTTGATGTTTCCTATATTTGGAATAAAATGGGATGATTAATTTAATGAGAGTTTTATCTCATTGACATGGCCATATTTTCTATTCTCTATTGCAGTATTGGAATAAATATTATTTATAGTCTATGAATCAAATCTACTTATTTTCAAGTTTATTTAATGAGGTTAAAATTGCAGGAGAAATATAAAGTTTTTTTTAAATTGCTTGTGTGTTTTTTATATATTTCACTTTTGTTGAAAGTGCAGCAAATTCATTTTCATTCTATTTTTTCCTAAGCATTTTTAGTCCTTAATGTAGTGTAGCTTTTACTTATATTGCATCTATGAAACCTGGAATACCAGGTGATATTTTATCAGCAAATTTGTTTCCATCAGAATAGATTATGGATATATATTCAACAAAATATGAGGGAGCACAAATGGCTGTTTAAGCTATTATTTATTTTCTATTATTTTTATATTTTGAATAAGTAATTCCAAATGAATATGGAGTAGCAAAGGAACCTTTATTTTTTTTGAAAAGGAATAAAGTATAAATAAAAGAAAATGATTTATTTGCCTAATTAAAATCAGAAGATAATGATGTGAGTTCTGCTATATATCATGAAGAAATAAAGTATTCTGTTCCTCCAAGTATAATAATTAAAAATTTATAAAAAAAATTTGGAACTCTAAAGGCTGTAGACAATATATCACTTTCGTTATATGAATCAGAAATATTTTGTTTATTAGGACATAATGGTGCAGGAAAGACAACTGCTATAAGTGTTTTGACTGGAATGATTTCAAAAACATCAGGTTTGGTTAGTATGTATGGAATGAATTTGGATACTTAATTACCAAAAATAAGATAATCATTAGGTCTTTGTACATAGAAAGATTGTTTATATGAGGATTTAACTGTTGAAGAAAACCTAAAATATATTAGTTCTATAAAGGGGAAAGTTGATAAATATGAGATATTTGAAATATTGAAAAAAACAGATTTGATTGGAGAGAGACATCTTTAGGTAAAAGTACTATCAGGTGGGTCAAAAAGGAAGTTATCTTTAGGTATGAGTTTAGTGGGAAATTCAAAAATAATATTTTTGGATGAGCCTACTTCTGGAATGGATGCATATTCAAGAAGATAAATTTGGTCTATTTTAGAAAGAATAAGATAGGATCAAAGAACAATAATATTAACTACTCATCATCTTGATGAGGCTGAAATATTAGCTAATAGGATAGGAATAATGTCAAAAGGTTAATTGTTGGCTGTGGGTACATCGAATTTTATTAAAAAGAAATTTGGGGAAGGTTATAATTTAAAAATAACATTTAGTGATGTTTAATTAAGAAATTAAATTTATGAGAAAGTAAATAAATATGTACCAGAATGCTTTTTAGAAACAGAACATTCTAATGAAAATTAATATGTTTTTAATATTCCTTTTACATCTAAAAATACACTTGGATAATTATTTTAGGAATTAGAATAAATGTCTGTTTAAATTGGTTTATCAATGAAAACACTTGAAGATGCTTTTGTGAAAATAGGTATGGAAGAAGAATAAGCTCAACTCACTTTTAGAAGATAAAGTGAGATATAAATTGCTAAGTAAAGTTTAGGTATCCCTGCTTCTGATGATGATAATGAAAGAGATAATTAAGAGTTCTTATCATATCCAGTTGAAATTAAGGATAAAGATACTCAAAATGAAGATATTAAATCAATACCTAAATGCTTATCTAATGATCCATAATATTCATTTTTGAATTAAATCTTAGCAATTTTCTTAAGGAGATATTATACTGTAGTTAGAACTACAACAAATTATTTTTCAATTATTATACCTATGATTGCTTTTATAAATGGACTTGTTGTTGTTGCTTATGTTGAATTTTAAGATGAAATATTCAAAATATTACCTGAATATGTTTTAAACCATTTTAAAATTAATCTTTTAGCATCTTGTTGTGTAATTGCATTCTGTTTCAATGCAACAATATATATAACTTAACCTGTATTAGAAAAAGAATATTTTTTGAAATAGTCATTACAAGGAATGGGATTAAGAAATTTAACATATTGGTTAGGAACATTCTTTTTTGATCTTATAATATTCTTCTTAAATTTAGTGTTATTTTTAATAGTTTCAGCTTTATTAGATTTGAATATTGTTTTTGATAATATTACAAGATCACTTTCATGTTTTTTAGTATTTGGACCAAGTTAAATCTTATTTGCTTATATTATGGGATTTGTATTTAATAAATTAGAAAGTGCATTAAAATTATTTACAATCTTTTGTTTTTTTATACTCTTTTGTTTACCTAATATCTTAGTTGCTTTTACTTTTTTCTTTTACAAAGAATTGGAATAACCTGTATTTCTTAAGAATGTTCTATATGTTTTTGAAATATTATTTTCGGTAATTATTTTAATTTATAATATAAGATCATATCACCATTCTATGCTTTCTTTTCAGCTTATTTATTTACTGCTAATAATTATCTAGAAGTAGAATCCTTTTTTGAAGCTCCTTATTTATTAACAACAACTGAATCATATTTATTAATTATATTGGGATAGATAGTTGTATTTACTGGAATCTTGTTCTTTTTAGAAAATAAGAAATCATTTATAAATCATAATCAAATTTAATAATCAGTCAATGAAAATATAGAAGAGGAAGTTCAAAATGAAAGATATAGGGTACTTCAAGCTGATAATAATGATCCTATTAAATCTAAATTCTTAGAAAAATAATATACTAAAGGCAAACCTACTTTACAGTAACTTACATTTAGTGTCAAGAAAGGTGAAATCTTGGGTATTATAGGACCAAATGGTGCTGGTAAATCAACCTTAATTAATATCTTTTCTGGAATTAATACTCCAACAGCAGGTCAAGCATTGTTAAATGATTATGAACCAAAATAATAAATAATGAGTATTATGTAACATGTGGGAGTGTGTCCATAATTTGATTGTATATGGGAAAATCTAACTCTAGTAGAACATCTTTAATTATTTGGAAGAATCAAAGGATTATAAGGAAAAGAATTGTCTGCTGCAGTTTCATATTTCATAAAAACTATGCAATTAGATTTATTTTTAAATACAAAAGCTGGTTAATTAAGTGGTGGCAACAAAAGAAAATTATGTGTTGCTGATGCTTTAATTGGAGGAAGTGATATTACTTTTTTTGATGAACCTAGTTCTGGAGTAGACCCAATATCTAGAAGATTTCTCTTTAATACATTAAAGAGGAATATATAATTAAGAGCTTGTTCAGCAATTATGACAACTCATACTATTGAAGAAGCAGAAAGTCTGAGTGATAGAATTGGAATATTAATAGCTGGTTAATTTAAATGTTTAGGTTCTCCTTAAGATTTAAGATAGTATTTATTTAATTTAATTTTAGAAAATATGGAAGTGGTTATCAAATCTCAGTTAAATATATTTATCCTTAAGTGACCATTTTAATTTAAAATTAATTTTCTTATGCTAAATAAATAGAGGAAAAAAGGGAGGGTTATTTTATGTACTCTCTTCCAAAAGAAGGATTTAGTTTTTACAGATCATTCAATTTCTTTTAAAGTTTACAATAAGAAGGCCATATTGAAGATTTTTAAATTGAGGAAAAGTATTTGATTTTTTTATTTTTAAGTTCTTTGGAATCAGTATTTATACATTTTAGTAAAATTCAATAGGAAATAAATGAAAAGGATGGAATAGCCATAGATTGATATTAATTATATTTATTGTTGTAAATTATAATTATATATTTACATAAAACGCCTAATGAGTATTGCCAAATAACTCATCATCTTATGTATGTTATTATATAATAACGCAGGGTATATTTCAATCTAATTATAGATTTAATACTTTAAATCTATCAAACATATAATACGATATCCGAAATGAAGTTCATATTTAATAAAGTAATCAAAAATCTCTATCAACCATATAATAAATTAAAAAATAAATTCCTTCACAAAGCAATTCAAATTTAATCACTTAAACTAATTTAGAAACTGAGGATTTAATAAATACATAAAATAATCAAAATCTATAAATTTAATAAGGACAATCCTAAAATGTAGGTTAATCATAAACATTAATAAGTGAAGATTATTAAGTGATAAATATTACAAATTCCTAAGAATTAAAAATATAACCATAAGAAGAATCATAAAATTAATCATAATCAAATACAAATTCATAAATAATTACAAATAAAGACAATTCTAATAATAATCGATAGGATGATAACAATTTATAATAAATTATATAGAATGAACAAGTTGAGTTTGATGATGAAGCAGGTTATATTAATGATTCACCTTTAGATTTTGACTTAAGTGAAGATTCTAATAAAAGTCAAAATAAATAAGAAGACTAAAGTAATTATGAATAATCTCTTCTTAAATCAATGAATTCAAAAGATGATATTGGTTAGGATGATTTATAATTATAAAAATCAAATGAAATTTAGAAATCCGATTAGGATAAAAATGAATTGGCATTAAATAAAAATGAAGATCTAATTAATAAGTAAAATATAGAAGAAACTTTTAATCAAGATTAAATAATGAAAAACTCATTAAATGATTCTAATGAATTATAAAAATAAGAGAGCAATATTAATGATTAATCAGAGATACCTACACCTTATAAAATGAAAGAAGTGTAGGATGATAATACATAAGATTCATTAAAAGTGGGTTATATTATTGAAAATAATGTTGAAACTGATGATTATTTAAAGGATATTGAAGAAAATGAAAACTATAATTAAAAGTAGGAGGATCTGAAATTGAAATTAGAATAGGAATAAGAATATTTAAAATAATTAAAAAATAATTAATTAGATGATGAAAATAAATTAAAATAATTAAAAGAATAGGAAAAAATAATATATGATTAAGAATAAAATGAATTATAATAAATTAAATAGATTAATGGATAACTTGAAATTCAAGAGCAAGAACTATAATAAATAGAATCTGATTATTCAAATTAGAGTAAAAATATAAATATTTAATCTGAAACAAATGAATAAACCTAATTTAGACCCTATGAAGGATAAGAATTAATTATATCTTCAGAAGTAAACTATGATGAAGGAAATATTGAATAATTTGAATAATCTCAGAATAATTCAGTCATTGAAGAAAAAGCAGAAGTATAAGAATTAGAAAATAATTAATAAGTAGAATAAAATTGGAACTAAAGTACATAATATTAGGAAACATTTGAATAAAATGATTACATTATCAATAGTGAAAAAGAGAGTAATGGTGTATAGAATTATGATCAATCAATTCCAGCTTAACTTTAAGAAATATCTATTGATTTAAATTTAAAATCAAATGATCTGACAACTCAAATCAATTTAAGTAAAGATGTTTTAATAACAGCAAATAATGAATAGGTTGAATCTTCTAACTTTGATCAATCTTTAGAAGATCCTTTAAAATAAAATAATTAAAATTTGAAAGAGAATAACACTCATTTAGAAAATCAATAAGAGAATGCTATCACTAATTTTGAATCTCATAAAAAGGAAATTTAAGAATTAAATCAAAATTTATAAGATTAAGACAATCAAATTTTAAATTTTGAAGACTATAATTAATAATCTAATGAATCAGAATCATAACAAATATTATCTAATAATTCAGAAATTAGCTTAACTCAAAATAATGATTCTTAGTTTGCAAATAAGGATTAAAATATTTAACCTGATAATATATTAACTTATTAATAATAGAATAATAATAAATAAATCAAATAATTTCAAAAAGATTTATCTTATTATTAGATTCAATAATTAATAAAGAGAACTTTAAATTTAAGAGGATCTATTTAAGACATGCTAGTTGTTTAGTAACCCTCTTTGTTATTTTAAAGTATGTAAGCATAATAATTTATATAAAATAGATAATGAAAGATAACATTATGATTAGAATAATGAAAATACAAACAATTAATCTTGGATAAATTTAAATATGCCAAAATTTACTGAAATTTTAAATTTGAAAAATGAAATGACAATGAATAATATGTAATTCCAAAATGAGAAGGAATAAATAATGGTTTCTTTGGAAGGTCGTGATATTCCAAATAGTATCAATCTCCTTGAAGAATAGCATATTAAGAATTGAAATTATTATGTATAATTTATATAATTAATGTCAAAATATTGTAATCTTTGATGATATTACTTTTCAACTCATTTCTTTTTCTTTATGATTATTATTAATATGAAATAATTTTGATAAATAATTTAAAATTCTTGTTTATAAGTATGGATAATATATTTTAAAACAATAAGTTTCTATGCATATAATTAATATATTATTATTTATGATGATTAATAATCAAGCATGATAATAATTTTTATATTAAATCTTATAAAATAAGAATATAAATTTCAATATTATTTATCTAAAGACTAAACTATCAATTCTTTGAATTCATTTTGATTTTAATTAGAATGTATTCTCATATAAGAGAGATACATCATAATATTATTATAAATTGTATGTAATCAGAATAATGGTCAGGTTTTATCCATTTTAATGACAAAAATAAATCATAAATAATATGCAAAAATTTAGGAATATTGCATCATTTTCTACAATTCCATCATATTTTAGTCTTGACCCAAATTAATTGTAAGAGAGTGTTATAAATAATTTAATAATAGATCTGCTCGTAATCCACATAAGGCATAAAACTTTTTGCGTGGAAAATGGATTGATTCCCATAAATATCAAACCATTGTAGATCCAATGAATGGTGAACCATTTATTACTGTACCTGATGTCTAGGACAAATAAGAATTATTGAAATATATTGAATCTGCCAAAGAATGTCCAATTAGTGGATTACATAATCCATTAAAAAATCCATAAAGATATTAACTCTATGGAGAAGTATGTCATAAAATAGCAGCAGAACTTAAAAAAAAAGAAGTTCATGATTTCTTAGTCAAATTAATATAAAGAGTTGTACCTAAACATTTTGCATAAGCATCAGGGGAAGTAGTTGTGACAGAGAGATTTTTTTAAAATTTTAGTGGTGATCAACCTCGTTTTTTAACAAGATCATTTAATGTAGCTGGAGATCGTCCTGGATAATAATCAACAGGATATAGATGGCCTTATGGATCTTGTGCTGTTGTGGCTCCCTTCAATTTTCCATTAGAAATACCAAGTTTATAGATATTTGGTGCATTGATTACAGGAAACAAAGTTTTCTTTAAAGGTGACAGTAGAGTAAATGTTGTTATGGAATAAATGTTAAGATTAGCACTTCATTGTGGTTTACCTGCTACAGATGTAGATATGTTATTTGGTAATGGTGAAGCGACTGAATTTATATTAAGATAGGGAAATTTCCGTAATACTTAATTTACAGGATCATCAAAGGTTGCAGAGCATTTAACAAAAGTATTAAATGGAAAGATTAGAATTGAAGATGCTGGATTTGATTGGAAAATACTTGGTCCAGATATACCAGATATAGATACTCAAAACTATGTTGCATGGTAATCAGATTAAGATGCATATGGAAGTACAGGATAAAAATGTTCAGCTTAAAGTATTCTCTTTGTTCATGAAAATTGGGTTAAAGCAGGATTTCTTGATAAAATTAAATAATTAGCTAGTACTAGAAATTTAAAGGATTTAAGTAATGGTCCCATTATTACATGGAATAATACTTAAATTAAATAGCATATTGAAAATATTTTGAAAATACCTTAATCAAAAATATTATTTGGTGGATAAGAATTGAAAAATCATTCTATACCATCAATTTATGGAGCATTTGAACCTACAGCTTTGTATGTTCCATTAGATTAAATCTAGAAGAATAAGAGTGTAACTACAGAATTGTTTGGACCATTTTAGATTGTTACAACATATTCTTCTGATTAAATCAATTAAGTTTTAGATATCATCAATAATCTTGAAAATCATTTGACTGCAGGTATAGTTAGTAATGATGTTAATTTCTTAAGATATGTTTAATCCAATACAACTAATGGAGTGACTTATAGGTAATTTGAGATATAATCATTTTAGTGGTATAAGAGCAAGAACTACTGGTGCTCCATAAAATCATTGGTTCGGACCATGTGGAGATCCAAGAGGGGCAGGTATTGGTACTCCTGAAGCAATATTATCTGTGTGGACATGTCACAGAGAGATTATACATGATACAGATGTAGCTCCTTCTGGATTCAAAGGATAATAAAGTTGACTAAGATTAAATATATAGACAATATAGAATTATCCAAAATCATCCAAAAATAGTTTTCATTATCTTATCCAATCTAATAATTTCATTGTATCTTGCCATCTTTGATCTACTGATCTACAATTTAACAGTACTATTATGTATGAATTTTAGTTATCCTCAAAATACTCTACAACACATGGACCTGCCTCTTTTGTTATACCAGTCTTAACTCCCCTAAATCCTTGGTATAACATTTTATTAGTGTTTTCCCAAAAGATTTCTTTAGACTCTCCAAATTTATCTTCGATTTCACTAAAATATATTTTGGTCTTGACTATGCTTGCGAATTGTAGATTTTACAAGGCATTATAAGTTAAGATACCAATATCATATGCAGAAGAGTAATTAGCTTCATGATACAATCCTTTATATTATATAAATAATACCATGTGGATTAGAATAGGATGTCAATTCCATTCCAATATCTTAAGCATTTTGATTCATTTGTTAAATGAAGTCACAACCTTTATAAAGTTCGAAATTGTGTTGTATGGATATTGCTGCATCATTACCAGATGGTAACATTAACCCATAGAGTAGATCTCTAATACTGAGTTTATCACCACTTTAGAGTTGAGCTGTTGTACCTCCAATCCTTTCTGCCTATATTTAAGCTATGAACTACTTTTTCTGGCACTGTGAAGTATGTATTATCAAGGTCCAATTAAAATTGCTATGTGAGTTTCAGTGCTAACCAACATGTCATGATTTTAGTGATTGAAGCCATTTGTCTACTTTTATATTGATTGTAGCCACTCATCAATTGGCCATTCTTTCCATTAATGATGCACCAACTTTATGCAGAAACTAATGGACCGACACTTTCTATTGGTGAAATTGATATTTATTTAGGTAATATTCGTTTAGGTCTAGAAATTGTATTGGCAGTCTTAGGTTTAATGGGAGATTATTAATATTTTTCTGTGCTTTTCTTTGAATAAAATGAATTGTTTGCTGTAGAGTTTAGTTGTTTAACTTTAGTATTTTTTGGGTGACTATACATATGAAATCTTTTAGTGTCCATAATGGTTGTTTTTTGCTTTTTTTATTCTGGTTCTTTTTCTTATTATTATTGTTGAATGGCAGAAACTTTTCGAACTTAAAACTTAGCTACGGGTTCAATAGATCCAATAAATACTTTACTTATATTCTCTGAATATTCTTTAAGCCAACATTAAGGTACTATTAAGATTATCTGCTTATGGTTGCCAAAATAATTGATTGCGATAATTATTTGTACTTGTAGGTTGATATTTAAGACAGAGTGCTTGTTATCTATTTTCAAAGTATTCTTGCTTCATGTAAATATTAATAATGAAATTAGATTGGTAAATATAATTTAATTAGTCAGATGTTATTATTTACATTCAATTTAATACTTGGATGTAATATATTAAGTCCTAATATTTATTAGTAGAAGTTACATTGATAAATATATATAAATTATAAATAATAACTGATGGGTAATGAGATTTCTAATGGAAGTCCAGGAGACCTGGAATAAATGAAAAGATTCATGAATATGTCACCAGGTTAAGTTAAATTGATAAAGTAATTGAGTTATACAAATTGTATTTTAGAGAGAAATTTGAATTGATGGCAGATGAGGATCTCACTATTGATAGAAATGGGTTTATATAGTTGATGAAATTGAAGGAGACTGAAGTAGATAAAGTGTTTTAATTTTTTGACATCAGCAATGATGGTAGAATTGACAGTCATGAATTTGTATGTGCTTTAAGTCTTTTGAGTTAAGCTACCTTAAAGGTATTTCTAGAATTATTATATCTAAGGAAAAAGCAAATATAATATTTTCCTTATATGATTTTGATCATAACAAAACAATAACTCGAAATGAATTAGTCATTTTGATAAAGACTACTTTAACAGCTTTAGGAGCCATGTCATAGAAAGGAGAATGTACAATCTAAGAAGCAGAGAGAATCTCAGATGAATTGTTAAGGAAATATGATACAAATAAAGATGCTTCAATATCTTTGTCTGAATTTCATAGGTATGTTAATATTAATTAATTATTTTGCAGTCTTCTATCTAAAGATTAAGATGTACTTAAGATGCTACTATCATATGGATTATGCTCAGTTGAAGATTTGAGATCTGATTTTGGAGGAGCCTAATAAGGTGATGTTCCTTATCCAGATTCTGATTTGGAGAGTGAAACATAGAGAAGATTATTGGCATATGATTAAAAAAGAGAATTGAGGAAAATTGGAATAGAAACTAATCTTGAGGAGGACAATAATCAATTATAATTAGAAAATAATTATAAGACTAACAAGATGACAAACAAAGAGGTTTGGAAAAATTAAGTAAAGAATGGTTAACCATCTTCTTGGAAACCAGGTAAAGGTGATATAAATCCACCAAGTACATTTATGGAATTAGATTATATATATGGATTTAGAAGTTTTGATACTAGAAACAATATTAAATTTGTGGATTAAGAATTAGTTTATTTTACTGCTGCAGTTGGAGTGGTTTATAATCCATAAACAAATTAATAAAGGTTCTTTTTTGAACATACTGATGATATTACATGCATAGATGTTTATGATAAGTATATTGCAACAGGTTAGGCTGGATCCATTCCTCCAATATATATTTGGGAAGTTAAAGATTAAATGGAACCCTCTAGAGCTGCTTTTAAAGGAATTTTACGTTAAGGAGTATAATGTTTAGCATTTTCAAATGATGGCAAGAAATTAGCTGCTGTAAGTATGGATGATGAACATACATTGGTTGTTTATGATGTAGATAAAGGAATAGATGCAAGATTAAAAGGTGATATATCATAGGCTTTATTAGCCACAGGTAAGGGTCCTAGATCATTTGTATTTGATATTAAATTTGATAAAGTTGATAAGTATTTGATTTTGGCATGTAAGAATGAAGTATACTTTTGCAGTTATGATTAAAATCAAATAAGATTGAATCTAGGAATATGGGATACAAAAACATCACCATTTTCATCTGTATTATGTATAGCATTATGTGATAATAATGTGATAACAGGTACTTATAGAGGATAGTTATTGATTTGGAAGAGCAATAGAGCTACTACAGCAGTAGATGCTCATAAGAGTGCTGTTCTAGCAATTCATACTAAAAAAAGTTAGGAAGGAGGTGTAGTATCAGGTAGTAAAGATGGAACAATCATAGTTTGGGATATAAATATGAAAGCTAAAGAAAAGATAAATGTTCTCAATTTAAATTTAAAAATATTTAATTTCAAAGTATAAAGTGTTACAATAGGACCAAATGATTAAGAGAAATCTGTTCATTTAGTATTTGGAACAAGAGGATCAGACATGGTAGAAGTTCAAGGATAAAAAAGTAAAGTATTAATGAGAGGACATTCAGTTGGAATTTTAAGAGGTTTAGCTATACATCCAAAATTTCCTACTTTTTACACTATTGGTGAAGATAATATTTTAGCTTGTTGGTTGATTAAAGATAAGAAGATGTCTAATTGCATGAAATTAGATTATCCTAGTAGTGCTATTCATATTAGCAAGGATTATAAATATTTGGCTGTAGGTAGTACTAATGGAACTGTACTTATTATTGATCCTAAAACATTAATGCCTACTTTTAATTTTAAAGATAGAGATGCTGAAGTTTCATGTCTCAAATTTTCACCTGATACTGAATAATTAGCAGTTGGTCATGATGCACCAAGTTGTGATGTCATTATATATTCAATAAAGAATCATTTTAAAAAGACAAATGTATTACGTGGTTCACCTGCTAGAGTTATTAGTATTGATTTTTCATCTACATGCAGAGTATTATAAATTAATGATTGGAGTTAATAAGTACTTTATTATGAATTGGGAGGAGAAAATAATCAAAAAGTATAACCTGATGGAGCATCTAAATTTAAAGATGAAAAATGGGCAACATATACAGCCATTTATGGATGGCATGTTTTAGGAGTATGGCCTCTTTTATCAGCTGGATGTGATATCAATGCTGTAGATAGATCTAATAAAGGAGATATTTTAGTTACAGCAGATGATTATTCTGGTATCAAGATATTCAGATATCCTGCTGCATAACCAGGTTAAGGATTTTAGAGATATGTGGGACATGCTGCTCATGTGACAAATATTAGATTTTCAGCAGATGATGAATATATCATATCTTTAGGTGGAGCAGATAAATCAATTATGTAATGGAAAGTCTCACATGATAAAGATGCTTAGATAGAGTAAGATTAAGCATGTGAATCTATTTAAGATGTTTAAATATCTAAGGATTATTATAGACTCAATTTAAATGAAGAGGAGAATAAATAAGAAGGATAGAAATAATATTAAGCATTTGTTAAAGCTACTTAACCAACTAATTTTAAATTTGATGAAAAGAAATATAATGTATTGCCATAAGGTAATTTAACACTTGATTATATTTTGGGTATGAAAACAGATTAATTGGGTTAAGATTATTTTAATGGAGTTAAATTATTAGACAATGGTAAAATAGCATTTTCTTGTGGAGCTGTTGGTATTGTTATGGATCCAAATATTCCTATTGGATAATAATATTGTAATTAGACTTATTTCAGATATCATTAGGATGAAATTACTTGTATTGCTATACATCCAAGAGGAAGAATTGTTGCAACTGGAACTAAAGCTTTTGCTTTAAATGAGAAATAATTAACAGCAATATGTGTTTGGGAAGCTGAATCAAAGAAGGTTTTGTCAATGTTGAATGATTTTCATACTAAAATGATTTATTGTTTAGAGTTTTCATATGATGGTGTCTTTTTATTATCATTTTCTTCAGAATATTCAATAGCAATTCATGATTGGCAAATAGGATAATTGATTATTACTGTAAAGACGTTGAAATCTAATATTTATGGAATTTGCAGTAAATCAGCAAATGAATTTATGTCTTGTGGATAAAGAAGTGTTACATTCTATAAAATGAATGGCAGAAATATAAAATGTTATCCAGGTATCTTAAATAGTAATCAATTTGAACCTATGTTATGTTGTTGTGTTGCATTTAAAGATTCATATGAAATTACAGGATCTGATAATGGAAACATCTTTCTTTGGAAGGAAAATAAAAACATTAAAAATTATTAAGCTCATAAATCAAAAGTAAGTTCATTAGTTGCTGTTGGAAAAACTTAATTATATAGTAGTGGTTTAGATGGGTAAATTAAATTATGGGAAATGAATGGAAATAATTTAAATAATATTGCAACAGTTATTGATATTACTGAAACTCTTCATTAGCCTAAATAAATTGGTATTATATCAATGGATATTAAGAATGACTATATTATAATAGCAACAAAATAAGCTCAAATGTATCATGCTCCACTTAAAAATGTATAGAATTTGAAATTATTACTTGATTGTCATTATGGTGGAGAAGTATGGGGAATTGCAGCAAGTCGAAATTCATAAACCATTATTACTTGTGGAGGAGACAGTGTACTTCGTTAATGGGATATCAATCAATATACTTTGGTTAAGTGTTCATCACCATTTGAAAATGATATAAGGGCTGTGGATTGGAGTGCTGATGGTAAATATATAGTAGTAGGAGATATACGTGGATGTATTTATTTAGTTGAACCCACAAATATGAATATTTTGGATAAAAAGAATTCTAAAGCAGGTTCTTTGAAATAAAGTGCATAAGGAAAAACATTTTGGATTGAGGATATTAAATTTTCACCTGATAGTACTAAAATTGCATTTGGTGCTCATGGTACATAATCATAAGTAGAAGTATGGGAAATAGAAGGAGGCAAATTTAGTAAATAAAGTTCAATAAATATCTCATTAAATAGTAGTTTAATTAAATTAGATTGGGCTATGGATTCTATTCACTTAGTAGTAAATTCATCAACTTATGAATTGAAATTTGCAAATGTCTAATCTTTGAAGGATGTTCCAGGACCTTAAGTTAAAGAATTGGATTGGTATACATGGACATGTTTATTTGGTTTCAATGTATAAGGTATCTATAAAAAGGATGAATATTCAGTGACTGCAGTGTGTGTAGATAATTAAAAGTAGATATTGGCAACAGGAGAATATAATGGTATAATAAATCTGTATTAATATCCTGCTGTTTGTTAATTCAATTAAATTCATAAAGAATATCCTGGACATGCAAATGCTATTACAAGAATGAGATTCTCATTTGATGATAGTAAATTGATTTCAACTAGTGGTATGGATAGGGGAATATTTATTTGGAAAACAGATTGGTCTAAATCTTAATAATAGTTAATGTTATAAGATGAAAATGCTTATGGAAAATTAGATGAAGATATTGATGATTTGGCTGCTCTAGCAGTTCCATAAGAAAAAACAAGAAGACTAGGATCTGATAAATATGGTAAGGTGAGAAGAAGAGATAATCAAATAGAAAAGAATGAAGATTAATAGAATTATAATGAATAGAATGAGAAAGGAGATGAATTCACTATTATTAGACCATGGATGGGAGCTGTCAAGGAACCTTCTAATTATTATAAAGATCCATTAAACTAAAATAAATAGCCTTTAGTGGAATTAACCTTAGAATATGTTCATGGATATCGCAGTAAAGATTGTAGAAATAATGTGAAATACTTAAAGAGAGGATAGATTGTTTATAATGCAGCTGCATTAGCAGTTGTGTTAGATCCAAATTCTAATGCAAATACAAATTCAAATTCACAAAGGTTTTTCAATCATCATACAGAAGATGTAGTCTGTTTGGATGTGTCAAATGATCATTTAAAGGTTGCCACTGGATAATTAGGAGCTAATCCACTTATCTATATTTGGGAAAGCAATACTTAAGCTATTATCTGCTCATTGAAAGGTTATTTTACAAAAGGAATCTTGCAATTAGCATTTAATGAATCAGGAGATAAATTAGCTGCTATAGGAATGGATGATTGTCATTAATTATGTATTTTTGACATAGTAACTAAATCTTAAACTGGAGGAACTTTGTTGGTTAGAGATCAAATTGGTAAGGATATTGTTACAAATATTAAATGGAAAAATGATTATGAATTTGTTACATGTGGATTAAATCATCTAAAATTCTGGAAATTAGGACATGGAGGTTTGACTTTTAGTAAAGCTTATCCTTAAAAACCTCTCTCATATAAATATTTATGTGCAGCTGTCAATAATGATGATTATTTGTTAGGTGGTATAGATGGATCTTTATAAATTTATTCTGGTGGCAAATTTACTTCTTATTTCTAATATTTAGAGGCTAATAGATCATTAGAAGCAATTGATGTTTCCAAAGATTTGTAATTATATATTTATAATAATTATTAGTATTCTTATTGGAGGAGCTGATTCTAAGATTGTCATAATAGATTCCAAGACTTATAAATAAATATTATCTTTTAAACTATCAGAATGTATGAGAAATTCATTGGGTTTAGAAGTCAAATCCATTTAATTAGGTTATGATTAAAAGACTTTACTTGTATCAACTAATGCTGGAGATATAGTTGAATTAGTTACTAAAGATGCCAAAATCAATATAAATTCTAAATTTGCTGTTTCTAAAACTTTAATGAAATCTCATTGTTCCCCAAATAAGCGATCTTTGAATGAAATTTGGGGTTTAGCTATTAATCCATAAGATTCTGATTAATATTATACTTGTGGAGATGATGGAACTTTAAGATCTTGGTCAATAAGTTAAAAAAAGATGTTAAATTGCATCAAAACCAATCTAGATTCTAATGGAGTAGAAATTAAACAAGATGAAGTTGGTGAATTACCTGATAATACAAAAGGTAGATGTATAGCTGTTTCTTTGGATGGTATTTCTATATGTGTTGGATTTAAAGATGGAACATTTAGAGTAATATATTATTATATAATATTAAGATTTATGATAAAGAATTTAAATAAAAATATGTGAATAGATTAGCCAAAGAATGGATTAGTGATATCAAATTTAGTCATGATCAATCTTGGATAGCAATTGGATCACATGATAATTCCATATATATATATAGTTTTCCAGATATGAAATAACGTTACAAACCATTAAAGAAACATTCAAGTTATATTACTCATATTGATTTTTCAATAGATGGAAATCATCTTCATAGCAATTGTGGAGGGTATATAATTAAAAATTATTTTATTTAGATATGAATTATTGTTTTGGGAACTTTAAACTGGTAAATAATTACCAAATGGAGCAAATTAATTAAGAGATGAAAAATGGCTGACTTGGACTACACCATATGGATGGCCTGTTTAAGGAATATGGCCAGATATTTAAGATGGTAGTGATATCAATGCTGCTGTAAGATCAAATAAAACTTACAATGAAAAAGATAAACCACCTGATAATTATTATTTAATAGCAACTGGTGATGATAATTCTTAAATTAAAATATTTAGGTATACTCTATTTATATTATAATAGATATCCATGTGTAAAGAAAGGATCATAATATATATTAGGAAGAGGACATTCATCACATATTACCAACATTGCATGGTCTATGGAAGATCATTATCTATTTAGTATTGGAGGTGAAGACAATTCTATTTTCTAATGGAAAGTAAGTAAATTGAGATGAAATATTGTTAAAAATTAACAATTATATTTATTTAATAATATAATAATTATTTATCTTTTACATTGATAACATTTCTTATAAATAGAATATTGAACTAAATATTTGATACTTGTTTTTTAAATATTCAAAAGGTTATGCAAACAATAATTTCTACCCTTATCTGGAACTGTTGTTTTTTCCAATTAATAGAGAACAATTAATCCTTCAAATAATCTCTTTGTTACAAGAGCCTCTGTAACTCCGAATCTGGCTGATAGTCAAATATCAGCTGTTCCTTCTTAATCCATAGATGAGTGTTCTCCACCTGTTCCTCTTGCTTTTAATCTAATAGATTTTGCTTTTTCTTTTAAATTAGTTTCATCTGTTCCTTTTTTACTAATATTTGGGAACTTACCTAATATGGATTATCTTTTTCCAATTCCCATATTTGTTGGACATGTTGTAATTATACCATAGACTGGATGTTTAGCAAATTTTAAACCACTTTTTTCAATTCCTGTTAATAATTCATGAAGAGATTAATCAACTTTACCTAAATCATTACCTTAAACTATTGAAATAATTCTTAATTAATCTTCTTCAACTACCCAAACCATTTTAGTTTCATCTTAACTTAACCAGATTCCTCTTCCATATGGCCAATCAGATGCTACATCATTTGACATTAAATAATTATCACTTGTCATATCTATGAATAAGAAGTGTTTTTTTCTTAATTCATCAGCTTCTTGATCAGATATAAAATTCTTATGACCTGGTGTTAGACTATGAGATTTTCCTGGTATTCCAAAAGTTTACAAATACATTCACCATTTGATTCTCAAATTTAATCCTTTCATCTTTATCAATTGATAATGATAAATTAATTTATAAATAACTTTATCACTTCATTATTTAAAAAAAAAAGTATATAAATTCATAAAAATTAATACAACATAATAGTATCACTTAACTCCCATATTAAACTACTGTGTTCCTTATTTATATTATAATATACTTCTGTTTAAGTAATTTATATTTCTCTATATTATTTATAATTATTATTATTATGTCTGTTCATACAAGTCCTAAAAATTCATTCTTAAGCTCTGCTCGTACAAGACCTTAAACAGCAGTGACAAGTCCTAGAATACCTTAAATATAGTAATCAAATTACATATCTTAGAATATCTATTCCAAATGATGAACAAGATCAATAAATATAGATCAACAAATATAATGCCACTACAAGTCTTACTCCAAAAAGTCTGATGAAATTATAAGATAGGAAATTTCATGTAGAACCAAGATCTGAAAATATATCAAGCAATTTAAGGGTTACAAAAGAATAAGCAGAAATTGATCCACCAGAGGATTATTTTGAAAAAGAAGTTTAAATTAATTAAGATGAATATGAACAATTTAAAAAGAACTTTCATAGGATTGTTTTTGATGCTTTTGGCAATTATATTTATACTAAACCAGGACCTATTGATGAAGAATTTAAACTTTAAGTTTCAGTAAAATTATATTTTTAAATTAAGTCAGCGTTAAATACTCATAAGCAGACTTCAAGAAGCTTAAAAAAAAAACTATAAATTAAGACTCAAAGTTTCTAACCTAAGAAAACAGTTGAGAACTTAGTCAAAAGTACTTCAGAAATGGCTAAAATGAATCCAAGAAGAAGAGCAATATTAGAAATTAAATAAAAAGCAGAGAATTCTCTTTATACAATGATTAATAATCTAGCTAAAGAGAAAGTTTTAAGTGAATCTAAATCTCAATTAGAATAAGTGACACAATAAATGCTTATTTATATTGATAAATTTACAAGAGAAAAGTATCATATGCTCTATATTTAGTTAAGAACTTACAGATTAATTAGAAATGGCTAAAGGAAAAATCTTTGAATTGTAAAGTTCAAATGAAAGTTTAAATTTTAAAAATATTCAATTGCTTAAAGAAATCAAAAATTCAAAACAATAATTGGATGAACTTAAGAGAAGTACTGTTGATGTTGAAAAATTCATACCATAATTTAATATTATGACTAAAAGATTTGAAAATTTTTAAGCTGAAAAATTCATTGATAAATATGATTACTTTGAAAATTAAAATTTACTTCTTACTAAAAGAGTTTCAGATCTAGAATTAGATATTATATAACTTGAAAAATAAATTTTACATTTGTAAAAAGATTTAGAAGCTAATTAATAAATAAATAAACATCAATATGATATGAATTTTCATTCCACTACTAATAAACAAGATATACCTGATTAAGACTATGAATAATACAAAGATATGTATTTGAACTTATTCAAAAAAATTTTACAAATCTATAGTGATTGGACTACAAAATCTAAGGCTCTATTGCCTGATAAGATGGATGGAGGTCCAAGGGCCAATTTGGTTGAACCTTTAGAAATGTTATAAAATATAGAAAAAATGATAACAATTTCTTCTAGTGAAAAATTGTAATCATATTTAAGAAAAATAATTGTCAGTGCAAACTAATTATAAAGAAAATATTTAACCGAAAATGTCAATGAAAAATTTGATCCTGATAAAATTTATGAAAGAATAACTAAATTAGTTGATAATTTAAAGGCTTAAATTTCTAATCTACAAAGTCAAGTTCAGAACTATAAATAATCTTCAAATGTATTTTTGATATCTTATATAGTGTTTAACTTAAATACATACATAGAGATCTAAGTCTTTTTTTCATGAGAAAGAATAAATTTAATCATGAATAACTTTTATTTTTTAACATAAAAATGTTTTGTTTTTTTGATATAATTTAAATAAATTATAATATTTCAAGATAGTCTTTTAGATTAGACAAAATTCATATAGTCTTCTTTAAGTCTCTTTTCTTCACTTGCATCACTTAATTTTAAATTCTTAATAATTGAATCAGCAGATTTATATTTCCAATTAGAAACAACTTTCTCCTTAGATTCAAAATCTCTTCTGACATTCCGAAATGAAGCTTAAATAACTTATTAAATTTATTTAGCCTTTTTTTCTGGATTTTCTGACTTATATGCTTATTAGTACATCAAAGAGAGGACTAGATTATCTCTTGGAATTCTTGGTAATTTACTAATAGATTCAAAAACCTAATTCAAATCTACTTTAGAATTTGAAGATGTATTGGACATCATTGTAGGTAATTTAAGATTCAACTAGCTATTTTTTCTAGCTGGACTAGCTCTTTCGGTGGAGAATGTTCTTTCATTAAGAAAAAGATACTTACTTTTCTTTTTGACTTCTTATGCAATGATCATCATTACATTAAGTTTGTTAAGGTTTTTTAAGCAATCTTGCTTAATATTGTTGTAGAGCATTACTATAGACCCTTTATAAAATAGTTTTATTGGGAGAATTTCCAATAGAATTAACATCTTAAAAATTACTATCAGCAAGATTTTAGAAAACTTTTACTTAACTTAGTTTATCACCTTAAACTTCAATAATTTTTTTATTAACAATTTTTTTTGAAGCATCATTTCTTCTATTAGTTAATTGATCTTAAGCTGCTTGATAGATTTCATCTTTTTACACTACTTAAGATTTAGCAGTTTGATATATAAGAGTCCAATGTTTAAGTATTACTTTTGTTGTGCTTTTAAAATTTTCATAAATTTATATATTGCCTAAGTTATCAAAGAATTTAGATTGTCTAATTTTATATACTATAAGTCTAGGTGATATTACTCTTGCTCTTGTAAATCTTGGTATTTTATGGAAGACTTCAACATCTCCAAAATGTTAATTTTCACCATAAGAAGAAAGAACTAAATGTTTAGAATTCAATTATTTAGACAATTCTACTTAACCATTAATTATGAAATATAGATGATTAGATCTTTCATTTTCTTCATATAGAATTTCAGATGCTTTATAAGTAATTAAATGACACTCCAAAAGAATTCCCATAATTTCATTTAATTCAAATTCAACTTCTTTAAAAATTGGAGTTTATGTAAAATATTATATTTTATCATCCAAAGACTTACTTAAGAATGGATCAAGAAGTGTAATATAGGCTTATTCACTTAAAAATAATAGATGAGAGTTTTCAATTGCAAATACAGTAGAAGATCTTGCTATATCTAATTTGATTGCTGCCTCCCCAAAAGCACTTAAATTTAATAATAGTATTACTCTCCATTTATTAAGACTTTAAGAATGATATAATCTGGAAATGTACTCTTCAAACCATAGGGATCAGGATCATTTCTTCTCATCAATTATATTTAAGCTTTGCCTTCTAATTCCTGCTCTAATTTTTTAGAACCAACCATTTTCTCTCTTGGTTTCATTACTACACATTTACCATCCAAGATGATGTAATATTTTTTATTTTGGTCTCCTTATCTATAAACTGCAGTGTTAGCAGGAACATATAAATATCTATAAATCTATAATAAAATTACCTTAATTCAGAGAAAACCTTATTCATAACTTCAGGTGGAACTTACTCTTTCATCAATCTTATGGCTCTAACCATTTGCAATTATTCTATCAATACTGGAGAAGTTGGAAATATAAAATTAGGCAGACTTTTAGCCATTAATCTAGATGGCTTTCTACCTACTTTAGGAGTATTTTCATAATCTATTTATGGTCTATTATTTAACTCTTATTTTATGGCTTCAATATCCAAAAACTTTTTCTATCTTTTTGTTTCTTTGTTACCATTTTGTAAGAGTAGTTATTATTATTGCTATTCTTCTTCTGAATCTGAGTTATTTTGAGGTTTCTTAAAATCAAAAAGTTAACGATCAGAAACAGCGAATTATGAAGGCATAATCATTTTTAGATAAAATATAAAATGACTAAAGATTATATTATAAACTTTTAATAAAGTCTATTATATACTTTATTATGTTGTCTTCTTCTTTTGATTAAATCAAATTATATTTGTTATTAATTCATCTAATCTTATAATGATTTGAGAATAGATAGAAAAAAGTATTAAGATAAAATTTATAAAATAGTATTATCAAAGTACAAATTCAATTAGACTCTAATTATGCAAATACTTCTGCTATCATCTCTAATTTAACAGGTTTAGTAATAAAGGCATCAAATCCAACATTTTCACACCTTTCCTATTCACTTTCATCATCAAATCCTGATATCGCAATTATTTTTACATCTTCTATGAGTTATTAAGCAATCTTTTTTTAAATAATAATATTACCATCTCTCTTATCTTAGTTGCTGCTTTCCAGCCATTCAAAATTGGCATAAAAAGATCCATTAAAACATATTTAATATTCTTGCTTTTCTAAAATGTTTATAACTATACATATAGAATATATATAATTACTTTATTAACAGCTTATTAACCATTATAAGCTTCTAAAAATGAAACATTTGATGAAATATCTTATAATAACAATTTCAAAGCCAAAACGTTAAATGGTTGATCATCAACAATTAATATTGTAAATATTTTATTTTATAAAATCCTTTATAATCTTGATCTAGGATCTATGATTTCTTATGAATCATCTAAATTCTATTCTTTAATTTTTATTCTGCTTGGAGTTGGTGATCTTAAATTTTATAATATATTTATGTTTTGTAATTTCTATTATCCTTCATCCTCATATTCTGGATTAAAATCAAAACCTGCTTCTGTATCATTTTTATCTACAGGTCTTGTATAAACACGTAAAACTGATGATCTTACAAATTTTTATTACATCTATTCCTATTCATCAATTAATGATGAACTATCAACATTAAAATTTTTAGAGCTACTCTCCTATTTAAAGACACTAATATAATTAGGAGATCTTTTTGGATCATCAGGTAATCTAGAATAAATTTGAAATGACATTTTAGTTCCTTTGTTTTATTCACTCCATAGTTCAATTTTCTCAGATGGACCCAGTAATTTAATAAGTTTTTTACAAACCATTAATCCAATACCAGTTCCACTTTTATTTTGAACATCCTTACTTGGAAATGTTGCATACATATTAAATAATTTAGGTTTAATTAAATCTGAGATACCACAACCTGTATCTTAAATAGATATAGTATAAACCATTCTATTTTATCCAGATTAAGACTAAAAAGATTTTCCAGATAATTATTTACGCAATTATCCAATTGTTTATTAATTTTATTATTAATTAAGTACATTTTTAGATGAAACTGCCCTTACTATATGATTAGCTTTGTCAGTTTGTAAAGATTCAACTGATATTTTAATTGATCCTTGTTCAGTAAATTTTAATGAATTAGAAATAAAATTCATAAGAATTTATTTGATACGATTAGGATCACTATAAATTTAATATGATGGTATGTCATAATGTGTTTATATAACAACTCCTTTTTGTTCTGCTTAAATAGCAATTAATTCAATAACCTCATCTATAACTTCATTTAAGTAAAAATTACTAACACTTAATCTTAATTAATTTTTTTAGATCCTAGCAAAATCTAAAATATCATATATCATGTATAACATTAAATATACATTTTTTCTAATTATTCTCAAATAATATTTAGAAGCTGCATTAAGATTGTATTTCTCTTCCATAGCTTCTACAATAGTACAGATTCCATTAATGGGAGTTTTAAAATCATGAAATACTGTTGCCAATATTTAATCTTTATTTTCATTCTATTTTTTACTTTCTTCAAGTTCTTCAGTTAATATTTGTAATAATTTTTAGTTCTCTAAATCTTTTAATGAAATCATAAATGCTTCTTTATTCTTCCATATGCAATACTAAACTATTATATTTATTCTCTTTTATTTTAATTCATTAATTCCAAATAATTTATATTAACTATCCTTAAATCTAAATTTGCTCTTTCCATATTTTTGATTATCATCATTAAATTAATTGGAAACTGGACATTTTAAATTTTCTATTTATGATTTTGGACTATCAAAATTTATCAATTCATGCTTTTCTTAATTGATTTCATCTTACAATAATGTAGTTAATTTTTTATTTTATTGTGTTTCTACATAATAATAATCTTCATTTGATATTTCTTTCAATTTTAGATATTATACTTGACTTTTTTATTCAAATGATAATTTTTATTCATCAAAAATGCTCCTAAGAGTTTTTTGTGAAGAGTCTTAAAATTATTAAAGACACTGTATAAAATAATCTTGATTTGTAGAAGTATAATTAAATTATGATTCCATTTGATTGGTATGAAATAGGGGCTCTCTTGTTTAAGCATCTAATATTAGAAGTGGATTTGTTAATGTTGTTTAAAAAAAATCAATAATTGAAGAAGAAAGATTCTCTTGAGATTAATCAATAATAAATATAAGAGGAACATAAGCTAATCCTAAGTATGGAAACATATTCAAATAAAATTATAATCTGATTACAAGGTAAAAATAAGTTACTGAAAATAGAATGATTCGAAAAGTAATTCTTTCTATTTATGTTGTTAAAATAAATAATCTGAGACATAGAAACAAAATATATTCCTATTTATTAATATAGTTTATACAGAAGATTAAAGAGATCCTAAGTATTCAATCTATAATATTTAGCATAAAAGGTATGAAACGCCTAAAAATGTTTCTCTTATTAGGTCATTTAAAAACCTTTTATATTACAAAATAATAAATGCAATCATCAAAATAAGCTCTGCTATGAATATTATACTAAAGTTAAAACAACAGCTAGTCTAAATAAAACTGACTATTCCAGCAATTAAACTAATCGTCGCATCACAGAATCCGAAATATAGTAATCTATTATTCATATTAAATTAAAATTATTATAAATCAATTCTTCACATCCAATAATCAACTATTTTTCAAATTTCAAATCTCTTATTTGAGCAAAAAATAAAAAAAATTTATAATTTTATCATCTTATTGTAGCTTATCAACTCATAAATAATGGTAAAAATTGCTAATTAATTAAGATTTAATATATAATAATCCATTAATTAATAGTTTTCATTAGACTTTTTTGAATTAAGTGATAAAATATAAAATAGTTAATATTTTTTAATATCTATAAATTTTAATAAGATAATCATCTTTTTATATCAATGATATTCAAATATAATATTTTAATAATAGGTATTGTTTATTGTGTTAAGATTTATCTTAAAATGATTTTTAATTTTAATAAAAGCATGAAAAATATATAAAATTTATAAGTAAATCTATATAATAACTTATTGAATTTGAAAAAAAAAAGAACTCAATTGTCTTCTTTAAATATTTATTAATTCATGATATTTAAGATTTATTTAAATTTGTATCTCATAGTAATTTATTTATATTATACTTATAAATTATTTTAAATTTTATTTCATGAATAATTACTTGAGTGATATAAAATAAATAACACATGAAAAATATCAAGAACTAATATAAAACGAAAAAGTTAATTAAAATGCTGTTTTAGCTTCAATCTCATTAGTTTAAAAAGAATAAAATGTAATTTTATGTTCTTTAGGAACAGGATCAAAAGCAGTAGGATTAAATCATATGAATGAATAAAATCATTGTTTACATTCTTGTCATGCAGAAGTTATTGCTAAAAGAGGGTTTTAATTATGGTTATATGAAGTATTCTCTAAACCTAATGAAATTGATAAATATTTTGAAAAAAAAGAAACTAAATATTCATTAAAGAATGATTATAAAGTTTGCTTTTATGTAACTTAACCACCTTGTGGATAGGCATAATTATTTCCAGAATCAAAAATATATGGAATGAGTGCAGCAAGACCTTTTTCAGAGTTTTTTAAAGAAACAGAAAATATTCCAAATTGTGATTCCTAAAGATTAAGAAGTACTCCAGCCAATTCTAAAACACCAATTTAATAAAAGAATCCAAGTTTTTGTTGTTCAGATAAACTTATGATTTGGAATATAGTAGGAATTCAAGGTGCATTATTGAATTAATACATTAATCCAATTTATATTGATAATTTAATCATTGAATTTAGAGAGCATTTTAGTTTGAAATAAGTATTTGATGTGAGAAAAAGATCAGGTAAAAATAAGAATGATATTTTAAAAATAAATAATAAATTAATCAGCAAATCATTTAGAATCTAAAAACCAAAACTAATTTATACAAGAAAAAATCTATTTACTCATAGTCCTTATCATCCTAAAAATGATGAATTAAATAAAAGGATTAATAAAGATATAAATTAACAAAGTCTATAATCATTTAGTTATTTATATGTGGATTCTTGTGGAACTGAAAAGATTAATTCAATTAATGGTTTAAAGTGGGGACTTGCCAAAAAGGATATATCCAGATTATAATTTCTACCAAAAATAACAAAATTTTAATTGTTTTAAAAGTTTAAAAATTTATATTATTCCTTTGAATCCAAATAACTTTTATGTAATTACAGAGAAGCAAAAAATAGAAATATTAAATATTTATGTTTAAAAACCAATATAAAATAATGCTTTTAAGAGTGGAGTCTTAATAAAATTCAATATGAGTAATTTTAATGATTGGATTAAAGTATATAATGTTTTCTTTAATTTCTTATATTATTGTGAATATTTCAATATTTTATCCAATTATATAAATTATATGATTATAATGAATTAAAGAAATAAAGAATATTTTTTATATCATAAATTATCAACAATTGGTTTTAGTTATTGCAATTATTTTAAATGCTTTTATCTTAATATTTCTTTACGATATTTTTCGAATTCTGCCACAAGATTAGTATTACCATACCATGTTGGATGATAAGCAATTTTACAATAATTATCTAAAATTTCTTTTTATATTGTATTTTAATATGCTATTTTTTTTTATGGATATTAAAATTTAGATGCAACTTGAATTGCATAAATTTATGATGGATCACTTATTTATTTTAAAATCCCTTAAAATTCTTTGGGAAGTACTGTTTCTTTAACTTTTTGACCATAATAATTTAATTTTACTATATACATATATAACTCTCTAGATGTTTTATCAATAATATTAAATTCGTATATTTTTTCTTTATTCTTTTCTATTTGATGATTAATCATTTAGCTAATTGTTTTTTTTTCATTAGATATAATTTTTCTATACTCCTTACTTAACAATCTCATTTAAAACACTTATTTCAATTCTAAGTATGGGATTACAAATCTAATAACCTTTTTAAACTTCTTAGATTGTTTTGAAATGGTATATTGATTTTTTGATGTAATTAATTTAAGCATCTCTTGTTATTAATTAAATTCTAACCAGAGCTACTCTAAGTTATGTGATAGACTAATAGATTTTTACTATAAAATTTCTAAGTCTTTTTAGGCTTAAGAGGTTTCCATCTATGATTCTCTAAATAAATTATATTTATTATAAGTATTAAAATAATATATTTATTTTTTTTTTGATATTTAAGATAATATTATAAAAAATTATGTCATCTTCTTTATAAGAATTGTTTAGATAGATTTAAATAATTATTATGTTTAATTTTATTACTGAGAATATACAAATTATTAATTTTATGATAAAAATTTATGTATTATAATTGATTACATGAAATATGTTTAAAATTATAGATTGATATTCTATTTATTTAATGATTAGGAATAAAATTGAGAAAATTTTTAATTATATTTAAGTTATAAACTAAAAATCAAAGTTCAATTATTTTACAAACGTTCAGATCTAAATCTTCTTGATTATTTAGGCTATTCATTTTGTCTTCTTATTTCATTATACAAATCTTCATCTTTTCCATTTTCACAATGATTACAATTACATTCTACAGTACAATGTTTCTATCTGATATAGCATTCACAATATCGTTTTTAGCATCTGGTCTTTTTACAATTACATCCCCATATATCCTTTGTTTCAAATAATTTCTCCTAAGGCACTTTTTTATTTCTATGTGCCTTTTTCTTTATATATTCAACTGCCTCATCTCTTTAATCGATATTATTATTAGTATTTTGACAATCTTCACATTTACATGATTCTACACAAGTTTAACCATTATGAAAGCATGAACAATACATTTTAAGACAATTAGTTTTAGTACAACTACATGGTTACCATTTTGCAATATCATTTTTAGGACTTTCTTCTTTCTTTTCATCTATATCTATAAATTTATTGATCACCATATGTAATTAATCATTGTTATCAATAGCAGAATTTCTTATTTAGTATTAAATACATTTTACAATTTTCTTAATTTTAGTAATTTTGGAGATTGTTTGTTCTCTAAATCAATCTCACTAAACTCAGAACATTTACTCCAAACCAATAATAATTTTGGTGGTCTAATCTCTTCTGATAGTTCAGGATTACTCATACAATAATTTTTAAATATTATATATTTAATATAAATTTATAAAAAGAAACTTCAATTTCTAATAATTATAGCTAGATGGCCCTTTTCATTAAGATTTATAACTTTATTTCTATTCATTATATTTAGAAATCAATTATAGCTTTTTAAAAATATTTTTAATATTATAATATTATAAGCTATTAAATTTTCTGATAATTTGATTATTAATAATAAAAATTGTGATTTCAAATAGTTGAAATAAATAATAAAAATTATTGTCTCATAAATTTAAATTTAACTTTAAATGAATATCTGATAAATTTGTATTTGAGTCAAGAATTCATAAATTATTATTGTAAAAAGAAAGATACTAAATTTAATTTATAAATAAAAAGATGTTAAGAAAATTTTGTATAAAAAATATAATTTTATAATTACAAATCAAGTTAATAAGAATAGTTTATTCTCAAAATTTATGTTAATTCAATTGAGGATCTTATTCAACTTTTATAAAATCTGATGTATAAGAATATGTTAATGAAAAATAAAGATTTAGATTTATTGATTATCTATTATAAAATATAATGCCTAAAATTAAGTTAGAATTTAACAAATATATTCTAATCTTTAATTAGATTAAGAGAAGCATTAATAATATTATGTAATAAGAAAATTAATACATTTTTATTTATTATTAATATAAATGTATTAATTTCACTAAAATGAAGATCTCAATTATGATGAATTTGATCCTGATAATTTGGATATTGAAGATGTAGTAAAGTAAAGATGGAAATAAAGAAAAGGAAATGTAGTTGGAATGCAAAATAATAGATTACCTCCGATAAGAAAAAAATTTATAGATGTAATTAATAAGTTTTTTATTCAGCCAATAATATCATAAACACATCAAATTGAAGAATTTTTAAAAATTCATTAAATATCATTCAAAACACCAGATGGAAAACTTCCTGCTGATCCTTTTTTATCTTGGGATTGTTTAAAACTTCCCCCAAAATTTAAAAATGTAATCGATTAGCTTAAATTTAGTGATCCTACTCCTATTTAATCTGTAGGTAATAATTAAATATAAAAATATATAGTATTCCCATTAATTTTAAGTGGATATGATGTTATTGGAGTAGCAGAAACTGGATCAGGCAAGACATTTGGGTATTTATTACCAGGTCTTATATAATTATCTGGTCAAAGTTATCCAAATAATTTTAGAAATTAAATTAATGGACCTGAAATGTTAATTTTAGCACCTACTAGAGAATTAGTTATGCAAATCACTCAATAAGTAAAATAGTTTATGAGACCTGGAGAGGTTGCAAATGCTTATGGAGGTTTAAATAGAGATGAATAAGCATAATAAATAAAATAAAATCCAACTATTTTAGTAGCTTGTCCTGGAAGATTGAAAGACTTTTTAGATAGTGGAATTGTAGATTTATCAAAAGTGACTTATCTTGTTATAGATGAAGCTGATCGATTATTAGACATGGGATTTGAAGATGATGTTAGATATATAGTATAACAAACTAGATTTGATAGACAGACTGTTTTCTTTTCTGCAACTTGGCCTAAAGCTGTAAGAAATTTATCATTTGATTTTTGTGCAGAGAATCCAATATATATTTAAGTGGGTAGATCTAATCTAACCATTAATAAAAATATAGATTAAGAGATAATTTGTTTGTATAATAATGAAAAATTATAAACATTACTTGATATATTAGATTAATTGAAAATTACTGATAAAGTATTGATATTTGCAGAAACTAGAATGAGTTGTGAATAATTATCGGTTGATATGACTAATGAAGGATATTATGCAGTTGCACTTCATGGAGATAAAACATAAAGGCAAAGAGATGAAATTATGTCATATTATAAAAAGGGTGATACTAAATTACTTTGTGCCACTGATTTAGCCTAAAGAGGATTAGATGTTTCTGATATTACAGTTGTAATCAACTATGATTTTCCAAAATTTATTGATGATTATATTCATAGAATTGGTCGAACTGGAAGAGCTGGTAGAAGAGGAAGAGCATTTAGTTTTTTTTCTTTTGAAAAAGATTCACCATAAATGGCAAGAGAATTATTAAAATTGAATAATATACATTCAATTAAATTTAATTTCTAACTTATGTAAGAAATAGCAAATGGAATAAGTAATTTTATTATAATTTAATTTAGAATAATATAGAGATCCTAATACTTTTAAGGGTACAATTAAATATGGTGGTTAAATTATGACTCATAAGAATAATCCTAAATTTAATATACCATATTTAACATAAGAGGAAAGGTCAAAATTATATATGTAGCCATATCAATATGAAAATGTGTAATATATACTGAATATAATTTAAATAGAAATAGAAATAGATAAAAGTAAAATTAAGGATAAGATCACTAAAGGCGTACTCATGGATAATACAATAATAGGTAATTTTAATAGGAAGAAAACTTTTATTAATAATAATTTAGAAATTAGGTAATTTATTAATATATTAAGTTTAGGGGCATAATAATTAGAGAAGATATTAGGATTAAAATTATAGATCATTTTAATAAGTAGAATAAAGTGATTTTCAAAGATAAAGTAGAGAAGATTATTTAGATTATGATAAAGTTAATGGTAGATAAGGAAACTAAAGAAATTAATAACCTAGATTTGGTAATCAAGGATAAGATTATCAACAACAAAATTATGGATAATAAAATAATTAATACGAAAATAATAGAAGGTATTAAGAGAATAAAATGGATTAATTTGATCAAAATAGATAACCAAAGTTTTTATATCCTGATAAAGATTAACAATTTTCAAATAATAGAGATTAATTTTAAGAAAACAGAATGTAATTCAACTATAGGGATGATTAAACAAATAAAGATTAAAGAATCTAAGTAGATACTTATCAAAGATAATAAAATCATTAAAAAGATTATTAATTTGATTAATAAAGAGATAATAATAATAATTAGAGAGATTATAGATAACAATAAAATTATAGAAATTAAAATGATTATTAATAACCTTATGGTTAAAGATAAGGTTTTAATAATTAAAGAGAAGAAAATTAAACAGAATTCTATAGAAATCAAAATCCTAATCAAAAATATTGGGGTGATAATAATAATAGGTAAGGATTTACATAAAGATAAAATGATTAATAATTCATGAAAACATCTCCTATAGATAATTATAGAGATAAAAATTTTAATTATTAAAGTAGAACAAATGAAAGAAGTAATTAAGATGGTAGAAAAGGAAATCAATTTTCATGGCAATAATAAACTAATTATTAAGATAATTAAAAGTTTAATAATTAAAATAATGATCATTACAGAGCAAATAATAGAAGAAATTTTGTGGATGTTAGTGAATCTTAAAATGATAAATAATAAATAAGGATAGATTAATTTCAATAAGCTGAATCTATTATTGAACCTAATTTTAATAACTTTAAATTTAATGAAGATTAAAATTAGGATAATTATAAAAATAATGATTACAATCAAAATTAATATCATTCTAATTAAGAATAGAATAGAAGATTTAATATAATAGAAAATGATTAAGAATAAAGAATCAATCCAAATACACAATAACCTACTATAAATAGATTTTATAATAATTAAATATAGAGTCCAAATATTCAAGTTCATCAAACAAGATTAGAATATTCTAATTAATAATAATTTGAATAAAAATAAGCTCCAAATACTTTTTACAATGAAAGATCTCAAAATTAACCTTAAGTGTATAATATAGATATATATATAGGTTTGATAGATAGAATAATTAAAATTAAGGTTCTCTTTAAGATAAAAAAATGGATTAGTTACCATTTGAAAATTAAAGATAAAATAATTAAAGACCCAATTTCATTTAATAATAGTTTCATAATAATAATTTTAGATAATCCCAAAGTGATTAATAAACTTTCAATAGGAATGAAAGAATTTAAGATGAATAATAAGAAAATGATGATGATAATGAATATAATTTTACTAGATATGATAAATATGTGGAAGATAATTGTAAATAATTTGAACTTTAATAAGTCTAAAAGTATTATAAATATTTAAATTTTAAGATCAAATGAATAAGAAGTAAATAACAGTAGAAAGAATTCAAATTAATAAGAAAATTAAAACTAAGAATAATATAATGTAGATTCTTAAGTATAATATTGAGCATCTGAAAAAAAATAATATAATAATTTATTATTATTGTGCCAAGTTTATATTAATTATAACGAATTATGAGTCGTCTTTACACATTAGAAGATGAATAGCTAGATTATGGTTTAGATTATGAAAGTGTCTTAGTAATTAAAGATCTTGATTAAAAAAAGTAAGATAAAGCAAATGACAAAGATCTATAATAATTTTTAAGTCTTTAATTTTATAGCAGACATCAATAATAACAAAAATCATCAATTAATTTAAGGAGTATTTAAAGATTAATAACTGAACAAAAAGAGAACAATAAAAAATTAAAAGAGAATAAACCAATCAATTACAAAATTAAGACTCCATCCTTAAAACCATATTAAGGATCAATTATTACACCAAAATGTTAAACAAAAACACCTTAACTTTCAAAATCAATTAAATCGACAATTACTATTACGCCGTTAAATTTTAAGGATTCTTTACAAAAAATTAAATTGTTAGTTTCTAAATAACAATAAAAACATTAGTTAGACTTTAGCAAATTTAAAAAGTCAATATATTGATTTTATAATTTGTATTAAGATTCTTTAATTTAGTTTTTTAAGTAAAATATTTGATTCCAAACCTTGAGTTGATCCATATACTTTAGATTATAATCTAAAATAAACAAAATTTTGCAATTGATTAATATCGATTTTATTATTATCAATATTTTAATATATCAAGTAGAAAACATATGTGATATAATTTAAGTATAAAATAAAGATCAATGTTGCAATTAATCTAGATATAATTGATAACTTCAAGAATTTTAACAAAAATAATACCAAATAATTTAAATTAAATTAGTTGTCTTGATATTTTGAGTCAAAATGGTAAATTTTTAGGTAAAAACAAAAATAAATTATAAATTTAATGCAAATTAATGTTAGATAATCTTCAAAAAGTAGAATATTACTAGCTATGATTGAAAACTATTAGAAATCTTCTGATGAAGAAGCTATGCTTGAGGCCTCCAAAAATAGTTCAGTTGCTTAAATTGAGAAGAGATTCAAAAAAAGTTAAGTTAATCAAAAATATCAATTTCCAAGAACAGATGAAAATAACTAGAGAATAAGCTCAGAATCTCCTATAGCAAAACAATTTTCGCCTAAAGAACATAATTAATAGAAGGACAGCTTCAAAGACCTTTTAAAAAAAATATATCTCTCTAATCTAAAGAAAAAATCAAGAAAAACTTAACTCAATCCAGAATTTATAAAATAATAATATTCAATACTACAGCAATCTCATCGTAAATCATTTTAGACTACAAATAAATCAAAATTATAATATTCTTTAAGTTAAAATAGGCTTTTAACAGATATAGGTTATAAATAAAGTTACTCAAGGGGATAGTCTCCAGAAATTAAGTAGTTTTACTCTAATCGTCAAGTTGGAACACAACTTTCTAAGTTTATGGATTATAATGCTATGGAAAAACAAAAATCTTAATAAAATTTCAATTAACAACATTCATGTAGAAGTTTTGAACTAAGATATTAATTTAACAAATCACCTTATTCATTATTGTAAAATAAAAGCTTTGATTTAATTAAATAGCTTTCATAATTTTCAAGTCTATAAAAAGTAAAATCTAAAAATAATTGATATTGCTTCAAATTATTGATTAAAATAAATATAAATTTTTATTTTTTTATCTACATCTTTTAATTTAAGCAAATTTTATTTTGGCTTTATTTTATGTAACCATATCTTTAGGTTATTAAATTTACATATCCAGTTTCAAACTAACTAATGATATTGACAATCCGTTTAAAGTTTCATTCAAAATATAATAAAATAAAACAGCAAAATAAGAAAGATCATAGCATAAGATATTTCTTTCATTCATTCAAATATAAAACTACCATATTTTTTAATTATATTAATAATAATTTTAAAGATCTAATAAATCAACAAATTTATAAATGATCATTTTCAAAGAAAATATATGTTACTTTTAAATCTAATTAATCAATTCTAAAATTCTTAAAAAAGAACCCAATGAATTATTATAACAACTGTAAATTTGTTTATAATTTTATGATCTAATAATTTTAGTTTTATAAAACTTATGTAAAACATCAATACTTTTATAATAATTGATTTCACAATATTACATAAAGTCAAGGAGAATTATTATTTTTATAAGCTAAGATTAAATCATCTTAACTCTTTAATAGTAGTATATATTTCTTTCTGAGAAAAATTCATCCTATCAATAAATTTTGAATAAGTATAATACTATAATTCATTCTGGATAGTAAATTATTGTTATCATTAGAAATTTTATTGTTTTATGTTTTAAATTATATTCATTTTTGTAATTTCTAAAAATAAAATATAAGTTATTTCTTTATATTAATATTTATTAATATTATCAATTTTTATATGAAAAAATAATAATAATAATCTAAGTCTCTTTCTAGTCGTAAACCTTTAGATAATGGTAAGTCAGTCAAGATGCAAGAAAAACTAACTAAAATATAAGAAGCCTTTAATTTTAATAAAGCATCTAAATATATTGTACTGATTATTTATAATTATAGTTTTAATCTGGATTTTAAGAGAGAGCATGGCTAATTAAAAGAGGTTATTAAGATAGGATTGATTTTAAGGACTCTGAAATAGCAGAGTTGAGAAAATATTTTTCATCATTAGATGGAGATGGATCAGGTGCTATTGGTATAGAAGAATTGGAAGACCCACTTATTGCTCTAGGCTTAGTTAATTCAAGGGAAGAAGTAGAAAAAATTATGAGTGAAGTTGATGAAGATGGAACAAACGAAATTGAATTTAAAGAGTTTCTAACAATAATGAGAGGAGTTTAGAAAGGTGGAAATGTAGATTAAGGAGAAAAAAATCCAATTTATGATTTTTTTAAAAGTAAATCATATAACAAATATTTTAGAAATGAGTAATGGTCAATTAGAAAAGGGAATGGATAAACATATTCCATTTAAGTTAAATGTTAGTTTATTTAGAAGAAAACAAATATTAAGTATAAATCAATATAAATTTAGATGCAATAACTGGTGATTAAAAAGAATTAAAAGATAAAGGATAAAAGATATTATAGGCTTATAAGAGACAGTTACTAAATTATAAACAATAAGACAGAATTAATAGAGGAGAGGATCCTAATGGTAATATATTAGATGTTGATAATAGACATCTCTTTAGATTAGTTTCCAAACAAAGATAATGGTCCTAATCCAAGAAATGGATTTCCAAAATTATAAAGAGTTATATAGCCAGAATAAACTATTGGAAATAATCATAAACACTATGATAAATGATGAGATCAATTCTGTTAAATCATAAATTTAGTATTATTAATTATCCATTCTAAATGTGAATATCATCGTTTTAAATTATAAAATTCATAATATTGATTATATTTGAATTGTAAATTTGCTAAATTAATTAACTTTTATTAATTTTAATTGGTTTTATTCAATTATCAAATAATTGTATATAATTATTTATAATATTTGATGCATATATGATAATTAATTACTTTATTTTGAAATGGATATTTTATAATTATTTATCTAATTTAGAATTAATAATTTATATTAAATCTTTTCTAATAATAAATTCAAAGTTAATAGTTTAAATAAAGAAAAATAATAATGAAAATGAATATTTAATTCTTAAATTCTTATTAACTTATGAAAATTAACTTAGAATTATTTATTTATTAATTAGTAATAAAATAAATTTCTAATTAATTCATAATAATTTCATTTTCCTAATCAAAAACTCAAATGTAGCTTTATGATGTTTTATAAATAATGTATATAATATTAATTTACTTAAGTTTATTTGTCTATAAGATAAATAAAATTAGAATTTTATGTTTACTTAAAAAAAATAAAATTTATTATATATTACTTATAATGAACTTTAAATAAAAAAATATTAGACAAACTAAAGTATAGTTTTACTATGAATAAGCATAAGAAAGAAGAAAGAAATTTTCAATAAAAAATGTTAAAACTTATTAATTATTTCGATCTCCATAGAAAAGCTCAAGAATAATTAGAAAAAATAAACTTGACATTAGTTCTACAAAATTAGGTAATTCAAGTTGTTGCTGTTCAGAATGTGGAAAAGAGTCAGTTTTTAAATAGAGAATATTCAAAATTTATACCTTTACAGAGACTTAACATTCAAAATAAGAATAGTTAAGATAGTAATAAATAATGGATCGTTACAGAAATTCTAAATATATCAAAACATTTAAGAAACTTGTTTATTGTTTGCTTTTTATTATTAGATATAAAATAGTTTAAAATATCAGATATAGATAACGACAAAGAATGAAAAAAGCATTTAAAACAAGAATAGATAATCCAAGGATGACATTTCTTAATGTTTTAGAAATTGCATCAAAGTAATTTCATATCAGTCCTAAATTTAAATCAGCAACTAATTTTGATTATGTCTTTAGCTAAAATGCTACAGCAGTAAATTCTCCTTAAGATTCAGATGAAGAATTTTATCATTTTAAACCAAGAAAATCTTTGGTACAAAAATTAACATCAGATGAATAATATATGCATAAGAAATTATCAAAATCTCAATAAAAACTATATTTAATAACTGGATTGAATACAGTTTTAAATTAATATGTTACAAAGAAATTAAACTAAACTCAATAAAAATCAATCAATTAACAATAATAAAAAATAATATAACCTCCATTACTTTCTAAACATACTTCTCCTAGATAAAATTAATCAACTTATTTACCTAATATCAAGTTAAAATAAATAAATTGAAAATATTATTGACTTAAATTTTTGGTTATTGATTGTACAATTATTATTTAAATTTCTAATCTTAAATCATATATATATTTATATTCATCTATCTTATCACTTTATATTATTTATATTAAATTTATAAATAAATGAAATAACAAAATAATGAATAATAAATTTATAAGAAATAAGAAAAGGATATTGAAAAGATAATAAATTGATAAAAAATATAAATAAAAAATATGATAAAGTGATGGAAATTTGATTTTATTAATAGAGTATTAAATTAAGCCCTAATAAATAACTAAGTAATTAGTTTATGGAGACTAAAAATCATAATAGGTAGAGCTGCAAAGTTCAATCAATTAATTTTTTCGTGAATTTAAATAAGAATATTTTATCTTTATCACCAACTTTTTTCTTCATCATTTAATTTCTCTAATCTAAAATATTACTATGGTACAATATCTTCATCGTTAATTTTTGGTATATATGGTAACAATTTTTTCTTTTCAGAAAGTTCTTACCAATTTAGTCCATAGAACCACTTATGTGATTAGATGTCTTTAAAGTCATTCTCAAATCCTATACGACTTTAACTGTCTCTTTATAGCAATTTTGTTATAAAATCTTTACATTCATAAGATATTGCATAAGTTTTTGGAAAAAATAATTCTCCTTTACAAATCATCCTAATTGCTATTTCATGATTAGGATGATAAAATGGAGAAATTCCAATCAACAATTCATAGAGTAAAATTCCTAAACTATACCAATCAGACATTCTTGTTAAATCTCCTTACAAGAGGTATTCTGGAGCAGCATATTCAACTGTAAAATTAATAGATTATACTTTTTTAAATTCTTAGTAAACTCTAAGTCTACCAAATCCAAAATCTGTTAATTAAATATAACCATTTTCATCCATTAATATATTTTCAGGTTTTAAATCTCCATATATAGTTCCACTTTCATGTAGATATGATAATCCTAAAGCTATTTATGCAATAATATATTTAGCTTCTAATTCTGAAAAATAATTTATTTCTTAAAGATGAGTGAATAAATCTCCACCTTTCACAAATTTGAAAAAAAAATGTATTTAATCCTATTATCTTAAACACAATTCTAATTTTTCTAAATATACAGATTAAATATAATTTTCTAAATGAAATTGTAATATATTAACATCAGTATCATAAGAATTAATAGTTTTGAGAACTAAGAATTGTTATTGCTTGTCAATTTTTTGGTTTATTAACAATACTTTACTAAAAGAACCTTAAGCAATAATAGCAAGTTTTTAATAATCTTCTAATCTTATTCTTAAATTTAGAGGATCATTAACATATAAAATGCTTATGTTTTTATTTTTGACATTTTTATTTTATGTAAACATCAAATTTATATATGACAATTGATAATTTTCAGGATATAACAATAATAATTTGGTTTTTGGGTGTAAAGCAATTTATTTTTTACAATCAGCTGTTGCATCATGTAAACAAAATTGATCTAGCTCTTCATTATCTACCATATAAAGCCTTAAGCCATCTTTATTATTTAATTTAAGGACAATTGATAGATAATAGAGAATGATATCTCTATTTTCTTATGATTTGAAACGATAATCACTTTCTTAAGGAACATGTAAAACAAATTCATAACTTGACCTAGAAACTGTTACTCCAAATATTTTATGAATTGAAATCTTTCTTTTAATTGATTTCTTATCAATATTATAGATGTTTTCACTAGAGATTACTATTGTCCTTTATTATTCTGTATTTCTTTTATTTATTTTTCCTGTCAATCTTGAAATTAAAACCAACTCTGATTCTGATGCTTGTTTTCTGAAATATTTTTCATTATTGATATTTAATACATCGCTGATTTACAATCTCAATTATCCAAAATAGGACAATACAATTTATTACTAATGCATATTTTAAAATTTATTATAAAATTAATACTAAATATTACAATCAATCTCTCAAATAATAATAAACTTCTAAACTACCTTTCCATTCCTATTATTTATACATTTTATATTATATAAAATTACATCATAGCTTTTATGATAATACTATATAAATAAATAAATCATTTTTTCTTGAAAATATAGTAAAACTTTATTGATATATTTAAGAATATAAAATACAACATGATTTAGAGTTTTACAATTGGGCATGTTCAAAATCAATTGAGATATTTACTTAGCTTTGTGCCAATATTAAATTTAATGAGATTGTTTGAATTTACTTTAAACATATATTAAATAATTTGAATAAGTTTTATTTTAATTTATGATTCGTATTTAGTAATTATAGAGTCAAATTGTGGAACCAGCTGGACTCAAAGGATAGTATTACGAATAAGTAAAAAATGACGATTATATGTGTATAGAGACCATAAAATAAATTGGAATGGTTTAAAAATAATGGATGGGGATATAAGGATACAAAATTTATCTTAGAATAAGATGGAGGTGTCAGATTGACTGGAAATAAATACAGATTTTCAAATTAGAGGATGATGAAATTTAAGGAATGGGCAGAAGCTAAAGTTGGAATTGATTTAAGTCTTAATTGTGAAGCATAAAATGAAATTCCTGCAGATCCACCTATAATTAATGAATAATTTATGAATGCCATTTAAGGGTAATTTAATGAGATCTCCTTTGATAATGCATAAAGAATATTACATTCTCATGGACATACAATGTAAGAGGTATATAATATATTATATATAGATTTATGAATTAAGACATGGTAAATTAGCTAGAATAGTAGATTGTGTAGTGTTTATAAATTCTCATGCTTAAGCAGAATTATTAGTCAAATTAGCTGTAGAATACAATGTAATGTTGACAGTATATGGAGGAGGAACTAATGTTACATGGGCATTATAATGTCCAAAAGAAGAAAGAAGAATGATTGTTTCTGTTGATACATCAAGAATGAATCATGTAAGATGGGTAGACAGAAAGAATATGACAGCTTTGGTTGAAACTGGAGTTACAGGAAAGGATTTAGAGAAGGAATTATCAAGATATGGAGTAGTATGTGGACATGAACCTGATTCTGTAGAATTTTCAACTCTTGGAGGTTGGATTAGTACAAGAGCATCAGGAATGAAAAAGAATCGTTATGGAAATATAGAAGATATCATTTTATCTGTTAAAGTTGTTACTCCCACTGGAACTTTATCATAAAGTTTAGATTATCCAAGAGTAAGTAGTGGTCCAGATTTGAATTAAATTGTTTTGGGATCTGAGGGTACTATAGGTATTATCACTGAAGCAGTTATTAAAATAAAAGCTCAACCTGAAGTAATATAATAATTTTATATAAAGGTTTGTAAATATGAATCAATTCTTTTCCATAACTTTGCTTTGGGTACTGAATTTATGTATAAATTATCAAGAAGTAAAGTTTGGCCAGCTTCAGTTAGATTAGTTGATAATAATTAATTTTAATTTGGAATGGCTTTGAAAACAATGCCTCATAGTAAAAGAGAAGAATTTATGGATAAGGTGAAAAAGTATTTCATCACATAATTTATGCAATATGATCCAGATTAAATGTGTTTAGTAACAGTAGTTTTTGAAGGAACTAAATAAGAAGTTGAATTTTAAGAAAAGAAAGTTTTTGAGTTGGCTAAATTTTATAANAGATTTTCAAATTAGAGGATGATGAAATTTAAGGAATGGGCAGAAGCTAAAGTTGGAATTGATTTAAGTCTTAATTGTGAAGCATAAAATGAAATTCCTGCAGATCCACCTATAATTAATGAATAATTTATGAATGCCATTTAAGGGTAATTTAATGAGATCTCCTTTGATAATGCATAAAGAATATTACATTCTCATGGACATACAATGTAAGAGGTATATAATATATTATATATAGATTTATGAATTAAGACATGGTAAATTAGCTAGAATAGTAGATTGTGTAGTGTTTATAAATTCTCATGCTTAAGCAGAATTATTAGTCAAATTAGCTGTAGAATACAATGTAATGTTGACAGTATATGGAGGAGGAACTAATGTTACATGGGCATTATAATGTCCAAAAGAAGAAAGAAGAATGATTGTTTCTGTTGATACATCAAGAATGAATCATGTAAGATGGGTAGACAGAAAGAATATGACAGCTTTGGTTGAAACTGGAGTTACAGGAAAGGATTTAGAGAAGGAATTATCAAGATATGGAGTAGTATGTGGACATGAACCTGATTCTGTAGAATTTTCAACTCTTGGAGGTTGGATTAGTACAAGAGCATCAGGAATGAAAAAGAATCGTTATGGAAATATAGAAGATATCATTTTATCTGTTAAAGTTGTTACTCCCACTGGAACTTTATCATAAAGTTTAGATTATCCAAGAGTAAGTAGTGGTCCAGATTTGAATTAAATTGTTTTGGGATCTGAGGGTACTATAGGTATTATCACTGAAGCAGTTATTAAAATAAAAGCTCAACCTGAAGTAATATAATAATTTTATATAAAGGTTTGTAAATATGAATCAATTCTTTTCCATAACTTTGCTTTGGGTACTGAATTTATGTATAAATTATCAAGAAGTAAAGTTTGGCCAGCTTCAGTTAGATTAGTTGATAATAATTAATTTTAATTTGGAATGGCTTTGAAAACAATGCCTCATAGTAAAAGAGAAGAATTTATGGATAAGGTGAAAAAGTATTTCATCACATAATTTATGCAATATGATCCAGATTAAATGTGTTTAGTAACAGTAGTTTTTGAAGGAACTAAATAAGAAGTTGAATTTTAAGAAAAGAAAGTTTTTGAGTTGGCTAAATTTTATAAGGGATTTAGAGCAGGAGCTGAAAATGGAGAAAGAGGATATTTCTTAACATATATGATTGCATATTTAAGAGATTTTGCTATGTAATTTTAATTTATTGCAGAATCTTTTGAGACAGCAGTAGGATGGAAAAATGTTCCTGCTGTTTGTGAAAATGTAAAAAAATGATTTGATTAATAGATTTAAAGAAGAATAGTAGAAGAGTGTTCAAAAAGAGGAGTTGAAAAGGAACCATTTGTTTCATTTAGAATTTCTTAAGTTTATGATACAGGAGCTACTATTTATGTTTATTTTGGTTTTGGTTATAAAGGAATTGCAGATCCAGTTAAATGTTATTCTGAGATTGAGGATGCTGCAAGAGAGGAGATAATGAAGAATGGAGGTTCAATTTCTCATCATCATGGTAAATAATTTAAATTAATTTATTTTAGGTGTTGGTAAGCTAAGGAAATAATTTATGTAAAGATAAATTGGAGATACTGGAGTAGAAATATTAAAAAAAATTAAATAATAGATAGATCCAAAGAATATATTTGGAAATTAGAATTTGATATGAAACATTTTATGAGCATATAATTATTTAAAACTAACAGTTAAATGAATTAAAATTCAATTAATTTAAATATATTTTTAAGTAAATGAACAAGTCTGATACTATTCAAAATTAAGAGAACATTGATCCAAATATTGTTAGAAATTAAGTTTCTCAATAAAAAAAGTTTTCAAGAAGTTCAGGTCAAAAAACACCTTGGAGTGGGATGTAATTATTTTCTTTAAATTTTGATTAGTACTGGAGAAATAAGTCATTCAACAAATGATGATATAGAGATCTCTTGTTTCTAAGTAGGACCAGCAAAAATATCATCACTTTCAACTAATTAAGCTATTATATGTTAAACAAGATTAGAGTAATATTTGACTTCAAATAATGTTCCTGATATTTTATCATATTTAGATGAATTTGAGGATCTTGATTGGGTTAAATCTAATTATATTACTCATATTATAGAATTAATTGTAAAACAAGAGAGAGAATATTTAAAATAAAGAATTGTTGGATTAACAGCAATATTGACTAGCAAAAATTATTTACTTAATAGATAAATTATAAAGTTGATATTTAGTGTATCATCTAGAATAGGTTAATAAGAAGGTTTTTATGCTTTACATGAAATATAACAATTATTTGAAACAATGATTTTCAAGGAGGAACTTTAATAATACAATTAAATATAATATTATCCTCTTATTGTATATTGTCATACACATTAATTATTATATTGGGGATTGGTTGGAGAATGTTGGGAACTATTAAAATTGAAATTAAATAGATAAATTGAAGAGTCATTGAAGGATGAATTTGAAAAGACAGCTTAGAAAATCTGTGATATGCTTATAAGATAATTAATAGAATTAAATAGTTCAAATAATTAATGGTATCAAATTTTCAATGAAGTTTTATATGAAGGTGTAATTAATTTACATCCATCTGATATATTTTTTAATAAATTAATTGATTATGCTTTTAGAAAGTCTTAAGTTGAAATGGCTGAATATCTATTAATATTTATGGGAGATTAATGTAAAATTCAACCAACAATTGTTACTATTAATACAATGATTGATTAATACTTTAAAAATAATCAAAAAGAAAAAGCATGGAAGACTTTTGAAAATCTTAAATTAACTTAGACAAAACCAGATAATTTTACATATACTACACTTATTAATGGATTAAAAAATTCAGATAATATGGATTTAAAATTAGCATTTTAATTATTTGAAGAATATAAATAATATAATTAGCCAGATCAAATTATTTATAATTGTCTTCTAGATGCATGTATTAATGCAGGAGACTTAAATAGAGGTTTTTAATTATTAAATGAAATGAAATAATCATAAACTATTTAATTAGATGAGATTACTTATAATACATTAATAAAAGGATGTGGAAGAAAGAAGAGATTAAATGATGCTATGAATTTATTTGAAGAAATGAAATAAATTGGTATAAAACCAAATAGAATCAGTTTTAATTCATTATTAGATTCTTGTGTAAAATGTAATAAAATGAATATTGCTTGGAGATATTTTGAAGAAATGAGAAAATAATATGGTATTTTCCCAGATAACTTTACTTATAGTATTTTAGTAAATGGAATTAAAACTAATCATTCTAATAGAGATGAATTATTAAGAGCTATAAGTCTATTAGAATAAATTTAAGAGACTGGTTAATTTAAACCAGATGAGATTCTTTATAATTCATTAATTGATGCTTGTGTTAAATTTAATGAAATATAGAAAGGTATGGAATTATTTAGAGAAATGAAAAATAAATAAATTGATCCATCATCTGTTACTTATGGAATCATAATTAAAGCATATGGAAAAATGAATGATTTGAATGGATCATTTAGAATGTTTGAAGAAATGAAATTATTAAAGATACCAATAAATGATGTCACTTATGGATGTTTAGTTGATGCATGTGTAAGAAATGATAGATTAGATCAAGCATTATAATTCATTGATTAAATGAAATCATAAAACCTTCCAATCAATACTGTTCTTTATACAACAATTATCAAAGGATTTTGTAAATTAAATTAAACTGATGAAGCAATCAAATATTTTAATCTTATGAAATAATCACCAAAGACTTATCCAAATCTTATTACATATAATTCATTATTGGATGGAATGGTAAAAAATGGATTACTCAATTAAGCAGATAAATTATTTTAAGAATTAGTTGAATCTACAATTAAACCAGATCTCATTACTTTTAGTACTTTATTAAAAGGACATTGTAGAAGAGGCAATATGAAAAGACTTAATGAGACAGTATAAATAATGGCAAAATTTTAAATTATTCCTGATGAATCTTTGTTACAATTAATTTTGGAATCTTGTCTAAATTAATAATAGTATCATATTGGAGTTTAAATATTTGATTAATTCTGTCATTAAATTCCTTAATCTATTTAATTATTATTGATAACAATTAGATTACATAGTTAAGATAAGAAACTACTATAGGCAATTCCATTATTGAATAGATTACATCAATTAATGAATGAGAATAGAATTTAACATTAATCTTTAGAATAAACTATCAATTCCTTATTATAATATTAATTGGATGAATAAGTTTATTCAATAGTTACAAATATTGTAATAATAGCCTTAAGAATGGATTTTAATCTTTCCAATTTGGAGACTTTATTATCTATATAAAATTCTTAATTAATGACTTTATTATAAAATACTACTCAAATTCCATGTAATAAATTATTACAGATATTACCATAGTTATCAAATGAAGATTAAAATATATGTAGATAATATATTAAGAAAAACAGCAAGAATGATTTAAAAGAACCATTAAATGAATAATTTGGGTAAGTATTTTTATAATGTAACAACAATAATAAGAAAAATAAAGTTTAAGAATAATCATCTCCATTTAACAATGAAAACAAAGAGAATGTCTATCATCCAAAGCGTTAGTATAATAATTATGCAAAGAATGATTTGACTGATTTCATGCCTAACAAATAATATGCAAAGAGAAGATGATTAATTAATTAATATTATAAAATCAATCATTATTAGATATTCAATAATTTCATCATTCATATTTAACATACTAAACTATATCAATAGTTAAAAATGTTAGATTATTACAATTATTCAATCTTTAGAGCTAAATGTTACATATCTCTAAAGTGTAAATTAGAATAAGCCAAATAAAAAAAAAGTTATTAGAAAATTCAGAAATGAGATAAATTGAATTGAACTCCTACTATGAATAAACTCAAATGAATAAAAATGACAAGCAATCTTATAATCAAATCTTAAATATGAATAGAATATTCATTTTTAATTGATTAGTTCTGATTAAACCTAGTTCATCTTATAATGTAAGAATTCAAATTATATAAATGAGATATGACATATCCAATATCAAGAAATGAATTTATTTCAATAAAAAGGAATCATGGTTCTTACTTATGGATTAGAATAAAAATTTACAGAATTTTAATTATAAGTGACATATTTCTAGATAATTAAAGGTTTAATCCCTATATAACAACTAAATATATAGATAATATGTTGAATCCTCATTATCATTTCATCCACTACACAATAAATATGATGTTTTGTTGTTAAAAATAAAATAATTTGAGATTGTTATTAGAAGAGTTGGAACAAAAATAAATTAATTTACTTATGCCTATTCAACATTTAGATTTTATTAAAATGTTATAGAAGTTGCATATCTTTAACAGGTTTACAAAATGATTAATATAGAGTAATTTAAAGTTTTGTTTTTTTCTCAAAATAAATGTCATCTATTTTGTATTGTCTAGAGGTATTTTCAAAAGCATTAATGTAAATTAACTGATATACTGTAATTGCTTGACTAACAGATATATGATAAATGAAGAAGATGGAAAAAATGGATAGATTACTTTTTAAAGTTAAAATTTTGAAAATCCAAATTTTAAATCAAATAATAGGAGTATCAAGAATAATCAATGAACAAACTAACATATAATAGTATATAAGATAAGAATTAGATATTATTCAGAATTAAATGAAACAGGATTAAGCATAAAAACTTATTTAAAGAGAATTGTTCAAAATATAATAAAATTATAGATATCTTACATAGATGGAACAATAAATATATCTATAATTATCAAATAAGCATTTTTAAATATGCTCATTGAAAAATAATTATTAGATTTCATAAATTTTTGGAAGTACAATAGTAGAATCCTAAGAGTATATTGATATTGGCTTAACCAAAAACATGATGATACTTCTCGAATCATCAAATTATAGAATGATGTAATTTATCTAAAAATGGTTATTAATCTGGTCTTAACCTTAGGAATAACTTGAACACTAAAGTGGAAATTGAAAGAAATATTAAAGATCTTCAACATCTAATATGAAAGGATATTATTGATAATTTGAAAATTGGAAATAATTAAAATGAATAATGAAATGGAGGTCGAAAATTCACTATAAAAGAAATAAATTAAATGATTGATTAGGCATTCTGAATTTATTTAAATAATTATATAATTAATTAATTAAAATGTCTGCTTTGGGTATTCGTGGTGAAAGAGATCAAGGTTAAGATGTTCGTACAAGTAATGTAACTGCTGTCATGGCCATTGCTAATGTTGTCAAAACTAGTCTAGGACCATAAGGATTAGATAAGATGTTAGTGGATGAAATTGGAGATGTTGTAATCACAAATGATGGAGCAACTATTCTTAAACAATTGGAAGTTGAACATCCAGCTGCAAAGGTCATTGTTGAGTTGAGTCAATTGTAAGATAAAGAAGTTGGCGATGGGACTACATCAGTTGTTATCTTAGCTGCTGAGTTACTTAAACGAGCCAATGAATTAATTAAAATAAAAGTGCATCCAACGACCATAATATCCGGTTACAAATTAGCTGCTAGGTAAGCAGTCAAATATATTCAATCTCATCTAGTGCACAAAATCACAGAGGATGACACTGAGATTTTATTCAATGCTGCCAAGACTTCGATGAATAGCAAAGTTATTGGTTCCGAGAGTCACATCTTTGCTAAATTAGCTGTCGATGCGGTCCGACTAATCAAAACTTAAGGCTTAATATCTGGTAAACCTAAGTATCCAATTCAATCTATTAATATTGTTAAAAGTCATGGATAATCATCTAATTAATCTGAATTAGTAAAAGGATATGTTATTTAATTACAAAGAGCTTCATAGCAAATGGTAACCAAAGTAAAGAATGCCAAAATTGCTTGTTTAGATATCAATTTAAATAAATTTAAAATGTAGATGGGAGTTTAAATCTTGGTTGATGATCCTTAGAATTTAGAGAAAATTAGAAAGAAGGAAATGGATGTTTTGAAAGAAAGAATTCATTTATTATTATCATCAGGAGCTAATGTGATCTTAACTTCAAAAGGAATGGATGATTTAGCTAATAAATATTTAGTAGAAGCAGGAGCTATTGGATTAAGAAGAGTTCCAAAAGAACATCTAAGGAGAATTGCTAGAGCAACAGGGGCAAAGATAATAACTACTTTTGCTAATGAAGAATCTGGAGAGTCTTTTGAAGTTTCCAGTTTAGGAGAAGCTGAAGTATAGTAATATTATAATAATAGGAAGTTTATGAAGAAGCAATTGGAGACAATGATTATATATTTTTCAAAGGAATGAAAAAGGAATAATCAGCTAGTATTATTCTTAGAGGTGCAAATGAAATGATGACTGATGAAATAGAGAGATCTATGCATGATTCATTGTGTGTTGTTAAAAGAACTTTAGAATCTGGTTCAGTTGTAGCTGGTGGTGGAGCTGTTGAAATGGCTTTAAGCATTTATTTAGATGATTTTTCTAGAACTCTAGACACAATTGAATAAATTGCTGTTGCTGAATTTGCTGAAGCATTAACTTGTATTCCAAAAATTTTAGCTACAAATGCTGCCAAAGATTCTATAGATTTGATCAGCAAATTAAGAGTTTTACATAGCAAATCTTAATCAACTTAAGTAGATGAAAAAGGATTTAAATACAGTGGTTTAGACTTAGTGAAAGGAGAAGTAAGACATAATTTAAGACATGGAATTCTTGAACCAACAGTGAGTAAAGTAAAAGCAATAAAGTAATAATAATAATAATATAATTTATAGATTTGCAACAGAGGCTGCCATAACAATATTGAGAATAGATGATATGATTAAATTAGAACCAAAGAAAGAATAAATGCCAGGAAGACATTGATTTATGATAAATGACATATATATATATATATAATATTTTTTACAACTATATAAATTAAATATTAAGTTTATTTATCAACCTCCATTTTTGTATTTGTTTATGATGAAATTATTTATAAACTAATTAGAAATCAATTCGAAATAGTAATATATGGAATCCAACTTATTTATTTAATTTTTATTTTTAATAATGAATCGAATTATTATTACAGAAATTGGAGATTCTATTCGTAAAGATTTAAAAGAAGATTGTACTTCAAATGACTTTAATTTTACTTCAAGTAAAAGATATCTTCGTTTTAAAACCAATACTAGTGAGTCTACTGTTGAATTAAAAAGATAAAATACAATAAATCCACTCTTATATCCATAAGAACTTGTCTCTATAGCTTAAACAAAATTATATAATATGGCAAAGCTTTCTCTTTAAGGTTAAACTGAATAATTGAAGAATTGCATATAGTAGGATCTCAATCTACCAAAAAAGAGTTCCTACTTAAATAAGAATTTAGACAAATTAGTACATAAAATTGTTGATAATTAAGGTATTTATAATATTTCTAAAAGATTGAGATTAATTTACAAAGAGAAAAAGTTAGTTGCTTAAAAAACTTTTGTTAATAAAATAAAGTGATAGAAGTAAATCGAATTATACTTTGGCTTTTAAAGACAATGAGAAAGTTTAAACTATTCTTTAAGTTCCATCTATTATGAATGCTGAAGGAAAATTAGAATAATTGTAGAGAAGATTTTAGAGACAGAATCAAGCTGATTCAAAAATGAGATAAAGATTGGCTAGTTGTTTAGAATAAAGTTAAGAAAGAAGTTTAAGTAGATTTAATATAAATTTTTCTGGTTTTAAGATATCAAGAAAGGAATTAACAAATAAAAATAACTCTTAAGTCAGAATAAGAATTTAATAAAATTGTTGCAATAAATAAATTAATACTGATTGATAAATTATATATTATATATAAAATGAATAGACTATTGATTACAGAATTAGGAGATACTATGAGAACAGAAATGAAAAGAGATATGACTAAAACTATTAAATCTAATAGAACTATTCTAAAAACTTAATTCCCAGAAATAAAGAATAACTTTGGTAGTTCTGCTCTTTTTATGGAGATTGATAAAACATAGAATCCACTCTATTAAAAAAGTCTTTCTGATTAAGCTCTTTTAAATCTATCTAAGGTTGCCAATCTTTCTTTGTTTGGACCAAAAAATAGATAGAGTTTAGAAAATCACTTAAGAGAGGATCTATTAATCAAGAAGTAGAAGGATTATTTGAATATATGTTTAGATAAGTAAGTCGAGAAAATTCTTGATGATAAGAGTATTTAAATATAAATAATAATTAGATTTGATGAGTAAAAGGAAAAGATAGTTACTGAACGAGTTGAAGAGATTAGAGGCTAAAGAGAAATAGAAACAGTTTCATCATTTTCCTACTGAATAATCATAATTTAGTTCCATAATTGAAGATACTGATAGGGAGAATAAATTAATGTCAATAGTGAATGCTGAGGGTAAGTTATTGTAATTGAAGAGAAGATATGAAAAAAAATAATAAGAGGAATAAAAAATGAAGGAATAGGTAAAAATGAATTATTGCAAATTTAAAGACAATTAAATTATGCATATAGAGGCTTTATAAATAATGGATCATGAAAAAATGGAGAATGATGTAAAGGATATTTTCATGAATAAGGATTTATCTGAAACGAGATTCATTGAAAGATTGAATGAGAAACATTTGAAAGAGAAAGTTTAAATTTGGAAATAACATCACTTTCCTTAACAACATAGGAAATGGTTATCAAAATGATTAAATATAATAAAATTAAATTGATAAAAATGACAAGAGCAATTAATCTAAAATTATAAGATAAATTAATTCTTATAGAGATGCCAAATGATGCAAATTTGAGTGATCTTTTTAAAAGAGTAATAATTAATTATAGAAATAGATAAAAGAACATCCTTTGACTCCAAATCCAAATTAACTGATTGGACTAAAGACTGTATCTGGAGCATTAACTTTAGATTATATTCTATCAAGACCTGAAGATAGAAGTATAAAATAATAATGATTAGGTTTATTTCCATTAAATAAATTGAAGTAGAATGAGTGGTTGATGGGAATTTATAAATAATAAACAGGATAGTTAAGTTTGAAAGATTTTGTATTTGAAAAATGTATAGGGAAAGGAGGAACGTCTGAAGTATATTTGATAAGACATAAAGCAAATGCAAGACTTTATGCACTGAAAATGATAAAAAAGCATTATATTACAGATTGTAGACGTTTAGAATAGGTATTAAGAGAAAAGAAAATATTATCGAATGTATTAAATTAAAGTCCATTTATTGTACCATTATATGCAACATTTGCAACTAGAGAACACTTATGTTTCTTAATGGAATACAGTCCAGGAGGAGAGATGTTCTTTCATCTATAAAATTATAGATTTACAGAGGAAGAAGCTAAGAAGTACTTTTGTGAAGTAATTTGTACATTAGAAGAATTACATAAACATAAAGTACTTTATAGAGATTTAAAGGTATTATTTAAATAGATAATAATAGCCTGAGAATATTTTGATAGATATTAAAGGTCATATTTAATTAACAGATTTTGGTCTATCTAAATTAGATTTGATGAATGAAGATGTAACACATAGTTTTTGTGGTTCTCCAGAGTATATGCCTCCAGAAATTGTAAAGTAAGATTATTTACTATTTTAGTCGATAAGGATATTCATATCCTGCTGACTTTTACACTTTAGGCTGTTTATTACATGAATTACTTTTGGGATTACCACCACATTATTCTTAAAATACTGATGAAATCTTTTAGAAGATAATTAATGATGAATTAGAATTACCAGATGATCTTACTGAAGAAGTTACTTAATTATTAATAGATTTATTGGAAAAAGATGTTAGTAAACGTATAAAGGATTTCAAAGTTTTAAAGAAATATTAATGGTTAAGCAATGTGAATTGGGATACTATAAAAAATAAATAATTATAAATGCCTATTGAAATAGATATTTATGAAACTCATATTCATGGAGAATTCTTAAAGGTAGATGTAACTGAGTTTAATCAAAAAAATGAAACAGGTGATTTAAAACCTTAGGATGACTTGTTTGAGTTCTTTAATTATATTAATCCTATATATTAGGATTAATTCTTGATAGAATCAAAATAATAGAATATCAAAAATAGAGCAACAAGTGATTTGATAATGGAAAAGAAATAAAAATTAGTATTAAATGAAAAACAATAAAATGTGAATCCAAATTAAATTAAAAAATGTAATTCGGTTAAATAATCTCTGAAATCTGCTAGTTCTCCAAGAATCAACAATCAATTATTTAGTACTGGCCATCATAGTACTCAAAATTCACCAAAGAAACAACTTCAATTAAATTTATAAGATATTGATAATCAATTAAGTATGAAAACACCAAAATAACCTAAATCTTTAACTGGAACAACTCCAACAGCTGCTACTTTGGCTCTTTTAAGAAAGAGTTTTTAGACTCTGTTAAAGAAAGCTCCATCATTGAGGAATCAAGATAATAACCCTACTTTGAGAACTCTATTATCAGAAAGATCTTTAATGGATAGGAATTATGTTAATCATATATAATTATAATTAGATTTAAAAAATAATACAATTATAACATAGTAGTCCAACCAATAGAGAGTTGTCATAAAGACCACCTTAACAATTGCAGAAAAGAATTTCAAGCACATCTACACATCTTAAATCCTAGTTATCATAATTATCACTCTTTACTTTATCTTCATAAATTACTTAAAGAGGTAGTATCTCACATAGACCAAAACTTAAATGATGATTTTATTATTATTATATATATATATATATAGATGTTATTTCATCCTTCAGCTTCATCTATTTCATCATTTCCAGGATAATCTCCATTTGGAATTCCATTTGGAACACCTCCAATTATACCAATTTAATTTGCTGTCTTATTAAATATAGGAATAATGGATAATAATGCAGGATCACCAAAGACCATGAAAGGAGGACCACTCAAATAAGACATCATGACTTGACAGACATCTCCACTAGCTAATATATTAATTTATTAAATTAACCTGCTACATAGTACCCTTATAATAAGTTGAAAAAGGGAATTGTCACATTAACAACATTAAATGAAACTGTGATATTTGGGAGGTAAGCCAAAGAATCAGCAGTTGATTAACAAGGACAATAAATACCACCACTCATAAAACAACCTGCAGGTATTAAATAATCTTAAAGGATAACTCCATAAAGAGATTCAGTTACTAATAAATCAGTAGTTCCTGAATCTAAAATTGCAGATTAGACAGATCCCATTAATGATGAATAATCTTTTCCATTAATAGTAAAACTATTAATAAACAATTTCCATCTATAAATATCATTAGGAATAACCCATTAAACTTAACTCATTAAATTAGGATCTATGTCTCCAAAAATCAAATAAGATTCTAAAGGAGATTAATTCAATACTAAGCCATACAATTCGGTTGGTATCTAACCTGCATTAAAAGAAGTTTAAAATATATTTGTAAATGATTGATTGTTAGAAATACCCATTATACCATCCATAACTGTAGGGAATGCAAAACCTTGTTCCATAGTTGCAAACATCATAGCAAATGTTGTATTTATTACTGTATCCTGTATATTTACAATATCTGTTGCAACATATCCACTACATTCTCCACTTCCGTAGGCTTAATAATAAGTACTACCATTTGGTTAAAAATATTTTTATCCATTAGGATTATATCTAGTTGAAATATCACATCTTGAACAATCAGTGTAAGGAACCCATAAAATATTAGAGCCTGTATCAATTTAGACTGTAAAATTTTGAGCTGGAACACCTATTGAAATATAAACTAACCATAAGGTTTATTCATAGTTCTCAAGGGTTGAATTCATACTCAAAGTTCCTTAAACAGTATTCCAATTAGTTTAGGCGTAGTTGGTGTTCTCTCCAAAAATTGAAACCACTAATGATGTAATTAGTATTAACTTTTGCATTAATATAATAAATAATAAACTTGTTATATATATTGATTAATATTTTATAATACAATATTTAATTATTTAATAATCATTAATGAATAAAACTATGTTATCTTAGAATTAGAATTATTTTTGTTAAATCTTAAATTAAAATAAACTACTTTACTTGAATATGAAAGATTTATTAAATTCTAAACAACTACTCTTCTGATTTTCTATTATAAACTTTGGTTAAATTGCTTTTTAAAGTTTTTAGAGACACAAGAAATATTTAAAATAAAGTAATAAAATAATAAACTCTCTCTCTCTTTTAAATAAATTTAAATTATACATAAGCATAAGGATTACTTAAAAATTCAAAAATATTTAAGTATTTTTTATTTTGAAAGAATATTAATTTATATTAAAAAAGCCATGTATATATTTATACATTTAAATTCATTACCAATTTCTAAGAACTAGTTAAATATATACTAAAGACTTTTGTTTATATTTTAATTATATTATTTATTTAATAAACGAAGTAGAAAAATTATTAATTTCTTTTAGGGAACTAAATGCAAATAATATCAATTAAAAGTATTAAATTTAATAATCAGTTAGTCACTTTCATTAAATTTACATGATGACAAAAGATACAAAATTTGTGAGTAAATTTCTCTAAAAATATTTTCAATAATTCTAAATATAAAGTTAGATTTAAAAACAGTGATGTATTTATTTAGGAGTATCTATTTATATTAAAAATTCTATGAGTAATTCTGTTTCACAAGTTAATGTAATAAACTTAAAATACTTCAAAATAAGAAATTACATAAAAGTAAATGTCTTAAAGCTACTTCAATATTAATTATTTCTAATGTTAATAAATGATTATATTTAATATTTATTAAATTTGCCAAATAATAATAATCTGTGCACTTTCTGTTGAATATATATTTAATGTTTAATTAATATGATATATATCTTAAATTATTATTACAAATTATCAATTGATATATATGGGTACTTAACTAAAGTTATTTTATATTAGCTAGATAAAGTACTGCCACAAAAAAGACATAGACAGTTAAGAAATAAACTACAAAAAAGGTTTCAAAAGTGATTTAGAAGAAAGTGCCTAAAAAGGTAGTAAAGAAAGTTCTACCCAAAAAGGTTGTACCTGCAAAAAAGAAAGTTGTTCCTAAAAAAACATAAAAATAAACAGTAACTAAGACAGCACCTGTTAAAAAAGTTGTAACTAAAAAAGCTAAGGTTGTTCCCGCCAAAAAATAAGTTTCAAAAAAATAGAATGTTAAAGAATAGAAAGATGATAAAAAGAAAGTGTTAAAGCCAGTTACTCCTAAGGCTGATGCTACACCTAAAGTACCAGCTAAATATGCAGCATACACTTTAGATTAATATTAAGCTTATTAAAAGGCAATTAAAGAATGGTCAGCAAAAACAAATTAACAAATTAAGGATAATCTTAGAAAGAATTTATAGAGCATGACAGGAAACAAAGATGAATTGTTGAATAAGATTGCTGATGGAATAGTATTAGGATCAATACCAAGATGTCCACATTGTTTTGGTGGAAGACCAAAATTTAATTAAGCTACAGGAACGTAACATATTAAAACTTAATCTTAGTTATTTCTGTGTTGGATATAGAGATGACACTGATTTTAAATTCTGTAATAAAGCTATAGCAAATTTGGATAGAACTCCTTGGTAGCTTTGAATTATCAATTAAAAAAATACAAAAACATAATGTTTGCACTAAGGTACATCACTATATATTTAATGATTTAATAGTGTTTATGCCTATTCCATCCATTCCATCCAATTAATTTTCTAAAATATTTTAATTCCATTCCTATATGTCTTATTATTTTATCATATTTATTTTTATTATTTTTATTATTAAATGAAGTAAATTTAAAGTTAATTTAATCATCAACTAATAGGAAAGATTCCCAATCAATTGAGTACATATTATTTATTATTAAGGTAGTTCATATAGAAAAATTAATGATCATATACTTGCTTATTAAAATAAAATATAAGTCATAAAAGATAATAATTAATATGACTTAAATATAATTACTCCAGGATATTTAAAATGCAATAAATTTTAATATATGTTTAATTGGAAAATCAATTTTATTGATAGTCAACTTTGCTAATTTTCTAAAGATGAATTTTATTAAATTTATTTATACAATTGTTTTCTTTTAGGAGATTGTTATAAAGCAAATAGTTTATCTTATATATAATAAAAATATAGACCTTTTGAATCATATTTTGATATTAGGAATGAGAACAGAAATAATATATTATTATATGGAGAAAACATGAATGAATTTAATTAATTTAAACTATCAAATTCAGTTCAAAATGAATTTACAGATTTTAATAGAATTTATGTTAATAAAAGGAATCCATTTGTATCATTTTCTGTTTATGATATAATTAATAGTAATGATAAGGCAATATCATATTTCTAGAAATTGATTTAATAAAAAGCATTTCAGAATATAGATGAAGCATTATAATATTATGGAGTAACTCTAAATGAAATAGAAGAATTAAATGTTCATTAATTATTACATTTAGATAAACTAATACCTGGAAATGTACAATCATATAGATAGAATTATCAGAATTTTCATGAATATATAGCTTTTAGTGCATATACTTTACATATAAATTAATTTCATAGGAATGTACCAAATATGGCATTTAGCACTAATGAATGTGAATAATGTAATTCATATAATCCAGCAGAATATTGTACATCACTCAAACCTATTCAACCTTTAAAGTAACCTTAATTAATACCAATTCAATAATTATAAGAATATCCTTTAAATTATAAAACATATGATATTATTTGCATACTCTATCATTCATTAATATGCTAATTTAAAATTTGGAGTCATCAAGATTCTGTTGAAAGCATATTAAATTATTAAGTGGTTGAAGAATCTATAGTTACTTCATCATCCAATTTCAAAAGAAACTATGAAAATTTAGAATTATTGGGTGATTCTGTTTTGAAATATGTAGTAACTGTAGATATCTTTAAATAATATGAATTATTAGATGAAGGAGAAATGACATCTTTACGTAGTCGTTTAATAATGAATACCTTTTTGGCTTAATTATTTGAATAATTAGGTCTAGAATAATATATAATCAATTAGGATTTGCATTTCAAATAAATTAGGAATCCATTAGTCAATGATATTATATCTAGTGAAAATAAACAATTATAAATTAGTCAAAAAGCAGATATTTATGAAGCAATTATTGGTGGAGTTTTTGAAGTTACTCAAAGTCTATATGAATATATTACTATTTTGAGAAGAACAAACTTTCCTATATCCTTTTATTAAGATATTCTCTATGATTTTCAGCCAATACCAGATTCAATTGAACAGATCGATATCAAAGATTATCAATTTAATAATCCTCAATTATATGAAATTGCTATTAATCCATTATAATATGATAGATTAGAGTTTTTAGGGGATGCTGCTATTGAATTACTTGTTATAGCATATATTTTTAGAATGGCAAGGGAAAAACAATTAAAAAATTCAAATTGGATCTTAAATCCAGGAGTATTATCAAATTGGAAATAATTATTATTGGGTAATAAATTTATGGGAGAATAAACTATTAAAATGGGTTTAAAACCTCATATAGATGAAATACCTAAACTATATGGTGACATATTTGAAAGTGTTGCTGCTGCCATTCTTCTTGATAGTGGATGGAAAGGATTGAACCAAGTTTATGGAAGTCTATACAAGAAATATATGGATGAAATTATTGAATAGTGATATAATTATTAATCTCATTATATGAATAAAAAAAAAAATTTAGGATGGGACATTGAAGAACAAGAATACTTAGATAGTTTAATACCTGGCAATTTACCAAGAATTGAAAAAAGACATGTAGAAAGCTAAAGTCATAGAATTAAGTCTATTCTAGATTCAAAAATTATTAAATGTTCTTCTTCTGTTCAACCTAGCTAAAATAGTAAATCTACTTAAATAAGCACTTAAACTACTTAAACAGCATTTTAAAATGTACTTACTTCATATTTCTAATGTCCAATTACTTTAACAAGTTATCATGCATTAAGATATCCTCCATTATAAGATATTGTTCATAAATCAACTAAAAAGTCATAAGGTCCTTTAAAAAGAAGAAAATATAAATGTAGTATAATTAATTTAAGCCAACCTTAAATTTTAAGTCCATAATCAAATAATAAGCTCTACAATGTCAATAAATATATTTAATAAAAATATTCATGTATTAACTAATTTTGATACTATTTCTATTATTTAAATAACTAAATTATTATGATCAAAATTACAATACTTATCTTAATTTATTATATGTAATTATAAGTGACTTTCGTTTTATTTATAAATATATGTTTTTTTTCTAAATTTTATTTTGATTAAATGATAGATTTTATTACTGAAATTAAGTAAATAATAAATAAATTTGTTTCACTTTAATATTACTATTTATTTTTATCATTTAATATATTTGTTTTTCTTAATAAATAAAATGTATAATATACAAATATAATTCATTAACATAATTATTATAATTGTTCAAAAGTATTTTATTATAGTTCTAATTTCGCATCATTTATTTTTAATATTATATCATTCATTAGATGAATTGGTATTTTTATTTAGGCTGGCTTTAATTAATTTATTGCCAACTTATTACATTCTAATTTTAGATAATCTTTCTCTTAAATACAGGATATTCCTGCAAGTGGATAAGTAAAAGTAACAATACCTCGATTTGGATTAGAACAAGCAATAGTTTAAATTATATAACCTTATTCTGAATTTATTATTAAATACTTAAAATAATAATAAATATTTTACAGTTCTTTTATCATCAATTTATATATATATATCATCTGTTAGATGAGATATCTCTTAATTTGGAACATACTTGGCATTTTATGTCTCTTTTTTGAAATTCATCACTAAACATTTCAAGAGTAGCCATATATAAACTAATTTAAATTGATTTAGTTGATTCTCATATACCCAATTTTATAAATCATCAAATGTAACAGTAGGCAAAGACTTCTTAAAAGTATTCCAATCAAAATTTGAAATAATTTCCCAATTTATTATTAAATCTTATGATAACTAAGATTTATCATTTTAAGCATTAATTATTAATTATTTTACTTTATTTTCATATTCTTGATAAATTTATTTAAGTTTATTAGTATCTTCATTTAAGAAAAATAAGATTATAAAATCAATTACTTTTTTTGAATGCATTATTTAATTATATGGTTATGATAATAACTAAATAAAAGATCAAACTAATACTTCAATTATTTGATTAATTGGCCATGGTTTTTAGTGACTCTTCATTACCTACCAAATGGCTAATTAGAGTAATAATATACTATTATCTCTATGCTTTAATATAATTAATACTAACATACTTTTAAAAGATAAAGCATCTAATATTTGTAATTATTATTAATAAGATTGTTTTGTGATTGATTCCCAATAATTTGGTTTTAATTTTCATCTAAATATACTTATTCAAATTCTTTTTAGTAATCCTATATTTCATACACCCAATTTACAGATTGATTTTAATGATATTTTAAGATTGTATAACTTTCATTTGGTATCTTATCTTATGAAAAATAAATAAAGATGTTTTTCAATGGTAATTTGTATAGGATTTGATGTAAAAAGTAGAATCCTAATTTAAATTCAATCTTAATATCTATTTTTTTATTTAATAATAAATAGTCCAAAATTGGTAAAATTAATTCTTGAAGTAACATTTACTCAAAAAGTGGAATTAAGAAAGAACATTAATTTAGGAGATCATTAAAGAACATAAATAATTCTTCTAATTAGTTTTAGAATTCTGATTTAGTGATATTTGGAAGTATATATTTGATTTTTTGAATATATTTATGGTATGCTATTATGAATGGAGATTTTAATAGATAGTTCTTGAATTTTGAAATGATTAAATTTTCCTATTTTAAAATTGATTAAGTTAAAGAGACATCTAAAGTTAAATTACATACTAAAATTATATATATAAATTACATTTTGATATGCTAAGGATAATAACTTTAACAGTATTTTAAACTAAGATTTCTGGATAATTAATAAACTTTTATGCTTACCAGAGTAAGGGGAAAGAACAATAGCGTTAATTAAAATAGAGATAAATGTTTTCCCTATTAATTCTAATCGCAATAATTTTTAAAAAATTAACATAATATTCTACCATTTCTTAATCAGAAAAAACATATTCATGATTGATGAATTCATTTAAGACTGGATTACTTAGTAAATAAGTGATGTTAAATGGATTTTTAAGATTTAAACTAAATATTTAAGTTGATTACATTATGAATGATATTTTGGATATTATAAAAGAGGCTAGTTTACTAGATGAGTCAATAATTTTATCATAGAATAAAGCCAATATGTTGTTTTCAGCTAAATATCTAGATAAATAAATAGGAATGATACTCAAAAATATCTTAATTTTGATGATCAGCAATGATATACATTTGAGAGAGTTATTCAATTAGATTTTTGATTTATGAGGAGTCATTAGATGTAATGAGAGATTTATGTAAATCTTATGCAATATTTAATTACATTAATTAAATTATTAATATGTCAGCACTTGAGATAGCACGCAAGAAAATATCATTTGATGTAAACAAGTTGTCACACTTCATTTGGGAAGGAGAAGAAAGATTCAAGAGATTTATGGCTTTTTAGAAGATATGTAGTTCTGATCCTCTTCTTCGTAATAATCCAAAAGACATTGGAATTGGAAGAGCAGAAACATATGAACTATATGCTAAGAAAATGAAGAAGTTATTGGAAGTAGCTGACTTGCGTGATATCAAAGAGTTTGCAACCTTGATCTATCCAGAGGCTGTAAGATATTGATATTATGGTTAAATAGTTAGTGTCATCATTGAATTATGAAATGTTTATGCCCACAATATTGAATTTGGGTACAGATGAATAAGTGAAGCTATTTTATGAACCAGCATCAAGATGGGAGATACTTGGTTGTTATTCATAAACAGAATTAGCACATGGTTCAGATATAAATAGAATTGAAACAATAGCCACATATGATAAATAAACAAAATCTTTTATAATTCATACACCATCATTAAAAGCTACTAAATGGTGGGGTAGTGATATGGGAATAACAGCTACTCATGTAGTTACTTAAGCTTAATTGTATATTGATGGTAAGAGATATGGAGTATAGAATTTTGTTGTATAAATAAGAGATGTAAAAACTCATCAAACACTTCCAGGTATTCTAGTAGGTGATATTGGTGCTAAATTTGGATACAATGCAAAAGATAATGGATATTTAAGATTTGATAATGTTAGAATTCCAAAAGTTAATATGTTAAGCAAATATGTAAATGTCTCAGATGATGGTCAATTCACTAAAACAGGAGATGATAAAGTATGGCATGCTACAATGTAATTAATGAGATAACATTTCTTGGATTCTGTTTGGAAATGTCTAGGAATTGGTCTAACTATTGTTATTAGATATTCATTATAAAGAAAATAATTCAAAGATGCTTTAGGATAAGAAATTCCTATCTTTGATTATCAACTTTAATAACATAAATTGATTCCTTTAATTGCTGAAATGTATGGATGTATGTTAGGAAGTAAAAGAGTTTTTGCTATGGCATAAGACAATGTTGCTAGAATCAAATAAAAGAATGATTTCTCTAAAATGATGGTATATCTTTAAATCATTTTAGGAAGTACATGTTGTCTTAAGTGCTTCTAAAGCCTACTATACATGGAATTGTTTCTTTGCTTTAGAAAAGGTTAGATAATGTGCTGGTGGACATGGTTATTCATATTATTCTGGAATCCCACCTCTTATTACTGAAATGAGTCCTTGTGTTGTTGCTGAAGGTGATAATACAGTTTTATCTTTATCTGTTGGTAAAGTCTTATTGATGTATCTCAATAAAGGTATTTTTATTATTTCTATTCATATAGCCATGTAATCAGGAAAGGCTCCTAATACAACTTGTGATTATTTGGAAGACATTTTCAATTATTTGACTGAACTCAAATAACCATTAGTCTCAAAAGAGTGCACAAGAGATCTCAATAAAGTTTTGGCTGCTTTAAGATACAATGTTGCTTTCAATGTTGCTAATGCAGGATAAAAATTACAAACTCTCATGGGTGATAAGGGATTAACATTTAAGGAAGCTACAGACAAACATTTAGGTATTCTCTTATAAGAAATTGCTCATACACAATCAAATTATTGGACTTTCAGAACTTTTGTTGAAGAAATTAATGCTTTGACTGATCCAAATATTAAGGCTGTTCTAAGTTAATTATGTTTATTGTATGGTCTTAATAAGATACTTGAATAATAAGGATAATTGTTTGAATATGGAGTTTTAAGTGGTCCTCAATTTGTATGGATCAGAGAAACTAGAGATGAACTTATTTCAAATTTGAAAGATAATGCATTAGGATTAGTAGAAGTAATTTGATTTTCTATACTTCTTAGTCTATTGGATATGATGATAATAGTGTAAGATCAGCTATTGGAGATTCTTAGGGTAATCCATATGAGAAATTATATCATTGGGCTAAGGATCTTAATCCATTAAATGAGCCAGAGTTCCATGAGTAAGTTTTTAAGACGATTAAGACAATCAGAACAGCATCTCCACATGCTAAATTATGATTAAGATTAACAAATTATTAGATAACATTATTGTCTTCATTTTTTATATCCTTCTATTGGAATAACGGAATTAGTGAATAGCTATCAATAAATGCTTTTATATTAATTTTTATTAATTAAAAATGGAAGGATATTTAAAGAAATGGACTAACCTTTTTTCAAGGTGGTAAGATCGTTACTTCATTCTCAATGAAGATGTTCTTCTTTATTGTGATTCTCAAGGAGGATAGATAAAAGGATAGGTGCATTTAAAAGTTGCAGCTTTAATTTTAGTACCAGAAGACCCTTTAAGAATAATAATCAATACTGGAACAACAGAAATCCATTTGAGAGCAAATAATATTAATGAGAAGATAGATTGGATAAATGCATTGAAATCTGCTTAAGACAAGTGTTTGAGTCGATAAAGTGAAATAAAGTTTGAGTAAAAGATACAAGAATTGCTTACTGATGTTTGGTAGACTGGAGCAATATGTATGATAAATAAATTATTGTAGTTGATGAAACATTGAGTATGTTGATTCCTAAATTGGAAAAGAACTCTTAAATTAAAGAGATGGCTGATAGATTAGAAAGCATTGGAAAAAATCTAAAAACGAAAATCACTTTATGTGCTCAAATTGTTGAAGAAGAGAAATAAAAATTATCAAATTTAGAAAATGGAACTGTGTATGAGAGTTTTATTCATCAAAATTCAGCTTAATCAGTAATACGAGAGGATTTATTGAATCATTAACATCATCATCCATAACATGGTCAACCATAATTATTGAGTATAACTGAAATTGCTTAACATATTCAAAATTAACCTATAAAATATGTACTTAAAGAATTTGTTATATTAGTTTTTAGAATAATCTAATTAATAATCCTGCTTTTTAGAAAATTAAATTTACAAATAGTATAAAAAGAGATAGATTACCATATAAAAAGGATCCAAATGAAAAAATAAATGTTTGGTATTTGTGTAAAGAATTAATTGGAAAGGATTTAGGAAGATTTTCAGTACCAAGTAATTAGTTCAATTATAAAAATATAGTTATTTTGAATGAGCCTTTATCTATGTTATAAAGATTAGCAGAATAAATGGAATACTCTGATTCATTAGAAGAAGCAGACAAAATTATTGGAGATAGTGCATTAAGAATGTGTTATATTATGGGTTTTGGTGTTTCACCTTATTCAGCAAATATAGGAAGAACAAAGAAACCTTTTAATCCTATTTTAGGAGAAACCTATGAAATATAAACTCATAATTGTAGGTTTATTAGTGAATAGGTATCACATCATCCTCCTATTTCTGCAGGATATGCAGAATCAAAAACATTTTAATTTTGGGCTCATACAGATGTTCAAACAAAATTTAATGGTTTATGTTTCTAAGTAAATCCTGTTGGATTATTTAATGTTATTTTGAAATCATCAAATGATCATTATTAATTTAATAGATGTACAACTAAAGTTTAGAATATTTTATGGGGTTAATAATATTTAGATCATATGGGATAAATGAAATTTGTAAATTTAACAACTGGTGATAATGGAGTATTGGAATTAATTGAAAAATCAGGTAAATCAGAATCTGAAATGAGAGGATATGTTAAAGATAAAAATGGAAATGAAAAATATAAATTAAAAGGATTTTGGAATGATCGTCTTATAGCTTATGATTCTTAAAGAGAAATTATAGTATGGAAGAGACATCAATTGCCATAAGATTCAGATTGGTATTATAATTTTACTGAATTTGCAATGTAACTTAATCATTTAACAATTGATATGATAAAAGTAATAAAAATGATTAAATTACTAAGGAATTACCATGTACGGATTGTAGATTGAGACCAGATTAATTAGCATTTGAAAATGGATGGATTGATTTGGCTTCAAGTGAAAAACATAGATTAGAAGAGAAATAAAGAGCACGTAGAAAAGCTATGGCAGCAGCAAATTAAGTTCATGTTCCAATGTTCTTTGAAGAAATGATTGATCCTAAAACTAATTTGAAATGGTATAAATATAAAGGAAATTACTTTTAATAATAATGGAAATAAATTGGATAAGAATTGTTGGATTTATTTTGATTAATATGAATAACAATAATTAAGTTGTACATTTAAAATATTGTTGTTTATAGACTTTATCTTATATAAATATTTTGAGATATTTTTCATAATGTATAAAGATCTTTCTTTTAAGTTTCCTTTATCAAAAGATATGACTAGGGATAAGATGATGGTGACATTCACATTTACAATATCAAGAATGATGAATTAAGATTGAAATATGAAAAAGAATTGAAGAATTTATAAGGGATATTATTAAAGGAACAAAAATAAATATTGAATTATGAGTAGATCATTTTCATAACCATCATCTATATGATAGTTAAAAAAATGAATATTTATTGGAAGATCTAACTTTTCTCAAAAAAAAGATGAACAATAAATTCATGAGTCTGAAAAATTCTATAGTGATGACGATTGCTTGTTAATATTGATTAACCTATATTGAATGCTTAATTAAAAAAAACTAAAAAATTTAATCCTGGATTAAAAAGAAAATAATAATTTTTGGAAGCTAAAAAAGGATATTTTGTTTGTAAAGTTAATGATCCTCATAAATGTTAAAGTAATGAGATTATCAAAGAATTAGAAAAATTATTGAAAATATATACAAATGAAAAAGATAAAAAGGAAGTTGTATAGTATATATAAAAAAGCTGTTGGATTCTTAGTAAAAGCACTTCCCTATCCAATCAAATATTGTGAAGATTTAAAAAACATGCCTAAAATTGGAGATAAGAAGATAATTGAGATTATGTAAACATGTAAATTAGCTAAAGTATGAAAATTGAGAGAATTAGAAAAAAATGTTGCCATTTGTTAATTAAGTAGAATTTTTGGTATTGGACTAACAAGTGCTGCTACCTTCTATTTTAAAGTAATTAAAACTCTTGGGGATTAGAAAAAGAATTGAAATTTGCTAAATAGAAATCAATAAGTTTGTTTGTATTTAGTGGAAGATTTAGAATAAAGGATTTGAAGAGAAGAAGTTACCTTAATATATTAGATTGTTCAAAAAGAAATCGATGAATTATGTTGAGTATAAGGATTATATAAGGCAATTGTATATTGATCTTATAGAAGAGAAAAAAAAGCATTTGGAGAGATGGATATTTTAATTACAAGGTGTGATGGTAAAAATACTGAAGATTTCTTATTTAATTTGATCAAACGATTAGAGGGGAAATTTGTTAAACCATCATTTGAAAATGCCAAATAGAACTCATCATGATTGTAAAACTTATATGGATATTGAAAAAGTATCTAATTAAGCTATGCTTAGAAGGATTGATATTTAAAACTGTATCCAAAAGAACAGTATGGTTGTGCAGTTTTGTACTTCACTGGTTCTGATTGTTTTAATAAAAGCATGAGATTGTGGGCTCAAAAAATGGGTATATTTTAAGTGATTATGAACTCTACCCTAATTAGAAAGATGCTTATAAGAAGAAGTTGTGGAAAGGAGAAGTAACTCTATGTAAAGAAGAAATGGATGTATATAAGATTTTAGGATTGTTATACAAACCCACTAAGGAGAGATCAGTATGATTTAATTTTTATTTTGTTTTTGTTTTAATTATTTACTCGAACAAGATAGAAAAATATACATCAAGTCAATCAAATATATTCAACTATGCTGCTCTAAAGCGTATTCTATCTATGAATTTAACCGATAAAGGGGGATTGGCAACAATTAATTGTAGCAATTTTCTGATTCCTCTGAAATTCCAACTCCTAATTTTTCTTCTTCGAAAAAAGTATTTGTATCTATAATTGAATATGATTTCTCATAATTTATAGGTCTCAAAGCACTTTGACTAGATATCTCTTCAATTTTAACTAGAGGAGTTGTTATTGTTTAATGTGCTTCTTTTTAAGAGATTACTGAAAACACTGACACAAGGGTCAAGAGAGCAAGACTTATTTTACCTAATCTGGATCCACGACCTAATTGCTATAGAATTGATAGTTGATCTCTTATTTTTTAACTCTTATTTGTCAATTTTTGATGTTTCTCTTAAAGTTCTTCTAGTTGTTTTCTTAGTTCAGCATTATAGTCAAGTTCTTTTTGTGCTTGTGATTCTAATTGATGTAATTATTGTTTTTTTCTATCTCTTGAGTTTTAGGCACTTATCCTATTACGTATCATCTATATAGTTTTCTTATCATTTTCTCTTAATGGATCATCATCTTCTTTCTTTCTTTTTATTTTCTTACTACTTGACACAATTTCTGGTTCATCTTTTTACTTTCTTTATTTTGCTTTCTCTCTTCTCATAGTTCGCTTCATCTTTTCAACAAGCTTTTGGAAATCTTAAAAAATAATAGATAATTTAACTTACTTTGAGGATGTGATTTTTGCATTTCTAATAATCCCTTCTCAGATGTTTATAAGGTTTCACTCATATATTCAAACAATTCTTGTTAGCTAGTGCTCATTCTAGAAAGATTTATATTATTTTATTGCATTAAAAAACGATAAATTTTCTTAGCTAAATACACCAACTGTGAAATAACTGCAATCTAATATTAATGTTTAACACATTAATTAAATCCATTTTTTATTATTCATTTAATTACAAGCATCTTAATCATCATCCTTAAAAACTATTAGATTCAAAATGAATGATCTTTCAAAATATCATTTCTTTAACTAAATTTCGTTTTTAAATTATTATTTTACTAAATATAAAAATAAAACTTAAGAAACACGTTGCTTTCAAAATGTGATGTCGTTTTTGATAAAATAATTAAGAAACTAAAAATATGCTTAATATTATTAGAGTTCAATTAACATTATGTTAAATACTTTGATTTTTAAATAGAAACAACTTTAACATTATTACTATTATTAAAATTAGAACTATGTGAATAAAAGAATAAAATCTTTTCTTTTATTTTCTTATATGTTTTAAATAAGAAAATAATATATCATATTAATGATATAACTGTTGATCTTAACTTGTATATTGCTATTCTATGTTTGGAAACTATTTGATCTTGTAATTAGATAAGATTAATTATAAATTTTTGATCGTTTTTCAATTATTAATATATAATATATTCATGAAGACACTAATTCTCACAGTGCTAATTTGCTTTGGTGTTTCATAAATGTTGAGAGGCTCACCAAAATCTTTGATTGAAGAAGAACAAGGTAAATGAGATGATTTAGAAAAGCAATCTTCTAAGCCGAATAAGAGGATTAAAGTTTTTATGTTGGAAGAGATGATGTCTCAGCTGAAACTCTAGAAGGAGATTAAAATTAAGAAGTTGAAGCTAGTTTGGCAGTGTTTAAGAGTGATGATACTCCAATGGTTTATATTGAGGAATCAATTGATTCAAGTATTTAATGAAGTTAATTAAAGCTTAATAAGATGGTTTTCAGTAAAAGGAATCTTTGTAGATTGAAAAGATTTAAGATTAAATGCAGTAATAATTAAAAAGATAATAAAGAGTCGAAGAGTTATAGGAAGCAAAGACTGATTAAGCAAATTATGTTGATAAAGCAATATCTTTAGAGGGAGATACTGAAGCATAACCTATTTAGAATTCTTCAACAGATGTGGTTTTAAATATTGCACCAAAGACAGAGTCTCTTAGCAGTTCTGAGAATACCAAGAAGCATGTTTATGTTTACAATCGTAAATAAGTTTCTAAATTATTTTAAGCATTGGCCAAGAAACCTTTTGTTGGTATTAAGTTCCCACCAATGCCAGTTACAAAGGATCATAATTATTTGTCTAATTCTGATACTTTAACAATTAAGTTACCACCATGGTCAGAACAAAGTAACCACAGAGTAGAGGATGATTTAGAGTTCTTCCAGTTTATTAGACGTATTAAGCAATAAATTATGTAGCATCTGATGTATCAGTTAATGAATATTGATCTAATATTATTATATATTTCATTCTTTTTTTACAAGTTAAGCATAACAAAAGTAATAATAATTATAAATGCAATAAGAGGAAAAGAAGAAAGGGGACTCTGGAAAACTGGAGACAATTGTAAGAATCAAATTATGAAATAGAAAATTATGAATGGATTCTCTGATAAGGAATGGAGTAATTTAGACAAAATTGAAAGAATTGAACTTACTCTTGAAGACTTTGGAAGAATGAATGTAATATAGATGTTCAAAAATTTGAAATCTTTAACATTAATAAATGTTGGTATCACTGTTATTGAAGTATTCAATAATTTATTTAACTAGGGTTTAGATGATTTAACTAAATTGGAGGAATTAAATTTGAATGAGAATTAAATTGCTAAATTAACTGGTTTGAAAGCAACACAAAATTTAAAATCTCTTTATATATCTCATAATGTGATTCAAAAATTGGAAGGATTAGAGTCATTAACTAAACTAGAAATATTGTGGCTTTGCGATAATAAAATCGATACTATTTAAAACCTAGATTAATTAATGAATTTGAAATAACTTTGGTTAGCAGCCAATTCTATAAGTAATCTAAGAACTTCTTTGGATAAATTAAAAAACTTATATGATTTAAATATAAGTGGAAATAAAATATGCAGTTTTAAGGAAGCCTTAAATTTAAATCGTTTACCAAATCTTAAAGTTTTGGCATTTTATGATCCTCATTTTGGTGATAATCCTATATGTAATCTTTGTAATTATTAAACCTATGTACTTTATCATTTAAGAAACATATATAAATTGGACACTCTTATGATTTCTGATGATTAAAAATCTTTTGCTGAAGGAACTTTTATGAAAAAGAAGATGTATTATAATATGAGAATAAAAACTATGTAAAGAACATTTTCTACATTATGTAAATTATTAAAGAAAGGTAAGAAAATAAAAACTGATTCATTATGTGAGGATATATCTAATTTAAATATTAAATTAGCTTAGGAATAAGATAAAGAGAGATAATAACTTTTAGAGAATAAATATGAAGAATATGAGAATTAAAATGAAATTTATAATAGTATTAAAAAAAAAGTATATGAATACTGCAATTAAAGCATACATAAATTAATTACAGAATTAGAAACTGGAGGTAATATTAGATTGGAAGAAGGAAAAACAAATGAAAAATGGTATGGTTCTTGTGTTGATCTTATAAACTCAAGATTTCATGCAGAATAAATGGGTAAATTTGGTATTAAAGATATTCAAATAAAGAGAGTTGTTAGAATACATAATAAATTCATTAGAAATAAATTTGAAGAAAAGATGGAATCATTAGTTGATGTATCAAATCAGAGTCACAAAAAATCACTTGAATATCTATTCTATGGTGTTGATCCAAATTTTCCATCAGAAATATATAATGTAATAGAAGAAGGATTTAGAAGTTGCCAAGTAATTAATTTTATTTAATATTTTAAGGATTCTCAATAAATAGGATTAAGTTCTTATACACCTTTGGTTAATAGTATTTTAGGGGCTGATGCTCCAAGAATTCAGCATCTATTAAATGGATAAGAACATGCTCAGAAATTAAATAAGAGATTTATTAAACGAAAGTATTAATTCAATTATATATATAGATTATACTATTAAAAATATAATGTGATTCCACCTGGTGTAATTCTAATTTGCAAAGTTTTAATGATTAAATCAGTTTCTGATTCAAAATTCCCATATTTTAATCCTGAATAACCATGGAGTGAGATGTATCAAAAAGCTCCTGTTGATACCAAATAATATTAAGATGAATATACTGTTTTAAGAGTTATGGAAAATGATCCAAAACATAAATTATGGTTTGTACTTGACAATAATCTTGTATTACCTGAATATTTTGCTGAATTTGAATATGTTATGTAATCTCCACTTTAAAATAAAATTGCTGATTTTGGATCTGCATTAGGGGTTTTAGAGTCAGAGGAAGATGATTTCATTACTCCTGCTAATATTAATAAATATAAAGACAATATAAATGATTTATATAATCAATTAGCTGAAGATTTGAATAATTATCAATTTGAGAATTTAGAAGAATATCCAACTTATGAATTGAAAGCTTAAGATTTAGATAGATCAGAATGTGCATCTCTAAAACCTGCTTTGGTGAATTACTTCAAATATTGTTTAAGTAGATCAACACTTTATGAATTAAATCCTAATTTGGTTGGTACACCAAATTTAAATGAAATATTGAAGAATCAAATTTAATTCTTAAATTTAAGTAATTGTTCTGTTTAAGATATAACATTTGTAAAAGGATAATTTCATACTCTCATCCTTAGTTATAACAAAATAAGTAATATAACAGGTTTAAATGAATTACCAAATCTAATTAGACTTGATTTATCACATAATGAAATATCTAATCTTAATGGTCTACAAGGTTTGAATCATTTAGAAGTTTTAGATTTAACACATAATAATATACAAGATGTTGATTAAGTAGGAATTCTTAAATACAATTAAAATTTGAAATATCTATCTGTAGTATTTAATCCAATAGGTGAATACAAAGAAACAAGAAAGGAAATAGTTATGATCCTAAATAATTTAGCATTCTTAGATCATTTACCTGTAACAGAGGAAGATAGAGAACCAACTACTAATTAAAAATAATATATTACTACTGGAATGCTTTAAACATTTAGTAAAGTTTAACATGATTGGAAATAACATATTTAATCAGTTATGATTACTCACTAAAAACTAAGTAGTATGAAAGGTTTGGAAGAATTAGTACAATTAAGACACTTAAATCTAGGTCATAATAAAATAACATAAATTACATCAATTTAAGATTCAGTTTTACTTGAAGAACTTAATTTAGAAAAAAATTCTATTATTTAAATTTAAGGATTAGATAATATGTAATATTTAAAGAAATTAGAATTGGGAGGCAATAAAATATTTTAAATAGATGGTATATCTAATTTAATTAATTTAATGTAATTATCTTTAGAGGATAATGCTATTCTTAATTTAAAAGAATTTCCAGATTTGAAAAGTTTAATGGAAATATATTTAGGAAATAATAATATAACTAATTAAAAAGAAATTAATAATATTAAACATTTACAAAAACTTATCATATTAGATTTATCTGGAAATCCTTTTGCAAGAGACACTAATTATAGATCTTATGTACTTTATAATATTCCAAAATTAAAGGTTTTGGATGGAATTTCTATAGAGGCTTCAGAATAATAAATGGCAAAAAATTTATATACAGGACGTTTGACTGAAGAGATACTATTTTCAAGACTTTAAGGTTAACCTGCAAATAAAATTACTGAACTTTGTTTATAGAATTGTGAATTAAGAGATTTTGAAGATGTTTTTAATGTTTAATCATTCCCATAATTGGTAGAATTAGATTTAAGTCAAAATTTATTTACTTCTACTAAAATGTTAGGATTCTTACCTTAATTAAAAATTTTAATATTAACTTCAAATAAAATTGAAACTCTATTGTATCCAACTGATATAAATTAAAAAAAGGGATTAAATGGATGTTAATAATTATAGATTTTAGATATATCATAAAATTGTTTAAAAGAATTTAATGGATTGTAATATTGTTTATTAAAAGATTTAAAAATAATGAAATGTGAAAAGAATGAGATTATTAGAGTAGATTATTTAGAAAATTTAAAATAATTGAAAGAATTAGATTTAAATTATAATAAAGTAAGATAATTTGATCCTTAATCATTTATTGCATAAAACCCAATTAAATGTTTAAAAATAGATGGAAATGGATTAAAGAATTTCTAAAATATTTAAAAACTATTTAAATTACTTGTATTAATTTATTTATTTTATTATAGCATCTATTTGCTAATTCAAATAGAATTAATGACTTACCAGATATTGAACATCTAGTTGCTCTTACATAACTTAAAGAATTAGAACTTGTAGGTAATTCATTGAGTAGAAGACCAGGATATCGATAAATGATTTTAAGAAAGTTGCCAACTATATTATATCTTGATGGAAGAGTAAAAATTATTAAATATTATTATAGGAAGTAACATAAGAGGAAAGAGAAAGATTAGAACTTGTAGATAGATAGGCTGTACTACCTCAAATGTAGATTCAACAATAGCCGAATACTAAAGTACCAGTTAAATTAAGTTCTATCAACTTTGATGGGATTTTCAGCAAATGAAATATAAAATTTATATATGAGGTTGTAACGAAAAAATAAATATATTTTAATTTATTGAGCATATTAAATTGATTTTATTAAAATTTAATTTCTAATAAGACAAAATATAAACAATTGTTATAATTTAATAATGTATTATTAATGTAGTATATTATTAATTTAATATGAATACTATGGACAATGAGTATTATGAGAATATTTTATTAATAATCAAAAATATTGAATGAATTATTTAGATTTCTAATAAATTTAAAATGCAACTTAATTTAATTTATGTGTATTGAGAATTTGAGTTTTATTATTAAATATATTATTAATTCTATATAATATTTTAACTTAATGTTTAAAATATATGATGATAATTAGAACTTCAGTAAAGAAAACAATAATATTTGAATATCGATTTAATGTAAAATTGAGGTCGATAGGAAAATTGAAAACTTATAATTTGTTTAATCATATAATATTTTCAAAAAAAAGATTAAGAATTCTAAAGATGATGATGTATTCTTCTTATTTTATGAATTTAAGTAAATTATATTATCGTTCAGTTACTCTGCACCCCTTATTTAGTTGATATGTTATAGATGATTTCAAAGATAATTATTTTTATTTTTACAAGGAAATATCCTTTTACTAAGTGATGTTTTAACAATTCCTTGATGGATTGGGAGATCTGAAGCAGAAACCTGTTGCCTTGAAGCAAGTGAAAAAGATTTTAAAGATTGAAGAAAAAAGTTTACCTAAAAACATTACAAATTACTTTGTAGAATTTACTAAACATACTTCACATAAGTGGTAACGAAAGGACAAAATGATTTTTATTTGGACCACTCTAAAATATTTAGAGAAATAGGGTCGAACAGACTTAAAACCTGTATGAATTTATGTTTAAATTGATTAGAACGATGACGATTGGATTGCACTATCAGAAATACTTGGAGCACCTCCAGAATTGTTAAATTCGAAATGGATAGGAATGTTAAAGACAGATTTGAAATAATCTCCATGGACTATTGAAGAGGATGAAATCTTAAAAAAAGTGATGACGCAAAAATTTATTTCTTGGACTCACGTTGCTATAGAGTATAACCGTATAAGTTCCATTATGAGGCATGCAAAGTAATTGAGGGAAAGATGGAATAATTACATAGACCCAGAACTTAACAAGTGTCCATGGACTGAATCAGAATAAGTTCAATTGTTGCAATTAGTTTAAAAGTAAGGAAAAAAGTGGTCTGTGATTTCTAAATAAATTAAAGGAAGAACTGAAAATCAAGTGAAAAATGCTTACAATTCTTTGATTAATGCCTACAGAAGAAATCATGTAGTCTATTTTTCATATAACAATATTAGATATAATCCCTTGATTCTGATGAAATAATTGTTTCTAAATTATTATCTAAATTAGATCCGCCAATTTAATAACCCAATACAAATACCCCTATGATTTAAGTTATGCCTACTCTTCAATAATAATTTATAATGTAAGCTCTGTTCATTGAGAGATTAAAAAGCATGGCCTTTTTCGCTCAATTACCAGGTTTTCTGGCAACCCAATAATAACAAAGTTGATATCTATTTATTGTATATGCATGTTATCATTAACAAAATTCTTTAATTATTCATCCAACCCTACAGTAGTTAGCCATATTTGAATTAAAATATCATCTTCTTCTAACCTATAGTAAACTTTTTTTTTTTCAATAATTTCAAATTCATTTGCATTAACATTTAACCCAAAAATGCTCTATTTAATTATATGCATACGAGTTCTATCTGTCATTATCTAAATTTAATTCCTTGAGTGATGTTTAGCTAATAAAATAGAAGGGATTGTAAAACTTAGTGATAAAGCTAAAAATTATATTAAACTTGTTAATTCCATTAATTGATTAACAAATAAAGTTATGAATCACATAATAATATCAAAAAGTAAACAATAGTGATGTTGATTATAAATATAGTACAAGATACTGTATAAGACATAATTCAAAATTAATTATATAAAAATTAAAACTGATTAAAAAAATATGCTTGAAAAACTCAATTAAAATACAAAATATATAGAGTTACTTCTATTAATATCTATGATATTTTGCTTTTTAAAATGATAAAAAATCTTTTTTGAAGTATTTGTTATGAGTATCTAATCTTTAAATTACTTATTATTTTCTAGAGATCTTGCTAACAAAATTAATCAATTATCTTCAGATAATTATTTCTAAGACTAACTTTGATATTAAAATATAATGCATTAACAGACTGCCAAGTTCGTCGAGGTGTTGCCCAATTATGACTAGCTTAGAATTAATGAGCTTAAGCAAATTGAACAAGAATAATACTATATTAGTTAATTGAAAGAGCAGAGGGAGAGGGTACAATTATATTGAATTGAATTCAGATGGAAGTTTTAAAAGAAGAATTCCTAAAGAAAGATCAAACTATTACAGATCTCCAAATCCAAAATCAAAAATTACGAGAAGATCTAAATAAGACGAGAGTTGCATTGTCAGAATAGATTAAGCATCAAGAAAAGGATAAGTAAAGAACAAAAAAATACACTTAAGAAAGAGACCAATTAATAAATGATATCTAAGAGTTAAGAGATTTAGTATAGCATTTAAGGGATGAGAATGAAAATTTGAATGTACATAAAAAATATAATTTAGTCGTTACAATTAGAAAAGTAACGATAATTTGAAGAGTATGTTGTAGAATAATAAATTGAAAATGAACAATTAAAATCTGAAATATCAAAATTAGATGACTTATTATTTGGAACTGAGCCTTTAAAAGCTGAAAACATAAAATTGAAAGCTGAAATCAAGGAATATAAAAATGAAAAAAAAAAATTGTAGCATGAAATGAGATAAAGTAGGATAGAAATCAATTAACAATTAGATGAATTTAAATTAGTTATTTAAGATTAACATTAAGAAATTGCTAAATTATAATAATACAAAGAAATGAATAATTAGTTGAAATAAAATTATTAAGAGTTTGAACATCAATTTAAATTACTCAAATAAGAAAATATTGATTTAAAATTAGAATTAAAAAGATTTTATGATAAAGAAGAAAGTGAAATAAAAATGAAATCTGAAATTGATAGAGTAATTATAATAATAATTAAATTTAGGTGAGATAAGATTTGATTTCAGTAAGAAATCAAGAAGTTGAAAAATTAAATGAATTATTTAAGGGAATATTTTAAAGAAATAGTTTAGAATAATCAAGAGAAAAATACATATGAAATTTATTAATTTTATGATTAATCTCTTGAAAATAATAATAATCTTATATAGTTCCTTCATTTTAATCTTCTTATGCTTTACTTTCTAATATCCCTATATTATCCATATCAAATTATTATCCAAAAATATTCAAAATTCATTATTTCTATTATCCTTTTAAGAATTTTAATTATCATTCTAAATAATAATGAGATAACTTTGAATTATTAATATTTATATTATTGGTTTAAATACTAATATTATACTATAAAGTCTTATTTACAATTAACTAAGTCTCGTTTTATGTTTCCTAATACAATTATTTATATATTTATATATATTAAAATATTAATGTACGATTTTATATTCATTTTCAATCAAATAAACCACCCATATCAACATCTTCTTCTGGTTCTTCAGCTTTCTTAACCTCCTTTACAGGCTCAGGCTTCTTTGCTTCTGCTGCAGCTGGTGTAGCTGTAGTTTGTGCTGCTGGTGCACCTCCTGCATTTCCGCTGTTTCCATGTAATAAATCACCAATTTTTTTTCCTTTCAAAGCTTTTTCAAAAACCTTTGTCCAAATTGGTTCAATTCTTAAATTAGCTGCTTTAACGATCTTAGCTAATTTAGTAGCGTCGATCTGATTTAGATAGATTCATGTACATCTTGATTATCTTCATACAAGATGAGAGCGGCATAAGTACATGCAGCCTCTGAAGTAGCTTAATCTGCAATTGGTCTTGTGTCTTTTGCTGCTTTTGCCATTTGATTTTAAAAAATATTAATTAAAAAGATATAAATTTTAATGCATATACAATTCCTTAATTCATTATTTTTGATATATAAATAAACCTAGTATTCATACTCTTTCAATATTATAATAATATATTAAATAGATAGTTTAATCATTTTAATTCAACTTATTTTAGAAATATTTAAGAATATATAACAATTCGCATATTCTATATAAATATTCCTAATTATTTCATCAAAACATTAAATGAATGATTAATTTATTAATATTGTCTTTAAGATAGAGAATATTAACTTTTCTATTTACTTTTGATAATAGTTTTAACATATTCTTAAATTTCGATTAGTTTTGTTTTTATATTTTAGCAATATTATTATCAAAATAATTTACTCATTATTATATTAATAATGAATTAATTTATACTTCCTTATTGCCCAAAATATCATCAGTTATAATGGAAAAGTAAAAAAATATAAAGTTGTCTTATTTGTTTAAAAGCAAAAAAATTATCTTAATATTATTGTACAGAATGTAAATAAGGAGTTTGCAATGAATGTATTAAACCTCCTCTTGATGGATTTTATTGTGGTGGTAATCATAAGTAATTATGGATTATCTATTTAGAATGCAATTTATGAGTAATTTGCCACATCATTCTTGTGATTTGTGTGAAAAATCTATATCATAAGCATATTCATGTAGAACATGTGATTTTGATATTTGTGAAAATTGCATATAATTTGATGAATGATTTGAATGTGTACGCATAACTTTTTAATTATTGTTTAAATTAATTCTCATCACTAAAGTTCTTATAATAAAAAATAATTGCAATAGAAGAAAATTTCAATTAGTATTAATATTGAATAAATTTCAAGGAGTTAATTAATTATTGAATTCAATTTGCATAAAATTTAAGTATAATACTATTATATAAATTAGAAAGTTTTGATTATAATATAATTGAAAAGTTGATTCATTTATTAAAGAATATGTAAATGATTCATTTTAAAAGTTAGAAATAGAAATAAATTTAGTAAATTGTGTCTTATTTTTTGATATCATAATGTTCTAATTAAGGAAATACTATTCATTATTATTTATCAATAAAATCTAATTCTTCTGTTTTATCTTTATTAAAACATTACAAGTTATCAATACAATCTTCAATCATTTACATAATAATTTAGCATCTATTAGAATGAATAACTAATTTGATTGGATAATAGATAAATTTATATAATAATTATTATTTGAATATATGAGTGAAATTTTTACACTTCAATAACTAGCTTAATTGTAAAGAAATTTTGTTAAAAGAAAAATCTAAATCAATTTAGAATGTAAATATTAATTAAAGCAATTAAGAGACCAAGTATAAAGTAATTGATGAAGTTGTATAAATACTGGATTGGAAGACTACTCCATCAGAATTTGAATGTCATATCTTTTGGAAGGATACTTATGTAACAGATGAAGAATATCGTCGTTTATTACCTTATTAAAGAATCAATCATTTCCCTGGATCATATATGTTAGGAAAAAAAAATGAATTGTGTAGAAATTTAAATAAAATGCGTAAACAATATCCTTAAGATTATGATTTCTATCCAAAAACATGGCATTTACCTTATTAAAGTGAAGAATTGAGAAATAAATAAGGAACAGGAATTTTTATTATTAAACCAGAAGCTAATTGTTAAGGAAGAGGAATATTTTTAACAAAGAAGCTTGATCCATTTTTAGATAAACATTATGTAGTATAAGAATATATCAGTAATCCATATTTAATTGATGGATTGAAATTTGATTTAAGGTATAAAATAGTTTAAATGAATTTTAGAATTTATGTTATGCTTAAATCTATAACTCCACTTAAAATCTTTATGTATTAAGAAGGATTAGCAAGATTTTCTACTAAAAAGTATGTAAAACCTTAAAAGAAGAATTTAAGTAGTGTTACTATGCATTTAACAAATTATGCTATTAATAAAAGAAGTAAAGACTTTGTATTTAATAATGACACAAATAAAGATGATGTTGGACATAAAAGATCACTCTCATCAGTATTTAAAGTATGTAATTTTATGTTATTACTTTAGTATTTGAAAGAATAAGGCCATGATGTTGATTAGTTGATTTCATAAATTAAATCAGTGATTGTTAAGACAATTCAAAGTGTATAACCAGATTTAGCACATTTGTATAGATCACAATAGCATAATGTAGATGGAATAGAATAATGCTTTGAATTATTTGGCTTTGATATTCTCTTGGATTCTAATCTCAAACCATGGTTACTTGAAGTTAATCATACTCCATCATTTTCAACTGATACACCTTTAGATAAAATCATTAAAAAAAATTTAATCTTAGATACATTAATTTTATTAGATATTAGAAATAAACCAAAGAAAAATTATTTAGATTAAAAAAGAGCTCCTACTTTTTAAAGACCTCCAAAAATGAGTTAAGATGAAAAAGAAAAATAAATAAATTAATTTACAATTTTTGAAAATAAACATCTAAATGGCTATGTTAGAGTTTACCCTGATGAAGTATATGTGTAACTATATCAGATAGAATTTATAATATTATGAATAATTTATGCCACCAAAACAAAAAGAGAAAGAACAAACAATAATTATTTAATAATAGTTAGAATTTACAAAACAACCTGATAAAATACTCAAACTTTAAACTGAGTCTAAACCTCCTTTAGCTAAAATTCCTAAAAGACTCTCAACAAATAAATCCTTTACTGAATTAGATGGTTAAACAATTCAGTAATTAACTCTCAGAACTGTTGCTCCTTAAACTAGAACTCCCTCCTAATAAAGACCTTTTAGCAGCATAGCCGTTGTAAATAGACCTATGAGTGCTGTTAGAAAACCTTTATATGGAAATTAACATTAAAATCTAAATTAATCATCAAATTAATAAAAATTAATATACCCTCCTCCAATTGAATAACCCCCTAAACCAGTATTCAAAATGTTACAAATAAAGACATTTAGCTTTTAAAAAATTGAAAACACCTAAAAGAATGAATGATATTTATAGTTATTCTCAAATAGAATAAAATAGATTCAAAATACATCTCTTTGTTTATTATTATTTTTATCTTATTCGATTGTTTTAATGTAATTATTTTTGAGTATAATTTTATAACATGTCATTTTCGTTAATAATATATTTCTTTATGATCATAATTCAAAATATAATCCAACTTTACTTTTATTTAATAGTTTCATTTTTTGATTAATTTCAATAATCCAAACTCAAACTTCAAAATAAGTAAGTAAATTATTAAATTGAATTCTGAAAATATATGCTTCAAAAATAAAAGGAAAAATTACATATCTATAATGATATTTAAGCCAAACTTATATTAAGATAAAATGATTTTATTAAGATATATGGCATCAAAATTTTAGAACTTCATTGTTCAACCAGTTAATTTACACTTTTAATTAAATGAGGAAAGTAATTTTAAAATATTTTTTTAGTGTATCTTTTTACTTTTAGGTGATTATTTTTTTATAAAATAGATTTTTTATTAAATAATAAAAGATTAACCAGAAATCAATATTTTTTAATAAGCTTTTTAAATTAAGATCAATCTAATAAGAATTTATATAGCTAGAAATACGAAATAAAAAATAAATAAAATTTAAATGATTTCTTTTGAGATTATTATAATTATTCACATTGATTTCTACCAAGCTCCAGAATAATTGATTTCTATATTAATTTCTTCGTGTTTATAACAATCGTGAAGAAAATTCATATAGTCTCCAAAATCAGCTTATCCCAAACTCCTTAATTTATATTTAATTGAAATCAAATCATTTTTTCTAAAAATTGTAGGGTAACAATATTCAATTCCATTGATTTCAGGTTTTAGCAAGAATTCATATTTAAGAACTTTATTTTTTAAAGGATGCTTAGTATAATAATCATATTCATCTTTTAGATTTTCTTACTTAAATACTTTTTAAAATTCTGTTTTATCTTTAATAATTTCTACAAACAATATTAATTTTTTTGTAAAACTTTGTGAATAAAGTCCTATTTTTAAAGTTTCAAAATCTTCATTGATATCTGCAATGATTTCATCAAACATTTTAGTAGCTATTCTTGATCCTACTAATAAACTTAAATCACTAAATTCTTCAGTTCCAAATACTCTTTTATATATTTCTGAAGATTTGATATATTCAAACCCTTGTATTTCTAATAAATTATGATATGCTACAAATGCTCCATCCATTCTACCAATTTTTAATTAAATAGCCCATTTTAAGAATGCTCCTCTTATTAAATCATAATATTCCCTTTCAAAAGATTAAAACAATCCTTTATATTAATTGACTTCATAATCTAAATAATCTCTATAATTTGGATAATCATATCTTATAGGACATGCTCCTCTGGCTTTAATTTCAAAAACAATAGGATTATCAGATCGATTCCTACAATCAATTTAGGATCTCAAACACATTTCATTATTTAATTCCATAAATCTATGAAAGTCATCTACAAGTGGCATATTTGGATCTAATTTAATATATCTATTTTCAAATTCCTCTTTGTCTTATGTTAATTGTCTTTCCACAATTTTACCAGTCATTAAGAGTTCAATGAGTTCTTCCTCGAAAATACCAGGATCTCCATCCAAAGCATACATGTTTTCATCAACCCTATGTAATAATGCAGATGTTGGTTTTCTTTATGAGATCATAAACTTTCTTGGTTCATCAGGGAACTATTCGAAAACACCACTAAAATCAGGACCATGGAAGCCACTAAGTAAGTAGAAAATTTAACTGAGCACATTAGAAAATGTACTTGTTGAAACACTAAAATAGATGAATTTAGTACCAATATCTTAAATTCAAGGCTTTGGCAAATTATTAAAGTGTAACATCTTTAGAGGGAGGAATATAAACATCAAATTTATTCATTTAAGCATCCCTTTAGATTTGTTTTAAGTAATTATAATTGTGGTGATTTTTGAATTCAGAGATTGGATAAATTCCTGGGTTTTTAACTATATTTTCTAATGGTTCAATCAATGTGGGAACAATAGAAATTTTATCACTATTATCAAAATCGATACGATATAAATCGGATAGATCTAATTTTTATAAGTTAGATTCTCTAAAAAAAAAATTGGATTATGATGTTGGATAGCTTATTTCACTTTGATTATCATCGATGTTTAATGCTGATGCCAATCTTTTTGAATGTACATCTTCATCTGCCACTTTTACCACAAAATCCTCTCTTCTAATATTTTGATTTTTTCTTCTAAATACACCTTTTGCTTAATATGAAAAAAAAAATCTGGATTTTATCATTTATTTTATTAATATTATTAATATGAACCTTCAATTTCAACTTTAAATTTATTTTCAAATTTGACAGGTAATCCTATATTGATATTTGACAAGCCTCTATCATTTTAATTTTTAATGCACTATTTCAAAACAATCTCATACTTCCAAATGATGCTTGGCTGGATCATCATCTTAAAATTTCTTTTTTGATAATTAAATTATTGGAGTAGTAGTAAAAATTTCAGGTTTGGGCATAATTTCACTTAATTTATGATAATCTGTTTATTTTTAACTTTTATCTTGTATAGTTTAAGAGGCCTAATCTTCAACAGGTTTATATTAGATTTCTGTCTTAACTTGCTCTTGTTATTGTTATTTTAGAATATCCCCATCTTATTCATTTCTTTTTGTAATTATATTCTATTCATTATTGGCCTTTACATCATTTCCAGTATTATTTATGTCTTATTCTCTCATCTTTATATTTATTTTTTTTTACTTTTTTCATTGTTTTAGTGTCGTTTGTTTTCTTTCCTCCACAAGTTCCCATATTAAATATATAAAAATTTAAATATTTAGATATTAAATTTTTAATGGTTAATCTCCGTCTCTAGAAAAGATTGGCATCCACATAGTTGAAAGTAGGTATTAACAGAGTATGGTTGGATCCAAATGAAGCTAGTGAAATCAGTTTGGCAAATTCAAGAATGTCAATTAGAAAATTAATTAAAGATGGACTTATCATGAGAAGATTGAGAACAATTCATTCAAGAGCCAGAGCAAGAAGATATCTTGAAGCCAAAAGAAGAGGTATTTGAATTATAGTACATTTATTTAGGCAGACACACTGGTACTGGTAAGAGAAGAGGTACAAGAGAGGCTAGAATGCCAACTAAAGTATTATGGATTCGTAGATAAAGAGTTTTAAGAAGATTATTAAGAAAATATAGAGCTGCCAAAAAGATTGATAGATAATAGTAACTAATTTTTATAATATTTTGCTTAGATATCATGAATTCTATTTGGCATCAAAAGGTAATCAATATAAAAACAAGAAAGTGCTTATTGAAGCAATTCATGAAACTAAATAAGAAAAAGTTAGAGTTGATAAAATTGAAAAGGAATAAAATGATAGAAGAGAAAAGAATAAAGCTTAAAGAGTCAAGAAAACCTAAAACAAATTAGCAGCTGAATGATATTTTAAGAATTTACATAGTACAATATATATATCTATAAAATTTCTTACATTTTAAGTTTGATTTCTATTTTTTTATATTAAAAAAAGATTTAAAATTTTTTTAGGTGAATGGTATGTTAAGCAATTTAATTTAGGCTGACAATAAAGTTTAACCTGCTGTATAATAAACTAAGGCAAAGAAAGGAAAAAAGAATTAAGGAGATGATTAACCTAAAGAAGTTGTTGCTACATTAGGACCAAATGTTGCTGGAAATGAATTAGTTTTTGGAGTTGCTCACATTCTCTCTACTTGGAATGATACCTTTATTCATATTACAGATTTGACAGGCAGAGAAACACTTGCAAGAGTAACAGGAGGAATGAAAGTCAAATCAGACAGAGAAGAATCTTCACCATATGCAGCTATGCAAGCAGCCAAAGATGTTTATGAGAAATTGAAAACACTTAAAATTAATGCTTTACATATTAAATTGAGAGCTAGAGGAGGTATTTTAATAATTCAAATAAATCAGGTGTTGATACTAGATAACCAGGACCAGGAGCTTAAGCTGCTCTTAGAGCTCTAGCTCGTTTGGGATTAAAAATTGGTAGAATTGAAGATGTTACACCAATTCCTACAGATTCAACTAGAAGACCAGGAGGTAGAAGAGGAAGAAGATTATGAAAAGTAAAATTACATTACATTATTCAAACAAATAAATAATCTTTTCTATTATCCAGTCATTATTAGCGAAATCTATTATTCAATTCATCAAATATAATACTTGATGAGAATTTTGATTTTAATTATTAAAATATCACTTGTTATTTTAATTAATGTCAAATTCGAATACTAAAATATAAAGCTAAACTGATATGAAATAGAAACTATTAAATATTTTATCAGAGAAAAACAGTAAGGTCACATCTTAACAAAAGCCATGTTCAAGTTTAGATTATTATTCATTGTAAAGAAAATTGTCATAACGATCACACAAATTACCTGTTGAAATGACTAAATTCGAAAGAGAAAGATGGTTATTTGAAATGATGAATACCTAAGACTTGGCACAATAAGTATGAATATATTGGTGAAGTTAAGGAATAAGAATTGAAGGAAATATATGTAAGAACAACCAAATTGATTACACGGTATCGTAATAAAGAAATCAAATGGAACAAAAAAAAAGAGGCTTTGTAAAATGAGATTGATTTGCTTCGTTCATTATTAGAATAGTCTTGAATAAATAATTTGTTGCTTCTTTTAAATTAATTACACTAATCTTACTAATATCACTATCCTCTTCAAAAAAAATCACTTTAATTGATTAAATCATTTTTCTATGGGATTCGTAATCATCTGAAATTGTTTATCATATTAAATAAATTTAACATAACAATTTTTGAATAATCAGTCCATATTTAAATATTCCATAATGTCTAGATTTTAAATGTTATTATTTCATAAGTAGATTAAATGAAAAAAGATAGGTTCTGAATATTAACCTATTTTTATTAATAACCTTAAAAATTCAATTTTTTGCAACAATAAAATAACTCCTATAGTAAAGTTCATATAATTAATTCTTAATTAATTATATTAATGAATCTATCTATAAAAGTATGAATTTAGTGATTATAATTATTAAACTGTGGGTACCATTCTAAATTAACCTCTAGTTTTTGTAAGAGTTATAAATTTATTAATAGTCTTTGATTCATATTCTTATTTTTAATAATATCGATTATTTACTAAAATTTCTTCATAAATAATTAGATTATCAATTATTAAATAAATAAACTGTAATTTAATGATTGTTTGTTATTTCAAATTACCTTTATTGTTAATGTTTGAATAAAATAGCAAAAAATTAAAATATATTATCATTATATAGAACTATGATTAATTAAATTAAATATAAATCAGTCTCAGTTTTTAAGTCATGCATATCAAAATATATAATTACTATAATTTCCTCATAAATTTAATATATGAAGTCAGAAAGAATCTCCTATATGACATGCAAGGATAATTTTGTACAAGATGAATTCTATTCTGTGTTCTAGTTTGATTCATAACGTATTTTATCTGATAATATAGAAAATAGTCAATGTCGACCAACTATATATATTCGACCATAATAAAGGAATAGGAACACCATATAATTGAGGAGTATTCAGGAATCATGTATGGATCCTTTGCTGAATAATGGAACCTAATTATCTGAATTGGTGCCTAGAAAAAGATAGGTGGTTCCTATTGGACAAGTAAAGAGGAATCGAATAGAAACCTTGTTATTTAGATCAAGACCTTAAAAGAAGAAGTCTTAGGTAGAATGTTCTTTAGATACTTCTGCTGCATTGATTAAATTGATGAATAAGAATAGATGGATTAGATATTTAATGAATTTCTATATATGGTTGAATATTGGGTTAAGAATAGGGTATGTGGCTATAGTTATATTTTATGTAATATAAAATGATTACAATAATCAAGTAGAAGATGAAAATAGTGAAGAGATTATGACATAATTTTATTGGTGGATTCCTGGGTCTTTTATTGGAATCAGAGTAATATTTATATTGATAATCTATAAATTATTATGTGTAGGAGAATAAACTAGAGATCCTAGGATTAAGATTGTTTTTGATACTTATGAGGCTTGGTTTAATAAGACAAATAATGAAAGGGATCAATTATTGATGAAATGCAATTTGATGGTTATTAGGAATAGATAAGACGAATTGGAATTAAGATAACTTTAACAAAAAGTAAATTCTTTAAATCGATGGCTTTTGATGCTTAAAACATATATTGTTTTAATTCCCCCTGAATGTTAATTCATATTTTTAAAATAAAAAAGCAACGGGTTTTTTTAGGTGCAAAATTTTATTATGAAATCATTAGAAATACTTTTCTTTACACCTTAATTGATGTATTTCTTATTAATAGAAGAACCTTTAGATTTGGAATTAGATCGTTTGGCTGCATATGATATTAATAATATCTGTTTATTAGTACTCTTAGCTGATATCATATGCTTTGTCTTTATGACATTATTACTATTATGTTTGGGAAACAATAGAAAATATGTTAATAATTTAAGAACAACTTGATTGTACATAAATATAAGTTGTTTATATAAATATAAAATAATATAATGAAGGTTGAACATAAGTATTATTTTATGTTAATCATTTTTTTCATAAATATATTAATACTATATATTAAAATTTTATAGAACTAACCACTTTTTATTGGTTTATTTAATTAAATTTATTTTTGTTTTTTAGATCATCTTTATGAAATTACTTTATACCTTATTTTTGCTCATTAAAAACTCCAAAGTTTAGATCATAAAAGATGTCTTACTATATTATTGGTATTAGAAGTTTTAATCAAATTAAGTGATAACCTTATTCCCATTTAAGATGATGTAGTTTTTATTGTTTATAAATTTAAAACTCATTACATTCTTTACTTATTAAAAGTCAATGATTTTTTTATCTCTTATATAAATAAATTATTTTAGCTAATTTAATATAGTTAAGAGTTATTCATAAATAGATTTGATTAGAATTTTTAAGTCTAAACTTCACAAACTATTTTTTTGATTTTATCTTTATTAGATTTACTCCTGAATACTAATGGATTATTCCAAACCTTAATATTAATTCTTTTTCCACTAAATTCTTTAATTTAATTTAATTCTAAGAGCTATGTAAGAAATTATATGATAAATAGGAAAGAAAGACTATTGAAATCTAATTTTATTAAGGATTTCACAAAGTTAAGTTAGAAATAATTTGATCAGTTATTTGTATGAGAATATAAAAATATAATATTAAATAAAAAAGTCCAATATAAATGCTTACAGGCAAAGAAGAATAGCCTTTATTGCTTTTGAGAGTAATGCGCTTAAAAAAAAGTCTAGTCCAATCGAGGAAATTAAGAAAGCAAGGAATTACCAAAGTATTTAAGGAGTACATTCACTGATACCTATTAATTGTAAGAACCAGTAAAGGAGAAAAGAGGCAAAAAGATTTTACCTTAGTATGCATTTGGAAACTCTTTGGAATCACCATCATTTTTTAGAAATGCAAATACATTGATTTGTAAAGAAAGTTATGACAATCCATTTCTTAAGGGACAGTAGAAACCAAAAAGCAAATGGGAATCATTACGTAGCAATACATTGAATAATTATGATTTCTATAATATTTCAGAATAGAAATTTAGTAATATGCCATAAGAAGGATTTAATAATATAAGATTAGTGAAGTATAAATGAAATTAATATAAAAAGTACAGTTACAAACTAGATAAATTTTGTAAAGACCCCTAAAGTGAAGAATTAAGATTATACTTTCTAATAAGCATATCGAACATTATAAAAGACAAGTCATTTTAGACGTAAACATGGTGAGCATTTATTATTATTATAATAATAGAATTGTTTACAGATTTTATTGAAAAAAATGATAATTAAAATGTATATGGACATTTAAATGATCGATAAAGACCAAAAGGACATTTAAGGGATGTTAAAAACTTTAGTTTGACTCCTTAAGAATTTTAGATACAGCATAAATATAATTTCAATTCTATGATTACCAGTCCAAAATATAAGACTTCCAGAAAGTAAGAGTTTCCTAAGGTGAATAAAGCAGATGAGAAGATAGAGAAATATTTCAAAAGAGATTAGAAGTAAATTGTGATTTATGTTCTTTAAGTTTTCTTAATGCTTTGAGCAATTCAATTATTGTTACTCATATAGATAATAAAATGAAAGGGAAAAAACAAGATCGATATAAGTATATAAGATTTGATTTTAAGTGCTGATCCTGTGACAGAAGATTATTAAGAAAATGAGATTGGATTAATTGAAGTATTTGAAAAACATTTAGAGTTTGAAAAGTAATATGGAGATTGATTGATTAATTAATATATTTATAATGAAATTGGCAATATTGCCTGATCCTATACATCGATAATATTTTGCAAATCATGTTAATTCACTCAAATAGATTAAAAGTAGAAAAAACAAGATTGAAGAGGATTCTTTGGGTGTAATCCGTTAATGTAACTTATTAATTATATGTAGTATCGACAATTAAAAAAATAAAAGATTAAGTGTCAGCATTTGAAGCCATTGAGGAGAACAAGAGCATTGCTTATAATAATTAAAAAATATAATAAGCAATAATGAAAATAAGCAGTGCAAAACATAATTTACCAAAATTACATATAAAACGTAAAGAAAAGACTGAGATCTCAGATGAAATTGCAAAAGAAAATAAAAGACTTAAGAAAAGTATAGAAAATGTATAGAACAGTTTGACATACAGAACAAAGCATCAGAATATTAGAAAGTCTTATCAATAAGTACTGAACGAATATTGTTAATCGAGATTGCAGTAATAAAATGAATAATTATAATAATGATTCTGAAATAGTTCATTCTTCTATTGGACCTTTACCTGTACGTCGTAGTACACTAAATCTTAGTTTAGTAAGAGAATATGACTTACCTTCTGAATCATTTGAAAAGGCAATAGATATTATGTCTAAGAATCTATAACTGAATGAATAGGCTAGTAAAATCTATATGTAAGACATTTTAAGAGAGTTTGGGTAAACTATAAATATAATCAAAATAGCTATTTCAAAGCATTAGAGCAACAAGCAGAATATTTTGATTATATTGAAGAAACCATTAGTAGCTTAGAATATAAATAAGTGAAAAAGGGGAACATTGTATTTCATTGTGGAGAAAGAGGAGATTATTTCTATATGATTTTAAAAGGGACAGTATTAGTATATGTTCCAAAAAAGTAAGATTTGTGAATTATATATTTTAAAGAGATGAAGAAATTTAGAAATAAAAGTAAATAATGTTACAAATGAATCAATGTAAAGAAGATATGGCAAATACTAAAAAGAAAGATGATGCAAAATAATTGTAAAAACAGATGTAAGATCTATAGAATCAATTAAAGGAATACTAAGGCATGGAAGATATTCTTTTATTTCCTTTTAAAAGTCGTTATTATTAGAAACTTCCTAATGGTTAAATGATTTGTTTATATAAAAAAGTAAATACAATGAAAGATGGTGATTGTTTTGGAGAAGTTTCATTGTTTAGAAATGAACCAAGAGCAGCTACTTTAATTGCATTAGATACTTTACATTTGGGAGCTTTGAATAAATCTAATTATTTAAGGATTTTTGAATCTAAATTAGAGAAATTGAATTTCACTTTAGGAATGCTTAGTAAAATGTTTCCATAATCATCTAAAGAAGTAGTTATATAATTAAGTTTTGATTTTCAAAGAAAATTATTTTCTATAAATTAGACTATTTTTAAATAAGGAGATATAGTTGATGGATTATATTTGATATTTTAAGGGATAGTTGAAATAAGTTCTGATAATGTGAGAGTTAATTAATTTAGTGAATGTCAATTTGTTGGATTATTTGATTTAAAAAATCCAGGTTTAAGACAATATACTGCTACTTCAGTATCATATGAAACTATTATATATTTTTTACCTAAGAAATAATGTTCTGGATTAGATAGATTTATGAGAGAAAGAATTAATGATTATAGAATTAGTAGTGATGGATTTAGATAAGATTGGGTTAAGAAATGTCATAAGATGATTGCAAAATAATAATAAGATACAAATAAAGTTATTTTAAAAGATATAAATACAAAAGAAATATTATAAAAATGTATTACATAAAGAGAATCAAAAACAACTTCAAATACAATAAGTAAAGATAGAATTAATTAAATTGTTGAATATAATAATCATCAATGTTCATTAAAAGAGAAATTAAAGAATGTGAAATTATGTTTATAAATGAGAGATTTTGATAAAGAAAAAGAACTAGTAGAAAAAATGATGAAATAATAATATACTTAATTACCAAGATTGAGAGAAAGACCAAGAAATCTATTTGAAACATATACAAATTTGATGTCTAAAGTATCAAGATTAAGTTTAAGTCCAAACTTTTAGTCTCCTAACACTAGTGATCATAGTATTAAGAATATACATGTGGAGAAGAAATTATAATAAAGATTAAAAAAAAGTGAACAAATAATTAATTAAATTATGGGAATATGATGATTTAAGAGCATACTCAAAATTGAGATCTATGTGCTATCAATATTCCCTAAACAAAATTGTTTTTACATTTCATTATTTTTACATCTAATAATATAATTAATAGTAATACTTAAATCATCTATTGTATACGTTATAGTTCATTTTAAGGTACAATTACTGGCTTAAGTTTCTTATCTTTTTGATTCATCACACTTGAAAATTGAAAATGTTGTAACAATGCAGATCTACCCTGTATTCTTGCATATCTCAATTAACAAATCTAAAAAAGAATAAGAAACTTAAATACTTTTTCACTATTAAAATGAGGCCATTTCTAACCATGAAACTCATTATGAAAAGATGTTATCATATGACTGTCAACAAAATTTATGAATGCATAACCCATATTACATTTATTCTAAAAAGATTTTAAACTATTTTATACCTTAAAATCTATAGGTAGATAAAGGAAATCATAAGATGCTGAATGATGATAATCAATTAATTCTTTGAGCATTTGAATTGTATATTTATTTGGGATATTTTTAACCATGACAGTTGTTCTTGTATCTCCTTCAATACCATCAATTCGTACAATAAAATTATGGGAATCCTCATCCGATATCGTTTTACGTTTACGTCTATGATTGTTCTCATAGAATTAGTCTTTTAAGGATTGATTATTCTCAAGAAATTCGGGTTCAAATATTTCTGTAGAAAGATATGATTTATAACATGAATCTACAAAAACATGATTGATGTCTTTTATCATTTGGTCTTGCACATCTCTTATGTCTGTTTGTTGCTTCGGCAATATTACTTTTGTATCTGGGAAGGTTTACAAGACCAATACCTGAAAACAAGTCGATAGCTTAATCGATAAGACTATGTTCTTCTTCACTTGTTGGAAGTGATTCTCCACTCACATTCATATTGCAAGATCTTTCAATATCAGCAAATAATTCTTCATTAGAGCTATGCTGATTATTGCGATCATTCTTTAAGCTCTATTACTTATTTCGAAACAGAGAAGTATCACTTTAAGAGATGTAACTACGATGGCCAGGAAGGTTGTAACATTCTCTAAAATTATTGAAGCTATTATTCATTATTTAATTAAATGATAATAGGTATAATATAAACAATCAAACATCTAAGTTAAATTTATACTTAAATATAATATCAGAACACAATCTAAAATATATCTATTCTAAACTTAAATGAATTTATATCCAATGAAAATTAATAAAAATATAATTAATATAATATTCACATCATTAAAAAAACCATTTATAGATTTCAATATATTAAAAACCCCATAAATTGGTTAAATTTACTAAATTATGATTAAACGTTAGCAATTTCATAATTTATAAAATGAATTGACAATCTAATATTTCAATAATTCATTTTTTTTGATAATTTAAAACAAATAAAATTTAACATAAAAATTATCCCTTCTTCATTGTTCCTATTTGTGAGGAAGTTTATAAGTATTTAAAATTTTTGTCTATATATAGGAGGTTGCTAATAATATAGTAAAGGAGATATTTTTGTTTCAAATCAAATTAATATCATTGAATATTGCTGGCACTTAAAAAACCAATAATTTCATGAATGTTCTGTACTATACCTTATATTTATTGGATAATTTAATCTCTTAAATAATTATAGCCAAATTCATATAGGCATATTATTTGTGAGCTTAAAAGTCAAGGCCTATATTTTAGTTTGAATTGAAAGACTATAAATTATTGTATTATTTAGAGATAGTGCATTCTTTGCTGATATATAACTATCAAATAAACTAATGATTTCTAAATTGGCTAATTTCTTTTAAAAATTTAATATCTATGAAAATTAATCATCTTTTTTTACTTTTTTAATTGAATCCAACTACATAAAGTTCTAAAAAATCATGATTTGCAGTTATGTTTATAAAGTCTGGGTTTTATATAAATATCTATAGTACATGGTGAATTAACCATTTTTAATAACTAAAATAGAAATTTAATAAGTGAAATTTGATTTGATGAAATTTTTACATTTACTTTGAGCGGTTTCACATATAGTTCAAGTTTTCTATTTATTATTTAATATTGAAATTTACCATTGCAATTCTTTTTATTTTAAACTGAATTAGTATTACTTATGAATAGGAATTATTAGTATAAGAAATATTCTTAACTCAATATAATATAAAATTAGAATATTTATCAAATTAATATACTAATAAAAATTGAATATGAAACTTATTAATATTGTATCTAGATAAATTAAGGAGAAACATATAGAATTTTTGTATATTTAATCAAAATTTGATGATATTATTAAACTCACAATATAGAAAAGAAATCAGATGGAAAACCTTTTGGATTATTTATTCTTGGCTTTGCTCTTTGTAGTGGTTCTTTCTCTTTCTGAAAAAAGCCTTTTAATTCTTATGTATTCAATAAAAGCAAATCTAGGATCTTGTCATTACTAATGGACTCGCTTTTAAAGTATTTTTTGTTCCTTTATTCCGTTGAAATTTAATTTGTTCCTTGTATTTTCATTGTATTATTTCGATCAATCTAACTAGTGCGCACAGTTCTTGTTGTTTAAATTTAAAGAAATTTAGCCTTTTCTACATCATTCGAGATTGTTTATGCTGAAGGCCTCTTTCCCTTAAAGTACTAGGGTTCTGTGTCAAGGGAGATTTATTTAGTTATTGGAGTATTTAAATTTTTAAGATCTAAGAATTTTTCCTTATTTTTTATGTCGTCTTTATTATTAATCCTATTTGTTGTAGGATGCTTAGATAAGATAGGTGTATTTGGTATTGATTTTTTATTAGAATTGTTAGAGTTTTATTGATGAGAATTTAATGATTTTTGAGATTTGATTTATGTTGGGTATACCTATTAATTGAAGTTCATCTGTTAATAATATAATAAATTAATAATGATTAAACAGTTGTGCTTTTTGAATGATTAATCACTTATCATATGCATAATTGAGTGTGAATTCTTAATTAACTGGACTTCTGGTTTAAAGGAAAGTTGTTGTATATCAATTTAAATTAAATACTATTTAAGATAATTCAAGATTATTAGACATTAAGTAGAATATATTGATAATGAATTTTTATAGAGTATTAATAATAATAATATATAAATATAAGAATTTCATAGCAAAGACTGCTATAACTCTTTTTAAAAGATCTATTACACCAAAATAATTATTCATATTGTTGTCTTATATCATTCAGAAAGTACTCTTTGAAATAATTCCAATTCAACCAATTTATTTTTACATACTTATTTTTCTAATCATTTTAAAATCACTCTTTGTTTTAAATTATCAATTTGATATTTTTATATTTGAATCTATTTTAAATTCATTCTCATTTTTAAAACTAACTCCAATTATTCATGATACATATCCTATCATAATATCTTTTAAATCAAAAATCCATTTATTTAATCATTCTTTAATTCTCCTTCACATATAGATTTTTTTTATATCTTTAACTATTTCTTTTCATCCATATTCTCAATATTAATACTATCCATCTTACTCAATATCAGGTCATTTTCTATAAAGAATCTATTTATTTTTCAAAAGAATTATAATTGCTTAAATAAAAATTACAACAGGGTTTTAAATTTAAAATGCTAATCATTACCAAATTATCCTTTAAATGATATAGTATCTTAAATTCTTACATGACCAATTCTATATTTTATATCATTTTTTAAGTCTCTATTATAAAAAATGAATAGCATATCTATATGTACTTTAATTTAACATATAACTAAAATTTGTTTTATTATTCCTTCTTATAAAATATGTCTTGTATTTCAAATTCTTTTACATATATTTGTTGATAAATTCATATAACTTTATTTATGAAATTCTAGTTTGTATTTCTGATTCTATAGGAAATCATATAGTTGTAAAATGAGTTTTGATATCAAATCCATGTAATTAAGAATTAGATTGTATAATATTATACTTACAACAAATTTATGAAAAAATATGTAAAACTATTTATAATAAATTTTCATTTAATGTCGAAAACACCAAATCGCCTTGTATTACCAGAGTTGGAAAATAAGAGTTTTCGAGATTCTAAACAAATATAAGATTTAAGAAGAAAATTAGAACAATAGAAGGATACTATAAAAGAACTTGTTAATTTAGTAAAGGAGTCTAAAACAGAATAATCCTACAAACCATAGTTCAATTAATCTATTGTATAAGCTAATTAGGAAAAGGATGAAGTCACTTTACAGTTACTAGAAGAAGTAAAAACATTGAGGAGATAAATAAACAATATTGAATAAGGTCCAAAACAATCTGTTCAACATCCAATTATAATTCCACAATATTTACCAGGTCCTCCACAATAACAATAATAAGTATAACCAATGATGTCTCCGTATATGTTTATGAATCCATACTTTCCTATGCCTCCTCCCTTTATGTATCCATATCAATAATCATAATAATCTAATCAAGATGATACCTACAAAAAAATAGTTCTTGAATTGCTTTAAAAAAGTAATAAAAATATAAAAGATATCAATCGAAAAAGAAGAGATTCATACTCAAGTGAATATACTGATGATCATGATGATAATAGAAGATAACATAGACATCATTCAAATGTAGATGGAAAATATTATTAAAATGATAGATAACATTAAAGAAGGAATAAAGATAAAAAATAAATAAAAGATAGAAATCATAAAGATTAAGATTATTAGGATCATTTGAGAACAAATAGTAGAATATCTATAAATGATAGTTAAATGAGTTATAATTAAAAATTGAATGGAAAGGGTAAACGAAAGATTAATTAAAAGATTTTTACATAAGATGAGAAACTTAAATTAAAGAGAAAATTATCTGGACTATTTTGGTATATTAGAATTGGTTTAGTGCTTAGAAAATATTTGAAAAGAGTATGGTTACAAAGAAGACAAGAGTATTACAATACTGAAGCATAGTAATTAATTGATAAATTCGATCATGAATTTGTAATTGATTTATCAAATTAAATAGAACTACAAAGAAGTTTTTGTTTTGTTTGTTGTTGAATGTAACAAAAACAAGTATTTTACTAAAAATTGGAATATTTTTGATAATAAAGAAGTTGAACTTAAATCCAAATTAATATTTTCCATTATAAATATTCTTTTTAAGAAAATACCGTTTATGACCAAGAGTTCTATGACAGATGAACATAAATAATTTATTAAGAAAATATCAACTCCTGGTGGATATTTATTACCAGGTCATCCATAATTTGTAACTGATAGAGTAGAATTAAGATCAAATGTAACAATAGGGTAATTAATTTAAATTACTTAGATAAATTAATATTGAAGTATCAAAGTTGATTTAAATGGATTATATTTATATTCAAATTCTTGTTTAGAGAGTTATTCTCATACATGAATGGTATTCTTAATATTCTAAAATCCCTAATTATAAGGAAGCTATGAAAATATTTGTTACCTTAATGCATTAATTGTTTATTGATCATTTTATTAATCTTCCAACATATGAAAATCCAGATTCAATTTTTAATGTATATTTTTATATCATTATAACATAGTAAAAATAAGTTATTTATTGTGATTTCACATAATAAAATTATATTGATGTTGCTATAAGTATTGATGATAAGCATCCAAAATATCAACCAACAAAACATTGTTGTATCCTTGGTTTAGGATCCAATGATGAAATGAGACCACTTTATGAATAGCCTGGTTATAAGGATCTTTAAATTTAATTTAAAGAATATTGTGAATATTTTTATTAATCCTTAAATTTTTGATTAGACTTTATTATATATAATATTTTATAATATTCTATTAGAATATTTAAGGATTAAAAAAAATGATGTTAATAATTATAATTTTATTCATAAATATTACAAGGATAAATGAACGATGCTAAAATAGATTTTCTAAAGTGGCTATAAAAAGAACGAAATGATCAATTTACTTAATTGTTTTCAGAAGATGTTCTATTAAATATAGAATCAGAAAAAGAGATTTCTAAACTTTAAAAAATATCTTTGAATAATTACCAAAAATTAATATATAGTGGATCAAATATTCAATTAAACAAAGTAATCAAGTCTAATGTTTAAGAAATTAATCAAAAGAATAAATTTTAGCAAACAAAAATAAATGATTTAATAGGTATTCTTATATTTTAATATTAAGATAATATTTAATTAGGAGAAAACTTTCTAGATTAGAATGAAAGAATAGATTCACGTAATTATTAATAGCCACAAATCTCAAGATAACCAAAGTAAGAGTTTTTAAAAGAAGAAATACCATTAAGAAAACTTATAGCAATTTTAAAATGAACTATAAATTCTAAAAAAATTATATATACATTTATTTATTTAGTATTTTATTCTGTTACCCTAAAGATCTTAGTTTTGATTAAATAATAAATAAATAGAATTTCAAATAGTTAAATTTAAAGATTCTATTATTTATAGTACAATTGTAAATCATAATAATTTTATTATTTTTATTTATATAGTTGATTTTTTAATCTTAAGTAATGTTTCAAATCCTTGTAAAATTTTGCCAAATATTACATTGTGAATTTGATTGATAAATATTAATGTTTAATTCCACAACACAACTTGCGAATCAATTACCTGTTTTTAAAAGTCAAAACTATTCAGAATTGAAGGATTATTAGGATTTCTTAAAATTAATATAGAAATTTCACATTTAAAAATTCATGTTAAAAAGTAAAGAATAATTATATCACTATTTAACTAATTAGTGTTAAATTTAAAACTATAATTCTTAATCAGATTCAGATGGAGAATCTAGTTATGAAAATTAAGGATCTGGATAATAAACAGAGGATATGTCTAGAAATAAAATAAAAAATAAATCTGATAAAATTCTAGCTAAATAATAAGATATTCTTGAAAAATAATATCCTCAAATATAAATTGAAGATTTTAATTAAAAAAATTAATCTCTATAAATTAAAAAAATTGATAATCATAAAAAAGAATAAAATTTTAAAAGAGCTAATTCATAAAATAATGAGATTTTAGAGAAATTGAAATCTATTCCTTTGATATAAGATTTTGATGATGAAGATATTAGATAAATGGTAAATGATTTTTAGTAGGAAGATAAAAAATAATCTAAATAAAGCAAAAATTCATAGATTTGTAAGGATACTATGATGAGAGATGATTATTAATATAAATGGCCATAATGTAGAATAAGAATATTATAAGCTTTGACAATACTTATTGAAAAAAAAGTTGTAGTCCCAAAAATTCTATAAGATTTTAAGATCCTATAGAAAACTTATATTTATTCATTATATTTAAAAGATTGTGATGATTTGGCTAATTAATTATGGCAAAAAGTTGGTGAGAATGTAAGTGCTGATGATTCAATTAAATATTATAGAACTAATTATAATACAGATTAATTAGAATTAATTTTAGAAATGGTAAAACTTGTATATGAGAAGAGAGAATAACATAGAGAATAAATAATAGCAATATGTTCAGGAATAATATTTTAAAAGAAATTAAGATAATTAAAAGATAAAGTAACAGCTAAAGCAAAATGTGCAGATAAAAAATGTGAATTAATAATTGTCTACTTAGAAAGAATAAATAATTATGTATTAACTGGACCAATTATAAATAAATATTAACATGGCAATTGTAGTGAAGCATAACTATTGCATCAAAAAATAATTAAGAAAGCAGCTAAAACACTATTATTTTCTGCTGTATAGCTTGATGTACCAATTCCTGAAGTACTTCAATACTTATCTCTAAGAAAAAGCAGATATAATGTATAAGATAGACCAGAAGAATAAGGAATATATATATTACCAAGTGTAGAGTTAGTGAAATTGATTGTTGACAAATAAGGTATGGAAGCAATAGCTTAATAATTAAAGATGAATGATTTTGACTATTTAGATTTTAAAGGTCTTGATTAATTAAATTTTGAGCATTCTAATAAGAATATTGAAGATAGAGATGAAACAGTTTTGTATTCAGTACTTTAATTAGTATTAGATAGAATAGATGAATTGGATTAATTGAGTTTTGTTGTTAATGATAGAAAATTCAAAGCTTTGTAATCAAAACTTAATGAATTATATAAGGATGAAGTATTTGGAGAACCAAATTAATAATAAGATATTCCTTAATATGTTGGAAGTGTTATGAATAAGGTGGAATCCTATATTAAATAGTCTAAGTCATAAGAGAGAGGTAAGATAAAATTATGTTGTATAAAAACAAAATTCTTTGATTCAGAGATTATAGTAAAATAAAATAATGAAGATTTAACAATAGAATAATTAGAATTTTGTAAACAATTATTCATTTTGTTTTTATCAGAAATATCTAGTAAAGACATAGCATTTCCTGAGATTTTGAGATATTTTAAATTTGTTGATGGTAGATTATTCTTTGAATTTAATTAAAAATTGATAGGAATTATGTTATTATGTAAAGCTATAAGATAATATTTCATTTCATGTATGTAAATGGATGGAGAATTTGAAAAAGAAATAATAGATGATAATAAAATAATGATTAATTCAGTTCCATTATTAAAATTAATAATAAAAGATGAATTCTTACCTGAAATATCTGAAATATTTACAAAATAGATTTCTATTTTATGTCATAATAAAGAAGATTTACACTTAGATATATAGGAATTATTTAAATATTAACCTATTTGTGATATGATTAAATTATAGGTAATAGATGATGAATATGAAGATGCAATCTTAGATTTAAAATGTTTATACAAGTATATTACTGAATAAAATACTTATTCAGAATGATTGTTGAAATTATAAATAATATATATATCTGCATATTATCTATTTATTTCAAAACTAAAAATTCAATCTAAGGAATGAACGAATTAGCATAAATTAATGAATATATCAAGAAGATTGAAGAATTATACAGTGAATCTTTCTTTGAGAAGAGGATGAATGCCTCTGAATCAGAAGAAAAAAATAGTAAGATTAATCATTATTCAAAGATGAGATCAAATTTATGATGGAGTAAATCAATTAAGACTAAGGTGTTATTGAAAATTTGATTTACATTTCTCTATTTTTAATTGGAACTTTATAAGCTAAACAGGATGATGAATTAGAAAATAATGATTTTCAAGAAAAGTAAAGAAAATAACTTATAAGTTAATTACAATAGGAAAGAGATGAAATTCAACAGTATAAAGTAGAATTTATTTTTATTTTTATAGAACTTATATCATGAAAAATGTTAGATTATAGATGAATAATTAAATGTGATTTCAGATTTGGAATAATAAGTATCTATATTAAAGAATCAAAATACTGATTTAGAAAATTAAAATTTAAGAATATAAAGAAGTCAATTAGATAATGGAAGCATAACAGAAATAATATAATTATAAGAATAATAATTAGTGAAAAATTAAAATTATTAATAAGAATTATAAGCAATAAATCAAAAATTAAAATCAGATTTATAAGCTTATTAAATTGAGAACAATGATTATAAAGATCAAATAGAAGAATTAAATTAAAATTATAAATAATTGAGATTTGACCTATCATAATTAAAATTATAAAAATAATAGTAGGATATTTTGATATAATCATTAGAATAAGATCTAAAAATCTAAAGCGAAATTGTAATTGATTATGAAATTTAAATAGATCTATTAAAGGAATAACTTAGATCAATTAATACTCCTTAATTGATTTAAAATGAAAAAGGTATTGAAAAAAAATAAGAGGATTAAGATAATAATTTATAAAATAGTGCCTATACTACAAATTTAGAAGCTACATAATTTAGCGATATTTAACATTTTAATTAATAATAAACACAACCTAATCTTAAATTATAGCTTCCTTTATTATCATATAGATAATAATTATATAAGTTTCAAATTCCAGAAGTATCTGAAAGATAAGAATAATCTGATTAAACCTAAAAAGGCAACAAAATTGAAAGTGATGTTTATACTGTTGTCTCAACCTTCGAAGTTAATTAAGTTGAAAAAGAGAATTTAAGAGATAAAACTAAAAGTTTTTAAGGAGATAATCTTATTGAAAGTATTCCTAATTCATAATTTATTTCATAAACAGCAAGATTAGATTTGAATAAAACTTAGATTCCTAAATTTTAATTCTCAGATATTAATAATAGGATTACAGTAGCAAAATAAAGAAAATCTAAAACTATAGAATAAGTTGGTGTATAATAATATTTGCAATAACTTGGAAAGAGATCTAATTCAAAATTAATTGAAACTCCAAAATCATCCCCAGATCCATATTAAATCTTTTTTGAACTAGTAAAATATTTAAATTATTTAAAATTTAGTTAGTATAATGTGTAAAAATTAATTCAGAAAATTTTGATGAGATTTATAGTGTAAATACAGATAATCTTTTTAAAGAATGTTAAAAGGAAGGTAAACCTTATTTTGAATGGTAAGATTGGATTCAAAAGAGATTGAATATTGAATAAAATTGGAACTTAGGATGAGTTCATCTTTATTTTAATTATTCAAAATAACTAAATATATTTAATACAATAAAAAATAATTCATCATTTAAAATAAATATATCATAAAATTATTCAAGAGTAAATAGGAGATGAATTTGAATCTAAAATAGTATCCTATATCTATATTGGGTTTATTTTAGATATCCAACTTTAAAGATTAAATCCTCCTAATAATAACATTCCTCTTTGTTCCAAAAATAATCCTTAAAAATACTATTATTATGTTTTATTTTATGGCAATTATTTCATGCATTCCTATATTTTTTTATGTCTCTATATGTCCCATATTGTTACATAACCAGATGTAAATATAATTATATATTGATTTTAAGAATCAAATACAAATACCCTTAAAATCTTATCATTCATCTAATTAAACTATTAAGATGTATTTAAAACACTAAATTAATGGATAAACTAACCTTTTCGAATATCATAAATGCTCACTAATGTACACATACTTCCAAATATAACAAATTAGTATTTGCTTGAATAATCAAGACTTGAAACTGATTATTTAAGATCATTAAATTTAACCTATTTTTATAGACCCACTGAATAATATTATTCTTATTGATTTTTTCTTAAATTCTCTTTTATTATACTAAATAATCCATCATATTAACAAATAATAATAATTTTATTTGATAACATTGTATCTGCTTATTAACCTACATAAATCTTATCTAATAATTTAAAATCAGGCATAGAATAAACTAACATTTATTTAGATTTCAATATTAAACAATGTTCTTATTTAATCCATTTATTTTATGTTATAGCAATTTAATCAATTTTATCATTTAAAGTGAATTCATGACATTTTTTTAAAGAATAATCACCATTTTTATAATCATATTCCAATTAATAATATTGTAACACTAGATTTTCTAAAACTAATATAATATTATTATCTTTAGAACATATTAATTATACTTATAAGGAAGAATTTAGTTTATAATTCTCTTATTCAAGAACTTAATATCTTTTAGAATGTTCAGATTAACCTCTTTTTCTAATTAATTACATTTTAGGATCTGGATTTAAAGGTCTTAATTATGGATCCCAAGGATTTAAATTAACTACTTTTTATAAATGTTCTATATCTCTTTTGCATTGTAAAATAGGATCTAATCGTTCTTTCATTGAAGAATTTGTATCTAATCTTTCAATATGAAAAGAATTATCTATTGATTTTGTATAAAAATTTATTTATTTTTTCCAACTGTCTTTAGATTATTATTAATCAAGTCTTTATAAAATACCCATAAATTCATCTGCTTATTTTTTCTTTGTTTTTTCAATTGATTAAGCAGAAACTACAAGTATTGGTTTGAAATTGTGAACATTAATAAGTGCTAATGTTTTATTGTTAAATATTAGAATAGCAAATTCTTATTTCAATTTAACATATGACATGTTTTCTATATAATAGACAAATATTTATTTTTCTTATTAATTAGTTATTTAGAAATAAGATGGTTTCATTATCCTTAAAAAAAATACTAATAAATTACATAAACTTATCTTCTATGAATTAGAAACTTGATTATTCATATATTTGATTATCAAATGCTGTTTCCTATTGTTAATTGTAAGTCTCTATTAATTCTAAAATTTATGGCCATGTTGCAACATTTCTTCTACCTTATCTACTAACCCATCTTGAAAATATATGAGGTGATGAATCAATTTATTAAGCCACTATTTACATAGCTTACTATGATATTAAAATAAAAATACCTCTAAAGTAACACCAGGAATTTTACTATTTGCAGAATGAATAACAATCCAATCAAATTTCTTTTTAATTTCCTTGATATCATTTCTAGTTATATATTTTTAAGGATTATTATTAAACATTTATATTTATCATCAAAATTCATCATGATTGGCAGAAAATCCTTCAAAATTGCCTGCTGTTTAACCAACTTATGATTAAGGAGTCTCAAATATTTTCTTTGCAACTGGAACCTCTTTTGCAATTTATTATTGTAACTTTTAAACTCCTTCTAAAATAGGTGATTTGATTCTTAAATTAGCAACATCATCCCAATTAATTTCTTTAAAAAAACTATGATCTTTAATTTCTTAAATTGATTTATGTCCTAATAAATTTCATAATAGAATTACCTAATCTTTTAGTAGGATCTTTGTTCAAGAACTATATTATTATATCTTTAGATTATTCATTTATAAAATCTGGAAATTCTAAATGACCCTCTTTAATTTGTGATTCTATATTTCTAAAATTATTAGCCTTATCTCTAAATGGTGTTTTACCAACCAACATTTCATATATTAATATTCCCAAACACCACCAATCAACAGCATAATTGTGGCCAGAATTATTCAAAATTTCTGGTGCCAGATACTCTGGAGTACCGGCTATCTAATCTAGTGAAAAATACAAAGATATACAGTAAAGAACTTCATGTCCAGTGATTCATATTTTTTTGATAATCCAAAATCTGTTAATTTCAAGTGTCCTTATTCAGTTACTAAGATATTTTCTGGTTTTAAATCTCTATAGATTACTTTGAGTTTTTCATGCATATATTCTAAACCTAAGACAACTTCTGCTGCACAAAATTATGCTTAAACAAATGTAAAATGTTTTTAAGGTTATCTTGTCATTACTCTTAGTAATTATCCTCCATTAACTAATCTAATTTTTATTTACTATTATATACTCCATCACTAAATAAAGTTTTTGTTCTGTTTAAAATGAATATTTTAGTTTTATTACAAACGGATTATTGCTATATTCTAATACATTCTTCTCAAGCATAGTATGATTCACTAAACCATATTTTATTATGTCTGCTTTTTTGATAACTTTCATTGCATATTCTTTCTAATTACATTTCATCTTCACTTTCAAAACCTTACCAAATTGACCCTATTTATACTATTAATATCAAAAACCCTGCCTATTTCACCTTAACTCAAAAAATCCTTCAAACAGATTTTTCCATTTTCATTTTCATGTATTGGTTGACTTAATACACTTTCTACTTTTTTCATTGTTTTTAATGAAGAATTTTGAGACTCATCTTAATTGAAACAATTCCCCATTTTTAATAAATATTAAATCTATATTTAAAATATGTCACAAAAGTTCAAAGTTAGAAAGCTCAGAGATTAAAAGCCAGAAGATCTTCTTAAAGATTTAGAAAAGCTTAAATCAGAACTCATTTAATTAAGAACAGTCAAAGTTTCAGCTGGTAATGCTTAAAAACTTGGCAGAATTGGAGTAATTCATTATTCCCTATATTTCAGCTTGTAAGAAAACGAATTGCAAAATATTTAACAGTTATTAATCAATAAAGACGAGATTAAGTTAAATCAAGTACTAAATCAAGTAGCAAACTACCTGTTGATCTTAGAGGTAAATAAACAAGAGCAATTAGATAAAGATTAACCAGAAGCGAAAAAGGTTTATAATATTAATATAAATTAGCTTAAAAAACAGTCAGATAATGGAAAAGATTAAACAATTTTGCATTGAGAAAGTTTGCTTTGAAAGACTGATTCATTAACAATCATAATAGTACATTATTAGTATACTTATATAATTCTTAAATAACATTTTGTTTGAAACAAATATTTCTTTTCACATTTAATTAATTAAATTTAATTAAAAACGTATTTGATGCTTATTGTCTTATTCTTTTTTTTCATTAATAAAATTATCATTTATTTTATATCATAATTTTATTAAAAACTATCTGTTATAAAAATCTTACTATTTATTATAAATCTACTAATTATTATTAAAATCATATCATATTTTTGCATTTTAATATCTATCATTTAAATTGAGTTTATATCAAAATTCAAATATAAAATATAAATTAAAAAAGATGTTTTTCTTATAATAAAGATAAGTATTGTAAAAATCCATTTTTGAAATTTTATATATCTTAATTTATACAAAAAGTAATTAAATTTTTAGTATGATCTTTAACTGCAAATTTTATCTTACTTTATAACTATTTAAATTAAATAAAATTTAAATATTATCTAAGACAGATTAAACTTCATTTTTACTTATTCTTTACAAAAATATTTTATTTCTTTTGTGTATCTAGATATCATAAACATTTTTTATTTAAGGAGGCATTTAGAATATACATATCTTATTATACTTTTTAAATTTTGCTTAATAGCTATAATTGTGTTTCGATTTTGAAGTAAAATATTACTTGAATATATTTTCAAAAATAAAGGTTTGAAAATTTTTATTTATAAATTCCAATATATTAATAAAAAGAAATATTAAATGGAATTTATTAATAATTTTATAAATAACTTAGCAAAAAACATTAACCTAAAAATAGGATTTGAGTATTATATGAGTTAGTTAATCATAATCTAACTATTTCATTGATTTAAAATATAAGTTTTCAATAAATTCTTAATATTATTTTGTAATGTTGGTTTACAATTTATTTAAATAAAAACGATTACAAATAGGTATCTTGTTTTTGTAGAAGACCTTGATAGAAACTCTTATTTCATGTAGTCTTATTATTCTATTTTTAATTTAAAGAATACAGAAAATTTATTTGAATTTTTCTTTCTAAATTATTAACAATTTTTAAAACTTTTTTCTTTATTATCAAATTGAATAGAGCCTAAGGAATAATTATACCCTAAAAATTTAACACATAAATAACATATATTATCTAATAAATTAACAATAGATTAATGATAATTAATATAATAAAGTTAAAATTATCTTAATCTTTTAATTGTTTATATGTATACAATTAGAAGACTAATTTATAATCATTCATATTATTTTTATTGTATAAAATCGAAAATTAAATTATGATTAATATTTAAATATATAAAAAATTCCTTGTAATTTTTTGTTATATACTTTAAGTTTAAATTTTTAAATGCCATAGAAGATGAAGAAAATTAAAATTAGAATATATATATATGTTCTATATTATATTTAACAAAATAAAAGAATCATTTTATTTGTATTATTGTAAAAATAATAACTGAATTTTTTGAAAATATAAACAAAGTAATAAATATGTTAATTCATAAATAAATTTTTAAGATGACAGAATAAATATATAATCATTGTTTCTAGAAAGAACAGTTTATCGTTTATTTTTGTTTAAGTTTGTAGTTTTAAGAAAATAAATTAAATTTAAACAATTTATTTAGCTTCTGTTAGACTTAATTAGTTTTATATATTTAAAAGAGAAGGTATAGTATATTTTATTCAAATTAAATAAATTTATATGAAGATGATTAATAATATTATGAAATTGAATATATTCATAAAGTTCCATTCAGCTTAACTAATTTCCTTCCTTTTATCATAATTAGACATTCCATATTACAAAGTTGTTACGAAAACTAAGAAATTTTAAAATTTGAACTCATTATTTGTTTCCAATTAGTATCATCATGACAATTGTGTTAATTTTAATAAACTCTCTCTTAAAGTTCTTTAATAATTTTATTCATCACAAAATATTCTTTCTCATCATTACTCATTTTAGTCAACTTGAGTTTATTCTGTTCCTACTTGATCAAGTTGTAATATCGGTTTTTAATAGTGTTTTCCGTTCTTCTTAATTAAAATATTTATAATGAGATTTCTGCCCATCTCTTGCCTTTTTTCTTTACTTCTTAAAATAGCATAAGCTCTTCCTCTTTAGTCCAAGGATCCCTAAATATATTATAATAACTCTTTACTTCTTTATATTTGGGTCTAATTTATTAACCCATCTATCTCGACATTATTTTCCTTGTCTTGCATAAGGTGTTTAACATTTCTTCATTAATTCAATAGCAATATCACACCATTTGTTTGGATGCTAATTATATAATTAGATAAGGGCTTAGTCTTCCTCCAAAGTCCAACTAGCTTTAGCTTATTTTTCTTAAAGCCATCTATTTCTACATGCCTTCCAATTATGATGAATTATCAATCTAGATATTCTTTCCCAATCTTATATCATCTATAATATGTGAATATTTTATACCAAATCATGAGGAAGGATACGATTCTATAAACATACTCCAAAAACAACAGCATTTAATAATTTTTCTTAGCAAGGTGTCCATGCTCCTTTTTTGCTAAAATTACTCTTTTCGAAAGTATTCAAAATTGAAGTTAATTCTTCATATGTTGGAATATATTGTAACGGAAAACAGTTTGTGGATAAGAGCTATATTTTAAATTGATTGTCTATGTTTGCAAATAAGCTTTATATTGCTTGGCGATCAAGGGTATTTTTTTTTATCTACATCTAATTAGAGATGATATTCAAATATAATTAAGAGATATAATAAATTTTCACAAATAGTGAAATAATGATTGAATTTATATATGTTGTTTATTTTTTTTATATTAAAATTAATTATTACTTATAATTTATTCTAATTTATTTATTTTTTAATCAAAAGCAGTCGCTTTGGTTAGCATAATAACAAAGCTTTATCAATATTTTATTATTTCTACAATCCTCTAAAGATCCATAAGAATAATTATGGATGAAAGTAAAGATTTCTAAATTTAAATTATAAATAAATATTGTAATCTGTTTAAGCATTCAATAAATTTTATTAAAGCAAAAAGGTATAAGGTCATAGAATTTACAATTTAACACTGAAAAATCTTAATAATTACAAATTATTATTATTATTGATTAGTAATGAATCAAAATGAAATTGTTTATAAATTTAAATGTATGTTAAATTGGGAATTTACTATTTTTTTAATTTATGGTAAATTGTTAAATACTTAAGTCATTTTAAGGCATTTTTTATCCTGAAATTACCAGTATGTGAAATAAAAGTATTGGAAAATATAATAATTAATATCAAAAGTGAAAAAAATTAATGATTTTTTTTTTATTCGTTATTTTATTTATTTATTTTTACAACGTAATCATAAAACATTTATTTTATATGATATGTAAACAATCAAACACAATTAATATATTAATAACCATTATTTCAAAACACCAGAAAAACAATGGAACATTTATATTCAATATCTTAATAATATTAGACAGCTTATAAAATTGGATAAAATATAAATAAACATTTAATTTTCATAATCTCTATGAAAATTGAATATAAATAAATTAAAACTATAAAATTAATAGAGATAATAAGTAAAAACTATAATTTAGGATATTTAATTCTTAGTTTGATATTTTAAATTGCAGAAAAAAATTAAGTTAATGATAAAATTAATGAATATTTAGTGATATTTGATTTTTCTTAGCATTAGAGATGATACCTATTTTAATTTTTCAATGTTAATTCTTTTGGAATTTTGAATCACTCCTTCAAACATAAAAAAAAAATAAAATTTAATGAATTCTAAACTATTAATATTAAATAGAAGAATAATTTATGTTCTTATTGCTTTAATGAATTTTTTGTCATTCTTTCATTAATTAGAATCCTAAAATTTTAAATAATTTATTTGTTATGAAAATAATATATTTATTGTATTTATTTAATCAATTAATTTGTGTAATAGATGATAACTAAAACTTAAATATTATCTAGAAAAACTAATTAAAATGTATTTTATAAATATATAATCAGGTATATAAACATACAAATTATATAAGTAATAAAATCAAAATAATTTTGATAGTTGATCAAATTTAGATTATTTTTTGTTTTCTAAATCAAATTTAGATATGATTCAGTTCATTAAAGTACTTTTTTACTTATAGATAAATACTATAGGGAATGAAAGATATGTGGAATTAAATAAAATTAAAAAATAAGTACTGTAATTAATGAAGTTGATTATAAATTGAAATAATAAATTTTTTTATATAAATTTTCTTCATAAAAAATATATAAGTGTTGTTAATATTTACAAATAAAGCATATGATTAATAATTATAATAGTAATTCCGATTCATAAATGACTAGTTCATGAAAATATCATAAAGCTTCAATCACATTACCAGAATAGATAACAAATTCATATGCTGATGTAATATGCAAAAGTAGGTTCTTTGTATCAAAAACTAATTATGATTGGATTAAGTTCAAGATTATTTTCTTTAATTTGTAATGAAATATGCAGTAATATTTTATGTTTTTTTATATAATATATATATTAATTTCTAATATTAGTTACAAGAATGATTGTACTATCTACACTCAAATAATATAATTCATATAGATCTAAAATTAATATATTGGATTAATTTGCAAGGTTCAAAATTTATTATTAAAAAACAATGTAATCAAGTTATGTGATTTTGGATAGGTCAGCTAAGGTTGGATATAATAAATAGAGAGATACTCTATGTGGAACTGTTTATTATATGGCTCCTGAAATCAATTATCAAAATGAATGGCAATATAATACCTAGGTAATCAAGGAATGTGGTTGAATAAAAAGTAATATAACAAAAGCCTAATAAGAGTTGTTTTTAATAAAATGGTTGTAACTTTTGGATGTGTGATTAGAAGCAGTAAATAATTATTTGGATGAAGAATAAAATTAAATTATATTAATGATAAATAATTCATTTCGTAAAACACTTTATCTGCGCTCATTTGGCTGGCTCTCCACATATTATAGTATGTCTACTATACCTCATTCTGAATCGATTTCTCCGAAAGTAAGAATCATGCGACCATCAAAACAAAAATTTAATATTACTTTTAAAGAATTTGCAAAACATTGTGAGCGCCTCCAATTAAATTAAGTATCAGAAATCATAAAACAAATTAAATTAATTCCAACAGCTTCTCCTAATGAAATTTAGGATTTTTTCAACTCAAATAAAATAGTAGGAAATATTAACAATATTGCAACAAATTTTGATTTTCTTCCAGCAGAATATTAATCAATTCTAATTTCCAAAAACATAACATCACCTACTCCTATATAACAAGCAATCATACCTTTAATATTAGAAGGAAGAGATGTGATTGCCATAGCTGAAACAGGATCTGGAAAAACATTAGCATATGCATTACCAGGAATAATTCATTCTCAAGCATAACCAAAAGTACTTGGACCAAGAATTTTAGTACTTGCTCCAACAAGAGAATTGGCTTAATAGATTTAATCTTAATATGAACTTTTTACAAGGACTTGTTGTGTTTATGGAGGAGTCTATAAGAATTTATAATTTAGTGAAATAATGGGGATTAAAGAATCAAGAAATAAGATTAATCTGCCTTCTGTAATAATTGGTACTCCTGGAAGATTATTAGATTTTATGAAAGATGGTTTGCCTTTAAATTCAATCACTTAAGTAGTATTGGATGAAGCTGATAGAATGTTAGATATGGGATTTGAGGAATAAATTTAAACAGTTCTATAAGGAATTAGAGAAGATAGATAAACTTTATTTTTTAGTGCCACTTGGCCAAATGAAGTTTAAAGATTGGCTAATTCATTATGTATTTAAGATCCTATTTTATTATAAATTGGTGAATAAGGATTGTCAGTAAATAAAAATATTTAGTAAGAAATTATAATAGTTTATGAAAATAAATTTGAACAATTTGTTGAATTGACAGAAAGATTAAAAGGATAAAAGTTATTAATTTTTTGTTAAAAGAAGATTGATACATAGAAATTAGAATATCGTTTATCTTAACATGGATTAAAGGCTAGATATTTACATGGAAATTTAAAACAAGTTGAAAGAGATTATATTATGGAAGATTTTAAGACAGGAACAATTAATTGTTTGATCACAACTAATTTAGCATCTAGAGGTTTGGATGTTTCTGATGTTGATGTTGTAGTAAGTATATTCATATGATTTTTAGATTAATTATGATTTCCCAGATAAAATTGAAGATTATATTCATAGAATTGGTAGAACTGGCAGAGCTGGCAAAAAAGGATTGGCCATTAGTTTTTTAGAACCATGCTTTATTAATAATAGGCTTAAAAATGATTTGGTGTAAGTTCTTTAACAATCTAATTAAGTTATACCCTAAGAATTATTTAACTTAAGGTTATGATATTTATAGTAATTTACAGTCTATATTTTTTTGTCAACTATTCTATATTCTCTTATCATAACATAAATAAATTAGGAATTAAATATCTATTTTATGTACTATAATCAATCTAATCCAGTTTACGTCTTTGTTCCTTGCTATATTCCTTATTAAATCCCTCCTGTTCCTAAATTTGATATAACAAAAGAAGAATAATAGCATTCAGATAGTGAAAAAGAACAAACGAAAACTATTTAAGAAGAAGTTTAAACTAATGCTAGCGGTATTGTTAGAGGCAAAGGTTAATTGTGGACAGAAGAAGAAATTAATAATTTAGTTTCATATTATAAGAAATATAATGGAAATTGGAAATTCATTATCAAACATCTTAAAGGAAGAAATATTTCTTAATGTTCTTAAAAATATAGAAAACTTATTGATTAAGAAAAGAGAACTAAAAAGAAATGGACTATTGATGAGGATAAAATACTTTTAGAATCCTTTGCTGAATTTGGAAAACAATGGATTAAGATTAGTTAAAGTATTATCTCATATTTAAATTCTTAGAATTGCCAGGTCGTACTTCTAAACAAGTCAGAGACAGATATGTTAATTAAATAGATCCTGCCATAAATCGTGATAATTGGACTGATGAAGAAGATGAAAAAATCCTTCAGGAATTCAAAAAAGGTGGAGCTAGATGGGCAATCATCTCTAAAATGCTCAATAATAGATCAGTATAATATAATTTTAATTTTAGGAAAATCAAGTGAAAAATCGTTTTTATTACACAATCTTGAAAAAGTATCAAGGAGAGTAACATCCATATCTAAAAGTTCAAGAATGATTTACATTTCTCTTATAATAAAATATTCTTCTTAATATTTCTTTATAATTAATTTCTTATAATTAATTAAAATAAATAAATATTAATTATTATTGTTTAGATTATAGTACCAACAAAAATAATAAAATATTAACTCTTCATATAATAACACTTATATATCCCTAATTTTTTTAATAAATTTTTCATAAATTATCAAAATCAATAATTTCTTCAAAATTATATTTTATTCTATATCAAGCCTGACCCTTATATAGTTGTTCAATTTGATTAGCAAACACTTATTTGGCAATATGTCTTTATAACTTAAAGGTTGATGTTAAACAACCAAATGTTTATAATGGTTGAGGTTCTAAATGTATTAATTTTGCCTAATTAAAATTTATTATTAATATTTACAATTTCTAAGGAATTAAGTTTGTTGGCTCTTCCATAATCATTGATGTTTTTTTAATAGAAACTGATGATTTCTGGATGTTTACATAAATTTTCAAAATCTGCTTAGATTTATTTTTCAGCTGCATATTTTTCAACAAACTCCTTCTAAGGAACTATAATAGCCACAATTTGACTTTGAAGAGAATCACCATAAATGAATGACTCTGAAACACCTTAAACTCTATTATAAATAGCTTCAATTTTCTCTGGAGCAATATATTCACCTTATTATAACTTAAATATGTTCTTCTTTCGATCAATAATTTTCACTCCTCCATTTTCAGTAATTAAACCAATATCTCCGGTATGCAACCATCCAGCAGCATCTATAGCTTCAGCTGTTTTTTCAGGGTCTTTATAATATCCTTAGAAAACCCCATATCCCTTTAAACAAATTTCCCCTCTTGGTGTTTTTATACCATTAACAACATCTAATGATGTATAATTCATATCAGGAACATCCACTAATTTAAATTCTGTATTTGCAGCAGGTCCACCAAGATGAGCAGATTTTGGATCCCATGCACCTGTAGAAAAGGATAATGCTGTTGATTCTGTTTAACCATATCCTTCTAAGATTGGACAACAAGCAGCTATTTTGAGGAAATCAATAACTTCCTATTGAATAGGAGCTGAGCCTGTTATCATTAGTCTACATCTGCCTCCAAATAAATCTCTGACTCCTTGAAAGGCTTTATCATATAAACCACTTGTATATTTAGCTTCTGATCTTAGATTTTCTAATTTCACTCTGACAGCTCTTTCTGCAAATGATTTTTTAAAGCCTGTAACTTCATTTATCTTAGCTTTGATTCCATCATAGAACTTATTATATAATCTAGGAACAGAAGCAAAGATAGTTGGTCTAAGTTTTTAAATGTCTTCCTTTAATAAATTAGGATCTCCTCGATAGAATCTAAATGTTATTTATGATAATACCCTATAGAAGCACCAGTGAAGAGCATAGTAAGTATAATTAATCTCTCCATTACATGAGGTAAGGGCAAATATGATAAATGAACATCAGTTGAAGCAATACCAGCATCAGTTGCTTAAGTACTCGCAATTGCAGATATGAAATTACCATGAGAAAGTATTGCTCCTTTAGGATTTCCTGTAGTGCCAGATGTATAACATAATGTATAGATAGATGATGGTTAAACTTAAGCAAGTTAAACTATCGATTTCTTTCCATTTTCTACAACTTCTTCGAATTTAAACAATTGATATCCTTTATTTTTTAAATCAGAAATTTATTATTCAGAGAGAGGATCAAGTAAAACTAAATTTTTCAATTTATGCTTTTCTTTGCATTAGATCAATGATTTAGTTGCTTCTGCACTAATAAACATGGTTTCAATGTTGGTCTAATCAAGTATAAAGGGAATTGACTCAGGACCAAGAGTATCATAAAAAGGCACCATTGTATAACCATAAAGGATATTAGCCCAATCTAAGATCATCCACTCTCTTCTATTTTTTGCAAAAACTCCTATCAATTTTAATTTGTAATGTTTATATTCTTGGACCTCCTTCACTAAATTCAAGTTAGAAATTCTAAAGTTCATTTAATATATTACCCAATTCCTAAATGAATTGCTTCTTCATTTACTTAATTGTATGACATAAACTTGAAATTATCTCCTTCATATTTGCCTAAACATGGTTCATTTCCATATTTTGCAACACTATTTTGAAGCATCTCCTACAATGTTGTAATTCCTTGTTGTGGAATCATAAGCAACTGATTTGCATATTTTACATTTCTCCTAACTGTAGATTATCCTTTATTATTCTCTAAAGAATCTGGTTGATTCTCTGTCACTTTCTCTTATGAATATCTCATAAATTAATGAGCACTAGATACTCCACAACCCATATATACTCAGATATTTAATTAAATTTTATGTAATCTTATTTAACAATCCATTATAATATTACAATAATACATCATTAATTAAATTGTTTTAAAACATTTTTAAGTATTAAAAACTTTTATATTGTTTTATTATTTTAATAATTTTAAACACAATTAACATTAATCAATCAACTTCTTCCATCTTTGATTTTGTTGCTTCTGTGTTGGCATCTTCTTTTTTCTAAGAAAAATATAAATTATTAATAATACCTCTAATTATGGAAGTTTGTCATCTTCTTCTTCAATTCCAGCATCATCAATAGATAAACCAAGTTTGATCATTTTATGGATTCTATTAGCAAAATGAGTTGGGTCATCTAAACTGAATCCAGAAGTGAGAAGAGCAGTTTCATAAAGTAACCATATGAGATCTTTGACTGTCTTGTCACTCTTATCCTTATCTGATTTCTTCTTTAATTCAGTAAGAATTGGATGATTAGCATTGATTTCTAATGTCTTCTTTGACATCATATAGCTACTCATTGATGGATCTCTCAAAGCTTAAGCTTTCATGATTCTTTCCATATTAGCAGACCATCCATATTCACCAGTAACCAAAACACATGGTGATTAATCAAGTCTTTATCCTAATTAGACTTTTTCAACCTTATCTCCCAAGATTTCCTTGATCAATTTGCATAATCCTTCAAAGGCTGATTTTTATTCTTCAAATTTCTTCTTTTCATCTTCAGTTTAATCTAAATCTAAGCCTTCCTTTGTGCAATTCTTTAATTTCTTTCCATCAAATTCTTTCAATTATTAGATGACATATTCATCAATTGGATCAATCATATAAAGAACTTCATAATCCTTCTTCTTTAAAGCTTCAACAAATGGTGATGCAGCAACTGAAGCTTTTGATTCTCCAGTAATAAAGAAGATATCCTTTTATCCTTCCTTCATTTTTCCAACATAATCTTTAAGTGAAATTTATTCTTCACCACTCTTTGATGTATGGAATCTAAGGAATTCACTCAATTTAGTTCTATTGGCTGAATCTTCATGAATACCTAATTTGAGATTCTTTGAAAATTGTTCATAGAATTTCTTATAATCTTCAGCATTTTCACTGATTTCTTAGAACATTTCAATACATTTCTTGGTGATATTCTTCTTGATTACTTTCAAGATCTTGTTGTGTTACAAGAATTCTCTTGAAATATTTAAGGGTAAATCTTCAGAATCAACAACTCCCTTAACAAATCCCAAATATTCAGGGATCAATTCTTCACAGTCATCCATAATGAATACTCTTCTGACATATAATTTGATATTGTTCTTCTTCTTCTTTGTTTCGAATAAATCAAATGGTGCTCTCTTTGGAATGAAGAGTACTGCTTTGAATTCCAAACCTCCTTCAACTGAGAATTATTTGACTGACAAATGTTCTTCCCAATCATTTGTCAATTATTTGTAGAAGTTAGCATATTCTTCCTTAGTGATTTCTTCTGGTTTCTTCATCCATAAAGGTTTGTTCTTATTAACTTATTCAAATTCTGTACTGACTTCCTTGATCTTCTTCTTCTTCTTTTCAGCCTTATCTTTTTCTTCTTAGACTTCACCTTCTTCAGCCTTCTTTTCCTTGTTTTCATCTTCATCATCACTTACTTCCTTTTCTGTAGTCTTTTCAATTTATAATTCAATTGGGAATCCAATGAATTCTGAATGTTTCTTAACCAAATCCTTAATTCTCTTTTCTTCCAAGAATTCCAAGTTATCTTACTTCATGTGTAAAATAATGGTTGAACCTCTTGTCAATTAGACTGGGTTTTCAGAATCATCATAGACAAAGAATGTTCCACCAGCTTATGATTCCCATCTATATTATTATTCACCAACAGCCTTTGAGATGACAACAACCTTATCAGCAACCAAGTAAGCAGAGTAGAAACCAACACCAAATTGTCCAATCATAGAAATATCAGCTCCTGAGCTTAAAGCTTCCATGAAAGCCTTGGTACCTGACTTTGCAATGGTACCCAAGTTATTAATCATTTCATCTCTTGTCATACCAATACCTGTATCTTAAATGGTCAAAGTATTGTTATTTTTATCTGGAATAATCTTAATCTTGAAATTTGGTTCAATGTTCAAACCAGCACTGTCTGGGTCTGTAATAGACTTATATCTAATCTTATCTAAAGCATCTGAAGCATTGGAGATCAATTCTCTCAAGAAAATTTCTTTATTTGAATAGAATGTGTTGATAATTAAACCCATTAATTGTTGGATATCTGCATTGAAGTGGAATTGTTCTTCTTTCTTTTACTCAGTTGACATTACTAAATTTTAAACTAAAAAATATGCATCAATGGAACTCGATTTTATACACAAATTCTGATTCTAGAAAATTCTCTAAATTAAATTAAAATGAAATTCTATAAAAATTAATATAAATTTAATTCTAAATTAAATTATATTGATTTTATATTATTTAAATTAATATATATACTTATTTAAAAATGCTTTTTAAAAAATAGTACTTGAAACTTTTGTTTTTGTTTGATTAATCTATTTATATATTATATTTAATATCAATAATAGAACTTATAAACTATTTGAGTTAAAATAATATCATATCTAAAATTGTGATTTGTTTATTTGAATTCAAATAATTAAATTAATCATTTATTTAAAAAATATTCATTGTAAGTATATTTTCTGTTTATCCTATTTTAGAATATTAGAAAAGTTTAAAAGAGATTATCAAAAATTAACAAATTAAAGGATGATTTAAAAAATAATAATAAAATTTATTTTGAATTATACTTCCTCTAAAATATTTATGATGTGATCACTAAATAAATTTTATCGAGTATTTTAACAATAAGGAAATAATTTTAAAAGTATATACAATTATTGAAATACTATTAACTACTTTAAACATATTTAGAGTCTTCTAAATAGAGTTTTATATTTGATATTAAATAATAATACTTTTTTTTAAGTGAATTAAAAAATGATATTTTTTGAGTTTTATTAATAAGATCTTTTAACAAAAAGATATCTGTTTAATATTTATTATAAATATTTTGTTATTAAAAGTTTAAAGATAAATGAAATAAATAAAAATCAAGATAGATATAAAATAATGTTATATAAGCTTGAATTTGATTAATAAAGAGAATTAAATGAAGATAAATTAAAATTTATTAGTAATGATTGAATATAATGATATAAAATTGATAATCTTTTTTTGTTTCTGTAGAGTGACTGGTAATAATTGTATAATTCATATTTTTCATGCAAATTTAGTGTATTATAAATGATAAGGTATTACTAATAAAAATGTGCCTAAATAATTAATAAAAAGATTTAAATAAAAAATCAAATTTTTATCAGGAATGGCAGCAAATAAGTTCTGGAAAAAAACTGAAGTAAGAGTATATGTTCAATAATGAGTTAACAAATTTGGAATAATAAGTTGGTGTTGCATTGACCTAAATCGAGCAATCAGTCACAGAAGCCAAGAATCTTAAGGTTTCATCAGTTGTTGATTATACAGCAAAAATCAATGCTAAGAAGCAAGTTTATTTAGTATTCATCCCTCATCCATGCTTATCAATCTATAATAAAGTGAGGTATCCAATTGTGTAAATTGCTTAGCTCAAAATTATTACCAGAATTAGAGAAGAGATTGAAGGCAACAATATTAGTTGTTGCAAAAAGAACAATTGAAAGCAAATGGGTTAAAAATCATAGATCACAAACAAGACCAAATTCAAGAACACTCACATCTGTCTATGATGGTCTTCTTGATGATCTTGTTGCACCATCTACAATTTTAGGAAGAAGAACAAGAGTTAGAGTTGATGGTACTAAATTCTATAGAATGTATTATTGAATATTCATATTTAGCTTTTTGGATGAATAAGATAAAAATGATGTTGAACCAAGACTTGATGCAATCAAAGCTGTCTATAAATTATTAACAACAAGAGAATTAGAATTTGAATTCAGAAGAGATGATGTCTTCTACTCAAAAAGAGGTGGAGCTAAGAAAACAACAAAAAAATGATGAGCATTAATATTTTAGTACAATATAATAAATACACCAAATAAACATTAATTTTCTACTTTTAACATTAATATCAATCTATTTCATAATTTTATTATAGAATATTTAAGAATAAGTAAATAATCACTATTATAAATTTGTTTTAGAATATAATACTCTTCTAAGAGTCTCTGAAGTCATCCCTCTCCTTCTAGTGTTGTTTTAATTTTAATGAAAGTCTATTAGTTTAGATAATTTAAAGATAGTTTATACTTCAGCACCCAATTTACGAATTATTTATTTACTTAAATTACTACAAAGAGATGGATCTTAATCATTTTCAGCTTCTTGCAAAACATCATCATAAGCCTATTAATAATTATTATAATTACTGAATATATTTTTGTGTACATCTTTGCATCAGCTTATAGATTATAATGTATTTTATTTTAGAATTCAGAATCTGAAGAGACTTCATCCCTAAAAATAATAATATACTTTACTATCTTATATTATGATTTCTGGTTCTCTCTTCAATTATAGTTCTATTAAATACTTCTGATGTATTATCTAAAGATATCAATGGTTTTGGAGCAAAATTGAACATCAATAATTGTTGTGGAGAGAAAATGACTTCTTTAAGTTTTTCTAGGTCATTCAATTTTGTTAGGATATTGAATAAATCTATTTATTAAGTAATTGAATCACTAATCAATTAAATTTAAAATAAATTACATTGCTTTATTCATCAATTAGATATGTTTTTTATTATTAAATACTTTTTAACAAGTTAGAAAATTAATTAACATTTAAAAAGTCATTAAGATTGGTTATGATCTTTATATTAAATTTTAAATTTGTAATTAGAAATATTCTAAACCATTTGAACAATTTAATTTTAATGCCATAGCTTCTTATTCATAAATAAACTTATTTTTTTTAATGTTATTTTCTGTTTATTTCTTTTATGAATTTCTCTATTATTATTATGATGAAGGACTCATTTGTTCACTGAATTTCAGTAACTCATTTTTTGATTTTTAATTTATTGTACTTTAATGTAATGGCTAAATTTCTAGATCTACATCTGAATTTCGAGGTTTCTCTGAAAATGGAATTTTCTCTTATTTATTATAAATCATTTAATTCACCAAATCTAAATTCTCTTAATAATATTTTTCCTTTTGAAATGAAACCAAAGTAAATTCATATAGTTTATTTGCTAATTCAACTAGAACTTTAAAATTAAAATTATTAATTACGTTGAAATCTATTATAAATTGTTAGGATTGTTCCAACAAAAAAAATAAAGATTTATTAAATACCTCCTAAATTAGATAATAATTCATCTATTTTTAAATATTTCCTAAATATTTTTATTTTATAAGGACTTTTCCTTATTTAAATTTGTACAAAGGATTATGGTTGATTATTTTATAATTCAGTTCTCTCTTTAATTTCTGATTAATCTAGTGTGTAAAATTATGAATATTCTAAATAACTAAAGGGTAATAGACTTTGATCATTTGTAACTTCATATTCTTTTATAAATAAATCTACAGATTTATAAATATTTGATGGAATAAATCTAAAGAAAAATGAATCATCTAAAAAGGTTTACAAATAATTATCTTCAGGTTTGTAGGGATTTAATATCTATAATCTAAATCATTTTATCTTTTTACTTTATTAATTGGAAATAATTTAATTTTAAATGCTCCATTTTTATCAATTTCTTATTATAATTCTTCATTTGAAGCACAATTTGTTTTATTAGCACATTTTTAAACTGATATTCTCAAATATTCAAATTCTAAATCTAAATGAGTTATTTATTTTTTTATACTTGAATAAGTTCCTTAAATTGAAAAAGATTGGTTATAACTACAAATATATATATATAACCACTTACTCGAAGCATAAAAAATCATATAATTTAAATTGATTGAATTAATCTCTTATATCACGTCCAAATTAAGAGAATATTTTATTAAAACGATCTAAAGTACAAGGTATCAATTATATTTCTTTTTAACTTTAAATTGAAGATCCATTCAAAAATTTTTGAATACGTAACTAATCAATTTTAATGTCATAAAAAGGCTTAGATAAAAAATTATCTTAATCTATTTGAACAGCAAATAAAAAAAATGAATCATCTATTATTGATAATGATGGAATTTCTTCAAATTCAGTTAATACAGTAGCACTTAAACTTTCTTTGTTGAAAAAGGATGTTATGTTAGATGAGAATATTAAAATTAAAATTATTAGCAAAACTAAAGAGGAGCACCCTCCAAAAACAGTTTTATATGAGCTTTACTTATTCATTCTTAATGTGATTGATTATCCAAATATATCCATTTTTGAGATCCCTAAAATATCTATAGATATTACAATGGCTAATTCTTTACATAATTCAAAATTACAAAGGTTTCAAAACTTTAATTAATAAACATTCTATTTTGTTGATTGTATAATTACTGTAAATTCATAAATATATTAAAAAGTGTTAAATTAAAGAAATCACTTATTTTTATTGTCTCTAGAATTAATACTCTGATTTTCAATAGTTTACCTTAAAAATTATTGTCAAAATCTATTTATAATCACAGCTCAAAATTATGAATTTAATCACTAAATTTTCAATAATTTATAGTATTCAAAAGTAATATTATTATTCAATTACTTTTACTAAACTTTCTAATGTTCTATTGATTTATGTAATTTTACATAACATACTAGTAGAGATTAATTATAATATAAAAATATGATAATAATTATTATATATATAATAATACTATATCAGAAAAAAAAGATTTTAAACAATTTTCTCTTATTATATAAATTTATGATTCTAATATTATCATGATAATTTTTTATAATTAAACCAAGTAAGATAATTCATTTATAATAATATACTCTAAAATAAAATTAATACTATAATTAAAATATAATAATTATTATTATTATTTTATAAATCTTCACTCTTTTATTGGTTCCTTATCTATAAAGATCATATTCCATTAGTGTCCCTAATCTTTTTTTATTTTAATCTGTCATAAAGTATTACTCCAACAATAAATTAATATATTATATCATCATTTTATATTATTAAAATTATTAATGAGAGCTAGAGGTCCTACAAAAGAACAAGAATCAATAGGGAAATCTGTAGATAATAATTCAGTTCATAAAAGAAGATAAGAATTATGGGAAAAGTAAATGGGATCAAATTAAGTATGTTAAGGATATGTTTCTAATACTCAGGGAAGTGCTGAGTCAGGCATAAAATAGTTTTTGTCTTCAATGAGGAAAAATGGCAGTTTTCAATAAATAGAAAGTCAATTTAGACCTAATATCACAGAAAATGAAACTGAATCACCCAATAAATCATAACTGAAGGTGACAGACACTTAATTATTGACTCCATTACAAAAACATACATAAAAGAACTAAACAACTTATGATATTTTATCTTAGATCTATGAATTACAAAATAGAAAGAGTAGGAATCAATCTTTATTGGAAGAATTAATGAGAAAAACTAAATAAGCAAATGACAATCTAACGTTTCAAAGAATACTATAAAGAAAAAAATACTATAAAAGATCATAGAGATGTTAATCAGTAGCATAAAAGGAATATGAATTAGAATAACTAAAAGGTTAATTGATTTAAGTGAAATAAGTTTAAGTTCAACAAATTTAAAAGGAACAAACACCTAAGTAACAGGATAAATTAGTACCACTTTTAATTAGAAAGGAGAAAACTAAAAGTCCACCTTCTAAAGATAATGAGAGAAAGAAAGTACAAGTTCCTATATGCAAAGCCAAAAAAATAGTGATTGATGATACTAGATTTTGGGATATTGGATTTACTAAATTTATATAGAATCCAAGTTATTAGGAAATAAATTAATTAATTAATTTCTGTAATGGTATACAAGTAATTCCAGCGTTGCATTAAAAATATTATAAGTTATTTGTAGGTAGAGGCAATAATCATATGATGATAAAAGGAATATTTAACTTAAGACCATAATGGAGTATTGCAAATTCAATTGATGATGATACTGAAATTAATTTTGTATGGACTCAAAAATTCATTGATTTACAACCTTCAGAAATAAAACCAATTCCTCAAACTATAATATCTGAGGAAATAAATAGTTGGATTGATTCTTAATAAATGAGTTTGATAAAATAAGCTTGGGATAAGGTTGAAGGGAAATCAAAAAAGAAATTAAATGAATATAATATTGATAGTCCACCAATCTTAAATAATGTAAATATTTTATTTATGAATTAAAGTTATAAAATTAAAAAGAATTAACTCAATTAAATCATTAGAATATGAATATTCGTATTCATAATCATCTTAAGGGTGGCAATCAATTAGGTGATAAAAAATGGTTATTCCATAATTTTTCTGAATATTGTTCAGAGTAGAGTATTGATATTTGGAATTATATTCCATTGACTTATCATATTCATGGACCAACAGATCGAGAATTCATTAATTTCTAATAAACATTTTAACATCTGGCCTTAGACAAAGATATTAAAAATATATGGATTATAAAACCAGGAGAAGATAGTAATAGAGGCAATGGAATTAAAGGTATTCATATTAGATTTATAATCTAAAGTCTCAAATTAAATGTCAGAAATTGTCCAACACATATCTCAATAAGGTCATACGTTTATTCTTTAAAAATATATAGAAAATCCATTTTTATATTAAAAGAGAAAGTTTGACATAAGAGGATATTGTTTAATAACTATAATGAATGGAATTAAAAGAGGTATCCTATGCTGATAGAAATAGTTTATTAGTTTATTGGTACAAAAAAGGTTATTTGAGAACATCAAGTAGTTTCTTTACTCTAGAATCTTTAGACAATCAAAAGATACATTTAACTAATGATGCCATATAAAATAAATTAAATGGTTATGGAAAATTTGAAAAAGGAAACAAAGTCTCTTATGATTAATTTTAAGCTTATTTAATAGAACATAACAAGTAAAATAATACTTCATATAGTTTCGATGAATTATATGCTGATATGAAGGTATTAAATAATTAATATATAAATATTAGGCTCTTACTAAATTGGCCACACAATCAGCTATTGATAAAATCACAAATGATGATTAAATTTTAGGTTTTGAATTGTATGGTTTAGATTTTATGATTTCAAACAGTTTCAAGCCTCTGCTTATAGAATTTAATACTAATCCTTGTATAGAGACTGGATGTCCTGTACTGACTAAAATAATTACAGGACTTTTAGAAAACCTTATGAGATTCATCATTGATCCTTTATTTCCAGCTAAAAGAATGGGAAATGATGATTTTATGAATAAAAATGATTTTGAATTGTTATTATCATGTTGAAATAAATTATTTAATAAACATTTCAATATATAATTTTATTTGTCTTATTAGAAGCATACTACTAAGTTTGATTGTAATGTATAAAAATATATTGTTATATTAATTTAAATTTGAAAATAAATGAATTTCGATAAAAGTCTAAAAAATAGACAGACTCTATCATTTACAGGATTTTCTCCAGCAAAATCAAATATTAATATTGAGGCTTCTCGAAAGAATCTGCAAAGTTCATCCTTTGGATCTCCACATCATGCATAATCTCTTGAGGTTTAATTGAAATAGGAATTTGAAGCTTAATATAATGAAAGAATTTTAACAATGCGAAGTTTTTATGATATGAAATATTAAACACTTTTTGAAACAGTCAAAGAAGCACTTGATAAAGTAGATTTTTAAATGTATAAATTTTAGATTATGAATGATGAATTAATTGATACTATGAGACAAGATATCACTTCATAAGAATTTGTTTATTAGAGAGTTAAAGAAATGTTTGAGGAAATAATACTTAGTGAAAGAGAAGTCCTCATAGAAAAACTTTCATCTTAATATGCTTATCTGAAAATGGAATTTGGTAAAATTGAATAAGATAAAAGAAAAGTATCATTATTATCAAATATTTAGTTAGCAATAGAATTATAAATGATTTAGGATGAGTAATCTGATAAGGAAGCCTAAGTTTAAACTTAAGTTTAATAAGCTTAAGAACAAATTTCATATTTATAACAGAATAATGATTAACTGTAATGATTTAATATTTAAGTTAAGGAATAGTAAAGTTTAACAATTAGAATAAAAATTGTCATCTGCTAGTTAAACTGCAAAGGAGATTTAATAACTATAGACTACAGCTAAAGAGTATAATATTCTTAAGGAAGAATATGAATAATTAGTTTAAACAAATGAAAAATTATAATTAATTAATAAATAGCAAATTTAAGAAATAGAATAATTACATAAAATAAGTGAAAATTTATAGTTAAAAGTATAGTAATTGAATAAAATCTATTAAGAATTAGAGGGTGAAGTGATTTCATATAAAAAAAAGTCTACTGATTCAGAATCTAAAACATAATTTACAATATCAAATTTATAAAATTAATTAGAAGCAGTTACTTTATAATTCAATTAATAAAAAACAGATTATGAAAAAAGATTGGAAAAGGAAGCATAATCTTTTTAAAATGAAATCCATAAATTAAGTTAAAAATTATAAAAGAAAAAGGAAAAATCAACATTTCATAAATAAAATGCTAAATAATTATAAATTAGATTAGATTAACTCATTAGAGATCATGCTGAGCAATTATAAAATGAAACATAATAATTTTAAAGAAAGATTAATGAATTATAATAATAGAATCATATTCAATTACAATAAGCTTAAAAGTCATTAGATGATTTAAAAGAATCTCATGATAAAAATATTTATAATTTAAGAAATTAATTTGAATAAATAAATAAATAATAATTTGATGATTCAGATAAATAAAAAATCAATTTATTGAATGAATTAGATAGAGTTTAAAGTGAACTTGAATCTGTTGTGTTATAATAACAATAATAAATTGAAAGTAATTATATTCCAAAAATCTAATATGAGTAATAAGTTAAAGAATTATAAAAGAAAATAACAGACTAAAATTAAAAACTAAGAGAATAGGATGCTCTAATGAAAAAATAATAAGATGAATTTGAAAATTATAAAGAATTATGGAATAGATAATAAAATAAATTACATTTGGATGTTAAAGATAGAAATGAAATTTAAGAATAACTTTTAGCAAGAGAAGAAACAATAAATAATTAAAATAAATAAATATCTTAATTAACTTAATAAGTTAAGATGTTGGAATCTGATTATTAAAGATTATAAGAGAGATCTAAATAATAATTAGAATATATTGAAGAATTAAAAAATGATGTAAGTAATCGTTAAAGTGAAGTTCTTAAAATCTAAAAATAATTAAAATAATAGAAGGATGAACTAATGGAATAATATAGATAATTGGAAGGAGAAAATAAAACCAAAAATGATAAAGTTTAATTATTAAATTCATAATTAGAAAAATTATTAAATGAATCATCTGAAAATGAGAAATTATTAAATTATAAAAGTAAAGAACTCCAACAATTAGAAGATGAACTTATGTAATATCAAAATTTTAAACGCAATGCTTTATAATTATAAGAAGAAAATGAATAATTAAGAATTTAAATTGATAAATTAATTAATATATAAGAGTTATAAGAATAAAAATAGGAAGAAATTAAAAAACAATTAGATAATGAATTAAAATAAAAGAATTAATTGATTCTCAACAATGAATCACTTATGTAAAGACATTAGAAGTATGTGAAAACTATAAAAGTAAAATATTAAATAATAAATTAGGAATAAAGAAAATATATTAAAAGAAGAATTGTTAGTGAACTTTAAAAAATTAAATAAGAACATTCTAGTTTAGAATAATATTTAAGATAAATTATGAGGATGAAAAACAATGAAGATAATTTATTAATTGCATCAATTGTTACTAAAGTAAAAGATTTATGGAATAGAAAGGAAATATAACATGAAAATGAAATTGTACATATATATATTTTATTATAAGCTAAAAATAAGGAATGAAATATTTGATTAATATAGTGGAAGTGCATCACATTTAAGAACTGCATATGAATAAACTTTAGATGAGACATAAAAATAATTTGAATAATAAATAGAGAATTTAAGAGATGCAAAAGAAAAAATGGAAGATGAAAATAAAGATTTATTACATGAATTATAGAAAGTATAAGTCATCTTAGAAGATTAATCTGCTTTAATTACCAATTTAAAGAATGAAAATAAAACATTAAAAAGTAATGGTATGCTAATTGAGAATGAATTATCTACTACTTTGAAAAATATGAATGATGTAAATATATATTATTATTATTAATTATAGATGAAAGATTCTTTTGAAGATCAAATTTAAGAATTAACAAAATAATTAAAAAAATATGAGAGAAAATAATAACATTAATAAGATTTGAAAGGCTAAATTGATAATTTATAAAATGAATTAGAAAAATTAAGAACTTTATATAGGTCTAATAATTAAGAAACAGAAAATAGAATAGCTAAATTAGTAAAATAATAATAATCAGAAGTTTAATTATTGGTTAATTAATTTTAAAGAGAATAAATAAAACTTAGATAAGAATAAACAGATCTTAAAGATTAAGTATCTTAAAATGAAGAGGTTATTCATAAATTATATTAATCACTTGATGATGTCAATTAAATTGTAAATTAAAAAGATAAATAATTATAAAATTTAATTGAAGATATTGAATAAGAAAGAGCTTCTGATTAATAAAAAATAACTGATCTTTAAAATAAGTAAATATCTATTTATTACTATTAGATTGAGAAGAGAAGAGGATGAGATAAAAGTAGCTCGATAAAAAGGTTAAAGAGATATTGAAAAGATTCAATTATAAATAGCTTCAGCTGAATCAGAAATAAGTTAATTTAAGATAGAGAACAAATAACTAAGAATATAATGTGAATAATTAGCAGAAGAATTAGAAAAAAAAACAAAGTAATTTGATTAATTGAATAGAGAATATGAAGATTAAAAAATTATTTAAAATTAAGAGATTGCTGATTTACATAGGTAAAAATATAAATTGATTATTAGATTACTTAAAATATAAGTATAAAACGATGATATGTCAAATTATTATAGTGAAAGTAAAGAATTGGCTTAAAGAGTTAAAGAATTATAAAAAATAAATTCATAATTCTCTGATAACAATTATCTTAAAAGATAAGAATCATCTGTATAAAAATTTGATAGTTCTAAAAAATTAAATTCAAGTAACAACTTGAAACCTCGCCATACTAATTATACTCCTATGACTAAAAAATGAGGATGGGGAGGTGATAATTAAATATATATAATAAACAATTTAAAATTTTGATAAAGTTTGCATTCTAAATATATATATAAATTAGTAATTTTAAAATTAAATGAAAAAAATACAATTACAAATAAAAAACTATATTATTAATATATTAACAATTTAAATTTAGAATATAAATTTAAGTTTTTTATTAGATACTTTCTAATTGATTTCGTATCATACATTATATATCCTTATTACCATCTGTAATTTATGTTTTTGATAAAAATTTGTAATTTATCATCTAAAGAGTTATTTTGATTATCTACATAAGATAATCAAATATTGAATTAATAAATTAACAATAAGGAAACAATTTAGTTATTTAATTTAAAGTTATAAGTTAATTTATATGTGGTAAAGATTAAAATTAAAAAAGAAAATATCAGATTATGTATTTATTTATAATTGTGGAAATATATAAAGGGATTTAAGTATGGTTTTAAAATTAATATAATAATAAATTATTTCTCATGTAGAAATTATAGTAAGTTGAAGATAATCAGTTACTTACAAATAAATAGACTGCAAAACCTAATTAAGCAATTGAATCTCTAGTAACTTAGAAGATGGTTCCCTATAAAGAACTTTATAGATATGCAACATAGTCAGATAAATTATTAATTTCGATTGGTATCTTAGCATCTATAGGGAATGGAGTAATAATGCCAATGTTTTCTGTTATATTTGGTGACATGACTGATGCATTTTCAGGAGAGGATCCAGATAAAATGATTAGTGCAGCTGGATAATGTGCTATGTATTAATAAATAATATATATTATAGATGGTTCTTAGTTTTAGCAGGATGTGCATGGTTACTTTCATTTTTAAGTTTCACTACATTTATGATATCAGGAGAAAGATAGAGTATAAGAATGAGAAAAGAATATTTTAGTGCAATTCTAAGATAAGAAGTAGGATGGTTTGATTCTATAAATCCAAATGAATTAAACACTAAAGTAGCAGATGAAACATTTGCTGTAGAAGATGCTATTAAAGAGAAAGCAGGAACTTTTATTATTACTTTTTCAACATTTATATGTGGATTTATAATAGGATATTCATAGTATTTATAAAATATTAAAAATAATTAGTGGATGGTAACTAGCTTTGGTGATTACTGCAGCTATGCCATGTTTAGCTATTTCAGTAGTTATAATGACAGTCGTAGTGATGAAATCTATTAAAGCCACTTAGGAATGTTACTCTACAGCTGCTGCTGAATCTGAATAAACTTTAAATGCGATAAAAACGGTCAAAATGTTAGATGGAGAAGATTTTGAATGTGAGAAATATTCAAGATAACTAATTGTGGCAGCCAACACAAATGTAAAATATAGTTTATTATCTGGTATGGCTTTGGGATCGATTTTTGCATTCATGATTTGGACATACGCATTAGGATTTTATTATGGAGCTAAATTAATATCTGATTAAGTGATGAACTCTAATACTGGAATGATTTATACAGTTGGAGATGTTATGACAGGTTTCTTTGCTATTTTGATGGGTAGCTTTTCAATCGGATAAGCTGGTCCATGTTATTAAGCATTTGCAAAAGGAAAAGTAGCTGGAGCATAGATCTTTTTCATTATAGATCGTATTCCAAAAATATTGAATCCAATTAATCCAAAACCATTAAAAAATTTTAATGGTGAAATTACTATTCAAGATGTTGATTTCTTTTATCCAAGTAGACCAGATACATAAATTTTAGATAAATGTTCTTTAAAAATACCATAAGGAAAGAAAGTAGCACTTGTTGGAGAAAGTGGTTGTGGAAAGTCTACAATTTTATAATTAATAGAAAGATTTTATGATGTAAATGAAGGAAAAGTTTTAGTTGGTTAAGATTAGATAGATGTAAGGGACTTAGACTTAAAAGAATATAGAACTTAAATAGGTTTAGTTGGATAAGAACCTATGTTATTTGCAACTAGTATTAGAGATAATCTATTATATGGCAAAACTGATGCTACTGAAGAAGAATTAATATAAGCATTGAAAAAAGTAAATGCTTGGGATTTTATTAATAAAATGGATAAAGGACTAGATACTTATGTTGGAATGGGTGGAAGTTAATTAAGTGGTGGTTAAAAGTAAAGGATTGCAATAGCCAGAGCAATACTTAAAAAGCCTAAAGTTTTATTATTAGATGAAGCAACAAGTGCATTAGATAGAACAAATGAAAAGTTGATATAAGAGACTCTTGATGAAGTATCACAAGGTATTACTACTATAGTTATTGCTCATAGATTGAGTACAATTTAAAATGCTGATATTATTTATGTATTTGCAGGTGGAAAAGTAGTAGAAGTAGGTACTCATTAAGAACTTATGAATTTACATGGGAAATATGAATAATTGGCAAAAAATCAAATTACTTCACATAAAAAATAATAATAGAAATTAGAAAATAATTTTTAAGCTAATTAGAATAATCAATAATAATAATAAGATTTATTTGATCAATAAGATATAGATGTAAGTTCTGTTTTGTCTGTTAATCAATTTGATAAAGAATAACCAAATGTTTTTGATTAAGCCATAAAGGAAATAAAAGATATTAAACATTTAAATAATCAATTTAAAAATAAAGATCAGAATAATTTTTAAGAAATGAAAACTTAAAGTTCTTAAAATGATTCTAATGATGCTTAAATTATGTCAAGATTATTTAGTTATGGAAAAGAAGAAAGATGTTTTTTGATATTAGGATTATTATCAGCTGTTCTTAATGGTTGTATATTCCCATGTTTTTCTTTATTTTTCTCTGATATGATTACTTTACTTGTAGAAAGTGATCCTAATCTATACTCTAATAATTAAATTAGAGATCAATAGATGGATAAAGTTAAGAGTGATTCTTCAGATATAGCATTATGGTTTTTCTTGTTTGGTTTAGGATTTTTAGTGTTCTAATCTTTAGAAAACTTCTTTTTATCAATTGTTGCTGAGAATTTAACTATGAAATTAAGAAATTTTACATTTAGAAAATTACTTAAAATGCCTATTTCTTTCTTTGATAAACCTGAAAATAATGCTGGAACATTAACATCTAGATTAAGTGTAGATTGTAAAACAGTTTAGAGTTTGACTTCTACTATTATTGGATTTAAATGTTAGAATGCTTCTGCTCTAATTTGTGGTATGGCAATCGCATTTTCTTCAAGTTGGGCTTTAACTTTGATAGTTTTAGCTACTGCACCATTCAGATTTATTGGTATGAAATTAAGAGCAAAATATATGGGCACTTTGAGTGTTTCTAGTAAAGTAGATACATTTAAGGATGCTGGAAATCTAATAATGGAGGCAGTAACAAATATTAGAACTGTATTTTCTTTTGGAAATGAAAACATAATTTTAGATGTATTTTAATAATATTATAATTTAGGATTACACTAAAAAAATTTAAGGACCTTTAAAAGAATGTGTATCTAAAGGTCTATAAGCAGGTAGTGCATTTGGATTTTCATAAATGTAACCTATGCTCATCAATGCAATAGTATTCTATTGTGGAGCTTTATTAGTAAAATATTAAGGTTTGGATGTAAATGATATGTTCAGGGCAATCTTTGGAATCACATTTGCAACAATGGGTGGTGCAAGAGACTCTCATTTTGTAGGTGATGTTGATAAAGGAAGAGTTGCAGCTGGAAATATATTTGAGATTTTGGATTCTATTGATGAATTCTAAATTGAAGAATGTAAATATTGACATATTATATTAAGAAAAATAATTTAAAAGGTTAAAGACTTAAATAAAAGGAAATATAGAATGTATAAATTTAACATTTAAATATCCAACTAGAGAGAAGAATGTTTTTACTAATTTAAGTTTGACTATTCCTTCTGGATAAAAAGTTGCATTTGTTGGTTCAAGTGGTTGTGGCAAATCAACTATTATGTAAATGCTTATGAGATTTTATGATCCAGATTAAGGATAAATATTAGTTGATGGATTAGATATTAGAGATTATGATATAAGACATTTAAGAAAATAATTAGCAATTGTCTCATAAGAACCAGTTCTATTTAATGGAACTATTAAAGAAAATATACAATATAATATTAATGATGTCAGTATGTAATAAATTGAAGAGGTTGCTAAAAAGGCTAATGCTTATGATTTTATTATTAATGACTAATTTGAAAATGCTTCTGATGAAAAATAATAAGATTTTGGCAAAGGATTTCATAAAAGAGTAGGACCTAAAGGATCATAGATTTCAGGAGGATAAAAATAAAGAATTGCTATAGCTAGAGCAGTTCTTAGGAATGCTAACATACTTTTATTAGATGAAGCAACAAGCGCTTTGGATGCTAAATCAGAAGAGATTGTTTAAGAGAGTCTTAATAACATAATGAAAAATAATACTACTTTATCTATAGCTCACAGAATTTCGACTATTAAAGTAAAATATCTCATTATATATATTTAGGATTCTGATATCATCTATGTGTTTGATAATGGTATGATTGTAGAGCAAGGTAATTACAATTATTTGGTTGGTCTCAAATAATTCTTTTATAGAATGGAGAAAGGTATAGCTATTGCCTCTACGAAGAATTCTTGATTTTATTTGTCTTTATTACGATTTAATTATTTTAACTACAAATAGTTTTAATTATTTTCTTTGTTAAGAATCTGAGAAGGAAGTTAAAAATAGAATTTAAGTTTCTCCTTATTTTTAATTTATCCCAATAGAACTATTAAATTCAATTTCTCCATCATAATTAAAAAAAGTCAATACTTATAATATTCTAATCAATTATTTTAAAATTAAATTATATTATAATGATTAAGTACATATGCAGATATATCTTGATTATAATCTATTTTAATTAATAAAAGTAAAATGGGATGTGCAGCAGGATATTCTCTTTAATAAGACATGGATTTATCTATTTCTCACAAAGATTCTTAGATTTTATTACTAAATAGACCAATCAAAAACTTATATCAACCTAAAATAATAGAATCAACTTCTTTTTGTAATTCACTTAAGTGGTGTGATGAAGATGATAATTTAGAGAATCTTTTTGAAGAATGTTGTAAATTAGAAGAGGAGTTAATAAATGCAAATACTAGAATTCTTAAGAAAGATGAAAATTAAGTATAAGAACTATAGTAAATTTCATAATAAAAAAACTTCTCTTAAACCTCTATATGTATGTATAGAAGAAGAAATCTGTTTAGAAATAATAATAAATTTCTTGATAAAAATGATAAAATCCCAAATAGCATTTTGAAAAGAAAGCGTTTAAAAGAAGGTCAAGTATTTTCAAGCAAGATTCAAAGTAAAATAAAAGAATAAAAAGTTGTGAGATTTAGCAAATGTTATATAAAACTTATTCCAGAAACTTAATTTTCAAAGAACTTAATAAATATTTAAAATTAGTCTAGTGATGATTTGAATGATAATGTAAATTAATAATGAATTTTTGTAATATCAAAAATGAAAATTATGATTAAAACAAAGAGAGGAAAGACATTTGATAATATTTAATTAAATACAATTCTTGCACTTTGTTTAGTTTCTTTAATTAGTTAAAGATATACATAAAAGTTTATAATATAAATTTTATTATGACTTATAAATCGACATAATAAATACATTCATTATACAATTATTTTTTTATGTACACTGATCCTGTGGCAGAATTATTACGGCCTAAACAATCAAATTTAATTAAATCAAGCGACTCTGTAGGATCCTATCGTCCAAAAAGTATACAATCAAATCGCAGCAACAAAAATATAATATCCCAATAATAATAACGCCCTCCTTCTTAGTAGTCTTAAGTTGGAAGCAATGGTGCAAAACGAATAGTTCATATTGGCAGGAATGGAAAGAAAATCGAATAATTGTCAAGCATTGCACCAGCTAAGACAACTAATGATCTTTGCTATGAATTCGATCCATTTGTTTTAGATCAGATTAGTCCAGAAGATCCAATTTGGAGATAAATATTGCCAGATAATATGTCATTAGATGAATAAACTTTAGAGAAATTATTGGAAGATAACCCAGATTATTTTTATCATCATCTTGGATTTTGTGCATGTTATCGATGTAAATGTGGTAGATGCAGATGTGATGTCTCGAATTAAGTTAAATTAAAGATAAATGGATCTTTTTTAACTGTTTATGATAAGGATTTTATTCCTCATAAATCAAGCTATAATAATCTAACACCCTTGAATTCTAAGACATATGCAACAAAGTTTCTCGATTAAAAGACAATTGATTTTACTACATCTCATCAATAAGACTATAAGGAAATGCCAATATAATCAACTGAGAACTTCAAACCTCCTTATAGACCATAATTGGGATCAATGTCTAATCTAACTAGCTACAGAGTATAATCATACAATATATATTTAGTCTAATTATAGTAATTGGGGAAACAATTATTAGAGATTTAGTAGATATCCTCATATTAGTACAAGTACAGATATTAAATTCATTGGTAAAACTCAATATTAAGATTCATTTGTTCCACCTAATAGTTGGAAAGTCGAAAGCTAAAATTACTTTAAAAGTGAACTGTAAATAATATAATTAATATTAAAGATCTCCAATGCCAACAGGTCCATTTATGGGAATGACTACAAGTCAATAAAATTTTTAACCTTTCAAAGTAACAAGAAGTCCTTAAAAACCTACACATCATGTATATTAAAAATATATACTTTAATTAGAAATATGAAACTACTCCATCTTTTGATGGATAATTCACATCTACAGGAATGAAGGATTTTACTTAATAATAAGATGATTATTGCCCTGCTAAATAATTTTAGAAGATATTTAGAAAAAAATTGGCATAAAAAGTGGAGAAGAAAAAGGAAAATTTTATAGAACGTAGAATTAATAATGCAATGAAAAATTGATTGTTTTTATCTAAGTTCATTTAATAAAAATAATAAAATATTTATATAATGAATCATTTTGATAAAAGAATTAAAATTATTATAAAATAATATCAAACCGAAAAATGTAAGTCTTAACTAATGAAACTTACAACATATGCATTTTCCATCAGTCTGTCAAATGGAAATAGTGTAAGTAATTATTTACTTTGTTTGTATTGATCTTTAACTTTTAAAATTGTCTTAATTGTTATTAATAAAGCACAACTCATAATAATACTTGCAAATCCAAGCATAATTGAATTTATTACAAGAGTTGAAGTAACAATTGTTTTAATTGTATTTGTTAACATTTCAACTATAACATGAAATCCATATTAAGCATATAATCTCTAAACTTATGATTAAGAATTCTTAAGGAATTCTTAAAAAGAATAATTAGATTAATTATTAATTTAGAGCAATTACAAAAATTCAAATTGATTTGAATATAATTCTTAAACAACAAGAATTAAACCTTTCTCGAGATTGGGATATGATTAACATTATTCAAAATTAAATAGATTTGCATATTCTAAATAGCTATACTAACTAATTAAATTAGAATATAATATTATACTAAGAATTGAATAGTAATTAACAAATGCTACTAGATAAAATATCATAGATTTCACTATTTGAACTTTACTAATATTAAGAGAGATTGGTTGTAAGTGATTTCAAAATTTCAACAGTAATATTTTATCTATCTATTCCATCTTTTTAAATTGTCTAATTTAATAAAATAGCTTATTATGCATAAGATAATGATAGATAATTATTAGTAATCTCAAATTAAGTTTTTTCATTGTATCTTGCATAAACATTTGATAAAGTTTCTTTTTAAAGAATATAACTCCCTATAAAATAAAAAGAACACATAAATGCATAAATAAAGATAAATAAAAAGAAGAAAATCTAAGCAGAATTTGTTTCTATTTAAATATATCAAAATAATAATTACATTTAAATGAGATTTATTTTCCAACTTTATTATGTTTATCTAACATATTTGAAGTTACTGTTTTTTGATATTAACGCATCATTGTTGTTTCAAATTATTCTTCATCAGTCTCATGATTCTTAAATTTTGTATTATTTAATTAATTGTATAAAGAACTAAATTGTAGAAATTATTCTTAAATGACTTCTTTTGAGAAAGTGCAAAATAATTTATATATTTTTGTTTTCATTTAAATTATTTTTAAACAAAGATAAATATATCGAGTTAGAAATAATATTAATACTATTTCTTCAATAAGAACACTAAAAATATATATATTAAGATTTACTATATTCCTAGATCATTTGATTAAGTAATGGATTAAGCATTCTTTATTAGATTTAATTAAATATTAAATTAATCAGTGTTATTCACAAAATCTAAATAAAATATTTCTTCATTCATTCTTTATACTTTTGATAATTGTGATAAAATAATTATCATTCTACTTTTCATTGTTAAATTATTAATCATATTAATATGTGGTAATCTTGTTATTGTTTAATCAATATCTTTAATATGATCTACAAAAAAATCTAATGTTACTTCACTTAACTTTTTAAATTGGAAATTATCCTCATTTATAAATGATTAAGTTATAACAAATTCATTATAAAAATATGAAAATTAAAATGGTAAATTCTCATAATTTTAGTCTTAATTTATGCTTTCAAATTCAAAATATAATATCAAATAATTCACAAAATATCCTAAAATAACTAAAATGTATATAGATAATAAAAATAATTTAGTTTAAATATTTAAACCTCTATTATCTGATAAACAATCTTTCATTTATCTTTTTAATGCAGTAGTATTATTTTAAGAAGATCTACTTCCAACTGACCCAGAATTATATTATAAATTTTATTCTTATATTCTTTATTTGAATTCAGATTCACTATCACTTAAATCATTACTTTTTTCTGATATATTTATATTATGTCTAAGTTCAATAATTCTATCTTCAAAATAATTCTCACTATTTTAAATAAGTCTTTTAGATGACTTTTGATTATGAGCTGAATTAATCATATTAATTTATGCTAATTAATTTCTTAAATCCCCAACCATTTTCAATTCTTCAATAACATTTTCATATTCTAAATCACATTCACTAATTTCTTTTTACAATTATAAATCATTAGCAGAAGCCAATAGATCAACTTTCTAAGTAATTACATCATTTTAAGTTGAAAAATTTAACAATTATGAAGATCTATATCTTAATTAAATTAATTATCTACTAGTAACTTTTTAATTTTAGACTTATTTGTATTCTGGCATTTCTAAAATGACTAATCTAATAATAAATAAAAAATATAACCTTAAATTGATTGTGGTTAAACTCATAAGATGTAATGAAACTTAAAATATGACATTTTCTTATGGTTAATTTTCAAGTGATCTAATAATATTTTATTATAATAATGATTTGCTTAATACTGTAGTTCTTGAACTTTATAAACTTTTTGAGATCTATTTACATAACTAAGGAAGTATTAAATGACATTCTAATCTAATATCAAGTTTTTCAAAGTGTTCATTAAATAAACTATCCCAAATTTTAGCTAATTCTGGCATAAAAATTAAACAATCTAATCCTTTAACACATTCAAGTTCAACTCCTAAATATTTCTCAAATACATCATCAAATAAATTCTTAGTCAATTCTTCTATTTATCCTTATTCATTTAACATCATATATCCATATGTAAAATTTACTGGTGTAATTAATGCAGTAGCACCAAATTCAGTAGTACTAGCTTCAAGTCTCAATCTTGTATTTATAGGTACAACAAATTGAGATTTTGTTTTACCTAAAATAACTCTAACTGCATTTCGAACTACATTAATTCTCCCTCTTTCAACAAAGTTATCTAAATATAAATCATGATCATTTGCAATAATTTATGGCATAAATCTATTAATATTTTAATCTTATATCTCTTCATCTTAATATCCTATAGCCTTTTAAAAGGTTCTTGTATATCTAATAACATTTCCCCTAGGTTAAAGCAAAGTAATTTATATTACACAACTACCAGGATCATATATTATTTTTTCACTTGATTATAAGAATTGTAACATCATTTAACCATCTCTCCTATATAATTTAGGTCTTAATTTATTGTAATGAATGTATTTGTGAAATATATTGTAAATTGTATCACATTCATTACTTTATGGATTAGTTTTATATAATAATTATAATTACTTTTCAAGTACTTTAATATTATCAAGAAGTTTAAAACCAATATTAACTATTTAATCAATATCAATAACTTAGGTTAAAATACAAGCATAGAAATCCTAAAATATATACTATAAATATAAATACTTTTTCTTATTTAACAATAGTCTAAAGATTATTTTTTAATACATTCAAAGATTCTTCATATTAATATACTTTTTTAAAAACAAATTTCTAATTTACTAGATCATTTTTTCTAACTAATTCAGAAAATTTATCAAGAGCATCATGTTTCAATTTTCTTATTATTGCCTATTATTTTAATGTTTATTCCTATTATAATAAAAATAGTTCTTTACTTTTTACATCATAGATAATCTAATAACTTCATATATTGCTTAAGTAGGAACTTTCTTAATTTAAACCAAAAAATAAATATATATTAACATTAAATTAATATCTTAGTTTTCAATTATTTCATCTTCTAATGTCTAACCAATTAATTCTTTTGCAAATTATTTCATTTATTCTAAACTTTAAAATGTATCATCATCTTTAAAAAAATCAGTACAAAAACATTTATATTTTAATTTAATATTTTTTTAAACCTTTCTATCTCTTTATAATTTACATTCTCTTAAATGAGTTGAAATAAATGTATAAATTTCTAAAGATTGTTTTGGATCCATTAATCTCTATTACTTTTTTAAATCAACTTACTCTTTGAAAATTATATATAATCTTCTTATTTATTTTTCAAGATGAGTATTTTTAAAATTGGCATTCTTTAAATCCTATTTCAATATTAATTCATTTGCAATAAAATATATTACAGGATAAAATATTAACAATAACAAAACTACACTTATTTTTAATTATGGTTATCCATATTGACACAAAAGTAAAATCAATTAATAAATCAAACAGAATGTTGTAATTTAAAAATTGTATCTAGATATTCTATAATCTACATAAATTTATTAATTGTAACTATAAATTATCCTTATTAATTAATTTATTACTCCAAATATTTATATTACTAATGATTATAGCTGTATTCCAGATAATAGTATTATTCTAATGTTCTATCTATCTAAAATATGTACAATAATTAAAATCCTTGCAAGAAATTCATTTTCTGTGTTTAAAATTTCCCCAAAAAGTCATACGACTTCATTCTATACTCAAATTAATGTAAGTGAATGAATAATCCAATTAATATTTATTATGTTATCAATAATATACTGAATATTAAACCAACATATTCTAATGAATTTAAACTTTCTGTATAATTAAAAATTAATACAAGATTCAAATATTTCTGTTAATAAACTAATCCCACAAAACAGAAATGGAATATGTAACATTTTTATGTTAATTTATATGTAAAATGAAACAATCCAATTCAACAAATGTCTACTTGAATTATTAGATTCACCTGACTAATAAATCAATTATTATTATACCTGTTCTAAAGTTAAAAATTTTAGTTATTGTTTCTTTTATATTAATATTCTAATGTTCAAAAGAGAATACAATATTAGTATAAGAAATATGATTTGTAATACAAAACCAAAAATTACAAAAATTGATCTAATGAGAATCGAATTTCCAAAAATTGTGTACAATCTAATTAATATTTAAAATAAGTTCACCTACAGAAATCAATAACACTTCTTATATGTATCAAGAATTAGTCATATTCAAATTCAATTATATCACTTGTGTATATAGAAACCAGTTAAATGTTTTCAATTAGTAGCAAGACAATAGCAATTAAATAACTTTTTCTCCATGTTTCCTTAACATTCAAGAAATCTTAAATGTAAAATGCCTTTGTCTAAAGAATAATTTTATTCATAATTATAAGAGGGTAATTAATTAAATATAATTGAATCCTATAGCTTATTAAAATCCTATAATATAATCAATTTTGTATAAACTAAGAGATTTTAATACATTTAAAAATGCCTCATCTTACATTATAAAGGACTATTATTTGTGAATAAAAGAGTAAATAAATAAATTTATAGAATTTCTAGATTTTAGAAACTAATTTCAATATTTAATTAACTAAATTTAATTTAATTATATGGATAGAACAAATCTTCTATATTCAGAGAGATACGATATATTATTATTATTAATATCTAATTAATATTCAGATTCAAATTAATATCATATGAATATATTTACTAAAATTTTAAGCAATACTTTCATCAATCTCCTTAAAAATCAAGAAATTGAATGTATTGAAATAGTCATCAAATTTCTGTTTTAATAACTAAAAAATAATAATAGAAGGTATAACTTATAATTTAACATCCTTATCAATGAAATAGGTAAATTCTTTATAATATTGTCTTTATCATCACTTTGACACTTTTCAATTTATAATTGTATTATTCCTAAGATATTTAATGTATTACTTTTAAAGTTAGGTTGAACTTTAAGGATAATACAATTGAGCTTACTTGTTTAACATAATTCAAGAAATCACTTAAACTTATAATACTGAAAAGAAGTACTCTAAAGAGCATTTGATAGTAAATAAATTCAATTGAAACATGTGTGCAAGATTTCATTATGCACTAAATTTAATGATTTTAGTTCCCATAGTCTCCTCAAATATAGATGGTTTTTAAACTACTCTATATATAAGCTCTCCCTTCCTTTAAACAAAACCTAAAGCAATCTATAATTTTGTTTTTAAATTAACAATCTCGTACTATTCGATATACTAGATACACTTGACTTCATAGATTATTCTATTCTTTTTCTTCCATGATTATTTAAAATCTCTTTCTAAATTAATATAAGTAATTTAGCCTACATTTAAAATATTGAATTACTAAAATATAGTAATCATATTTACTTTTCCTGGAACTTATTTATTTTAACAAAATTGTTATGACAGCATCAAGCTAATACATAAATTTCTGTATCATACTAATCCATTATGTTTTATTTCTAAAAACTATCATTTAACTTTAGGCACTGACTTAATGTCTATCTGATTTTTAGTAATTATATTATAAGAAGAGAAAAAGCTATTCTATATTAATGCTTTACATATCCTTAGGCTACTATGCCTAATACAAGTACAAGGATATAATCGTCAATCTTCTTTTCAACAAACTTCCTATTCTATTTATGAAATAAATTTCTATCTTAACATCAAAAAAAAATGAAGATTAATATATATTATTAATATAAATGAATATTATTATTATGATGAATCACATCTGAAATTTTCCAGTTCCATCTGACATTGGTCTGATTTGAGATAACTTTAAGTTTCTAAAACTCTTTTTTAGCATACGACTTCGTTTTAATGTATTTTCAAAATCTTATTCTGATCCTCTTCTAGATTCTTCAATTTCAAATTTAGGAATTATTACTTATTAATATCTATATTTTTCAAAAAATATTTCTGGATAAATCATATATTTTAATAGTTTAGATTGATAATTTTTTAATTCATTATTTAATGTATACTATTATTTATAAAAGTATATCTTTTCTAAGATTGAATCTAAATTATTTTAAATTTAATAGTATTTATATTTTTTATATGATTCCATTACTAACTCTTAATCCTTTTTTTAATATTCATTTAATTACTCTATTTACATTTTTAATTTAATTTCTAACAACATTGTATCTTAAATATCTTTTTCTTATAATATTTGTTTTTTTCCATCCTTAATTTGTTTTATTCTTATTCTTACTTTTGATTATATTGCCTTTAGAAACTGCTAAGATTGAATTACTTCTAAGAATTAATTGACAATTGATTTTGTTTCCTTTTTTAATTTTTATCTTTTCTTCATTCTATTCATATTTGTAATCATTGAAACTACTTTCTTCATTTTTTGAATACTTTCTTTAGGTTTCTTTCTATATAAATCTAAACTAAATGATGCCCTACTTTAAGACTGTTTTTCTTTTGGAGAATTTTCTTGATTATCTTCTTCTTTTATTATCATAAGATTATTATTAAAAATATTTTAGTTTCTTGCTTTACTCATAAGTGATGCTTTTAATTATTTATCATCAATGTCTAATAATTCAATTGTTTTTGTTCTTTATTTGAATAAAGTGGCTTTTTTCTTTATTTATGGTGGTTCCAAATTGATTTTAGAAGATTAATCAGACACTTGTTATATGGTATTAATGATGTTTTGTGATTATTATAATTATGCTTATAAATTTAAAGTACTTTATTCTAAAATTGGTCCTATTGATTATTATTATTGAATATCACTTTTTTTTAATTAATCTTCTTCTGGTTCTTCATAAAATTCTGCCCATTTCCAATTATTATTATTAAATGAATTTGCTTCTTATTCAATTACTTCTTAATCAAAACGAGCTGCAAAGTATCCTCTCTGTCTAAAAGGATTTCTCTCATATTTAGAATTTCTATTTTATAACTCACTGTAACAATATCTTTTTAAAATTAATTCTTTGTCAGGTATATAATGTAATAAGGGACATTAAAGTACTCTATGATTTTTGGAATTACAACTAAAACATTTCATTTATAAAACACTTAGATCTTCTAATTATAAACTATCATAAAGATTCCTAAATCTTTCATAATCTTCTGGAAAATCTTATATTACTTTTAAAAAGTCATCTCTAGAAAGTAAAAGCAATTTTGAAAATCCAACACTCCTGAATCTTTCTTATGATTGTTTACCACTTATAAAACTTATAATACCTAAGCTAGAACCTTTACCAACCTTAAATACTTCAGCAATCTATGGGTTATCAAGGACTTAATCAATAGAATCATTTTGAATAAAGATTTGAATTTCTCCAAATTCAACAAAACAAACAAATAATTAACCTGGTGGTAATTGAGGAAATAGTGAATCAAAATTTATAATATTTTCAGGTTAAATAACTGCTTATTTTATTTTATTAACTAATTTTGATTTTAAAGCATCACTAAAATTATGTTAAAATAATGGACATTCATTTAAAATTAAAGAATTTGATTGATTCATTAATTTTTCTTTAAGATTTTCTGATAATTAATTAATAATTTCATTAAGTTCATCATTTTCAACTTAATTTTATGATTCCCAATAATAATTTAAGTATTCTCTAATTTAATATTATAATTAATATTCAATCTTTCTATTTTACATATAAGAATTTATCTTTCTCATTTTTCTCATCTTCTCTTATCCATAAGCAGAAATAGTATCAATTATAGCACCAACAGTACTAACACTGTAACTTAATTGAATACTACATATCATCATATAAAGAATGGCAATAACTCTTTCTAAATAACTAATTGGTACAACATCTCCATAACCAATAGTAAACATTGTAACTGTTGAGAAATAAAATGAATACAAATATTGTACTTACCATGTTTCATGTTCTACATGGTAAAACTCTAACCAACTTCCTTTTTCTGAATATAAATAACTATAATAACCAACCTAAATAAATAATTAAATTAATAAATTACAAAATACCAAAGACATGAGTAACAATGTAAAACAAAGAATAATACTAATAATAATTTAAATAATTCCAATAAAGAACTACTAGGCTTTGATAAATTTAGAGTTTCTTCAATTTAACTAATCAATTTTGGAATATTTCTACATTATACATAAAACAATAACATTAATAAATCCCACCATTCTGCTAACAGATTAAATTATGATTAAGTTGAATTAGAAATTATAGCATATATAATTAAAATTAATATTGATATTGCTTCCAAACCATAACTTTTACTGATTACATTCTTAGCAATAGTTGCTCTATTACTTACTATTTATCCAAATTAATAAAATGAACTATTAAAACTTAAGATGAAATCAAAAACTAATAAGAGAATCATAAGAATTGTTGGAATATAGAGTTCTCCATATATAATCTTATATTTATTCCATGCTAAATCAATTGGTATTGTAAATAGAAAATAGAGTCTACTTAACATTACAACACAATCCCATACTATTTTTAAACGTGATTCAGGTGTAATTAATGGAATCTTTTCCATTTCTTATTGAATCTTTTTAATTAAATTATCCTTGCATGTCTTTAGATGTGTAATTTACTTTTTTATTTTTTTAGATAATTCTCTATTATTTATAGAAAAACAATTCTTTACTTTTTTTTGATAATTTATTATAACCCTTCTGAAGATTAACTAAATTAACTGATCATAGGTTTCAAATTCAATGCACTATCACGAAAGAGTTTTAAATTGAAAGAAGACCCTAAATCTTAAATAATGTTGTATTAATAAAGGTTGAATTATGAGTTGATTTTCTTTTTCCAACTTATTCTGTTAATAAATCGTTTGATAAAACAAAATTAGATTACACTAAATATTTATTGTTATTGATGTTGTAATTGTTGAGGATCTGAAGATTTTTAGCTTTTGCGATTCATCAAAAATTTTGTTGTTGGACTATTAATAGAAGAATCAAATGTAACTCTTTTTGTTTCATTACCTTTATGTTTAGAACTTTAACTTGGTATATTGTTATTTGTGTTGACTTTTGAACCTTAAATTGAGAAATATCCATCTGATAATGAATAATTGAGAAAATCTTAAATTTCACCAATAGGTTCATCTGTTAACATTAACTGATTTAATTTTGAGATTGGCCCTTCAGTGTCTTACTAAATTTAATTCATATTTAAAATAATTATGTTAAAATCTAATAATCTCATTTGTGTTCATTACAATGAATTAGTATTTTCCTCTGATTTATTGAATGAATAAATGGGTTCTTAAAAAGCAGAGTAAAGTATACTGGAAATCTAATTAAATTTATATTCAATAATTTTGTCATAGAGCTAATTAATAAATGTTCTATAAGCACTCTCATCATTCATCAAGATTTACTACATTAAATGAAGAATCATATAATCAAGAAACTTGTGATGCAAAGTCACATAGACCATCTAGAATGTTTGTTTCTACAAGTTTAAGCTTATATAATCGTCCTTATTTATACTCAAAAAGTATACCAAAATCACTTATTGAGGAAGGTAACATTTAAATTTAAAGTTGTATTTTAAGGTTACAGATCCAAAAGTATTCTTTATCATATGTGTTTATTATCAAATGATATAAATATAAAGAAGAGACAAAGTAGAAGGGAGAGAGAAAAAACAATTTTATTCACAGATAACATGGAATTATATCATCATAAAATTATAAAAAGGGTTAAAGAAATGTGCAGAAGGAAGAGTTGTAATTGTGGAGGATGTGGTATAAAAACTAAATTCGAAAAGAAACATGATGATTTTGAAGTTCGTACTTAACAAGCTATAACTTCAGATTTAAAGTTACTTTCATTTACTAGAGGAGGATAAAAGAAAAAATAAACAATAATTAAGGAATTTAAAATAAAATAAATTAATGAAAAAAAAATTAAAGCCCAGTTTTCCTCAATGAATACATAATTAATAATTAATTTACCATTGACTTAAAGAGAAAGTTTTTAAGTTGATTAATAATTAGACACTTAAAGATCTCTCTTAAAAACTACTAAAAATATCATATAATCATTACCATCCATTAAAAATATAGTGCCTTTAACAATTTTAAAATAAATTTATATTGCTGGTAAATAACAAAAATAATGTGCTATTCGGAAACCATCTCATGACTCTCTAATAATGAAAGCTTATAAACTGAAATGATATTCAGAGTTTACTTCTCTATTATATCTATTTTATATTATATATATATATATATTATATCTATCAATACTTTTATACTTTCTAATATATCTAAATAATTTTAGTCATTCTAATTATAATATATATAGATATATATAAATGATTTTCAAATAATTTTAATCTTTAATAATACCCTTCCAATTTATATTTCTTATACATCTTTTAGTAATTATAGTTTATTTTGAATGATCCTTAATGTACCAAATTTACTGTTAAGATCTTATATATACCAGTATTTTTCATATGAGATATTGGCATGAATTCTTGAAACTGATATATCTTGACATCTAATCTCACTATTGTGTCCTCTACCAATTGATACAGAACATGATCCAAAAGCATGCATAAATGTCAAACTCTTTGATAAACTCTCTTGTCTTGTAATTTATTCAAGAATGATGTAGGGACCATCTAATTTTTCAACTTAAATCATTTAAAGAGGTTCAGGTTAATTCTCAAGATAAACTCGAGCAGGAAGGGGATCTTTACAAACCTACCTAAATTTAAATAACATACATCACATTCTAAAACTTTATTCCATTGATATTAAACTGTATTCTATGTTTATCTACATGATATTCTATTTTGAAAATTAACCCATTATTTTAGACATTCAAAATGTACATATGCCATTAGTCCTTTGCAACTGCACAAATCTTAGAGAAATGGATTTTTAGGGTCTTCTGTTTCCTCTTAATCATCCATTAAACAAAATCTACATTATCTTGGATCTTTCTTCTTTTGTATTTTAATATGTCTTTCTAATTTATAAAGATCTTCAGCCATCATTACTTTATCTCCATTATTTAACTCAGATACAAAATATTCCCTTATATTTAGGGTAATTTTTACATTCTTCCAAATTTAAATAGGTCTCCTACATATAATTATTATTTTTATTATGGATCTAATTTCACATATGCATCTTAAAAGTCTGGATTACTTTTAAAATCTACAAATGCATTATCTATTTACATATAGAATTGCCTTCAAAACTTATTGATCCAATGCAATCACCAATAATCTTATCAGATTATACAATAGTATCAGAATTGTCTTCTGTTTTAATATTTATGCAATATCATACCATTTAAAATTAAGTTAGTTGTATTTCTCACACTTATTTTAGATGTCTTTAACTCTTTTGATTCATAATCAAATAATCCATGATTGTTATGGGTCCATGTTGCAATCTCTATTGAAACCTACATAAATATATAAAAATTATTTTTTAAATATTTCAATGAGTGAAGAATAGGAATATCGAAACAATCTGTAATATGCCAAAAATGAGATATTTAAGATTCTTTTACTCAAAAATAATACATGGCTCAGTATAAGAGAAATTGAAGACATTCTTAAACAAAGACCAGACTATGGATCTATTCATGTTAAAATTAGAGATGCTATTGAAGATTCAATTAATAATGATAAAAATAAAGATGAATACAAAATTATTAGTAATAAATAATCAATAATGAATACAAATAATGCTGCAGGTAAATATAGACTAAAAACAGAGAACATTGAAAACAAAGAATAATTAGATGAATATTTTAAAGATAAAAAATGCATATTATATGTAGATCATGTTTGGTTTGAATCAGTAAATAATCTTCGTATTAAATTAATAGTGTTATCCTTAAATGAAATAAGACATTATTACATTAGAAGCTGAAGCAAAATTAATTATTACTAAAGGAAGAGATGAGAGAAAAACATATGTTTATACAAATACAAGTTTTACAAATTTTTAAGATAAATTATAATTTAAAAAAGATTAAAAAATTATCTCAATGATTGAAGAAGTTAAGAAAATTAATATAGAAACAAATGCTTAATTTTAACATTAACGTTTGAGCTTAATATAAAGTTAAGAAGCTATTAAAAAAAACACAGCTGTTCAAAATTATTGGATTACAGAATTACAATAGGATTTATAGAGAAAATGAAAAGAGTTTTTAATGAAAATCAATTTTCATTTTTTTTTAATGAATTTTTATTCAAAAATTATTAGTAATAAATAGAATCAAATCATTTTATTGATTTTAATGAAATATTAGATTTTAGTCTTAATTCCTATGAAGATTTACAATTTGTCTTTGGATATTTAGCAATATGATATAAATTTGATGATTCTTTTGAAGGTGTTATACCTTTGACAACACTATTATTAAAACTATTTGGAGTTGGTTCTTTGCGCTACTTTGAAAATTGATTTAATGATTTTGAAATTGCTAAAATGCCACCATTAGAACTTCTTCTACTTGCATCAGTCTTTTGAGGAGATTTACTAAATTAAGATATTTCAAGTTATTTTCTTTGTTCTTATAATTGAGTCAACATATTATTTAATTGTAATATTTCTTATTCAAGCAATGCTTTATTAGGTTTATTTTTAGATAATAATTATTCTTAAGTATTCTCAATAGCTAACTTTATTGTATTCAAATATTTCTATAATTCTGTCTCTTAATTATTAAAATGATCAATTTTCTTTTTGAATTCTTATTCTAATTATTCAATTTCTTATTCTATTTTATTTTAACGTTCTATATATGGTTTTTCACTTCCACTAACTTTTTCAAATTCTTTCTTTGCATTATTAATAGATTACGAAATATTCTTTAATTAAGGTAGTATTTCTTAATCAACCATTTGGATATTTGTTTTAATAGCTAAATCTTAGAGATAATACTATTATAGTAATTTATAAGTATTATTAAATTATTCCTTTATAAAATTAAATTAAATTTTACTTCTTCTTAATCTTGCATTAATTATTGAATCTCTTTCATTGTCTAGTCAAGTATTGTTTTATATTCTGCATTACCTAATTAAGTTAATATATTATTAAGTTCTTCTTAATTTTAATCCTAATATTATTGAAAAGCCTCTTCACTTTATTAAGTAATTCTTTCTTAAAATTAATCATATAATCTATTTTGAATAATATATATTACATCTCTCTTCTATATAATGCTGAAGACTTTTCTTCTTCTAATTCTCTTATTTATTGTCTTTTAACTTCTACTTAATAATCAATAGTGCAAACTTCATTACTTAATAATAATTCATCACCATATTACTTTAAACTATGTTTCAAATCCTAATTAAGTTAATATTGATTACAGATAATTATTATTATAATAATCTTTGTGATAAAGAACCTAAAATGAATTATTCCAATTAGAATACAAATTCTTTCATGCTTCCCCAATTATTTCCTTAATTTCCTTATTTAAATAGGTTATTTCTAAATTGTTGAATAAAAGTAGAAAATTTAGTTTAAAATTCTATTGACTCTAGATGAATTGGTGAATTTCCATAATAATTTATAAATTCATTTAGAATAGAATCTGGATGTTGTAAATTTAAACTTTTTTAGATGGGTACAATCTTATTTCTTAAAGATTTAACCTTTTGAGTTTATTAATGTACTTACACTTCTAGTAAAGTAGTTTAATGAAATGAAGCTAATTATTTTCTTTTCTCATCTTATTAAGAATATAATGATTAAATCTGATTTGTTATATTATTAATATTTTTATTAATATTTTTAGCCTTTTGATCACATTAATAAATAGATTCAACAATTTCAGTAAGTTAAGGATGCTCATTTTTAAGTTGTTCAACAAATTCCTCTAATTCCTCTTTCTAACCAACTAACTCTGCTCTCTATAATAGTTTTCCATTCAAATCTTCTTATAAAATTGCTTTAGTTTCTAATGTTTAATTATAAGTTTAATGAACTTCATTTCTCTATTTAATAAATTATTGATGTTCTTATGTTACTAATTCATATTATAATTTGAGTTTATTGAATTCAGTTTCGTAATAATCATAAAGTATAGATTATTGTTTATCAATATCACTTTGCATTTATTGATAACTAAATTATTTATTTATGATACTTTTGTTCTTCCATTCGTAAATCTTATAGTTTAGTTTGATATATCTATTAATCTATGGAACATGTAGATTCACCAAGTAGAGTTGTTATCTTCTACTTGATGTTACATTGATATTGGATTATTTTATGATCAATCTATTCCAATTAATCCTGTAGATAATCAGATCCGCTATTTAACACTTCATTGATAAGCTTATGAGATATATTGCTTTGTCTGATAATAGAACAGTATTTTGGAGAGTTCTCCTTATTAGAACGTTTATAAGATGGACTATCTGTTAACATTCAATTTTAACGATAATTAATAAATTTTGCTCCTTTTTTTTTTAAAGAAATTTATAAATTATTTATTTTTAAAGGACATGGCTCAGATTCCAATAATAGATCATTAATCACATAGTACAGATCATTCAATTGACAATTAAAGTGATGAAAAGTCTGAAGAGTCTTTTGAAGTGGTAGAAAAAAAAATTAAGTATAAAAAACAATTTTTGGAAGAAGAACCAAGGAAAAAAAAGAAGGATATATGTAGAAATTATCAAATTATGGGTATTTGTAAATATGGAGAATAAGTAATATTGTTTAAATTTATATTTAGTGTTTTTTTGCTCACTCTCTTTCTTATTTATAATCAACTTCTTAAGAGTAAGTCTTGAAGAAGACTAAGCCTTGCAAAAGATACTTCAATGGTTCTTGTTACTTTGGTTAAAAATGTCAATTTTTACATTCTTAATGTATTGATGTAGTAGAGCAAAGAGAATTCATAGAGAAGTAATATAAAGAATTAAAATTGATGGTTCCTTTAAATCCAAGTAAGAATAGAGACTTATAAATAGCTAAATTAGATCAAACTTTGAGATTTGATTTACAAAGATTTCACCATCTTTATAAAATTTTTGGTAGAAAATTGAACTTTAGAAGAGATGAACTAGTCATGAATAGTTGTAAAAAGTATGAATCATATTGATATTTAGTCGTTTGTAGATCTTCAGATCAATTTGTAACTAATCAAATAGGTTCGAATAATTATTGATGTCAAATAATACAAGCAGAAAAGAAAGTGAATAAAGCTGAACACACTTTTATTTTGTAAACTTTAATTAAATCATAATTTTAATGTCTTCATTAAAGGATATAAATTTAAACCCTATTCTTTAGTTTCTTCAACTTGTTATTTTGCCCAATTCATAAAGATATATCTCTATCTTATTAAGCTCTTAATTCTATTTATTTTGATTCTTTATGTTAATTCATATATTAATCTCTTCTAGCTAATTTTTTTTGTTCTTTAAATTAATAATCATAATACTATTTATATTATTTAATAATCCAATAATTCTTTATTACATTTTTTAAGAATTTCTTTTTATTATTCTTCTGTTACAGATAATTATTGTAATGCATTTATTTTTAGTACCTATTCTTTTTTTGCAATAACTTCTTCTTTCTCTTTGACTGCTTCATAAAGTTTCAATTATTTTTATCTAAAGGTCTCTCCTTCTTTTATCATTTAAATCTTCTCCTACTCTTTTTGTCTAGCTACTTCTTCCTCATGTCTTTATAATTCTTCTGCATGCTTTTAAACTCTTTCCATATAATTATCTTCTTATTCTTTCCATTAAACAATCCTCATATCATATATCTTTTATTTAAGTTACATTTAAAGTTCTAATTTTTAAGCTTCCTAATAAATTAGATTAGATTTACTCTTTATTTTCTCATTTCAAGAACTCTTTCCTTTTTATTTTCAAATGATCTCTAACCTTATTCACTTTTTCTAATAATTTCTATTCATCATCCTATATTGATTATTTGACATTCATAAATTTCTATCTATCTGCTAATAGTTTTTATTTCTTCAACTTATTCATAGATACTCTTCTTCTTATCTTTTTATAAAATATCCTTCTTATTACAATTTTGTAAATTCCTTAAAGTATTTCTCTTTCATCTCATTATGTTATTGCTAAGACAATATATGTTTCTCTTTTTTATTAATCTTTTTATTGAGTCTTCTCTAATTATGCTCCTCTATTTACCTTTTCAAATCATCATCCTTTAATCTTTCAGTTTCAAGTGTCATATAAATTTCTTGTCTATCTTTATTAAACTTAAGAAGGACTTAATTAATCTTCTCATTTTCACTCATAAGCATTTTTGACTTTATAATGCATACACTAAAAATCGTAGTTTGAATAACTCTCCCCTTTGACTAAATATCTTGTTATTTGCATCAACAACTTAATCCTACTTTAATTTCTCTTGATACTCAGTTTCAACCTTCACTAATATTAATATGAGATCTAATTTATTCAAGTTCAGTAGCCCCACTTACTGTATGATTTTATTTAATTAATGGTAATTAAAAAGACTTTAATTTCACTTCACTTTCTTCAGATTAATATCTTAATATTTAATAATAAATTAAAGATCATAGAATTTTACTAAATTATTTGCATACTCTTAATCAAAAAAGAAGTTTATTAACATATATTATATAAATTAAATAATGAACTTATAATTATTTAAGTATTAGAGAAATTCTTTATTTATTTAAAAGCAAATAATAATAGAATAGTGAATAGAAATCTAAAATAATTAATATATTAAAGTTTATTTTTAGAAAATAAAAAGTATGTGTAAAATTATACATATTAAAATGACTTTTCTAATTCTAATTTGAATAGAGTTGAAATACAATATAGGGAATATCGTATTTCATCTATTGAAAAAATGATATTATTATTTTAATTAATTAATGTGTTTTTCATTTTTTTTTGTTTGATATTTATAATGAATTAACAGTAAAAGCTATTAGAAAATAAATTAATACCTATAGAATAATGATTTCATTGTAATATACATAAAAATATTTGTTGAAGTTATGAATCATTTTTTTTATTATTATTAATACTAGAATTTAGAGTTTCTTAGATTTGATGAATCCTCAACATTCAAAGTTTGCACTTCTTAAAAATTATGATTTTGAATTACCAAAAATGAAAGCTATGACACTTCATAGTTTCCATTGTGGTAGATTGAAGACTACTTAATCACCAGAACCTAAAATGCCAAAATTACAACAAATAACTTTTCAATCAACTCTGATTGTAAAACGACTTTAGCCAAGATGTAGATAAAGGAAAGTACAAATGCGTACGATTTCTTTACATAAAATCAATAATACAACATTAGAAAATAGAACAATAATTCCTTTAAATTAATCTATGGATATAAAAGGATGGTCATAGAAAAGTGTGATGGAAATATTCGATATATGATACTAATTATTTAGCATATTATAAATTGATTGAATAAAATAAAAAAAATCTTAATTAAATATAATGAACAAAAAGATAACCCTTTTCGTATTATTGGCTTGTGCAGTTTGCATAGCTACATTAATGTTTTCCTTCTCAACCTAAGGTATTGATAGCAATTATAAATAGATGGAGAATTGAAATTGAAGAAAAGTCATTCTTTTTCTTCATCAAAGAATCATGAATGGATGGATGGATATTGGTCATCAGATACAGATTGTTAAGCTAAATGTAAAAGTGCTGGAGGAATGAGTTGTGGTAATTACTAATAAAATTGCTGTGTTGGAGCTAAGTGCAGAAAAGAGGAAGGTTTCTTTTCTTCATCATTAATATGTGATCAAAGAATTCCAGTACAAGGATGCACAACTCCAAAATGATATAAACAATAAATTAGATATATACAAATTTGATATGTTCTTCTGATACATTTTAGTTTATAAATTATTTTGTTACTCTTAAATTAATCCTATAACATTCTAGAAAATAAGAAATAATAATGATTATATTTCTGAGTCTTATAAGTATTTTCTATAATATTTGTAATACATTAATAAATTAATACTAAACAATCAATTGTATTTCTATATGACAATTGTAAATATGAAATAGAAATAAATATATATATTAAATAAGTTTGTTTACTTTTAATTACAATATACAATAATATTGATCTTAACTAAAACTAACATATAGATCTTTAATTTCATAATAAATATTAAAGACCAAATTATGATTTAATTTAATAATCAAATAAATTTCATCATTATCATTAGCTTTATGATGACAAAACATAAGCATTTAAATATAAAGCTTTTGAACAATTAAATTTAGAATGAATATATGACTATTCAATGTATATAAGCATTTTCAATCATTCATCTGTGCATCCAATAACTCTAATTCTCTTATCACAAATTTCAGTTATCCATCCAATATCACATTTATCAGGAATACAACAATTCTACCAATTCTTTCCACAATTAATTCCATTAGCTTATTGACATTTATTTCTACATTCTTCATTATCATTTGAATATCCTATTTCTCTTTTATGATTATTTTTAAAATTGTGAATTTACTTTTATTTTAGGTTAGTGTCTTGAGTTGTTTAATATACTATAATTAGTATAAATAAAGAGGCCACTACAAGTATTAAATATTTGTTCATATTATGATATTTTAATAATAAATATAATTAATTAAATTATGAATCCTTGATAAGGATACCTGTTGATTTACCATCAATGCAATTCTTTCAATTTGTAATAAACTTATGGTTGCAATTAACTATCAAGGAATTTATTGATGTAAGTTCCAATTCTTATTTTTTTAATATATCCAGCACTCAATGATGATTCTATTGATGCAGAAGTAGATGTTTCATTAGGTTCCCATACTTACCTTATAAAATCAAACTCATTCTTATTTCCAGAATCAATTATTTCTTAAATAATTTCATCATTAGTTTTCTTGGCTGCTATTCTCAAATTCATAGCCTCTGAATTCATTATAATAATAAATAAAATAAAAAATCAGACTTTTTAGTTTTCATCACTCATATTCAAAGGATAAATCTTATAATTCATATTGAAATTCTTCAACTCCTTAACTAATTACTCTATAGATAACAGATAACTTCCCTAAAATTGATTGATTATTATTTTTAATTGAAAACAAAAGCTAAAATAATTATTTTGATATTAGATTTTGTTAAATCACATTAGATGAGTATATCTAAGATTATCAACTTTTTTTATAAATATAATAATTTGATATATAATTTTTATTTAACTTTTCAATTAATAATTTATTATTTTCATTTGATCATAAAATCTAATCAAATTTAATAGAAACATAGAATCATTTTTATATTTTAAAGTAAGAATTGATATTCTTTAATATATTATAATCTATTTTCTTTATTTTATAATAATATTAATGTTAATAAATAAGAATACTTTATGTTAATTATAAATAAATTTAATTTTGTTTTAGGTTCATTTGATATCATTACTTATATTATATTATGAATTATTTTATTCTTAATTCAAATACAGAATAGTATATTCAATATAAATATTATTATTCTTAATATTTATCATTATAGCTTCATTTTTTATTAAGAGGATTATAGAATATACTAAAACATACAATTATCATATTTTATGGATTTCTGGCCAAACTATATATTAAATGGTCTCAAATATAAATTATGATTTTAAAATAATTTAAAAAAGAATTTTATTTTTCTTTTATGTTGCAACAACTAAATAAAGAAGTAATTTAGAATATGATGAATAGGTGTTATTAAAAAGAAGAGAAGCTTTGGAATAAGTAATAAAAAGAAGATTTATTTATTAACCTGCATTTTCACTATATGGAGGAGTGGCAGGATTATATGATTATGGACCTGTAGGATGTGCTATTAAAACAAATATTGAGCAATATTGGAGAGAGCACTTTATCATAGAGGAAGATCTCTTTGAAATATCTGCAACAATCCTAACTCCAGAAGCAGTATTGAAAGCATCTGGACATGTGGATAGATTTACAGATTTATTGGTTTGTGATGTTAAACTAGGAACAGGATATAGAGCCGATAAAATAGTAACTGAGGTTTTGATATTAGTATAATTTATTAGACATTGGAAAATAGAATTGCTAAAGAAGGAGACAAATTAGCAGCTGATGTTAAAGCAAGATATTTGGCAGTTATAAAGGATGTAGATACTTTTAAGGAAGATAAGATGAAAGAAATCATAGCAGAATTATAGATAAAAGCACCTGAAACTGGAAATGATGTAAATAATTAATTTAATGATTATAGTTAACTGATCCAACTCCATTTAATTTAATGTTACCTACAATTATTGGACCATCAACAAAGCTTCCTGCTTATTTGAGACCTGAAACTGCTTAAGGAATGTTTCTTAATTTTGCTAGATTATTGGAATAGAATGGAGGAAGAGTTCCATTTGGAGCAGCTTAAATTGGATTGGGATTTAGAAATGAAATTGCACCAAGAGGAGGACTTTTAAGATGTAGAGAATTTTAGATGGCTGAAATTGAATATTTTGTTGATCCAAGTGAGAAATCCACATTTAAGAAATTTAATAAATATATCAATTTAGAAATACCTTTATTGTCTAGATAACTTTAAGCTGATGCAAAATTACATTAACCATATAAGATGGGAGATGCTGTTAAAGAAGGAATAATTAATAATGAAACACTTGCTTATTTTATTTGCAGAACATATCTTTATTTAGTTGAAATTGGAATCAATCCAATTAATATTAGATTCAGATAACATTAAGCTGATGAAATGGCTCATTATTCATCTGATTGTTGGGATGCAGAAATTGAAATGTCTAGTGGATGGGTTGAATGTGTTGGATTAGCTGATAGATCTGCTTATGATCTTAATGCACATTCAACAGCCACAGGATAAAAATTATAAGCAGCTCGCAAATTCAAAGTTCCATAACCAAGACAAGTCTTATAAATTATATTAGATAAATAAAAGATTGGAAAAGAATTAAAAAAAGATGGAATGAGTTTGATTAAATATGTAGAAGCATTATCTGATGATGAAAAATAAGATTTATTTGAATATTATTAAAATAATGAAGAGAAAATCTTTAATATTGATGGAAAAGATTTAACATTAAATAGATAACTAGTTAAATTTGAAAAGAAGACTATGAATGTTATGGAAGAAAAATTTATTCCTCATGTAATTGAACCAGCATTTGGAATTGGAAGAATATTATAAGCTATTATTGAACATTCATTCAATTAAAGAGATGATCCTTAAAAGACTTTTTTCAAATTCTCTCCAAGAGTTGCTCCTGTTAAATGTTCAATTCTTTCTGTTGTTCAAAATGAAGAATTTGATGTTGTTATTTAAGAATTAGGTAAATATATATATTTACTTTTAGCATCATCACTTAAAAAATTAGGAATATCTTGTAAAACTGATAATGCTGGAGTTGCATTAGGAAAGAAATATGCTAGAACTGATGAAATAGGAATACCATTTGCGATTACAGTAGATAAAGAAACCCTCACTACTTAATCAATAACATTAAGAGAAATTGAAACTACTAAATAAGTTAGAGTTCCTATTGTTGATGTACCTAGACTTATTCTTGAATTGAGTAGTGGATTAATTCTTTGGACAGATGTTTTAACCAAATATCCTTTATTTGCTGCAAAAGAAGAAGATGCTTGAGTATTATTAAAGAATAAATAGTTAATTTTATCTTATTTTCTAAATTTTAATTATTTTTATATAAGTTTAGATTAATTACTTATTTTCTAATGAGAAGTAATCATTGAAAAATAATTAATTTTTTATTAAGGGAATATTAATTAAAATAATTTTATTAAAAAATAAATAGATGCATTAATAATTAAGTGCTTATGATTAGTATTTATTAATCTAAAATTTAGATTAGAGTAATTATACTCAAGAAATGACATTAAAATTATTGATTACTAATCTGCCATTAGTAATTAGATAATGTTATTCAGTTGTATTAATCTTGATCAAAATAAGACTTTTTTATAAATTTTGAATGATCCAATTCAAACAGAAATAGGTATAAATTTGTTTAATATTTAGCTACTGTTAATGTACCTAGTGCAAAACCAATTCAACTTAAAGATTTATAAAGTTAAGAAATAAGTCAAATATTTTCATAAAATTAAGACATTTATTTATACTCATTTACACATTCATCTCATACTATATCAGTTAGTTATCTTGAATATTTTGAATCATTCGCAATCACATATAATGGATTTACAACAATTTTAGAAAATGAATAAGATATCAATAGATGGAGCCCTCCTAATAGAGAAAGATACTGTATAATAGTTTATTCCTTCTTTGGAATCTTAAATAAATTTAATGAAGCTGCTCTCAAAAGTTTTAAGAAGGATTTATCTAATCGAAGTTTAATTGGAATGGGTTGTTATAAATCAATATAATGGTTTGGTATAGTAGAACATTATGGATAAGAGAAATTGTTATCTCCAAATATAGTTAAGAATTTTTTATAGAAATATAATTTGGAATTTGTATTTGTTAAATGCTATTAAAATGTAAGTCTTAATTCTCTGACAACTATTTATGAAGAAATTAGAAATTAATATTTATTTGATTTTAATGATATGAATTAAGGTTCAACAATATATTTTTGGAATTCTAAATAATATTTAGGTTCTTATTTTATATCACATAAACATTATGAAATTTTAGAGACTGTTAAGAGAATATTTATTGAAAGGAAAAATAAATTAAGTCCATTAGCATTCCTTAGTGAATATGATCTTAATAATAATGAAATTTAATTTTATAAGAATTATATCAATAGAATATTATAAGAAACAAATAAAATGGACTTAACATTTTCAACACTTACTTCAATTATATTTAATAGTATTTTAATTGGTTCAGAAAAATAATTTCATAAACCAGGAAACAGATATCCATTATCATATTGTATGAAACCTACAATAATTGTAATTATCCCTTTAGGTTTAAATTAATCAGGATTTGAGAGATTATTTTAATAATTATAATAAACATTCTTTTTTGTTAATAAAATAACATCACCAGAATAAATAACTAATAAATATTAAATATAGTATTTTGATAGATCTTTAAGTTGGGAATAATGTATAAAATTGATTGATCAACTTAAAAAAAAGAAAGATGTACTGACTGTAGGTCTATTGCATTAAAATAAATAATAATAATATAAATTAAAGTCTGGAGTATGTTTCCCTTTTTCATATGAATATATTTCATATAGTTTAATAGAATCATCAGATAATTACTAAGAATTTGAAGAAAATATTAAAATATTATTATCTTATCGTAATTAAGATGTAAGATAATTACCATTAAATGAATTATTATTAACATCATTATTACCAGATGATTAATAAACAAGAAGAAATTAAATGTTATGTTAAGAATAAGATATAGAAGATATAATATTTAATAAAGATCTTAATATAGAATAAATGAGAAACATAATTTTTAGATAAAGAAAAAACTAATTTCATATATAAGATCAATATTTCTAAATGTTATCTTATGATTTAATTGCTGAAATTGAATCCTAATTAAAGATTTTTCTATAAAATCCAAAAATATCATAATCATATGTAATTATTACAATTTAAAAATACAAACCAATTGAATAAAAATAAAAATCAATTTAATACTTTATTACTGATGAAAGTTGGAAAGAAATAGAGGATTATGTACTTGATTCATTGGAACTTGTAGCATAAAAATTTAGATAAAACGAGATTATATCTTAAACTATAAAATTATTAACTGATTAATTTCTGAATTCTGGTATGATAACTTATAATAAAAATTTAATTCCTTTTAATATCAATAAAAAAACATAGAAAATATAATCAGCTAAAATGTAAATTGTTGTAATTGTACTTAATGCAATTATCATTATGATTCCAGAAAATTCTAAATTGTTTTAAGGAATAACCATCTATACTAAATCATTGGAAGCTTCATTGATGCCAGAAATTTTAAATATTTTAAAGGATAATTTATAAAAACTCTAAAGAGAAAATATTGAAGAACGATCTGTTTTAAATTAGTAATTTAATTTAAAGAATTAAGAATGGAATGCATTCATTGTTAAATTTTCATCAACTGAAATTACATTTAAGAACATATAGCAGGAATGATTTCTATATGTATATTTATATATTATATTATTTTACAAAGGTAATTTTATTTAAGATAACTTTAAATATAAGTAAAAATTTTAAAGTCTTTTTTAAAATCATTTTATATTTTGGTATAGATATTCAAATCCTACAACCTTTATAAATTTAATCTGATTTTAAAATAATGCCTAAACATGTTTAAGTTTATACAGAAAGAGTAATATATTTATAGTAATTTATTAGTTTGATCAAGTTTTGGAAATGCTTGTCTCTAAGGTTGGAGAAGCAAAATGGGCAGAAATTACAAGATAAATGAAGAATTTGTATGGTATTAATGTACCTTAGAAACCAATGGTTTAAGCTAGATGGAGAGCAATTGATCCAAAAATAAACAGAGAACCATTTACACAAGAAGAAATGGTTCAACATTGGCATCATTGTGTTAGATTCAAATGTCATTGGGATGCTATAAGAGATTAATATGAATTAATTGGTTAATAAAGGGATAAAACTTATTTATCTTAAAGATTTTCTATCTATTTTACTTAAAAACTTTCAGAATTAAATAGAGAAATAGGAAAGATAGCATCATATAATTAATAAAAAATAGATACTATGAGAGAAACAACAAAAAAGAGAGTAATAGAATTTAATAGTAGAGATCCTTTAAGTGTTTAAGATTAATCAGCAAGAGAAATTATTGTTAGTTGTAAATCATTAGTTAAAGTAATGACTTATTTGGTTGATAATTCACATCTATAAACTGAATTAATGTGGGCTGAAGTTAAGAAAATTATTTCTCCTGCCAAATTTTAAAAAGTATTATTCAATATTTTCATTATGGACACAATTGTTTTGATATCATGTAATGAATTAAAAGCAATTGATGATACATCAGATTTAATTGATGCTGATGATTTCAGAAAGGGAAAATACATTAAACCAACTAAAATTAAATTTTGGAAAGATGCTCTTGAACATGAATCCAGTCCTGAACATACAGAAGAAGATGAAATTTTAACAACATCAGTTAGATTAAGTAGAATGGGACCATAAACATAATTCACAAAAAAAGATATTGAAGAAATTAAAGAGAGTTTCATATATAAATATTGTAATACAGATTAGAATAAAGCCTTTTATAATTGGTACAATGAAGCTAAGACATAAAAGAATGCATTTCCTTCAGATTTGACAGTTGATGTAATGGAATTGGAAGGAGGAAAACAATTACTTAATTATGATCCTACTTAACCTAAAAGAAAGTATGTACGAAAATAAAAGGCTGAAACTAAAGTATAGAAATAAATAGAAAAATTCAAAAGGAAGAAATAAAAGATTTAAATTGAAGGTGAAGGAAAATAAAGAATAAAAACAAAGAAGGGTAGAATTAGACTTCATAAAGAAAGATTTCCAGGTCAAGATACAATTTAATTTAATTAATAATTAGAAGAAGAAGAAGATGTGTCTAGTGATGATTATTAATTAATGGATGCAGAATAGATCTATAAAATTAATATGAGAATGAATAGATAAAATGATATCAGTCAAAGTGAAAATGATAGTTAAAGTAGTGATTGATATTATATTTTATTATAATAAATTTATATTGTTATAATATATGATAATAAATTAAAAATAATAATTAATGACAACATTAAAATAATAAATATAGCTTTTAATTATCTTTTCAATTATGATTGGTACTGAATAATATATTTGTAATAATGAAGTAATATAAAATCAAAAGTATTTTAAGCTTATTTAAAATTTTAAGAGAATTGAAAAGTTTTCTTACTAAACTTGATCATATACCTTTATTATTTTAATAAAAGTAAAAAAAGTTAGATTATCAAAAACAATTATAGAATTTAGGATTACATTATGTCAATCTAAATTTATTTACTAAATTAACATGATGCTTAATTCTTAGATATTTATTTGAATTAATCATAAAAATCTTAAAAGATTGATTTATTTAATCGAATATTTATAAAATTAATTTTGATTTATTCAAAATAAATAATTGTTCTTTTTTAAGTAAAATCTTTTAAGACAAATTAATCATTTAAATTAATTGTAACTAAGAGATTTGAAATTTTTAAATGTTTTAATTAAATGATTATTTTTCATAAATATTAGATATATCTATTATAATGATGTTTGTATATAATTAAAATTGTGTTTATTAAAAACAGGTTTATTTATTTTAATATATCAGAATTGATTTTTACATGAACTTGTTCAGCCATGATGAAATTAATTTATTGGAGGTATCCTAATAGAGGATTGCTAGGCCGCATAAGATGGAAAGTTAGAGTTCATAAACAATCAGTTAACATCATTGACATCTAGACAATTATAATAAGCTTGTAAGAAAACAGATTATTATGGAAGAAATGCATTACATTATGTACATGAACTACTATATTAGGCTGCATATCGAGGACATTACAAAGTAGTTGAATATTTTCTTGATTTATAATGCATAAATATTAACTCATAAGATAAAAAAGGTAAATTTTCATAAACTATTATTGAGGTAATACAGCTTTAATGCTTGCCTGTGTTCGCGGGTATAATTCAGAAATAAACACTTTAAAGGAAGGTTAGAAATTTGCTATATGTTCTTTATTGATTGAAAGAGGAGCATCAGTGGAAAATTATAAGAAATAAGGAATAAATAATCCATTACATTGGGCTTGTTTCTTTGGAGATTTAAAAACAACTAAATTATTAATGTACATAGAGCCAAGTTTAAGTAATTATATTAATGATGATATTATAGTGTTGTTTACTAATGATAAGGATTAATTTCCAATTGATTTATCTCTTATGACAGGAAAAGAGTTAGATGATAGAGAAGAGGATGAAAGAGTGTTGGAATATATGATAATGAAGTTCTTGGCTCAATATCTTGATAATGAAGAACATAGAAAAAAATTAGATTCTTCTGATGTAGATTATGAAACATTTAGAAATTTACATAAACATAAACTGAATCTTAAATCGACTAAATAATTGACTTAGGTTGGTCTTAGATATTTATTTTGGGCAAGTACTTAGGGTAGATTAGATCTTGTAAGACCTTTATTAAAATGTAAGTATTCACCTTTTGATCCATCTTATAAAGGTAGAAATGCTCTTCATGCTGCTGTTTATCATAATAAATTAGAATTAGTTGTATTCTATTTGGAATCTGATGAATCTAGGATATTTCGAAAAGATAATTTAATCAATCTTATGACAAAAGATAAACCTTAAACTGCTTTACATATAGCGGTTGAAAGAGGTCATGTAGAAATTGCTAAGATATTAATTAAGAAAGGAGCTGATCCCAATTATTATAATTTTCGAAATCATAGAGCTTTTGATTAATCTAGATTAAATGAAATAAAATAATTAAAGAGAGAACTCTTTCATAATGATGAAAAAAACTATCTAAGATCAGGATACAATCATATTTTAGTTGGTTGGCAGAAGAGTAAAAATTAATTATTGGAATAATAATTTAATAATATATAAGTTAAAAAGAATGTTGAAAAAGGGCAGTTTAAGTATATCTTTTATGAATCTATTGATAAACAATTTACATATTATTGCTTAAAAATTGATGAAAGACTTAAAAATGTAATTGCTGATTAAAATAAGATGATGATATATAATTCAAGGGAAGGATATCTTTCTCCTTTTAATTTAAATATCTAAGAAGAGTTTGAAAACTTTCATCATATCCATAATTAATAGATCCTTCTTACTTTATTATATGATGAATTTGATATAGAATAATTTATAAGTGATGGATTACTTTTAGAACAGTTTCCTTTGCATGATGTAGAAGAAAAAGAATTAATCATTAAATTTTGGAAAAATGAAAGAATAAATATTTTATTTGAACCATTTCAATTAAAAAAATCTACTAGTCGTACTTTTAGTACCTTATCAACCTATTTTGGACCAGAAGTTGGAATGTTTTTTGTATTTTTATGTTTTTTTTCAACTTGGTTATTTTTGCCAGCTATTCCAGGATTAATCTTAGGGATCATTTAATTTTTTGATGAAGAAGCTATTTTAGCAATTGCTCCAATATATACTTTATGTATGGCTGTTTGGGCAACCATATTTTTTGAATTTTGGAAGAGAAAATAAAGTGAAACTATGTATAATTTTGATATGCATGTGGCAAAGGAATAAAGAAGAAATATCCCATAATTTAAAGGATCCTTTATCATAGAAGATGTAACACATACAATAGAAATAATGGACACTAGAAATGTATAATGGAAATACTTTAAATCTAATACTCCTTTAGTTATTTTAGCATTGATCTTTATTTCTGGATAATAGACTGGATATTATTATCTTAAACAGATTTATTAGGATGATGATGTTTATTAAACTCTATGGGCTTGTCTTTTAGCATTAACAGTTTTAATAACAAATGAAATTTTCAATTTCTTTTCCAAACACACTCTAATTTATGAGAATCATCAATTCTAAGATGAAAGAGAAAATGTTTATATTTTAAAAGTATTTGCTTTCACTTTTCTAAATTCTTTTGGTAGACTTTTTTATAGAAGTATAATAAAACCTGATAAAGATGAGTTACATCTATTTAGTATCTCCTTTACTATAACATGGTCTGTTGTTCATCTTATTAGGTATACTATTTATCCATGGATATCCTTTACTTTCATTAAATTAAAATTCAATAGGGACTTCAATAAATAAAAATAATTAAACAGTAATAAATAAACCACTATTTAATAAAAAATAGGAGATACTGAAACTAGTGGAATGAATAAATCATTTGATAAGGGAATATCTTCTTCTCAATATTTTCTTTAGTAAATTGAATTAAATAAAAGAATGATAGACCCACCAGATTATGTTGAATAATTCACTTATTTTGTAATTATATATAAAATATATAATTAGATGACTTAATTTTGTATGGTTACTATGTTTAGTGCAGGTTCCTAAATTATACCAATTATTGTTTTGTTTTTTAATCTACTCAATATTGAAGGATTGTTGTATGGTTATAGAAAATTCGTCAAAAGACCTTTAGCAGAACCAAAAAAAAATATAGGAGTTTGGAATGACATCTTATAACTTGTTGGTTATATTGGTATAGTTACAAATTGTTTAACTATTTATCAAGCAAATTAATAATAGTTAAATTAATTAATCGGAGCTGATGAAAGTTCTAATTAAGATTAAACTAATGTAATTTATTACTAATATTAGTTTGGATTGAGAAATTTTTTGTTATTAATTGTTGCTGAACACATAGTTATTGGAATAAAGTTTGTTATAGAAGGAGTTATTCCAGATGAGCCAGAATGGGTTGAATTAGTTTTGAAAAAAGAAGAATATCTTTCAGAATAAAATAAATCAAATATTAAAAAGAATGATTAATATATTAAACCACTAGAAAATAAAATTAAATAGGATTGATATTTATATATATTTTTATTCTTAATTATGTATTTTTTAGTTTAATTTTGAAACCCTTATTTTAGTTAACATTTTAAGACAGAATGTGAATAAAATAAATAAATAAACACATCATATTTTAAATTTATTCAATTGTAATTTTAAATAATTTAAGAATGTTTTTATGGGTTAAAATTATTTTTTGCGATCCAAATATAACTTATGTATTAATAAATATCATTAATTAATAATTATTAAAATATTATTTTTTGTTGCATTAATTCCTGAATAATAATTATTAATAAATCAAAGATTCATATATAATTAGTCATGATCTTTTATTAATGAATAAGTAATCAAACTTAATATGGATAAGTCTAATGTTTTAAATAGCCAAATTTTGCTTTTTTAAATATGATTGCAAAGGTTTGCTTTTATTTGAAGATAATGTTAATAATGTGATTAAAAATGAATTTTAAATTATTATCCTTAATTCTTATTAAATATTTATTCGATTGACCCTCACTTCGTAATTAAATAGATGATTATAATGCAATAAATTTCTGTTTAAAAATACAAATTTTATTCAATTAAATTCGATAAATTACATATTTTTAGTAATAAATATAAAATAAATAAAAAGTTTTATTGATAATTCTTTTAAAGTCCATTATTTTTAGAAATATATTAGTTTTTAAGTGTCTGTTATTTAAATTAGGATATTAACCAAAATAAACTCTATTGAATTATGTAACTAATATCTTGATTTTTTTTGTAATTTTTTCATTTTAGGAATTTAATCTTATCAATAATTTAGAAAATCATAAAGAGGAGTAATAAATAATCTAAATCAGGATAATGATGCAATTTAATATTTTCGTGTTTATATTTTTATTTTATATTATATTAATTTTTTAATGATTCATTAATTAATTAAAATCGCATTATAACATGTTCTTAAAATTAAGAGAAAAAAAATTATTCAGTATTGATATTACTCTTCATTAATTAAATATTGAAATAATGAAATAGGATAGTATTTATAATTAGTAATTAAAAATCAAATTTTTTATAAATATTTAATGTAAGAATAAGAAATTAGTATAATTTTAGTTTTGAATATAACTCCTCACAATCTCATTAATCTATGTTATTCCTCAAGTATGTTTAAGACTTATTAGTTAAAACTGTTATTTTAAATTTATGGAAATTAAGTTATATCAGAAAAAATTTCTTGTTATTTATTTCTTGATAATTTTAAAGATTGTTTTTGTTAACATTTTAGATCTGAATTTTGTTTAATTATTAGAAATTCATTAGTTAAAGCCTTCTTTTAGATTATAGTATTCATCTCTTATGTAAAATTTTCAACAGCCTACTATTTTGTTAGTGAATTTAGAATTTGATATTTCTTGTTTAAAAGCTATTCTTTAATCATTTTCTCTTTAGAATCTTTCACATTATTATCTTCATCGTTAATAGATTTAAACTCCTTAATTTCTTCACCTAATTTAACATAACTCTTATTTCTTAAAATATAATAATTCATATACATATCATCCTACACAACTAATATTACTTAAGTGGTTATATTGAGAATTTTATCTCTTTTTTCTTTCTTATTGATTCTACCTTCCTTTTTATAAACTTAATATATAGCTTTAATTGTAGAAGTTTTATGTCCTGTAATCAAAGAGACCTGAAAATAAAAATAATTATACATGAGATGTAGAGTACTTGTATTCTTCAATATATTGAATGATAAGAGCTCTTTCATTAGAATTTATGCTCTTATATTTTGATCTTTTATTTTTCTACTTTTTAATTTTCATCATAAAATAAATCAAAAATATGATCCCATATAAATTTTGCTTTAAATTAAAGCTTTATATACTTAAAATAAATAACGAATAGTTTTGCTAGGATAAAATAATAAGACATAAACACTTAATATTATTAATGATTTAATAAGTGTTCATATAAAATATAATATCATTCTGTAAATAAATTTAATTAAATTAAAGCAGTAATATTAATTTGAATATAAATTTCTTCCAAGATAAACCAAAGAATAATTATAATATTTTACCTTATTTGCTTTATGAGCTCCATCTAAAATTAAAAATTATATATCAAATTATGAATAAGTACAATCCTATCCTATTTCTAAATTAAATGAAATAATTATAATTTTCATATCCAACTCTAACTATAGATGTTAATTTCACCTAAATTGAGATTCAAATAAAAAATCTATCTTAATGATTTCAATAAAATAAAAATTTTATTATTCTCAAACAAAAATTATGTTTATAAATAATAAACAAAAATTATTTATTTAAATAACTTAGATTTTTTCGATATCTAAATATGTGTATCATAATATTACATTTTAATAATGTAGTTTGGATCATTCAACTTTTAAAGTTTTAATATCCAGCTTTCCTTTATCTTTCAATACCATTTTTTTAAATGAAATCTTTTTGGTGAATTTAAATTTGGTCAGAAATTTTTTAATCTTACAATTCAGCCAATATATTTATCCTTATATCAATTCATTATCATCTAAATTCTCATTTTATATCAAACTTAATTAACTCTAAATTTCAATATAAATTATTTTCTAAACATCAGCAATTACCAAATTGTTATATTTTCAGGAATTAAATTAATCTAAGTTTTAATTAAATTTATTAGAGCTCCATTTATCTATACTTCTAAAAGTATTACAACAATTTAACTCAAGTTCACCGTAAGTTTAATATCAAAAATTTTATTAATTTGAATTAAAAAACTAAATTGTTTTTTTTGTTTTTTTTTATATAGTAAGTTTATAAACAAATGATTTATAAAATTAAAAAAAAATAAATTATTGGAAGAGATTAGTTTTGATGATAAGCAATATTAAATATTAAAATCAATCATTAATTATAATTATTCATTCCATTCCAAAAACTCCTTCAAGATCATTTAGAACAATAGATCTCAAATATTTTCTCATCATTTCTTCACTACTATATTTTGGAAGCTCAAGTCTATTGAAACATGTATGAGCTATTGGGAAAGAATTGGCATTTATATAATCAATAGGAATAATCTAAAATTTTGAATACATTCCTCTATTGGACTCAAGTTTACTAAAACCACTATAAATTGCAATAATGTATTAAATACTTAACTGGAATTCTATAAGAACCTGTGCAATAATGTAAAAACTTTTTTAATTAATCCTAATCAAATTCAGATAATATTTTCCAAAACCACTTTATTTATTGAGAAGTATCAGCATATGGTGTTTTATATGTTGTATGTTATTTCCACTCATCTAAATCTACAACTGATACACCATAAAGAATCATTTCAAATTCTTCAGCTGTAAAGATATTTAAATAATCTTTTGGTATATATTTATATAATCCATTTTAGATTTAACCAAGTTATTTTGATATCATTTTTTCACTATAGAATTAGATACTTAATAATAATAATAAATTCTACCTTAAATCTACAAATTCTTATTTGTTTTAGTTAGTTACTAAAATATCAGCTCCATTTTATTTTAATTCAATTATTTCATCATCCTTACATATGATAAAATATTATTATAATGAATTTTCATCAAATTAATTTTCAAGTAAATATTTCCAACTCAAATACAGACTTTTATCATAAAATTACATATCTTGAAATGAGATTTCTTAACCAATTAATCTTTTAACCAAGGGTCTATCAAATTCAACACAGATATTCATTCTTTCAAAAAGTGCTTTTGCTATTGCTAAACCAACTAAATCAAAATATTGACTCTATTTAGCAATTTTATATGTAACATCATTTGTTTCTGTCAATGAAAAGATATCTTTACACATTTCTTTAAAAATTAAAGTTAACCATTCTCTTAATAAGCCACCTGCATCTTATACTTTGTCGTTTTAAAATACTACCTTGACTTCTTTATACAAATTAACATTTCTTGCTGAAATTAAAGAAGATTATAATAAATCATTTAGATTGACATTCAATTTATCAGATCCTAGTTACCAAGGAATACGAAATTTTTCAAGTTATAGATTGAACCACATTTATTTTTCTGGAAAGGATCTGTTCTTGATTTCTTAAACACTTAAATTCTTTAAAATTTATTAAAAAAGTTACTTAGATCTATCCACCATTAACTTATGATTATACTCTTTTCCATTGATTATTTTATTTTACCCAAATATAATTATCTCCCAGTTATACTTATGGCTAAGGCATTTGAAATCCAATATTATTTATTTGTTATTAGTTTTGTAAACAATGATCTATATGAGTATTAAGCAAGTTGTATGTAGTAGAAGGTCCAAATTTACGATCACAATTAGGACATTTGGCTTCTTATCCAATTTTTTAATTCGAATTATTTGAACTTCTGTTCCCCATTTTTAGAAACTTATAATAATCAGGGGATAAAATATGATAAACAAATATACAATAAATTATACAATAGATATTTATGTTCTAATAACTCAAACAATAGTTTAAGTGATTTAGGAATCGCATAAATCAGCTTCTTCAACAGTTTAATTCAAATTCTAAATTGGTCTTGGAGGAAAACCTGAAATTAACTAGATTTATTTTTGAGGAGGTAAATTCATCATTCTTGATAAATATTTAAAAATACCTTAAAAGATGTTATTGAATGACTGTCACTCTTGTTGTAGTATTAACTGTCAATGTAATAGTATTACCAGTGGATAATCTCACCATAATATTTGTTGTGGGTTGATTGGGATCAATTTGTATTTATCCTTATTTACTCAAATCAACTTTAACTTGTTATTATTATTAAACAAATTATTATTAACCCAAACTAACTCCTGATCCACTAAATTCTACATATTTAGGTGGTGGAGGTGGTACATATTTTTCAGTTTTTCTATCTTCCAATTTTACACTCAAACCTTTGGGATATTTTGCTCGTAAGGCTGTTGGAACTTAGCTTTTTATATATATAATTATGTTACCTTTATTTTAATTCTGCAATGAATTTCTTGTTTTCTGGATCATTTAAATCTTTGAATTCTCCATCATTAATTTAAAATCCATTATTCCATAAAGTAATTTTACACCATTCTTTTGGATCCTCATCTCCATCAGGTTTAGTGCCTCCTTACTTTCTATAAGCATTTTAATAGATTAATACGCCTTATTTATTAATTCATCGTAATCGTCAGGATTTTGAATTGAGAGTCCACTAAGATATTTAATAAATAATTATACCTCTTTTCTCCTCCAGCATAAGAATTGCTAGTTTTCTTTTATTTTTCATCTTTGTCACCTTTCTTTAAATCATCTAATGTCTTAAACATACCGAAATTTTTTATATTAAATAATAATAATAATAATAATAATAATTCAATCATAACATAAAAGTAATTATTTTGCTAAATTTGATAGACATTCATTTTAAGATAAAAACAAAAATTCTACCTGATAATAAAATCTATATTTTACCTTATTTTTATATTTAGAAAATATATTTTAATATCTGTCATCATTTATCGTATCTCCAAATTCTAAGACTCTTTTAATGTAATTTAAAATAGCAATTGAAGTAATAGGATCGTCAATATTCAAATTAAGTAATTAAGAACAATAGTAATTTTCATCCAAAATTTAAGGATAATCATGTAAAAAATGATCATCTTGCATTAGACATTCTAATACATTTAATGATTTTTCAGCATATTCTATATTTAATGACATTTCTATTATTAAATTTAAAACTTCCTTCTAACAAATATAAAATTATATATCCTCTAACTCGACAATATTAAAAAATAATGTTAGAAGAGCTTTAATACAATTTGAATTGTTTGTTGTCAAAAATAAATTACAGATAAAACTATGTATTTCATTTTGTTATAATATTTAATAGAGTAAATAAGATTCCTTTATTTCTTATAAAATCCTTAAAATTATAAAAGTGAGATTGTCATCATTTTTTAATAAATATCTAACTGCATGAATTACCAAATGATGATTACTAAATTCCATTCTTGAAGTTAGAATATAAGTGCATTGAAATGCTATATATTAAGGCATTAATTAACATAATGTCTCAACTAAATAATCGCTCAATAGTGATTTAAATTCAACAATTTTAACACAAATATGTACTAATAATTTTTTATATGTTTCTTCTGAAATTATATTAGCATTTTTATTAAGAATATGTAGTAGATCATCATCTCTCATCAAAAATTCAAAAACATCAATATCATAATCTGCTAATAAATTTTAGATGATTTCAAGAACAAATTCATTGTAAACAGGATTTTTAATATCTGTGTAAAGTATTTTTAAAAAATCAAAATTTGTATCAAATAGAAATTTAGCTCCAATTTTATCTCCTAAAGTAAGATTGCAAAGAATCCAATAAATAGTTATTCGATAATTTTATTGACAATTTAATTCAAATTAGAGTAATAATTCATTCATGAGATCTTAGTCTACTAAATAATCATAATATTTATTCATAGCTTTTTGAAAATCATTTTCAATATTTTCATGAATGGCAATCATTTGCTTTTTAATAATTTTGAGTTTATCATTCAAATCGTGATCTTCTTATTCAGGTATAATTATTCTCTTTTTTTTGAGTTATTATTCAATAAACTCTTTTCTAATCACAGTTCTAAACTTTTCCCTCTTAATACTCAAAATTGATGAAGATTAATCCATTATTAATATAATTGTGTTTTTTTGGTATTATTATATCAAATTTAGATGGCTTATTTTTGGAATACATTTTATGCCTTTGTGACATCCCCAACAGTGAATAAATTTTAAAGGTTGCTAACATCAACTGACTAAAATAATATTACAATATTATCATACCTATTATTATTCACTTAGAACTGAGTCATCTACTACCAGACTATAATTGTCATAATACTGTAAAATCTTTTAGACTTTATTTACTTTGTCTCCTCCTGTCAAAACAGTATTGTAACCTCTTTCTAATCCACCAACAACTACAAAATTAGAAATCCTTAAGCTTACCAATGCTGAAGTTGGTTACAGTTTATGGATCTCCAGAGACTATCACATGTTTAGATCCTTGCACTTTCTCACTCATTTTTGCTAAGTCTTAATAAGTGTAGGTTTAGAGTTATCCATTTCTTAATTAAGCTGTGACTGGTCCTGTAACAGTTGGGAGAGAAAGTCGATTAAAGTTCCTGGAGGCGTAAACCAATGATTCCTAGTGGCTTCAATAGTTTAATACTCTGAATTTGTAGGTTCCTGGATATGAATAAAATCCAGTATGAATCAACCATTTCAAATTAGTAAATTTACTACTCTTTAGACTTTCTCCAGATTGAGCTTGAGACAAATTAATTTTAATAGATACTCTATGTGGATTCTGGAACAAGGGTTTTCAAGATTTCAATGAACTTTGTTTCTCCAATTAGTTGATTAGGTGAAAATACAATTCCTTTTGGATTTACAATACTAATAGTCTTTTCAATTTCATTTGGATCATTGGATCTGAATGGTACTGTAATTACTCCTGCTTTAGCTGCTCCAGCAAATGTAGTGGCTGCCTCACTTGTGTTAGATCTACCAAGCAAGAGCAAAAGCTTATCTCCTTGTTTCCAACCTTGTTCAATCAATCCATATGCGAATGCACTTGAATGTGTCTCTCAATAACAATTATTCAATACATCGAATTCTCCAAAAGTCCATGTAAGATTTTAATTCTCAAATCTGAACCCATTCTTAAGTGGATTTTATTTTACTAAGGTTGAGAATCCTTGATAAATAAATCGTAGCATTTTTTAATAAATAATTTAAATATATATAAATAAATGTTTCTTCTTAATTGGTTTGGAGGTAATAGCAATTAGAGTGGTAAGAATAAGAAAAAGAAGAAGAAGTAAAATGTTGTGTAGAATCTCAATAAGACTTTGATAAATCCAATGAAGGAAATCAAATTATTTGGACATTCAAAGATGGGATATGGTCCCAAAAAAACTGAATGCCAAGATTCATATTGTACTATGGAAAGATTTACTGAAGATTGTTATTTTTTTGCAGGTTTATTTTTATTTTTATAATAAGTGTATGATGGTCATGGTTCCTCAGGTAAGGAAGCATCTTAAGCAGCAAATGATTATATTTAAACATTCCTTGAAAAAAACCCAAAGAGAATTAAAGCTTTGTAGAATGATAAACAAAGAGAGAGTTTTTTGAAGAGTGCTTTTAAAAATGCTGAAGCAAAACTTAGATCATCTGGTATTGATTATAGTAATTCTGGAACATGTGCAATTTCAATTTTTGTAGTTAAGAATATGTGTTATATTGCCAATCTTGGTGATTCAAGAGCAGTACTATTTAGATAAACTGCAAAAGAGAAATTAGCTATTGAATTATCATATGATCATAAACCTACAAGACCAGATGAGAAAGAAAGAATCATAAGATGTGGAGGTAAAATAGAAAGACTGATACATGATGGCTAGCCTGTGGGACCTTATCGTATTTGGGCAGATGATGAGGGTCCAGGTATTGCTATGACGAGAACGTATTGAAATTCAAATTATATTAATAAAGATTAGGAGATTTGCAAGCTAAGAAAATAGGTTTGATTTCAGAACCAGAAGTTTAACATATTGAATTAACAAAATAAGACAAGTTTATGGTAATAGGATCAGATGGTGTTTGGGATGTGATGAGTAGTGCAGAAGTCTGCGGATTTGTTTTGAAACATGAGCCTAAAGAGAGTGTTGCTGAAGCTATTGTATATATTTTTATTTAGAGAAAGGTTACTGAATGTAGGTCCAGATGGGATGAGATGAACAAATAAAAGAAGACTAATTCAAAGATTGGAGATTTACCGTACCTGAAATTTGGTTGCGATGATATTACTGCTGTGATTGCTTATTTCACGTTTATTGATGAATTGGAAGATAACTATTTCCAATAACAGAGATATTGAATCATAAATATAAGAAAATAATATTTTATGATTTATATTTTGATATAATATTGTTATCACTTCAAAACCAATCTGACTTATGGTATTCCCTTGATAATTTCTTAACTCTCCTATGTTAATGTAAAATTGATAGTCAAATCAACATATTTCTAATAATTAAGAATAAACAATACTTGTATGTCTAATAATTTAATAATTGGCTGGTCCAAAAAATGTTTTTTCTCTTCTGGTTTTTTAGCATACATAATTTCCATGTATACTGGTTAAGCCTTCAAAAAAACATCTCTTGGATGTAAATCATATTATTATTTCAAAATTTCAAACAACTATATAAAAGTAGTTGACTTTGTAATTTCATGTGTCCAAATATCCCATAATGTAACAGTGATTTTTTCATTAATTTTCTTCTTGGGAACCAAACCTGGTTCAGTCAATTTCACAAAAGGAATGGCTAAATTGACAAATGCGTTTTTCATGTCTGAAATTTAGACATTCTTCAAAGTCTTAATTAATTCTATAGTCTAAAGTCCAGCAACAACAGCAGTAGTAGTAGCCAAAGCAGGTACAATACGTCCAGCTTTGATTTTTACAGTTAACCAATCCATAAGCTCTAATTTATAATTAGCAGCTCTTAGATTGCCAAAGGAATGAATGAAATCTATGTGTCCATTTTAATCATTATCTTTTTCAAATTCATCAGATTATAAAGTAATGGGTAATAAGGATCTAAATTATTTAAACAATAATTATGTTTCTTCTTAAGTACTTTAGTTTTGATTAGATTCATTCTCTTCCACTTCTTCTTTTTGGCCATGTTCTTTAACTTTTTCAGAAATAGACTAAAAATTATAATCAAAATAATAAATACTTTTTTCTTTTCTTCACTTGGTTACCACTCTGGAAAACTAATTAGATTAGCTTACTTAGATACTTATTACCTAAAAGCTTTAGTTCTCCAATCTTTGTTAGTTTCAAGACTGAACATTTTGGCTCTAAGGAAAGCAAAGGTAGATACAAATTATTGATGAATTTCATTTTCAGGATCAAATTAAATAGGTTTAGGAGGACGTTTAGGCATAGTCCAAAACAGATTGCCATCCTTTGTTTTAGCATCTTCTGGATATGTATATAAAAGTTATTTAATGTCATTAACGAAGTATTTCTAGAATTTTCCTCTTGCCCATTTAATGCAATCTTCAAATGAATTTGGTTTGTTTTTAAACAACTTGATACCTTCTCTTAATGGTTTGTTATCTTCTAAACTGGGTATATAATCTTCAGCCATCATTTTTATTAATTATTTTGGTCTTGCTGAAAAATGTTTACCAAATTTATCTCTTGCAAATTCAACACAATGGAAAGTCTCTTCAGGGAACATCTTTAATGTACAGTATGGAATTTCTCCTTCTTCTACAGGATCATTAGAACTTCCATAAGATTCAGTTTAAAATGGAATGATACATTGTACATGACCTTTTGGTCCAAGAGTACCAGACTCTAATAGTGGCTTGCGAGCATTAACACATCTTTTGTCAACATATCTTCTAGCAGCTACATTGTCAAGAGCATTAGCTATTATATCTTGTTCTTCAAAGAATTAATCTGTGTATATATTTTCTGTTAAATCATGAACTTTGTCAAGTCTTGCTATAATGTGATCTCTTAAATAGGGATTCATTTAAATTACAGCAGCAGCTGCTGTCTAAGACTTTGGCTTTCTTAAATGTTTTTCCCTGAATAAGAATTATCTATTTAGATTACTAACTTCAATGTGATCTGGATCAGTTATTGTGATTGAACCCTTTATTCCTAAATTAAGCATAGCAAAATTCTTGAGTAATTCACAACCAATTGCACCACATCCAACCATGAAAACCTTAGATTTCTCTATTTTAGATGCAACTTCTATTCCCAAAAATCTACTTAAAGATCTTTCACTAACTTTAATATCTTTGGATATCTCTTTTTATAATACTTCAGTGCAATCAACATAAAATATTTGTTAAACTGGAGTAAACTTATTAGTTATTCCTTTAATAGCTTCTTATGAGACAAATCCTCCAAGATAAGCAGACAAAGGTGAAAATTCACCCAAAGTTGAGTAATGCTTGAATAAGGATTCAAAATTTTCATCCTTGATTTATTGATTATTATAAAGATTATGTAGATTTTCAGTATTTTACAATTTGATAAAATCGTATTCTGACATATTAGGATCATAAATTGGTTTATCTATAAATTGTTAATTATAGGGTTAGAATGATAATTCAACAGGTACTTTAACTAATTTAATAGTTCCATTTCTAATATATTTTGAATATCCACTTAATTATATCTCTAAGATTGATTTACTAATTACTTTAACCTTTTAAATAGTTTTATTAATTGAATTTCCATTTTAATCTATCATTCCTTCAATATTATCAATCATTACAACATCATCATCCTAAAATTCATGTTTACCTGTGATTTCAAAATGCATCTAATTTTATCCTTTTTCAGTAACAGATTTAACAATATAATCAACAGTTTATTCACCATTTTTATCTTCAACAATGAAAGATTAACCAAAGTCATTAAATACTCTTCCAAATACTCCATCCACTGAACTTATAATTAATTTCACTTTATGTTAACGACATAATGCAGACAATTTGAATAATATATCATTTGTATATGTAGCACATACTACTACAATATTATATTTAGTTAAATCAATTTTAAGTAGTTCTACAGTTTCATAATTCACTCTAACATATGAATTAAGTTATTGTAATTTTTCCCAACTTATTTCAGCTCTGTTCTTACCAATATCTTTTTCTTCAATGAAAAATTATCCATTTAGATCATATTAAGTGCATTTTTATTCATCATGAATGGTTAACATTTTGACTCCAGATAAAACTATATTTTTGGCTACTTCAATACCCAAAGCTCCAATTCCTGATACCAAAACACAGCTATTTGCTTACTTTTTTACTGCATCCATACCCATTGCACCAATATATCTACTCCATCTATCTAAAACATTTTCATCATTAGCTTCAAATTCCTTCTACTGAATCTTAGTATATGTAACATCCACTTCATCTAAATTAGCCATTCCTTCTTTAACATTTTTAATTTTTGGTTATTTTTTAATGTGAGTTCTTAAAACTCTTGATCCTTCTAAATCTGCTGCAGAGGGTGGTTATATTTTATTTAATTCATCTTCTAATTCTTTTACAGCTTCTGTCAATTTCTTATGATAAGCTTTCTTACTCTTTTTGAATTCACTACACCAACTGGAATTATGATCACTGAGTAATCCTGTATATACAGCTTCTTTTGTATCTGCAAGTTCAACCCACTTATTGCATTCTTCTAAGATTTCCTATTTTTTAAGATAAAAGTGTCTTCTAATAATAGTTTCAAATCCTTTTGGTGGATCTCTAATCTAATCTATCATAGCATATTTAATATTGCAATATCTAACAATATTAGAATAACCTTCATTTTTCTTTTCACCTTCCTCTGTATTAGCTTCTTATTCAAAACCTGGTTCATTGAAATATACTTCTTCACTCATAATGATAGCTTAAGTGGATACTAAAACTTAAAGAAGAGTAGAAATTTTTGGATCCCAATTTTCAGAAGCATTACCTCTCCATGTACCTAGAAGAGACAAACATACTTTTCCACAACTATATAAATTAGGATTGAATCTAACTTTTCCATTTCCTGTAGTAGACAAATTCATTTTTGGGGGAGCATTAGGATATGAATCATCAGCATAAATATCAAATAGAAAAGCACCATGTGCATAAGGAGTACCTTTAGCACCCATAACAAGTGCTTTCATTACATCTACTCGTTCTTTATCTGCTCTTACGAATATTGCATTAGTATGTTCAATAGGTAAGGATGTTGACATATCTGCAAATTCTTAAGCTAATCTTACAATTTTATCTTGATTTATTTGTGTTGAAATATTTCCTGAATAATGATGTTTATATCTGCCACCAACTTTCATATCAATATAACTGAATCTTAAATCTGATAATAAGGTTCTATATGCTTCAGGTAATTATTTGGATAGAATCTATTAGATCAATTCATTAGCTAATTCTTTTTATTTTTTGAGTTGTTCTGTTTCATCTTCTTCATTACTACTACTACCACTATCATTCATCTTATATATACAATTTTCCATTTTTTTATGAGTATCTATAATCATTTTGGCAATTTCAAAAGAGTGTTCTTCTTCTTCATTCTTCTTTCTATTATTTTAAATACAATTCATAAATATTTTAGATGTATCTGCTAATGCACTTAATAATTCAAATAATGATTATGTTTAAGGTGGATAATATTCTTCTGGTATCTTTAAGAAAACACTAGCTAGTACTTTATGATGTGACATAGATTAAACTATTTTCAAATACTTACAATACAAATCAAATTCTTTTGATATTTCCAAAAGTGAACCACTTCTGAATGCACTTTCCAATAAAGGCAATAATGCACTTTCAAATAATGTATTCTTTAATTTATGTAATAATTCTTCAGTTGGATGCCAATGTTAGAAATCAAAGAATGATTCTACTATACCCAATAATCCAATTAATTATTATGATTTTTATGTTTTCTTTTCTACATATTCTATTGTATTCCATTTCTAATTTTATCCAGTATTATCACTAGCATATCCTACACCTCTTTTCTATTTATTTGATTTTTACAATAAATTATTTTTTTAAGGTGATTCTTAAACTATTTATTCTTCAATTACATTTCTAAATACTCTTTTAGTTTCTTTACTAACTAAAGCTATTCTATCTAGGATTTATTTAATTAAATTCTGTTCCAAAGCCTTTATTCTTACTTCTGGTCCACTACTAGCACTGAATACATTAACCAGAGTAGTGTAAATAAATTTAACAGCATTCTATTCTTCCTCTTCTAACTTCTTATTATTTGAATCTGGTGGTCCTGCAATTAAATCAAACAACAAATTTACACA